CGCAATATTCTGCTGGATCAACCGCATCGCACTCATCCATTCGAGCACCTTCTCCGCTCACCCCGGCATGGAGCCCGTCAATTGTCAATGTGACTGGCGACTCAAGGGCCCCTGCCTACGCGATCGCTCACAGCTTGCGTCAACACAAGTCATCCTCACCTGCAAGGCCCGCTAATCCGACGCTTATTCGGACGTCGACCTTGCAGCAGGCGAATGGGTTGGGGCACGCGCAATCATTCAATCCGTATGCGATGTACCCATCAAAAGCCGTCCTCAAGCTGAACGGGGACCTGGACTCTATGACGGAGGGGTGGACAAAGGAAGAGCGCGAGGCCAAGCGGCGTCTGGTTCAATTCACTCGGATGCAGAGCGGAAGCACGATCCACGCCGACTTCAAGCCTGTCTCCCCGGATGAGCGAGCTCCCAACAGTATTTGCATCAGCTGCATTTATTGGGAAGGCAAAGACGAATGCTTCGTCACAAGTGTGGACACCATCTACCTGCTTGAATCCCTTGTCGGTGTCCGTTTCACCGTGGAGGAGAAGAATCGCATCCGCAGAAATCTGGAGGGCTTCCGACCCCTCACCGTCTCCAAAGCCAAAGCAGACAGTGAAGACTTCTTCAAGGTTATTATGGGCTTCCCCGCTCCCAAACCTCGAAACATTGAGAAGGATGTGAAAGTCTTCCCTTGGAAAATCCTCGGCCATGCCCTCAAGAAGATCATTGGAAAATACGTAAGTACTTGCTTCAGATTTCCCTCAGCCACGGAGTCATCGACTAACGCAGGGTGGCCCTAGTCTGCAAGTTACTCATCCACCGCTGGGGCGCTGCCAACTCCCATCAGTTCCACCTTTGCTGGCAACGGAGCAGCGTCGGACTCGGGAACGGAGGGGTACGCTGCAGCTTCTCCCCAGTCAGTTTCCGACGCTGCTCCGTCCAGCAGCTACTGTCATAGCGTTGCAACACCAGCCTACTCTCCCCCCGCTGGTTCCTCGGGTCCCCCCATGACCGGAACGTCTGAACTGCGAGCTGTGCTACCTGCTGTCACTCAACCGTATCATAGTATGGCATCGGGATACGCATATCCCGCTGTCTGCCAGCAGCAGGGTCAACTCTCACTCACAGCTCCTGTCAGTCGGCCGTCATGGGATCCCAACGGCCATGCCCATCACCCTTCGGCAAGTGCGAACCCCAGCTATAGCTATCTAGCTCCTTTGCCTTATTCATTACCCGACCCTTCACACGGGTGTTGATTCACCACCTTGTCTCGCACTATGGCTCCATGATACTTGGTCACTGGAGCATATAGGGGGTTCCCTTATATCCCTTCTCCCCACTGCATTTACCGGCGTTTTGGTCTGCTTTGATTTTATATTCGGTTTTGGTTGTTTTCGTGCTGTTCTTGTGCGCGACAGTCCGGTCGCCGGTTCTTCTCGTCACTCCTTTGGTATTAGCCACGGCGCTTGGTTATGATCACTCGCAATGATCTCATGTCTCTCCTTGAATACCTTGATGTCTTAATGCCCGGAAATGTTCTTGTTCTCTGTTGATTCTCTGAGTTTCTGACATGGCATACGTTAGACGGTGTGTTGTACATTCCTTTTCCAGTTTGGGAACTTGTGCGGGCATTTTGATTCCACTCCTTGCGAAGGTTGTACATTATATGGCATTGCATGGCGCTGCAGTCGTTCCTTTTGCATTTCGCAGGTCTGGAAAAAATCGTGTTTTTTTGGGACGGATCTAATAATGGGCAGCTCTGGCGAAGGGACACAAGGATCTCGTGGGTTTACTCAGGTGGATTGTTCTTTTTTCCCTGTCTGCCGCCGCGCTGTGTATTTGGGCATTCTGGTTGAATATACAGGCATCGGCATACTCGTCCTTGTTTGGTTTTTGCGTGCATTTTGATGTTCGCACCTTGATTGTCCAGCTTATATGCATAGCTAGGCGTCTGGGACATTCTGCTTTTCCGGTTCAGGCAATTAGTTCAGCTTCATCGATTGTCTTAATTATAGCTATCCGAGAAAGATATTGGATAATTTGATTGCTTTTATTCGGCTTATTTTGTGCCAAATGGGGATAGAATGCCTCAGGATGCTGTGGTTTTAAGGCAATATCAACCATCTTGGTGTACGGTATGGTAACCGGGATAACTTACCGAACGAGGGGCCTATCTTATCGGCGAGTCACCTGACCGGCGGGACATCGGCGCGTCGGCGGGAAAAGAAAAGCATGAGTCAACCAGGAACAGAACAGGACTGACTGAGCTGACAGTGACCCTTGCCTCCCTCTCCCTTCAATCCATTTCCTCTCAATCTCTCTCTTCTTTCCCCTCAATCCCCTTCCTACTGACATACTTTCTCTCGCTCCCCCTCTACTGTCAATTCCTTCGATCCCTGACATCCTTGACACTCTAAAATCCGCCCCTCGCATTGAGCAGTTTCCCCCTCCCATTCACACACACCATGGAAGGAATCAAGAGCACTTTTGCCAGGTGCAAAGAGCAGAAGCGTGCAGCTCTCGTAGCATACACCACAGCCGGCTATCCCACCGTTGAGGAGACAGTTGACATTCTCCTGGGGCTAGAGAATGGAGGCGCAGGTATGGTTCCTTACCCCGCCGGACACCCTCACATTTGCCTCCCGGACCATGAAGACTCAATGCTAACGCAATCGCGCTAAATCTCAACAGATATCATCGAACTGGGCATTCCCTTCACAGATCCCATCGCTGATGGCCCCACCATTCAGACGGCCAACACCCAGGCTCTGGCCAATGGCGTCACCGTCACCACAGTGCTGAGCATGGTCCGTCAAGCTAGAAGCAGAGGCCTCAAGGCCCCGCTGCTCCTGATGGGCTACTATAACCCTGTCTTGCGGTATGGCGAGGAGCGTATGCTCAAGGATTGCAAGGAGGCCGGTGTCAATGGGTTCATCATGGTCGATCTTCCTCCCGAGGAGGCGGTGCGGTTCAGAGATTTGTGTACTAGCAATGGGTAAGTATCGCGTCTGTGTGCGAGCCTCCGACAGGCGCGGGGGTTGATTCGGTGAATGTTGCTAAGTTACTCTCATAGTCTGTCTTACGTCCCGCTTATCGCCCCTGCTACCTCCGAGTCCCGTATGAAGCTGCTCTGCAAAATCGCCGATTCTTTCATATACGTCGTTTCGAGAATGGGTGTCACCGGCGCGACGGGAAAGCTGAGCTCGAACCTCCCCGAGCTCCTGAAGCGCGTTCACCAATGGTCGGGTAATGTGCCCGCTGCTCTGGGCTTCGGTGTCAGCACCCGTGAGCACTTCTTGAATGTGCAGGAACTCGCCGAGGGTGTTGTTATCGGTAGTCAGATTATCACTGTCCTGGGCCAAGCCCCTGCCGGTCAGGCGGCTAAGCACGCCGAGGAGTACTTGTCGAGTGTCACTGGCCGCAAGCTCGAGAGAGATGCTCAGGGTATCCTGACTAATGAGATCAACGTGTTGGAGGCCGTGGAGAAGGCCCAGGCACCGGCTGTCTCGCAGCCTACCGCTGTTGTTACCGAGGCCGACACTCCCGCGGGTCCTGGATTGGCCGACCAGATTGACGCTCTCAATGGAACGGGTAACCCTGCTGCTCAGCCATCGCGCTTCGGTGAATTTGGTGGACAGTACGTCCCTGAGTCTCTCATGGACTGCTTGGCCGAGCTCGAGCGCGGTTTCCAAGAAGCTGTGAATGACCCCAAGTTCTGGGAGGAGTTCCGCTCTTACTACCCATACATGGGTAGACCCAGCAACCTGCATCTGGCCAATCGTCTCACTGAGTATGTAGGGGGTGCCAACATTTGGGTCAAGCGCGAGGATCTCAACCATACTGGAAGTCACAAAATCAACAACGCTCTCGGTCAGATTCTCATCGCTCGGAGACTGGGCAAGACCAGAATCATTGCTGAAACCGGTGCTGGACAACATGGTGTCGCCACGGCCACCGTATGTGCCAAGTTTGGCATGAAGTGTGTGGTGTACATGGGTGCTGAGGATGTCCGCCGGCAAGCCCTGAACGTCTTCCGGATGAAGCTTCTTGGAGCCTCCGTCGTGGCCGTCGATGCCGGAAGCAGAACCCTGCGTGATGCTGTCAACGAGGCCCTTCGTGCCTGGGTTGTTGACCTGGACACCACTCACTACATTATCGGTTCCGCCATTGGGCCTCACCCCTTCCCCACCATCGTGCGTACCTTCCAGTCCGTCATCGGCGAGGAAACCAAGCAGCAGATGATGGAGGCCATCGGCAAACTCCCCGATGCGGTCGTCGCCTGTGTCGGCGGTGGCAGCAATGCCGTCGGCATGTTCTACCCCTTCGCCAAGGACACCAGCGTCAAGCTGGTCGGTGTCGAGGCCGGAGGTGACGGTATCGACACAAACAGACACTCGGCCACCCTGACCGGCGGCAGCAAGGGTGTGCTGCACGGTGTTCGCACCTACGTCCTCCAGGACGAACACGGCCAGATCTCCGAGACCCACTCCATCTCCGCGGGCCTGGACTACCCCGGTGTCGGGCCCGAACTCAGCTCCTGGAAGGACAGCGACCGCGCCCGCTTCATCGCAGCCACCGACGCCGAGGCCCTGATCGGCTTCCGCACCCTCGCTCAGACCGAGGGCATCATCCCCGCCCTGGAGTCCTCGCACGCCGTCTGGGGCGCCATGGAACTCGCCAAGTCCATGAAGACCGGCGACATCGTCCTGAACCTGAGCGGCAGAGGAGACAAGGACGTCCAGAGCGTCGCCGACGAGCTACCCCGTCTGGGTCCCCAGATCGGCTGGGACCTGCGGTTCTAAGCTGCCTTCCCCCTGTGGACTTTCAACATATCTTGCTTATGAGCGACGTTTGGCACTTACGGTCTTCTTCCTCCCATCTTTTTTCCATATTTCTTTCGGTCTGGTCAAAAATAGGAAGATGTAGTTTATATATAAGCATCGGCGATGAGAGAAGCTCGATGATGAATCATCTTCTTTCGGGGTTGCACTTGTTTCTAAAAGCTGGATCAAATAAATAGATTTTTGCATGCTGATTGAAGTTTTGACAGCCACGCGTACTAAGTAGTCCGACCAACCACACGTTTAATCTATCTGGATATATCTTATTTCCAAGAGATTGACTTATACTGTGCGAACATACAACTACATAACAGAAAAAAAGAGATATATGCAAGCTCTTAAGAACGAAAGCTTAACGACGCGAGCTGAAGACGACGAGATTTGAAAAGAAAGAAACACCTCTCCTCGAGAGCATACCTCAAACGAGAAGGACAACGATAACACACGCTTATATGAAAGATTTAGGTCTCGATGAGAGGAGCAGCACCCACGTTCTCCGCAGAGTTGTCTCTTGTGTCCTTGGCCGGCAGCTTGCGTGCGGAGCGGGCGTAGAACTCGTCCAGAGTGCGCTTGGGGATACGGTTCAGCAGTTCCTTGGGGTAGATGCGGAGCAGGTTCCAGGCGATGTCGAGGGACTCGAAGATGGTCCGCGACTCGTAGGGCCCTTGGCTGATGAAGGTGCGCTCGAACTTCTCCAGGAACTCGAGGGAGAGCTTGTCCTCTGACGAAAGGGCTTCCTCACCGACGACGGCTTTCATGGCGGCTGTGAATGAAGTGTCAGTGTGCATTCAACTGATGATCTCGTGGAATTCTGTCAAGGGGAAACTGACCGGCATCTCGTCCAATAGCGTACTTGGCATACAGCTGGTTGGACACGTCGGAGTGGTCTTTACGGGTACGACCCTCACCGATGGCAGACTTCATGAGACGTGATAGAGAAGGAAGGACGTTGATCGGCGGGTTGACACCCTTGTTGTACAGTTGACGATCGACGAAGATCTGTCCCTCGGTAATATAACCTGTCAAGTCGGGAATGGGGTGGGTGATATCTGGAGGCACAGTCAGCACAAACTGCTAAGCGAAACGCAAAAGAACCTGCTTACCATCGTTGGGCATTGTAAGGATAGGAATCTGAGTGATAGATCCATTACGGCCTTCAACACGACCGGCACGCTCGTAAATCGTCGACAAGTCAGTGTACATGTAACCGGGGTAACCACGACGACCGGGAACTTCTTCTCGGGCAGCGGAAACCTCTCGAAGGGCATCACAGTAGGCCGACAGGTCAGTCATGATAACCAGGACGTGCTTCTCGAGCTGGTAAGCGTAGTACTCGGCAGTGGTCAAGGCAAGACGAGGAGTAATGATACGCTCAATCCTGGGGAAAAGTTAATCAAGCAGGCAGACAACCGAAGCAGCACAGGCAAACGTACGTAGGATCGTTGGCCAAGTTGAGGAAGAGAGTGACACGCTCCATACTGCCATTCTCCTCGAAATCCCGGGTGAAGAAACGGGCTGTTTCCATGTTCACACCCATAGCAGCGAAAACGATCGAGAAATTCTCCTCATGCCCATCATGGACGTCCTTGGTGGGCTTCCCGACCAGACCGGCCTGCCGACAGATCTGAGCGGCAATCTCGTTGTGGGGAAGACCGGCCGCAGAGAAGATGGGAATCTTCTGACCTCTGGCAATTGAGTTCATTGTATCGATGGCGGAGATACCGGTGGAGATCATTTCCTCGGGGTAGACCTGGCGTTCCCACGCATTAGCTTCACCACCCCGCAAGTCCTGTCATTACCGTTGACCGAGGGTCGAACACATACTCGCGAGTAGGGGTTAATAGGTTGACCGTTGATATCCAGATAATCCTCCGCCAGGACCTTGGGACCCTTGTCTATAGCACGACCTGATCCGTCAAAGACGCGACCCAGCATGTCCTCGGACACACCGAGCTTCAAGCTGTGGCCGGTGAACTCGACTTTGGTCTAGTATGACTGCAGTTAGCGGCTGATCCAGCTTCGACAAGACATCACTTGTATCATCCAGCGGCCAAATCTTTACCTTTTTAACATCGATGCCCGAAGTACCCTCGAAAACCTAGAGTAAGTCGCACAACCATATGAGCACCCCGCATACCAAAAACCGAGCTTCATAGCCTCGCATTATCGGGTTGATTCACACCTGTACAACTGCTCTGTTGCCTATTCATTCGACCCAAACATCAGCCGTCACGGACCTGACAGATGTATCGCTCTAATTTCCAGGAGTAAGTCATACCTCTAGCTTCAAGGACCTGACCCGACCGCTCTGTCCCGTCGGGCAGAGTCAAAGAGACGATTTCATTGTAGCGGGGAAATTTGACCTTGTCACCGACAATGTCAGCATGCCGTTTCGTTCATGACGCAGGCAGGTTTGCGTCGACGCTGCGACCCAGGGCCAATTACGTACGTTATCAAGGAAGACCAGCGGACCGTTGATACCTCCGATGGTGTTGTAGCGGATGCGAGGCTTGATATTGGTCATCCTCGGGTCGATGAATTCGGCCATGGCTGCAGGATCCTTGGCGGACGACCGTTAAGCGCTGAAGGAAGCTATGAGAGAGGGGGATGAAAGGTCAGGAAGAGCTGCTCCTGACGAGGGGGCCAAGTTGTCGTCCGTAGTTGATCGATGAGGGATCCACGCCCGCAGCTCTAGCTTGGCGGTGACGCATGCACGTGATGCTCCTCCGCTCCGTTAGGATGATCTCTTTGGAGACTACTGTTCATAAATACATAGGACATTGGAGTTACTTGAGAGAAGAATATTCTCGTCAGTTGGTTTTTTTATTTTAATTAGAGGGCACAGCCCATGTACGATGGTATCCTCATACTCTGACAACATGAAAAGCTGGGACACGAATAAAGTGGGATGCTCGAAAGACAACGAGGTAAAAGATAGCCAGCAAGAGCAGATTGCAGATGGAAAAGTCATCCTTGGGCCCCATGGTAGTAGATCATAATCATACACATCAAGAAAAACTCCATCATTATGGAAATATGAGAAAACGCCCGCCATGCATTATGGCACCATGCAAGACACAACCGTAGAAAGTATTGTGGAAGCCATGAGACTCGTCGCAATCTAGTCGACCTTTGCAAAAGCTAGCTTCTTTGGTGTTGCAAGATTATTGGAAAGGCGAACATTTGTCTTCTTGTTCTTGGTCTGCTTTCGTAATTTCTTGCGTGCCACCATGACCGGGACAGACGAGTTCATGACCAAATAATTGGAGAACGATCCAAGGAGAACACTGCTCAAGCAAACATTATATTAGCTTCAGATAGATGCAGACTCGTCATCTCGGGCGACTTACCCTTTCAGAGCACTTCGGCCCCTAGCTCCCACAATAACAAGTGTAGGCTCGAGACCGTCAATCTAGCCGTAGACTGGTCAGTATATCTGGGCAAGCAGGCTTCGTAAACGCATAAGCACCAGGACGAGTACGTACAGCTTCCGTGATCATATGTTTCGGGCTCTTGCAATGAATCACCTCGACGGCAACTCGGACTTGCAAAAGGGTCTTTCTGAGCAAACGGACACAGGTTTGCGAAATAATCTCCACCGCACGGTTTCTCTCTTGTTGGCCTTTGGGCACACCCCGGGCATCGACAGAGCTTGGTTTACTGTCCGTGCCCTGTCCTAGGCGACCCAACAACGCACGAGGCAAGTTACTGGTGATCGAATCATTCTGTGACTTAGAGACTGTTTCTTCCGTCTGGGAACCAACAATTGCTGCCGCGTCCTGCATTGCTTGGGCGCCCTCTCCGATTTGTACCGACGACCCGAAGGGAATGCCCAGCTCCTCGTTAACTGCACAGACAGCAAACATGGTGTCCCCATCCCTGAGAATGGTGCCGATTGTCCACTCCAGGGCGTAAACAGACTCTTCGCTGAGGTCAGTGGCAACTAGATACTTGCGTTGCCGGTGACGTCCGCCCTCGCTCTCTTCCTGTAGTCGGGCAAAATCGCCTCGAATGATGGTTCTAATCGATCTGTTGGGGACTGAAGTATCAATAGCGGACAATTGCATGGTGAGTTTCTGAGCTCGCTTGATATCTGACAATTCCGCTTCGTCATCGGATCCAAATGGCGTACTGAGGGCGGAGCCAGGATCAAAGCTCGTCCGAGGATGAACATCAAGCATATGCGGGCCCTGCTTTGCGGAGTGCACCAGAGTGGGCTTCTGATCTGAGAGAGACGTTGCCTTTAACTTCTCCTCAATCACCTGGTCGCCTGTGAAATGATTGTCAGTATGCGGAAGCTATAGGGATCTCAATCAAGCAATACATACGCTCATCCGTAGCACCATCTACCTGGCCTAGAGAAGGCGCTTGATCGCTTGCGTTCGGAGCCTTCTTTCGGCCACGCTCGATCTCACCGTCGCTGTCATCATCACTCGACGATGACTCATCGGGTTCATCTTCGCTGCTGTCCATTGGGTTGTTCTCGCTATCATACAAATCTTTGGCTAAGCGCTCATCCCCAGTGGACGATGTAGCAGTGTTAATGTCCGGTTCTGGAGATTCGCTCTCCTTAGGGGCGAGGTCACACTGGTGCCATTGCCGACCGACTCCGGAAGGGAGGGATCGGAGTGATTGGGATGAGTGTTGTTCATGGGGGATGGTTTTTCTTTAGGCGTCGCCGGCTTGGCCGGCTTTGAGGATGAAAGGTTCAGCGGACTGGAGCCGAGCCAGCGATTCTGAGAGCCGGACCGAGCACGTCGCTGGGGAACCCGAGAGTCGAGTGACGCCCCCGGGACGAGTTCTGTCGCGAGGGCGTCCTTCCTCTGGCAAAACTTGGGAGGCTGACTTTCAAATCAAATCCCGACATCATCGCAGCCATGGCGCTCTTGCTCTGCGATGGCTTGTGATGGTGGGTGGGTTCCCTCGGAGGCTTCTCCGGCAACTGAATTTGTATAGTACGCTTCGGTAACACCGGCATCTCGTTATTGTCGAGTTTATTTCGGTCTACTATTTTTTTCTTTCCGATCGAGATTTGATCCGAATTGTCCGAAGCCCTGCGAGTAGCAGACGGTTCTGATGATTCACCGGGAAATCTCTTCAAAGAAGCGTACGATGTTGCGGTCCCTGGAGTACCAGAGCCCGACGGCGATGCTGATTCCGAAACAGGGCCTGCCCAGCTGCGACGATTATTAGAAGGAGAAGTCACACCAACCCCAATACCGGCGATGGAGCCATGGCGCGGAGGCAATATATCAGGAGATGGAGCAGTGTCGAGCTGGCTCCGCACTGGGGCCACTTGGGCTGGGGGCCGTCGGTTAGACGACGGGCCGGATTCGAGACGCTCATCTTCGACCCATTCAAGACGTTCCGACTCCAGAGCACCCGCCAGAGATGACCTGGCTCGTCTTTTGGTCCTGTTGTATGCGTTACTATTGTATGCGGCCATTCTGGGTGGTTCCGCCCGCGGCGGTTTGACAGTCCGAAGTTAGACAATTGATAATATGCTTTATTGTTTGCAAGATTTGGCCAAGCGTCGAGGAATGTGGAGAGAGATCGGCCAGTCAACGATGATTCGTCAGTTTCGCCTTTCTGGCTGATGTATACGTATTCAAGTTCCGCATTCAGGACGAGAAGCACTCTCCCTTTTCCAGTCCAGAAGTCGGAAGGCTGTGAGACCTTGACAGGCCGGCAAGTGTATTTGCTTGGCTGACGATGCTCTTGTTCGGCAGAACAACAACACGGAAGGGGGCTGTAGACAAGAGGCACCTGTTCTCTCCGCCCTTCGAATTCGAGGATAGATAGTGGTAACTAGAGGACTGCAGAGACTCGCAAGAGAAATTTGCGAAAACGAGCTGCAGTTCGAAAGGGGATGAATATCTTTTGTCCGTCAAACGCGGTAGGAATCACCCACAGCTTCTCCGCAAAACGCCAAGAGAGGGAGGGAGTCGAAAAGCGCCACAGGCAACAACCGCACCGAGGCTCGGATGGATCGAGATGGATTAGACACGGAGGGATGCGGTTTATGAGATGGAAAAGATGCAGAAGCTTACAGGGGCAAAGAATGAGACAAAAAGGGGGTTGCCTAGAGAAATAGGGAGGAACACACAAGGTTCTGCCCGCTGTCTCTCACAGTTGGGCACAACGTCCAAAAGGCTCGGCATAGCGGGGCATGATATACAAAGCACATGAGGCTGAGGCAATTATTGCTCTCTCCCATCCAGTCGAAGAGAGAAGAGAGAAGAGCCCAGGGTTTTCATCCTCTTCGTTCTACAGAATATCCCTTGCATGATGTCACAAGGCTTGGTGGTCATGGAGAAGACGATCTATTGCTTGGGTGAAGCATTGTGAAGCCTAATTGCCTGAGGGTAGCATTCCAAGTGGGTAATGATAGATAGTCTCTTAGCCACATTATGAAGGAGGAATCGTCTATATCATAATCTATGTCCTTGAAAACGCAGAAAGCATACGGTGAGCATAGAATTTACCTGGCCAGTTTGTATCTACTGGTGTAGCCATCTGAGGCGGAGATTGCCGCTAATAATGCATCACATGCTGAATGCGGATCGAAAATGATCAACCATACATACAGGAGCAATCAAGGGGCGCCTGATAAAAGCAAATACCGGGTATGCTAAGGTAGGTAATATTGATGGCAAAACTCCGTAGTGATCATGACAATAATGATCTGGCATTGTGTCCTGCTACATATGTAATACCATGCTATTCTTCGCAATGAGCATCATAAAAGTCATAGAGACACCAGATACTTTCAGTTCGCTCAAATATGATATGCAATATGAGTGCAATCCTTCCGTAAGATGTCCACCTCCTTCCAAGGCTTCATGTAGAGACCTGCCAAGTACCAAAGACTCCCGACGCCGGTGGAAAAAGGACGAAAAATAAAAAGGGGAGATCCAAAGTGGAGCAGCTCACGCCTTCGACTTCTTTGTCTTCTTGGAAGACTGACGAGCAGCGGTGGCAGCAAATGCTTCCTCGGGCGGCTCCTCAAAAAGAGTCTTCCGTTTAGTGCGCTTGCCGTTGCCTCCCTTGAGCGTCTCCGCCTCTGTCTGCCATTTTTCCATGAGCGATTCCATGCGATTGGCTTGTCGTTGTTTGATAGCTGCAGCGAGATCACCAAGATCAGAGATGTCCTTCGTCTTGGTCTTCTTCTTCTTCGTCGTCGTCGCCGGCTTTTCCTTGACTTCCGTCTTCGGTTTCTTCTTCTCCTCAAGCTCCTTAACCAACTCCTCAGCTTCCTTTGCTTCCTGCTGCGCCCGCTTGATTCTCGCCTGACGCTTCTTCGCCGGCTCATCTGTGTACTTCTTGTAAGCCTCCACCTTGCCTTCCGCAATAGCCTTGTCAATAATGGCGCGGAACCGCTCGTCGTCATCGAGCACATTGCTCAGCATCACCGACTCGTAGACGCGGTCCATGTCGCCTCTGTGGCGGTCGAACGCCTCCAGGATATCCTTCTCTTCTTCTGCAGAGCCCTGATACTCCTCCTTTAATTTGTCAATCGCATCCGTATCGACCGAGTTCGAGTACAGGTCTCGGTAGAATTCTGTCCAGTCGAAATCTTCGTCGCCGGCGGCCGCTTCCGCGGTGCTGCCGGTGCGATCGAACCGCCTGCGGCGCTTTTCGTCCGACAAGATCGCATAAGCGAAGGCAATCTGCTGAAACTTGGAATGCGCTTGATCTTTCTGGTCGGCAGGAGCCTTGTCTTTGTCGATTTAATCAGTAACACAATTCAACAATCACCGGCTGTGTTTGGGCGGAAATCTCAAGGAAGTTACCTGGGTGATGCTTCAAGGCCAGCCTCCGGTAGGCAGACTTGATCTCGTCCTGAGTCGCATCCTCTTTGACACCGAGAACCTCGTAGAGATCGCTTGCAACCGGAGGGCCAGATGGTCCGTCTTCTTCGTCGGAGGTGGTTCCTTCATCGTGATTCTCTTCGAACAAATCCTCGGAATCAGAAGGCATGTTTGCGCTTTTTACGGTAGTAGGTGTAGGGGAAGGAGATGGAGAGAAAGAGTGGCAAGATATGGCCCAAAATGGTGGTAGAGTCTCCAAAAGACCCCCAAAAATGGATGAAAAAAGGATGAACAAAGAGTCAAGCAGCTGGTTTGCTTTGATATGGTGAAGGTGTTTGACAGAGGAAACGCGACTTCGGACGCGACACAAAACCACTTTGATTACCTTATCGGGTTAGGCTGGGGATAGCTTATCAACTTTCGTCATAGTTTCACTGTCTCGAGAGCTCCCCCACAAAGCAGACATATCACCAGCAGCTGTTCATTATTTCCAGCTGCTCGTTGTACAGTCACCTACAATTCCACCTTCCTGTGAAACCTCACCTCACTAGCTCTCAAATCAAGTTGCCTTTCTCATACCCACCCCGCGAAATGACCGCATCCCCCACCTCGACTACCTCCGCCAATGCCTCTCCCTAGCAGAAAGGTCGCCTCCACGCCCAACCAACTTCCGCGTCGGCGCGATCCTCGTCTCCCGCAAAGACGGCGACCTCGAATTCAAAGATGACCGCATCCTCTCGACAGGCTACACAATGGAGCTAGCCGGCAACACCCATGCCGAGCAATGCTGTCTCTCCAACTACGCAGCCGTCCACTCCGTCCCCGAGGACAATGTCGCAGAGGTTCTCCCCTCCGAACCCGGCCGGAAACTAGTCATGTATGTGACGATGGAGCCATGCGGGAAGCGACTGTCGGGTAATGTGCCGTGTGTGCAACGGATCATTAGCACGCGGGACGGAGGGCGGCCGGGGATCCAGAAGGTGTATTTTGGGGTTAAGGAGCCTGGGACGTTTGTTGGCGAGTCGGACGGGTGTAAGATGATGACTGCGGCTGGGGTTCAGTGGAGGGTTGTCAATGGGCTGGAGAGGGAGATTCTGGCGGTGGCTACGGCGGGCCATGAGAATAAGGAGGAGGAGATCAAGGCCGCGTTGGATCAGGTAGAGACTAATTTGGACGATATCAGTGATGAAGAAAGACAAAGACAGGCGCAGATACCTCGAAATCCTAAAAAGCGTTGAACATTTTGACTATATTGGTGCGTCTGGGTTAATAGGATATACTCATTTGTCGAGCACGGTACAGAAAGTCATGTGCAGTTACTCGATTTCATAACCACAATGACTCTTGATAGAGATACGATGAGCAAGAATGCAGATATCTTTTTCACCAGATCCTAAATGAGGCCATCGCGCGAGTCCGCGCACTATCTTGAACTCCGGTTGATACTGCTCTATATATAGTTCCCACATCGATCTGGAATGCTGCGCAAACCGTCTCAAACCTTCCAAGGCTATGCTGAGGGAGTTTCAGTCGACATTAGTATCAATAACTCCGAACAACACGACCAAAATCGATCACCTGGCCCTGTCCTTCGTATCTCCATCTGCTGATATATGCTGGCGTGGACCCGGCACCACCGTTCTTCGTGGCATACGCACCAACAAGCGAGCCTATATCAAAATCGTCAGTACTCAGCAGAACATCCGCCTGAATGTCCAAGGCTACACTTACCAGTAAACCGTCCCGTATCACCACTGACAATCAGCGTGTTGGCACGGCCGATGATTTTCTTCTGTGCAGGGTGTCGAGCGGGGGCAGCCGCAAAGACATACTCGGTGTCACTGACGGCCTGGATCTCAAGCCGGATGGTCTGTCCACCCCATTCCTTGGGAACAGGCACAGTGGCTCCCGGAAGAGGGCCTTCATAATTGCCGCGCCCTTCAACGCGGAACCGGAAGGACAGCGACAGTCCGTCGGTGGTCTGGAGAAGGACAATACCAAGATCGATGTGCTGCTGCTGGGTAAGGAAAACAGTAACACCCGCCTCTTCATCAGCAACCTTGGGGTCAAAAGACATGTCCACGGTGTACGTGAACAAGCTGTCGGTCTGTTTGCGCATAACGAGCGAAATGCTATCATCCGGCTTGAAGTCTGCAGTTCCGGTAAGGTTATAGAAAGATGGTGTCAGCCGAAGAGTATTTGGATGGCTTCGAGGAGAGACCGTAAAATCTTCTGTCTTGGGATACCGCCAGTACTGGAAGTGCGCCGAGATCTTCGATCCGGGCCTGAAATCAACATCGTCGGGTTGCTTGATCCACCCGCCCTCACCGCGGGGAAGACGCTTGTTCGCTCGTGGAAACGGCCCCTGCATCTGGCCTCTCACAGGCTGGATGACAGGCCATTCGCCCTTCTCCCAGGCCGCAGGGGCTAGCACCGTCTCCCGACCCATGGGATAGTTCTTCCATTCAGGTCCTGACCGGGTGCTCAGCGCCACGGCCCACCAGTTGCCATTCCCATCCTGAAACAGGTCCGCATGGCCCACAGTCTGGAAGTACTCCGATGTACCCTTGTTCGATAAGAGCGGGTTGTGCGGGTATGGCTCCCAGGGACCCGTCCGGGTCCTAGATCGCGCCATGGTCTCCGAGTGGCCGAGCTCTGTACCTCCCTCTGCTATCATGAGGTAGTAGTATCCGTCTCTCTTGTAAATATGCGGGCCCTCAGGCCAGACGCCGCCGGTGCCGTTCCAGAGGTAGTCAACCGGGCCAATCGACCCCGTCTTCAAATCGAGTGTGTACTGCTTAATCATCTGGTCCTCGGCAGACGTGACATAGACCTTCCCATCGTCATCCCAGAAGATATCCGGGTCGATGCCATGTACCGCGAATTCCAGCGGATCGCTCCACGCGGCGTCATCGTACGGATCAGACGAGGTAAAGAGCAAGCCCTTGGTCTGCGGACCCAGGTACGAGACGATCAAGTAGAATTTGCCCTCGTGATAGCGCAGAGTGGGCGCATAAATACCCGACTGCTGGCCATCCGTGACGCGAAGATCAGGGATCTGGCTGGGCCGATTGAAGATATTGCTTGCCAGTTTCCAGTTCTGCAGGTCGCGGCTTGCATAAAGAGGAAGACCGGGGAAGGCAATGAACGTGGATGTGACGCAGAAGAACGTGTCTTGCTCCGGTACGTAGGCACAGCTGGGATCCGAGTGCCAACCGGGGAAGAGAGGATTGGTATACGATTGAGTACGAGTGGGATAGGATAAGCTGGGAGCTGCCATTGCCAAGAGCAAACTGGCAGAGACCTTTGAAAGCAAACCCATAACGAGGAATATTGAGTATCAGTGACAATCCAGCTCCATTGCCCTGCATGGGTGACCTTCCTCTGCTGTTGGACCCTATTTATATACCCCAGACATACAAATGCGGGGAAACTGAGCTACAATCGCTCGTTTCCCACAACTGGCATAATGGCGAAGTTGATTGCATGGCAGGGTACGTTTGTGATGCAGCCTGCATTCCTTCAAAGCAGTCGATTCAGGCTAAATAGCCCATTATATGGGTAAACTCCTCCGGAATACCTCACGATTGGTGATCATGAATAAGATCTGCACTCGGTAGATAGACGTGCCGAACAGGCCGGTGATGCTACATCATAGTGAATCTGAGAAAGACTGATTGGAGGACTTTTCTCATGCCCAATAAATAAGTCCGAAAACTCATCATTCATTGATGACCATCAGCACAGACTCATAGGTGTCTTGTGAGGATAATGCGCCAAGGCAGTTAGCTCCGGCTAAAGAGCATAGAGACAAGAGTGACGGAAATATAGCGGATGGTTTAAATTGCGCAAAGAACGAAACTGACAAATGGAAAGTCGGATAGCTCACAAATTCTAATAGAAGTACACGATTGATCATGACAGATTGGTCTTCATAAACTCCGAAATATCCTTGACGGCCTGATTGACATATTTCTCGTTGTCATAAAAGTCCATATGGGCTGCATTCGGCACAATCACCTTCTTGGTGGCCCCTCCTATCTTCTTATCCAGGTTCTCCGTGTGCCAGAGAGAACCGGCCTTCTCACCCGCAATGAGGAGAGTGGGCTGCGTTAAGAACACATCCGCCAGATGGAATGCGTCAAAGGTGAGGGACACGCGGGAAACTTCGAAAGAGCATCTTGTTCTCGGCACGGGGGTGCTGCGCGCGTGGTGTAAGGTAGTAGTCGTGTGCTTCTCTGAGATCTGCCGGAGTCTTGTCGTCTGGTTGAGGCGGCACATACGGCGCAGCAGCCATCTCAGCGCCCTTGTTTTCGGCTGAAATTTGCTGCGCAGCCATCTTGAGGGACTCGACATGCTTAGAAGCAGGTTCTTCCCCGTACCAGCCTAGTCGTGCGGAATCGCCAATGTTGACCATACTGACTGTAGCGAGTGCTTTCAGACGGTAGTCTGCTTTCGCAGCTGCAACGGCGTAGCCTCCACCGGCACAAATGCCGAGGATACCGATCTTGTTGGCGTCAACATATTCCTGCTGCTCGAGGTAGTCGACAACGCTCCATACGTCGCTGACTCTTGCCGCTGGGTCCTCCAGGAAGTGAGGCTCGCCTCCGCTCTCGCCTTGGTGCGAGGCATCGTAGGAGACGGTGACGAAGCCCTCTTGAGCGAGCTTCTTTGCATAGAGACCGGCCGCCTGCTCTTTGACGCCACCGCCAGGATGTACTACCACAATTGCCGGGAACTTGGCGTTGGACGATGTTGCAGGCTTGTGCAGCAAGCCGGCGAGCTGAATTGGCCCTTTCGTGATCGAGATGGAAGACATGACGAAGGTCGGCTTGGAGCTGCAGAGTTGAATAGGATGTATGTTCCTGAGTGTTTTAGACCGAATCCCTGCAGTGATTCACTGCTTTATATATTGTCAATCCATGATGTCGAGTTATATTTGAAAATCCCGAATATTTTCGGATGCGGGCCAACATCTCGGGCTCGAATCCTCTGAGAATGGATAGTGACGACGTCAAAGCAGACGTCCAAAGCATATCGGTCTACATTTCGAACCGGAGATTGGAGATATAGACACTCTGATTACTGTAAGTCAGTTATGTCCGAGATGACTTGAGAATATGTTGCCTGAGTTGTTGAGTGACAGATCGGAATTGATCTTTCTGACCAGTTGACAGAGAGCGCTAATCACGTGCAAACAGTCCACTGGCCGACTCAAGTCAGTGAACTGCACCAGTCTCTGATCCATATCACCCCAGCAATATAATAGTAAAATGTCATTCGCGCGCCGAATCAATTTATCTTGTCAAAAAGTGCCCGCAGACCATCCCAAGCCCGTAAATGATGTGGTGTGGACCACATGGGTCTTTTTGGCGCGGATTCAGCACGACAGTGTCCCGTGGCGCAGTCTGCTATCAGTAGGATTATCTGAAGGTTGCGGGTTCGACCCCCGCCGGGAGTGGCACATTATTGTTGTTAGCTCCCGTGGCGCAATGGTAGCGCGTCAGACTTCTATGCTTGGGCCTGTCATCTTCTCTTCTTTTTGCCTTTGTTCCGAATTTTATATGTCCTGTTTCTCAGCAATAATACCATACTATCTACTACTTTTATTGCCGGCAGCGTTCCTGCAACCGAGGATCAATCGACTTCCCATAGTTTGATCCGCACGTGACCAACGCGCATCGGAAAATGCACCATCTCTGATGTTTCTATCCTCTTGACATCTCGCAGCAATATCATCGCGATATATTGCTTAGAAAAAATGATCCTATGGCGACGGCTGAGAATGGCAATCTTACGTTTTACCCGGCATTCTGCTTCAGGGCATCCCCGACCCATTTCACCTGGGTAAAAATGGCAGCGGCGGATGTGCATCGACTCAAGAGACGGCCGGGATTTGAAGGTATGCCAGCGTACTTGTCTAGATATTCATTACTTGTGCTTTTGGATGCTGCATTGTCGCGTTTGCTATTCTGCTTCTTTGTTTTGTGCACACAGTAGTCTATGTCAGTATTTGCTACTACGGTACTACCTGGTTGTCACCATCACGAATGGCTTAGCTACATACATATTACCCATACTATCTAGGCATGGCAGACTAGACGGAAAGTAGCAATCTAACGGACACCCAGGCCAAAACATCTTCTTCTACCTCAACCACCCCATCCGCTTCGTGTCCCTGGTGGGCATCATCGTCGCCAGAACAGACGTCTTCAAACGCACAATCCTCACACTAGACGACAGCAGCGGCGAGACCATCGAAATCGCCGTCCTGAAAGCCGAGCCCTCAGAGCTGGACTCCGCAGACAGGACTGCACACCGACAGCAACAGCCTCCGGAAAAGGCCACACGCCATGTCGCAGCAACCAACAGAACTGACCTGGACATATCACCCCTCGTCCCGGGGACCGTGGTGCAGGCCAAAGGCACGCTGACGATGTTCCGAGATACGATGCAGCTACAGCTAGAGCGCTTCTTTCTGATCCGGGACACGGCCGCCGAAATGCGGTTCGTGGATCAGCGCAGCCGGTACCTGGTTGAGGTGCTGACTGTCCCGTGGGAATTGACGGGGGAAGAGGTCGAGCGATTGCGGCTTGAGGCAGAGGCGGAGGAGGAGCAGGCTGAGGAAGAGCAGGAGCGAGCGCGTAGGAGGCATAGGAAGCGCGCGGAGCGTGAGGAAAAGGACCAGCGTCGGATTCAGAGAATGTGGGAACGTGAGGAGCAGTTTAGAGAGAAGGAGGCGGTTCTGTGCCAGGAAGCTGGGCGCAGGGCCATGCACGCTATTAAGCGCAAACGCGTCATGAATATAAGTAGTGAAATGTGAGAGTCAGTATTCCTATATAGAATGGGAGGTGTTTGTGACAGGGCACATGTACGCTTATGAGAAATGACGATTCAAGATTACCCGCACGTCCAGATAAACAAATTCATCAAGTCTTTTTTCAAGCCACAAACACAATATACAGACACAGAGTCCGAAATTCAATGCATATCAGCAGATCGTTACACGTAAGTCATGAGCTGCAAAGAATGAAAGCCAAAAACTAACACTATCATGTCATATCAAACAGAGGTATCTTAGAGGACTGGAGAACGCCGAGATAGTAATGAAGTCTGTCTTTGAACAAAGACAATCTGCCTCAAGTCCATCATTTGTAGGTATATGTCTTGTAATCGTACCCGCTACCGCTGCCACTGACTGGGCCACCACCCTGACCGCCGAGCAAGCCACGGTAGTATTCTTCCTCGTTAGCCCAGCTGCTTCGGGAAGGAAGATGGTCATGATATTTGCTCTTTTCGCGCTCCTTTTCCCTCTCCCGAACAGACTCGTACAGCCTCGGGTCATCACTCTCGCGGTACCGCCGACTATCTTCGATGATATCTCCAGGAAGAGTGGATGACGCGGTGTAGTAATCACTGCCAGAGAGGCCAGAATACCGAGATCCACCATTGTACGAGCCGGACAGCAGGTCACTCTCTGAATGTCTGTAGTCACCTCCTCCATGTCCACCTCGAGAAGAGCTCCGTGCCCGGCCATGTGTACTTATTGGACGCTGCGATCCGGAACTGCCCGCACGAGGGTACAGAGGGTCCTGGCCGTATGAATCATATGCTTTGCGGGAGACAGGAGGGACCGATCCCTCTTTGGAGCGAGAACCAGTGGAGAAGGAGTCCTTGTGTCGGTGGGAAGAGCCACCTGGCTCTTCATATACCTTCCCTCCTCCCGGCTGCACACTATATGGCTTCCTCTCACGCTCAATCGGTCGAGGCGGAACTTCTACCTCGTCGTCATCTATTATGGCTGAAGGCGACTGGTGCTGCTGCTGCTGCTGACGGCCTCGTTCTGTCACCGAAGGAGCTGTCTCAGCGGCCGATGCAGTTGAGCTTGTAGACATCTTGTGGCGGTGTGCGGCAACCTTCTTGAGCTCCTCCTCGGTGACTGGAGGCAAGTCGACACCACAATGCTTCGCGATGAATTTATCGAGCTCATCTCTAACGGTAAGATTCGGTGCCTCGGGGAATAGCCGGCGAGGAATCTCCTTTGGAAACCTTTCTCGTCTGTCATCTGGGTTGCTGATAGGCATGTTCAGGACTGCCTTCTGCAACCGTTCGTATTCTTTGTCGGGGTGCGCTTGAATCATCAAGGTAGCCCAGCGCTCGAAACCTCGGGGCGTCAAGCCTGGGATATCTGGCCGCTCGTTCAGTTTAGCCTGAACAAGATGATGTTCGGCTTCCACTTCACGGAACAACCTTGAGATTGAAGACGTGCGGTCATCGAAGATATCTAGAGATACTTGGATTAGATTTGAGTCCCAGATAGGACAGCATTACACTTACCTTGCCACGGGTAGAGGTCTGAAGCGATTTTCGTATCCTCGTAGAACTTCTGCAGCTTCTCGGGAACCACCACGATAGTGTTACCTGGAGGGTAGTCCTCGATCTTGCATACTGTCAGATTTGAATTCCTGTAAAAAAAGGCATCCATGCTTACCAGATGGACTGCTATGCCGCGCAAGAGCTGGCCTAGTCTCTTGGTTGGCTTGCCTTCTTCAAAGAGCTTGCCCCATATCTTCTCCAATGTTGTCATCTCAGTCACGGTTGTTTCCCTCGACGGTGGTTTTGGGCGTGCTTCCATTTTCTGGCCTTGATCGCTTGCCTGGCTATACGGCGACTCCCTTCTCTCGACGGGAGGTACGGGGGAAGGTCGTACACTAGATTGAGCGCTGCTCGGAAATGTACCGGGTTGGGAGTACTGCTGGTAGTCGGGAGTGTCGGAGACTGCAACCGGTTGCGACGAAGATGGCTTTGGTGGTACAGGAGGTGGCGATTCATACTCATTAAAATTGTAATTGGGAGCAGAGCTGGGAGGCGGAGGCGCCCACTGTGACGGCGTCGGACCGGATGGCGGCTGTGGCGATGGTTGCTGCGACTGAGGTGGATGCTGAGCTTGGACGTTATCCAGACCAGTTGCTTTGAGCTGTTGAATCACGGTCGCAGTGATTTGGGACAAGACTTCTGGCGATAGATAGGTGGGCGTGTCAACCTTGTGGAAAGCCGAGCTGACAGCCTCATTGATAGTTCCAGTGGATGGCTGCTGATACCAGGAGTATTGCTGAGGTGACTCCGTATATTGGCCTTGAGTTGACGACGGAGCCACCGGAGGCACTTGGGGCTGCGGCATGTTCAACCGATCAGGGCCGTACTGTGAAGGATAAGGAGGAGGGTAGGTCGAAGAACGATAACCACTGGACTCTGTTTGGCCTATATTGCCCGCCTGGTCGTACGGACTCGAGCTTCTCTGGAAGCCATCGTAAGCCATGCAGACTATCGCAGTCACACGGACTAGTTAGACACCGTCCACCCTCTGCAAGTGGCACAATTTTCACTAGGCCGGAGCTACACTCTGAGATGAAGGAAAGCGGGAGAATTCTGTTGCTGATACCAGTAGTGATGAAGCTCTTGATGTGGTATGCGCGGCGTGGGACGAAAAATTTGAGAAAGGTAAGGTATCTGCGCAGGTGACAATGAGATGAGGGGCGCAAGACGGAGGGGCTCAGAAAGTGTGGATCTTCGCTTTGAAACAGTACATGCGTCGTGTCAGGTCGCCAACAAGATGCTATTATGAAGGCAGTTCTGTAATATCTGCCCCCGCGCAATGGAAATTAAAAGAAAAAAGGAGATCATCGATGGAGACATGCAGCGACGTTGACTTGCGAGGCTAATCTCAGCCTCCACCACGGGGCCATACGTCACCGCCCCAGCGCCGCTGCAGAAGAGGGGGAGGGTCAACGAAAACACATATTAATTAGTGATCATCAGCTTTATGACTGTCGGTGTACATTTAATGTGTTTTTGACGAGGCTGCACTATTCCCTCGCTTGTTGCGAATGAGCTTGCGATACAGTCCAGAGAGCTAGAGGTCCTGCGAAGAGACGATGGAATACGGACATCATCAGCACTGCGTGCTAGATACTGTATGACAATCCACGAGCGCCCGGATCGCTGTTGGCAGATGGTGCAGAGCAGTCGATACAATTCCACAGTTCCAAACCGTGGATATCGCAAGCCAATTCTGGGTCTTGCGGGGAAACGGAGCAAGCCGTCTAGTACCATGGTTCAGCCTGCTGTGGCCATTGGGACATTGATCAAGAATAACGAAAGCGAAAGTCAACATTTATTTTCTTTTTCTAACTTAGCTTAATTGACTGACTGACTCTGGCCACATTTTAAGAATCGATCAGAGGTAATCTTCTAATCCTGCGTCGTCACCCACCTCATCGTCAGAGGGGACGGTGGCGCCAATGGGCTCCGGGACTCGCATTGTAGGCGCCTCGTGTTTCTCGAAACGTTTGCTCTTCTCGAATTCAGCAAATTGCTTTGCCATTGGCAAAATATGCGCTCGTTTTATGAGGGGCTTACCGGAACCTTGGCAAACTTGGAGTTGCCGGCCTTCTTAATAGGCTTGGTGACAGTAGAGTTGACGTCGACTCCCCAGGTCGCCCAACCGCCGTGAACGGACCGTGGGGAGACAGAGAGGGAGCCAGAGCGGCGGTGGGCCACTCCGTTAGAATCGAAAGCTGTAAAGGGTCGTCCTCCGCGCGCCCAGTTCTCCTTCCCATTGTGATCTTCAATGAGCGACACGCCGCCGATGCCCTGCTCACCACTACTGTCAACATGTTGGGCAGTGGGAGCCGCCTTCAATGTGAGTCTCTGTGTTGATGCAGTCAAGGAACGAGAGTCGACTTGTCCCTAAAATTGTGTTAGTACTAGGATGTATGCATTTGTGGAGCTTTTTGAAGACGGATCTGCGTGACTGACAGTTGTGTACGTATCGGGGGCAGTGGAAAGCTCACTCTCAGTCAAGAGTTTAGGCTCCTCGAGAACTGGTTCGGCATCGGTGTGGCTCTGCACGCAATTCATGCATCTCTGGGAAGAACCAGGTGTCAGCTAGATCCTTAGCTTATAAGAGAGACATGAGGTAGTAATCCTACCGCTGCGTCCCTGTCCTGTCTTTGAGCTTTGGCGAATTCATCAAGACTCTTGATCTTATCACAGATACAGCACTTGAGTTCAACAGTCTGATTTCCCGAGCAGATGCGGCATTTTGCGTTGTTCTTCGTCAAAGCGACATTCACACCGTGGCTCAGGATGGCATGACGAAGGGCTTCGAGTTGCCTATTGGAGTAGTTACTCGAGGACCGGATCTTGTTGCAGGTTCCACATTTGATCCTAATCTATGTTAAAATGAATGCGTGGATAAGGATGAACAAGCGACGGATAAATGACTGACTTCTCTGGTATGTTGACGCTCTGGAGCCTGCAGTTATCCTTGGATCAGTTCCTCGGTGTTATTGGGCAAAATTGTCTCCTCAGCTTCTCAGTGGTATAGGGAAGCGAGGATGCTGAATGGAACCTACCCTTTCTTGATCTCATCGCTGTAGCCTCCAGCATACGCATTTCGAAAGGTTGGAGGCATCTTGTCTTGAAGTAGTTCGAAGAGGAAGGTGGGGGATGGGAATCGTAAAGTGTCAGTGGTTCGAAGAGAGTAGAGACCGAGGCAAGCAGTTCAAATGAAGAGACATCGAGAAAAGACAGTTGGTGGTATAAATACTGCTCACCAACACTTCTGGACAGTTCCGTGCACTTCAGTCTTGGGCAATGAAGTGGTCTCTGGTGAATGGAACTCCAATGTAGTGAATAGAGGCGACGGTCATTCCAAGCTGTTGACTGGGAGATGATGCTAAAGGGCGGCTAGAGGGGTAGAAAGATAAATTCACAGCAAACAGAAGTAAAACATGATGCATCTTAGTGTCCGAGAAGAGGGTACGAAAAGAGAAGGTTCCATGGATTCTTTCTCTCAATGAGCAGCCACCTTACTGTGCAGAATAGAGAAGCACCTGATGAGTGGTTCCTTTTCATGATGAGATCAATAACTTTGTATTTGGGACAATCAATCTGTTTTGACTATCTGCCAGTATCCTTCATGGCATAGATGCACCAACAGTATGATTCTATTCCCTTGAATGCAAAAGTGAGGCAAGCGCAACTGATGGAAGAGCAGTCAACCCAGGCGCAATCAAACAAAGAATGGAACATCGACTAATATGACTTTGAGGTGAGGCAAAAGTCATTCAGTCGGAGCAAGCCAATTGATTTTGACAGTAAAGTCAACTTGTAATCAAAATGCTTAGGGAAACCTCATCAGAGCCTCTGGTGTTAGGAACTTAATTCTAAGAATGAATATTAGCTACAAAAGACCAAGTGAAGGCAGAAGGGAATATGAAGTGCCTATCTGAATATAAACAGCTCACAGGATAGTAGCTGAACTTCCTGGCCTCTAGCTGTGACATCCTTCAAACTACATCGCAGAATTCTCGGTTGGCTTCTGGTCGACTGATTTCCGATCTGCTCAGTAACCATTATTTGCAGGCTACAGAGGAGATCAGAAACTTCAAAGTGTGTGTACTAGAGGCGAGACATGACTGAGCCAAGGCATGGAACAGGTTGAAGGCAGTAAACGATTCATACTGAATTCTGTTTGAAGGCCAATCATAAATGGCTAGGTATCATGTTTATTTCCTCCAATCAACGTTTTACACAATCCATTAGGTGTACAACGCATTACCTACTACTTGTGCATGGCTGGAAACACCTGAGGTACTAGTCACTCCAATAATATCTGGGAGATGCATGCAAAGATTTGTTGTACGATGGGTCATGTAGGGTCTACCTAGGGACCAGGGAGATCCGAAATGCTGCGCAGTTGGGATCCGTCCGTTTGGGATGACAGCATCCAAACGTCGCCGGTTTGGCCTCTTGCTTGAAATGAGCAAGTCGTATCCCGCTGGTCACAGGAGCAACGAAGGATTGCTCAGGAGATTCGGATTCAAGGTTCGAGATTTCAGGACAATCTTGGTAAGGATATGTCTAGCGTCATTCCAGAAGCATGTCTATTTGACGACCCGTGTCTGGCAGGGGCTGCTCTGATGACCATCCGTAGTTGGTAGATGGCAGAGATGTGACAGTATCGGTTAGTCTCCTCCAACGGTTTAATAATAATTGGACTGCTAAGACGGGGACTCCCGCAAATGCAGCGAGCTTCTGCGAGGTCTCTCCTGTCTTCCAGGCAAAGGAGATGGAAAAGGATCCGTAACTTCCCCTGGAATCCTGGATAATCACCCGTCCTATCATCAAAATCCCTCATACGTAATAATTTCTGTCTCCTTAATCTAAATTCTTCTGGAAGGTCATAGATGCGCAACGGTTCAACGCTTAGATCATACCAAGTGTCACTAAAGGGGTGATAGTGGTCTGAAGATTCTCCATAATAGTTAGAGGTAGATGATGATGATGTTCTTGGCAAATAAGGAGTGTACCGGAAATCAGTTGTTGCGCATCACAGTGTCTCCAACTGTTTGACAATGCTGTGTAAGTGTGACTCTGTATTTTGAATTTCCTTTTTCTTTTTTCAAGTCAGGGACGGGTCGCGGATGAGGTGGCCCCACTACAGGATCCTCTTTGGCCCCTCTTTCCCCAGCGAACCTTTCACCGTTCACTTCACTAGTAGAATTACCGACCACTAAGAGACTAGAACAGTGGACAGTCTCTCGGATAGCTGGGACGGGCCTACAGCGAAGTGGGGATCCGCATTCCCCGAGCGACCCGGCGCAATCAGGAGACCCACGAAAACGAAAATCCGCTGACAAAATCCACTCGCCTCTTCCCGGCTGGACGGAACCATCAATCCTGGCCAATAATACTAGATAGGTCAGGCAGTTTTTATTTTTGAGCGAGGAGCCACTAAGAGCTGGTCTTTCAATAGCTGGTCTATTGCCACCCACCGAGGTCTAGCCCGTCTTTTGCTGGTCACGCACCTTTCCTTCTATGTCCGGGTGCCCAAGCCAAAGTCTGCCGCGTTTTCCTGTTTGTAACGGTATGGGAGTAAACGGGCTAGGGAGTAAACACTAAACACCCGCTAGTCAACACGCAGTAGATACTCCGGATAGTCGACCTTTTCGGAGTGTTTTTTCAGTCGATTCGTCTCTCCGATGTCCCGTCATTGTTTTTTCGCTTGTCGTAGACTCGTAGTGTACGGCATTGACTATCCCTAACAGTGCAAGGCCTGAATTGAGTGACAAGTCACCAAGCAATCGTATCTGATGCCAGGGAGAGCTCAAGACGGAAGAAAATGGACATAATAGGCTGGATAACAATGTGACCTGTTGTTCTCCCTAGGCTCCTAGCATAAGCACTTTGCCAAGGCAGTTGCATCTACTTCGCAGAGTACTCCATGCGGATTACACAGAACTCCATCTGAACCCTGATTTGAAGCTCATCCTCACAGGAGTTCGGAGTAGAAAGTACCTGAACGGAGTCTGTCTTCAGCTGATCAGTCTGATCTGCTCCCTGCTATGACAGGTCTCAAACTGTATTTGGAAGCAAAGAAATCAAAGCTGATCTCGAAATGCAGAATGATTAAGCATATCGTTTGTACGGAGTACATACTCAGCAGTCCGCACCATTCCATGGTCCATGGACGGGTCGGACGGGTGTCCCCCTGCCCCTTGTTAGGTTAAATTTGCACATGGCAACTCTGTTTAGATGAACTTTGTGGCAGTGGGTCAATAGCCCATTTAGGTGACACAGTGTCAACAGTCCAAGGAACTCGAGCAGTACTATGTATTACCCATCTCTGCAACAAGTAACTACCGTTCCCAACAGCGCTTGCATGTTGATTTCCACGGTGGTTACGCCGTAATCATAGAGTACTCTGTGCCTGCCTCTGTCCGCAAATGGTCGATGTGAAAATAAATAATTGTAGAACCAGGCGACAGTTCCTTTCGCTTGTTACCTATCTGATGCTAACAATCACAATCGGTAGTCACTATGATTCAAGACTATCTAGATCGTACTTTCGACGATGAACTGCATGGATCTACAATACAGGATAGGGTTGATCGTACACGGAAATATGCAATGCAACAGCGATGGACAGCATCAAGTTACTCGACCGTCTCAAAGCATGGATCATGAATGCAGGCCTCCTAATTGCCCATTTGTGAGAGGTGTCTTATGCAGGTCTTCAGCCTTACCTCTTGACTGATGATAATTGATTTTATTTACTTACCCCTCTGCCTTAGTATGGATACAATGCTCTGGTCAAGGACGACAGCCGCTGCCACATGAAAGGAACGGCGGATCATGTGGATCAATGCATTTTTATCAGATATGATATAGATATGCGCCGAGGTCGAAGCAGGGCGGTAGTATTGCTTTATTAATGGGTTTGAAGAGCATTTATCCAATATTTGAAGCGAAGATCCTCCCTTGCTATCATTTCTTGTATCACCGAGAACGCAGTAAGTACTTATGATTAATGATGCGGCCCTCCCCCTCCTCCTTACCTCCCAATGAATCGGTAGTTATCGGTCTGACAGTAAGAAGCATTATGTATCGGAGGACTCTGATTGTCTCATACCACGCTCATATCAGAATATACCTGAAGTAAAAGAATAAAAGCGAGCTCATGGCGCTGCTCATATTATGGGTGGTCAATGCTTGCTGTTGTGTATGGGATGTGTCCTCGGCATCCACAACGACCTAGGCTTTGTCATCTGATCAAGCTGGCTCTGCTTTGTGTAGACTGGAGAAAGGTCCAACCAAACCTCCTCCGTACTCCGTGTATCGAGTGTCGGCAGTCGCCAGTCCAACACAGAGTCATGAGATCATTAATAATCTGATAGTCTGGTTTCTGGTTTTCGAGATCACTTGCCACCTGTTGATCGTTGTGAATGGTGGCGGTCAACCGGCTGGCAGTCGCCTAAGCTACATGTCCAGCCACTGTCGGTAAGAGATGATAGGCAGAAGTCAGGACGTAGATACTCCATAACTGTAGCCGCGGGGAAATCAAGTGACGAAAATAAGAAATAGATAGATGGCTATGCACAAGATCCCCCAGCAGTCAGGCCTCTGTACACCTGCATGAACTATGGCTGATCTGATGATTTTACCTCTCTGTTAGGAAAATGTACTTCAAGCTATCTTACAGTGTATGAATACCCACTTTGTCCCAAATGAGCTACTGTAGTCTTAGTTAACGGTCAGACATGATTGTATGCAAGCAACTACTATTATTGTTTATGTTTTGCCGGACGAGTCCAAGCTTGATGACTACTACATACTATGACAGAAACCCAGACAAAAATCGAAGCAAGGAAGATAGCGCATTAACCTCCCGCACAATAATCCACTTCAGTCCTTAGAGGGTGGCGGACAGGAACCCCGAATGAGGTCAGTTGCACATACCATAGCAGCATCCCATACATACATGTCACATTATCCAGGTATTGATTTGTGAGCTCTGAGGTTTTTTGCGCTTTTGCATCAGCAGGATGAGATACTGAGTGGGATGATGATGATGAACACAAGGCGAGCAATGCAGCGAGTCAGCAGTCAGAACTCAATCATAGCCAATTGGCGATAATATAGGGCGAACCTTGAACGGAAAACGTGAGGCCCAACCCCTGGCCATTCTGACTAGGGCCCGTCTAACGATCGCTAGAGGCGGAGACCAAGTGGAACTTTATCAGGGCTGGACTCTGAAGCCCTCCAGGGCGACGTCGTGTTGGTGACTTGGTGACTGTTGATGACAATAAATAAGTTAATCCCAGTCTAAACTCCCAGGGCTCCTTGGCTCCGGATGGCTCGCCAGTTCGTTTCCTTGCTGCATTGACACCCAAACCCGGTGCGAACGAATTTTCTACCTAAATTCCGAGCTGGCCAATCTTCTACTGGCCGGCCTGATTTTAGTATCTAGTAGATATAATATGGATAAAGAAACGGTAAATGATTTTTCCATCCAGGAAGACATGAAGTCGAACAATTTGTAGGGGGATCTTCTTGTTGATATTTGATACCCCTCCTCAGGTAACCTTGAACAAGAGCTGACCTCATGTTCGAGAAACACTGAAGCACTGAGGTGCTGCGTAAAAAGCAGAATAATGGATCCATTTTGGTCTAAATCAACAGATATCATTCGATGAAAATATGGGCATTGAAAAAGTCACCCCACTCCTGGTGTAATTTCGCTGTAACATTATTAGTTGCAAAGTGTAAACATCCGTTGCTTTATTGCTGGAACAGACAAGACTCACTGTCTATTAAATAAGATTACTTCTTGCTTTCACGCTGTGGCAATGCAAACAAATGATGATTGATCAGTACTTTCAAGCAGCAATAAGTAGCCATTTTCTTTGTTTCATATGAGAGGACCTGAGTCCTCCGTCAGGTACTTTCAGGTCTTTGGGACTCTACTGGACAAGCTGTTTTATTTACTGAGAAATTTTCGTTGTTTACATGGCCTGTCAGTTGTCCATTCATCCCGAGGCTAATATGAGTGATTCCTAACTGGGGTCCCGTCTACGTAGCAAAGTATCTGCGTGTATTTGATGTTGGCTGTTGATTATTCCGGCTGCGTATGATGAAACTCCTTTTTTTATGAGTGGATCTCCATTTTTAACCATTCTTTTCTCGCTCAACACGGCCGCCTATCCCAGGCCAATATTGTCGGTAATAATTCGATGATTTTTTGACCATAACAAATAATAATATTCTAGACAGATCAAGGTTTGTCATTTTTTATTATTTTGGTTTGAGTGTCAAGGACACTGGGGGAACAGTACCCAGGTAAGTTGTACGGATGGTAACCAAGGTACGGGAACTCATCCCACTCCCAATAATAATACCAAATAATTATTCATTCCATCAACAACATGAATGCTGCTGCTTTACCCGTAGATAGTTTTATGATTATTATTATGGTCATGGATTGGGTGCTCTGCGCGTCTCTTAAGTCGCTAATAATCATCTATCTCCTTTCACCTTTTACACGCGCTTCCTATTATCATTATTATTCCCTGTAACCCCCAGCCCTCTTCTAAATCACATACTACACAGCAGTAGTAGTACATCTAGATCCTGACCTATAACCCCATCCGCTTCGTGTCTTACTTTCCATTGCTCCAAAGGAGAGAAAGAAGGACAAAAGCGCTCCAGTTATTTGTCCATGTCGTCAGCATCATCATTCCCCTCCATCCTGCTTCGATATAATTCTGCCTGCAGCTCTTATCATCGACATCAACATCAACATCCAACACCATTGTTACCATTACACTGAATACTGTGTTTTCATCACCAGAGTTTCTGTGATCTGCGCCATTGATCCCCCAAACTTGGTCCGTTGTCGACCGCTTCTTCAGTCCCCACGGCCCCATCCCGAACTCTCCTTAGTTCGTACGAAGTACGTATTTAGTATTTTGGAGGCTTTGGGAGCTAAGGTAGACTAGCAGAGCTGTCACCGTGTCAGGGGCTGCTTTCCTCTTCCTCTCTCACACAGTCACTCTCTATGCTCTCCCACAAGTCACAATAATAATCTCACAAAGTTACACTCCCTCAAAAAGTCGGTATCCAATATTCTTTCTTCCTCTCGTTTAGCAGTTCCCACCCAAACGGGTCCGGTGTTGTCACTACAGTGATCACGGTCCAATCCTCCGGGTCTTCCATCTTTCTTCCAGATCTCCCTCTCCTCCACCTTCGCTTGAGCTACTACATAGTACAAAGATACATGACCACCCCTTTCCTCCCCTCCTTCTCCCAATCGATCGTTTGTCCTGCATTCAATACATCTAACCAACCCCGCGCTCCCTTATCTCGACTTTCCTTGTTTTCCCTTCCTCATAATCAATGGGATTGAACCATCTACTCCTCCACTCCCTCAAGCTTACATCGCAGATGATGAACACCTGCTTGATTTGAACCCATCTCGTCCCCGAACTAAGGTCTATATCATTCCTCGGAACACTGTCATAGTGGGATACCGTGAATGACCCATAAAAACCTTGGACTCTCGCCATTGAACAAAGCCTGGCACAGTCATCAGTCCGTCATTTGATTCATCTGCTGGCAGACGATATCAACAGAGTCAGCATGACTGTCAGCTACGACTACCCAGCACGGGTTCCTGCTGCCACTTCAATGGCTACTCTCGAAGACAGATTCGAAGTCATAAAGGAGGTCGGTGATGGCAGCTTTGGCAGTGTCGCAGTTGCTCGTGTACGGACAGCCGGCTCCAATGTTGCCAGGAGAGGGACTATGGTAAGGAACCCTATTGCGAATGAGATCAGCCCCTCGGGGCATGGACCCGTACTGATATTCTGCTAGGTTGCAATCAAGACGATGAAGAAGACCTTCGACTCTTTGGCCCCTTGCCTAGAGCTGCGTGAGGTCATCTTCTTACGGACTCTACCCGCTCATCCCCACCTTGTCCCAGCCCTCGACATCTTCCTTGATCCACTCTCCCGGAAACTCCATATCTGCATGGAATACATGGATGGCAACCTCTACCAACTAATGAAGTCCCGAGACCATAAATACTTGGAGGGCAAACACGTGAAGAGCATTCTCTACCAAATCCTGTCAGGTCTGGACCACATCCATGCTCACCACTTCTTCCACCGTGACATCAAACCCGAGAATATCCTGGTATCGACATCTGCTCCGAACGACTCAGCCTTCAGCCGCTATTCAAATCTTGTCACTCCCCCTTCCACCCCTCCGACTTACACAGTGAAGATCGCCGATTTCGGCCTTGCACGCGAAACTCATTCGAAGTCGCCATACACGACATATGTCTCAACCAGGTGGTACCGCGCACCTGAGGTTCTCCTGCGTGCGGGAGAATACTCTGCGCCTGTAGATATGTGGGCTGTCGGTGCCATGGCAGTTGAAATCGCTACCCTGAAGCCGCTGTTCCCTGGTGGTAACGAGGTTGACCAGGTCTGGCGCATTTGTGAGATCATGGGCAGCCCTGGCAACTGGTACAGCAAGTCGGGCACCAAGCTGGGCGGTGGTGAGTGGAGGGAAGGCTCTCGTTTGGCTCAGAAGCTAGGGTTTACATTTCCAAAGGTACGGAAAGCAGTCATGTTAGTGGAATTCGGGAGAATTGCTAACGTGGATCGAACAGATGGCGCCTCATTCGATGGAAAGCATCCTGCAGCCTCCTCACTGGCCAGCATCTTTGAGCCATTTCGTGACCTGGTGCCTCATGTGGGACCCTAAGAACAGACCGACTTCCACGCAGGCATTGAACCACGAGTACTTCGCAGATGCTGTGGATCCCCTGCGGCCGAAATCTTCTACTTCACGGCTGCTTGGCCGCAAACAGTCGGACAGGAGCTTCAGATCACCAACTCCTCAATCCAGCGACTCCCCAAGCGTCTCATCAAAGCCATCGTGGTTCAGAAGATCGCTGATTGGAAGATCGGAAAGCCCAGCCCCAGCTTTAGAAACCGACCAGGCTGTCCGACCATCTGTTGTGTCGTACAACACTACCCCGATCTGCAAGCCACCAAGACCAGGCCTGCTGCTACTAAGCGCGCCACGTGGGCCAATGGGGCTCCTATGCCTATCCTCCCTTCAATCCGACCAGTCTCTCCCTTGTCTAATGCAGTTACAGCTCAGGCGAACTCGACTCTTGCTCATGGTGGGGATAATGCCCAGTCCGGTGCTGGAAGAGCAAGCAAGAAGATTGGCCGACAGCTTTCTCTGAACTCCCACGGTAACCACTATGCCGACATTCACAGGCAAGAGGCAGAGCGAGCCCTCAACGGAGCTGCGACTATGAACGCAACACTCAACCAGAAGGAGAGCTTCTTCTCTCACCTCCGCAAGAGGGCTCGCCGGCTCTCCGGTCGCAACCAGGCCAATTTGGCGACTGATGATATCGAAGCCAACGCTGGCTGTATGCCGTGGTCAAACCGTTCCTCGCTCGCTCTGGACTCTGTGAATGCGGGAGATGCGAAGCAGAATTCCGACCTGAACGAGTTGGATAGGGCTTTGCAGAGTGTCAAGTACTCGCTCGACTCGACCGCTCTCGGAAATGTCCCTGTCCAAATCACATCGACTGGGGACGTCAGCAAGCGGCAGTCCATGCCCCAGGGATCCATTCGGTCAATGACAGAGAGCCCAGTCTCAACCAGTGGTGCTCCCGCACCGATCTCGAGCCGGACGAGACGTGCGCTTCAGATGTCTTCTCACCCGGTTCACCGCTATGAGACCCCTGAGGAAGAGGACGAGCTCTTGGATGAGGTGTTGCATTCGGCAAGCAAGGCGGCTAAACGGTTGGCACAAAGCGAAACATTGTCGGATGCATCCTCCAACCACAGTCGCCAAGCTCTGGGAAACGACGGCTCCCGTCCCTTGCCCAGCCCTTATCCCACTCCATCACCGTCGGCAAAGTGTGACGGTATCTCGTTTGGTCAGCAAGACTCGACTCCATGCAGACGAGACGAGAAGATGGCCCATGCCAGTTCCAATCGTCAATGGCCGACCCCGCCTTACGAGGAACGGGACTGGATGAACACGACATCTTCCAATTTTCTGACAGAGTCGACATTCAAATGATTTCCTTGCAGAGGTCATTTTTTATACTCCCTTCTTTCCTCTCGCTTTTTGAAACTTGCATTTCCGGAAAATTAAAAGAAGAGAAAACGAGGTCATAATGCGCATTACCGGCTATCTCACCGAGCACGGCGTACTGGGTTTGGTGTCTACCCTGTTCACATTTTATCGGAGTTCTTCTATCTTCTTCTTGTTTTCCCTTCTGTTCGGCATATTGCGTGCTTTTATCACTTGGTTGGCATCGGTCTGCCCTGGGCTTGGTTGTTTTTCACTGGTTCTTTCCGTTCTCATACCCCCAAAGGCCTTTTATAGACGGCGGGCCTCGCAACTCGTTTTCGGCATATTTTGTTTGTCTTCTGATCTTTCCTTTGCTATTTAAATTTCGTGGCATCTGCTCCCTTTGCTCTGATATACCCTGATACCGAACGCGCGAGTCGCGAGATCTACCATCACTTCCTATATATACACATATCCTCTCATCAATCTTTGTCTCCTAGCATTCAGATCTTTCCTTTGTCCAACACTCTCTTTATCCCGTGTATATTCCATGGCATATAAATCGCCGCCTGTCATTCCTTTCTGTTGCGCCTGGGGGAGGTGTTACGACTCGTGTTGTCGAGCGAACCTTCCATTTTCTCCATTGTACAATGTTGTTCCGCCATTCGTCGAGTACGACGACGATAGTCGAAGGCCAAGATCCTGTAATATAGTACCCATTTATTCGGCTGCAAGCCCTACTTTATATATACATACTCACACCTAATGCAACAGATAATGAAATTTCTGTGCTCATATTGATCTTTCAGAAGGAGTAGCTGTGTAGAGCATATCCTCAGCGATATGGTAGACGAACTTGATGCCTATTTCCATGCAAATATTGAGACAAATAGAGAGAGGCATGGAGTACTCCGGGGCGGAACAACAATTATCCATACTTCTTCAGAATTTCCCGAAGCAGTACTTCAGATATCATGGCCCATCAATTTTTCTATTATTGTGTTGCATGAGACTTTCTGCGCCTAGTCCTCCTATGGATCTGTTTTATTGATATCCTTCTCGTAGCCGACAATTACCTTTGCGGCGCCACGGAAGCCATTGAAGGCCAGGATAGCTGAATCCCGATTGCGTCCTTCTGCAGACCGTGAGCTCGATACTCTTTTTACAGTCACTCAAGAAAAGCCAGACACCCAGTCCTCATCAAGTCGCTTGGATCAACAGTACTTGGTCTGTCCTTTTTGAAAATCCACAGCCCAGCATGTCGGCCCAACGACAAGCCTCATCTGCCTCACAGACCCCACACCTCTCACCAGCAGAACTTTCCTACCTCTATACCTCCCTTGCGCTTCCCGACAGTCCCATTCGACCAGATGGACGCTCACCCACACAGTTCCGACCGTTAACAGCAGAAACCGATATCCTCCCAGGCACCAATGGCAGCGCGCGGGTCGGATTCGCAGACGGCACGCAAGCCATCGTCGGAGTGAAAGCGGAGGTTGAGAAGACAGCCCTGGCGGCAGAGGCCCTGAAGGTCTCGCAGTTGTCATTGGGGGATGATTACACGGCCGATCAAGGCACGGACGGCAAGGAGGGCATGGGTGCAGCGGGCGGGCACGAATCGTGGGTGCAGATCTCCATTGAGATTCCTGGTTTTCGGGACGACGATGCCTTGCCTGTTTTCTTGTCGGAGATGATGCGGGAGCCGCTGATCGAGTCGGTATCGAGTGTGCAGGGAGGGGATGTGGGGATGGCTGGCGGTCTGAAGGGGAGGCTGGTCATTAACCGCCGCTGGCATTGGAGGTTGTATATTGATGTAAGGGACCTTTGCTGGACGGTGCATGTGGCCGTGGCCGTGCGTTTACCCGTTGCGTTGTCGTGCTGACCTTTGGTCTCTTCACTATAGGTTTTGCTGCTCTCGCAGCCTCTATCGTACCCTCTTCCTTTACTCTCTCTGACGACGCACCTGGCGCTTTTGTCGACGAGACTGCCCAAACTGAAATCCAAGGGCGAAGAGGACCCGTTCTTCGACGATGATTGGAACGTGGCCGAATATCTCTACCCTCGCCAGAGTTCTGGGAAAGCTGCTACACCATCACCTTGGCAATTTGTTCGACCTCCAGTGACGCTACTGGTCATCTCCGTGGCCGATAACATCATCTTCGATCCCAGCAGGGAGGAGATTGCCGTTGCAGATACCGTCTTGGCCCTTTCGGTCAGCCGCGACGGGGAGACTGGTAGTCTGAAATTACTCTCTATTAGGACGATTGACCCTCCATCCCGTCTGACACAGCCAGCCGTGCCGAACTCGGAGAATGTCGCTACGATAGGATCTTTCGCTGCTGCAGAGGATGCTGCTATTTTGAGCCCTTCGACCGGCGAGGAGGAAGTTCCTGGAGTCTGGAGACCTCGACGTGGTGGGGTTAAAAGAAGTACGATCGCGCGCATGGTGAAAGCGGTGCTGGAGAAGGGCGGTGTTGGTGAGGATGTATTAGAGGGACTGGAGGGAGTTTCCGTCGGTTGAGTCGGTCATGCAGTGTCAATTGAAGACAAGCTCTACGAAGCTGCCCTCTACGGGCTCAATGTGTATCAGCTGTCTGATTCACACAAGCGGCCGGGCTCATTCGCTGCAGGTAAAGCGAAAACAGATGGGCCTGCTGTGTGGGAGAAAGGGGTCTGGCGCTTCAAATAAGGACTGATATGCCAGGTCTATGCCGGTTCTCTGGATGCGAAACAGACATGATGACCAGAAGATATATCCTGACATGTACACATAGAACAATGCATGGGTAGACACAACGTCAAAAGCAAGCATCATAGCAATCTAATATACAGCGCTGATCCGGGTTCCTAACCCACCAAACTCATTCTCCATCCGCCCGGCAACAGTCTACCAGATACCAAGCCACTTCTTGGCAGGCCTCTTCTTCCCTTCCCAGTCAACGTATTCTTCCGCGCCAACCGCAGGAGCATCGACCGCGACCGGCGACTGATCATCGACCACCTCCGCAGTCTGTCGCTCAGTCTTCTCATCCGGCTCTTCTAACCCATGCGCAATCCGATACTGCCGCCTCTTCTCCGCATCCTCGACCCGCTTGAGCCGCTTCTCTCTCGTCTCCATCGAGTTATGCTGCACATGCATGCGGAAGACGGTAAGCGCCTGTCCGATCGTGTCGATCGGGTGAGTCAAGAGCGCAGACCACGGCGGCAGCAAGTGCGCATACGGCGAGGAGTGCTTGAAGTTCGTGGTGAAGGTGAATGTAGCCAGCGAGGTAAGGACGCCCTAAACATGCCACAGCATCAGCCATTGTCGCCATTGTCTCCAACCAACGTAAGGTAAGGGGAAAAACCAACCATAGCAATCCATATATGAATCCACCGGCTCGTCAGAAACTTGTACATGATTGTCCCCTCGGGCGGAAACATATTCGGGTACTCCCTGGTCTTCTGCTCCTCCTTCTCCTTCTCCGAGAGTCGTGGGCCGGGGTAGTTGATCGGTCCGCTGACTACCCTGCCATTGCGGGTCGGCACCACCCGGCGCGCGGGGTGCGAGGGAGGTCGGAACTTGTCTGGTTTGGCGAGCACGCGCGGTTTGCTGCCGTCGTCTGATGAGGCGCAACGGCGCGAGGAGGGGACTGTGGTTGCGAGGGTGCTCGGGTTGCGGCGGCGGGTTAGGGCGTGCAAGGTTCGGGAGGAAGGTATCCCGCGAGGGAGGAGGAATTGGGGGATTGTTATGGGTGCCATTGTATATGGCAGGCGTAAGTAGAGGGTTTTAAAGGAGGGTATGTTGTGGAGAGGCGCATATACTCCGTGTTTTGGTGCCTCTTGTCCGCTACATTTCCGACTATTTTTTTCCGTCGGCGATGTTGATATAATATCACGTGATTACATAGAACATGGCCGTAATTCCTGCCTCATGCCATGACATTGCTATCTGACGCTGCGACACGGATAGATTTACGTTTAAGGTCAGGTAGACATAGACTTACAGAAAAGTCTACTACAGTCGGCATGTATCGATCCATGTTGCCCTGGATGTGTTAAGTCTGAATAGAAGCGGCCTTTAGTTCTCAAAGGCCGGTCAGTGTATCCCTTGACGCCTCAGATTTCAGGCCATCAACGTATCGGACCACCAAAGCCGGCGGAGCGGAATTATTTCGCTGAAAGAAATTAGGTCGGCGACTGATCTGGCAGCAAATGACGACGCTGCCATTTCCAACCCTAAGGGGACTGGTTCCGGCTGCTGCAGTGATGCAGAACCGGTATGTTGACCTCGCGCAACTCATGGAAGTGCCCTTATCTACGTTGAGACCCAAGAAATATGTTGAGCGCATGTCATGTGTACCATAATCGCATGCGTATGTGTGTTTAGTTTTTCTCTCTATGCTGACTGGAATGGGACTTAAGGCGACTTATGCATACTTCGAGAAGCCAAGTCTGAGCCTGCGATGAGATCATTGTCTACGTGATGTTGGCGATTGCCATTGAGAAGGCAAATGGCAATGGGAAGGAATATGAATGTTGGATATGGATTTCGATACAGTTGTCGACTCGTCTGCATCCAGATTAAGGAACACAATTGCCTAGAATAGGTATCCAGATCCTCTATCCGTACTTCCGTAGATGGGCTTTAGTAAAGTGATGCCATTGATGTAAGGCAGAGACAAAAATCCACACCGGGCATTTCCCAGTGTGTGACTGTGTCCCGACAGCGCCCGTTTTCCGTTGAATCATCATGCATCTGATTGGCGGATGTTCAGATCACGGGAGTTGCCGGGGCAAGGCCGGCCGCATCAATCTACAAATTCCGCCCGCAAGTTTTTCTCCCTGCCAGCTTGCTCCGTTTCTCCCCCAATTGATTCTCCAGACTTTTTTGGATTCCTCTGTATTCCAATTCACCTTGTACAAACACATTTTCAATCTCATAATCTTCATTCATATCTACCTGTACATTCAAAATGGGCAAGGACGAAGGTTTCGCTCCTGGTAAGCATACCTCATTGTTCCCTTTTCTCGCAGTTTCCTCGTTTCGCTCTCTTCAGGACCCGCCATCATTCACTGCGATTGCGGCGTCCTCTCGTGTGTTCGCTTCAGAAGACGTCCAGTGAATGATGGCTGGATCTTGGGGAGGAGAAGCGTGTTCCTACTTCCCAGAACAACGTCTACTCTGGTAGCAAGGATCAGCTGGTATCGCATTCCTTGCATCTCTGTCGCTACGCTTCAAACGTCTCTCAAACCGGGGTCTACCATTTCCACGAGCACGCCGGAAGCAGAATGACGAGCTTCGATACCTTCTGTCTCCTCACTACCATTGACATGCGCGAAGCCGAACTTGAAGCGGCGGAAAAGGCCAAGCAGATGGCTAACATTATCGCGACTCCAGGTGACGTTAAGAAGGGTGCCAAGCTCTTCCAGGTGAGTACAGAACAACGGCCATAGTATCTACTAGGATAGCGACTAAGATGCTCGCTCTAGACCCGTTGCGCTCAGTGCCACACTGTCGAGGCTGGCGGTCCCCACAAGGTCGGCCCCAATCTCCACGGTCTCTTCGGCCGTAAGACCGGTTCCGCCGACGGCTACGCCTACACCGACGCCAACAAGCAGGCCGGTGTTACCTGGGACGAGAACACTCTGGTATGTATCATTATTTCCACACTTGCTCGATGTGAGTCATGCTAATGCGCCTCTGCAGTTCTCTTACCTTGAGAACCCCAAGAAGTTCATCCCCGGTACCAAGATGGCCTTCGGTGGTCTGAAGAAGGCCAAGGAAAGGAACGACCTGATCACGTATGTTCTTTTGTCGAAGACTCACTCTGCCATGGTTGGCATTGCAGGCGCTAACTGTTTCTCCCCTACAGCTACCTCAAGGAGAACTGCTAAACATGTTCATCCTGAAAAGTCACTTGTCTCTTCAACCTTGTCTGGGAAACGTTGTCGCGCCGATCCTCCTGTGGTAAAAGCAGATGCACGGCAGTTCGACGGACAGGGCATGTACTATACTACAACCTTGTTTAAACGCAATAGACCTGATATTTTCTGTGTGCTGGAACATGGCGGATATCATAGAGTCCTAGCGTGGGGAATTGTCCATTATCCTTTTTCCGATGGTTATGTCTTTGCTTCGGATTTTGTGTACCATGACCGACCATAATGAATTAAGAGATCTCCTCTCATGATGACCCTGCTTCTTGCTGTGTGTTCTACCTCAGACTGTCGGCCCACATGCGTCATCGCTCGTCACGTGTTGGTGTAGGTGCCTGCTGACAAGGTGGATTCCTGCCTTGCTGCCTGAAGGAAGTTACTCGTCCTATCTTCTGACTCTTGTCTTCCCCCAGCCTGTTGATGATTCGTGGATATTGACACCAAGTTTCAGGTATACTCTTAGCTCCAGCGACATCGAGTGGAGTCGAGTCGGTCGTCTTCCAAGCTCGTCCTGCTGTTCGCCCGTCTACGGTTTGCGACTCTCCTCGCCAATACAACAGCCATCTGCTGGACGATCCCTGCAGCCATCGTTCAGTCGTTGTTCCCTGATTGGCCCGGTACGCAGGCCACGCTGTTCGTCTGGTCTAGCTCTGAGGATGTCCTGCTAGGTACATCCACTCATGCGGTGGACTCTAGACCGAAACGTTCATGAGTGATACCTACTGTATGATGTTGCTAGACTGGAGACTACGACGGCCCTGTACGGTACAGTACAGCTGGAACCATGGCACATGACCCTCGACTGGCCGACTTGATTGGTCCAGCCACCGTCTGCGCCCCCTCATACTCGTGATGATCCAATCAGCACGAAGCTCAACTGGCTCCTCCCCCCCTCCCTTTGGGTATGGTACCTAAGGTACCCGTACGGAGTTACCAGTGCAGTTACCAAGCAGCTTATCTGCCTTGATAAACTCGGGTACATCAGCCCAGGAGCAGCAGCATATCTGAGATCGGATTCCCCCTCTTGTAACATATCTAGGGTAGACCGCGATCAAAAGGTCTTGCAGACATACATTCCATACCAGAGATTCATCCATTCTTGTTGGCTGAAGTCCATCAGCGCGTCTTCACGTCTACTTACTAACTAACGTGCGTGCTTCTACATCTTACAGACAGAAGTTCCCGGGGAATGTGCTGGTCCGTTTGATGCAAGCGCCTCCTGTTTGTATGTACCTCCCGGGCCACCTACAGTCAGTACTTTGTCCCAGGCATCGACACGGCCAGTGAGTGACTTGTCGCTCTACAGTTAGTCAGAAATAGCCATTCGGGTTTCGGGTCCTCAGGCATCAAGGCTCCCCCCCTCCTCCACTGGAAACCTCGCGCAGCGCATTCCCATGTCTTGCATCTTCCCATTGCTGCTTCTTGCATTCGACTTGCTAAACTCTTTACTTCTTATCCGAACTTCTGATTCTTTGCCTCGTCGTTTATTTCCGACAGCACATAGATCAGACCTCACTGGATCTTAGCGCGCTTGCGACTAACCCCTCCTTCAAGCTGTCTACCAATCCATCGCTGTCTCAGAGCTGCACCTCGAGTGGTCGCTTTGACAGCGCACTGACTGAAGTGGCTTTACAACTTCGCTTTAGATTGTGCGCAACGCCGTCCATCATGCTGGACGAGCTGGATAATGTGTTTGACGACCATCCGTCGCTGGATGCGTCGCTAGAGGACTTTGAGAACAACAGCAATGCGCATCGCTCTCCCGTATTCGGCCTCCCCTCACAGCATTCCGGGTTTCGCTCAGAGGAGTCGGAAGGTGAGGAAGAGGATACCACTCCGAACGGTGAGCGCTGGTCGCCTCCGGGCTTTCGCAGATATGATTACGTTCAAGGTAGCGGGTGGTATCGCCATCAACCCTATCTGCGCAAAGGCGAGAACGATCGGCCGGTGCTGAAGCCGACCGTGGGAGTGAGCCCGTCGCTGTCGCGCGAGGCTAGCCCACAGTACGAAGATGCGATCGAGACCCCATCGGTGAAGAAACGCAGCGAGTCGGCCGACACGGGGGATGAGACCATCGCTGCCAATGTACCGTTACCTTCGGATACGCCACTTAAGGGACGGTCCCCGAGTCCTGCTCCGGCGCTCAAGGCAAGCCCCGCGGACGAGGGATTGGACTTTGGGCCGGAGAATAACTTGAGCAATTGTAGGCTCTATCTTGGTTTGCACCCTTGACCAGCAAGCTGGCGCGGGATACTAATAGGTGGACGTTTTCTCAAGATATCCGGTTTGCTGTGCGCGCAGAAGTCCAGCATCGCGAACCATTTGTCGCATTCTTTAGTTACTTGCGATCCAAGTTCGACAGAATCACTAGTTCCAAATCCAACACCACACTGTCCATTCTAATTGCGCTTCTGTCCATCGCATTCATGCGCGCATTGTTCTTACCTAGTCTCCCTCAATCGATTCCGGATCTGGTGAAATTGTCAAGCTTTGCGCGATCGTTTGAGCCTCTCATATACTACTCGGAGAATGGAGTACAGCAGATTGGAACGTTGCAGGAGACCGGGGTTGCTGTCTGGGATCTGAGTGAATCCGTCCGCGGCACCAATATGACCAGCGCGCCGATCATTGTGCGCCAACTAGATGAACTGTCCGAGTCGCTGAAAACATTGTCGCTGGAGCTAACGCGCTTTTTCGCCAACGTCGACTCCGACGTTGACTCCATTCTGATAGTCATGGACTGGGCAAAAAGAGAGCTGGAGACTTTATCGTCGCAACCTCCAAGTTCTCTGCCGTCCATTGTCCTCGACAATGTGCATGATCTCTTATCACGGCTGGGTACGCTGGAGCGGACAGACGCTCCAAATGGTGAGGCAAGTAGCAGCGAGCTGACAACCACCCCAACCACATTTGGTCTCGTCGTGACGGCCGTGTTGGGTCAGACTTCCGCGCAGCGCACACGGGCCACTCTAACGCGAACCTTCACGGAGTTCCTATCAGTGCTTGAAGAGTCGATCAATAGTGAATTGACCCATTCAACTGCGCTATTTGCCCTCTTTGAATCCATAGATCGACAATTTCTCAATCTGCAGCGTACCGTTGTGCGCGAGTCGGACGCGCAAGAACGTGCCGAAGGCGAAATGCTGAGCTCCCTGTGGACCCGAGTCCTCGGCCCTGACGCCGCTATGGTTCGCAAGTATGAGAAGAACAAGCGCCTGTTGGCCAATGTGCGCAGCCGAACTGTCGCCAACAAGCATCTCCTGATGGATCACCGCGGCCGTCTTCTGACGCTCAAGGTGAACTTGGAGACTCTGCGACGAAAGCTGGTCAGCCCACTTGTCCGGCGGAACGACTCTGTCAGCTTCGTCGGCGCTGTCGAGGGAGGCAGCGGCCGCAGTCACGGACGGATGCTCGGGCCAGTCGAAGCGGTCATCGAAGGCCAGATCCGCGGGCTGGAGGGTACCTACGAGTACCTCCGCTCCGTCCGAGAAAAGCAAAAGGCTAAACTCATGGAAATGGTATATGGAGCTGGGCGCAAAATCCCATCACCTTCCATGTTACCAGACAGATCGGACGATCTAGGGTCAGATACCATCGAAGGGGTCTGAACGCCGCCAGAGGAGGGTTGCAAGGGGTTACTATTACCCCTGTTCACACATACATGTTACGTCTGTTGTTCTCCTCTCCTCCTTTGGTTTAGTCGTTTAGTCATCACGGCGTTTTTCATCCCCTCGCTGCAGGCAATTCGCTCGGCGTTCTCGGTCGATTACTACCTAGACATCGGGCGTCATCATGGTATCTGGTCTGGTCTGGGTTGGCTTCCGTCCACGAGTTTATCGGACTCGTCTCTTCTTTTTTTTTACTCTCTCCCATTTCCCGGCGAAACTGAGGTCAAAAGCAGAATAGACGAGTGGTCTTTTTTGTTTTCCTTTTTTGTGGCTTGTTGGATATGGAAAGGGCTGGTGTTCTGTGATCCCGTTCTTTCAGGATACATACAGCAGGTAAGGAAGGAAGGTGCAAGATGGCGCTTATATTGGTTTTTGGCTTTTTTTGTGCGGACTTCTATATCGAGATGCACTCTTTCATTCCTAGCATAGGGTCTAGCATGTACGTGGCATTTACAACTCAATCTAAATCTACAAGATAACTCCAATCACTTTGAGGCCTTCATGTTCGCGGTCTAGATGATATTTCCGAGATTTCATTTTCGCAGCAAGATGTACAAGAACTGTTTAAGAATCCAAAAGAAGATCCCACCAGTCAAAGAGAAAAGATGAATATTGAATGGAAGAGAATCCCATTGAAATTGCGCCCCGTAAAACCAGACAAAACACCATAGAACTCCGTTTCGGATGCTTGAGTAGGCCACAGAGAGGTCTCGCTTTCTTCGCCCGCCGCCCCCCCACCCCCGGCCTCAATCACTTTTCATGTTCATTTTCAGTTTAGTTTTAGTCTCGACCCGGGAAGATTAAAAGGAGGACTACAGCCTAGAAGCCGTACCCACCGCCGCCGTACGGCGTCGCACCGTAGGGAGTTGCCGCGCTGGCTCCCCAGGCACTCGTGCCGCCGTTGGCGTATGCCGTGAACCCGCCGTCCATGCCCTCTGGCGGCTCGTAGGCGTCGGGACTGCGCACACCCATCATATCCTCGTCTTCGGGGAGGCCGTTGCGACCGCCGTTGCCGGCGCCGGAGAGGGAGGAGATGACGGTGGCGAGTTTGCGTTGGAGGACGATGATGCCCTGCTGGATGATCATGTCCGGGTCGAGATTGCCGATGCTTTCGACGTCGATGTAGAAGTTGTTTGGTTGAGCGTCGTAGTCGAACGGTTGGTCAGGGGGAGCGGCGTGTTCCCAGGCGGCGTTTGCGGAGACGGGCCTGGGTGAACTATTAGCGACTGCTTTTGCAGCGTAGCACTGAAGAAATGCAGAAGAGAACGAAAAGTAGAACATACCATTCCTTAATGGGATCCTCCTCGTACCAGTAATCCACATGCCGGAGGTTATTGTGCGGGTCATACTCGAACCCAACCGCCGCAGTGGGCGCCCACTTCGCATGCTCCTTGGCTATCCCCTTCTTCGCAACACAGCTCATCTTGAGCTCCTGCCCCCGCCGCAGCTTACAGATCAGAGGGCCCTTCCCCTCCGGATCCGTGATAACGGGGTTCCCCACCCACTCGTTGGCGCGCTCGCCGCTGACGACCAGATCCCGCGCATAGACGGGCATGATCTCGTCGCCTGTGCAACGCGCGTGCAGTGTGAGCGTAACGCTGCAGCGCGCGCAGTGGTCCTCGCATTCGCAGTCGCGCGTGTACTCAACGTCCTGGTCGCAGTTTTTCGAGTTGAGGGGGATGAGGCCCAGTCTGTGGGCGAGGAATTCGTCGGGGAGTACAGAGGTGTTCTTTTCGACTTCGACCAGGTCGATGGCCATCGTTGGGACTTCGGCGAGGATGACTCGGCGAAGGGAGTTGGCGAAGGCGAGATCGACGGAGCTGAGTTTGAAATCGACGCGGTATGGCTCGGCCTGGGGAAAGCCCATCAGCAATGTCCTCTCTTGAAGAGCTGTTTGATTCAGCATTCTTCAGAGACAGCTCAAACACACCTCTCTCACGGTCACCTGGGGCCCAGTGGGCTCAATATCCATCTCATAATCCATTTTGGCGATAAAGACACACTGCTGTTGGTCGCCACCCTTGTTTCTCCGTAGTCGAATACTATACTCGACTCATGCGATTCTGACGAACCACAGTCTGGCCCTGCAACTGTGGCTTTAAAAAGGCTCTAATGGAAAAAGACTTTGTTCAGTGGTTGTTGGTGACAGCAGGGAGCGCTGGGTTTGGCTTTGACCGAATGCACTTCCGCCTTTTGGCGCTTTGCCTAATTAGGCATTATAAGCAGCAGTCTGGTAAGCAGTCAACCAACTAGTTACATGATACATTCACTCACTATCATAGTCCTTGCATTCTATGCTGTCAATCAAGAAATCCGAACGCAGAGTAAGTTCCTGAGAGAGACTAGACACCAGGGGGCTAACCCAACTCGTGAATTCTGCGAGATTTCCAAGCTATAATACATAGAAGCCAAAGGTACAGGAAGCCTGCTATGGGTGTACTGTGTGCCATTAATATTACAGGTTGATCCAGGTTGCTAATTTTGCGGTATTCATTCAAGATCCATAATTGCAGGAGCAAGGCCAAATAGCATTAGTTTCAGCAAAATCAATGCGTCACTGTGTCGATAGCTGATCCAGTAGACATCACCAATCCCAGTGCAATAGAGATCCTGACTGTGGCCTCTTCCCCTAACTTTCGCTGAACGACCAGGATTAGGCCAGATAGGTAGGTTGGTATCAAGTAGCCCACCGACAAAGTTTCCACAAAGGACTTGTATACAATCCCAAGTCAAGTCCCAGGTAACAACAACAGCAACAGCAACAGCAACAGAAATTTGCTTTTTTCGTCCGTCCGCAACAGCACTATCAAGCTGTGCGTCTAACCTTCTATACTGACGAACCGTCGAAGATTCTATAGTGATGAGCACGTAGAAACCGGGTTATGCACAAAGCCATCAAGCCGCCCGCTTGTGCCAAGCAACAAGATACAAAGACTCAGAACTCCGAGGCTGTGAGACCGACCATGACAGGTAAAAAATCCCCGAGTGACACAGATGCAAGCAGAAAACCAAGACAACGAGTCGAATTCTTTGAGTGGAAAATCGTATCAGTTCGTAACAAGATCAAAACGCTGACAAGCAGCGATTGATCATCTCTTTCCGGTTCACCTGGCGGTGGTGAGAAAAGACAGAACTCCTCTGCTATCTTTTCAGAGAACTGCGATTCAAAGCCTCCAAGAGTTCAGGACGGCTCGCAAGAGCGGCGGCGGCTTGTGCATAGGTAACCCATTGCCGTTTCCGCTTGTGCATCTCTGGCCACTGGTCTTCTTCGCGATCGACCGTCACTTCGAAAAACTGGTACGAGGCCTTGGGGGCACTCGACGTCAGAACGGAGGACGGGCGCATGTCTGGGATCAACCCCAGATCCTTGTGGACCGTGCAAATAACACCGGCCTCTTCCCAAGCCTCTCTGCAAGCGGCTTGTTGCGCAAGTGCCTCATCTGTCTCCCATCCTCCTTTGGGGAGGACCCAACCACCACTTCCTACGGACTGAATCATGAGCACCCGCGTTTTGTCATGAGAAAGCGGGACGACACCCGCCACGAGCCTTTCGCCTTTAGAGCCGTAGCCTAAGGATTCCAGATATGTTAGCTTCTTGTTGGGGGGAAGTCGTTGATGACGACATTTCTGAGCTCCGGCATGAACGACGTCCGCAGGCCTCTAGGGTCGGTAGACTCACGTTGGTTTTTCCGCCCTACACGGGACTCCATTGAGCGAGATTGTTCCGCCATTTTCGACATTTTGATATATATATATATATATATATATATCTACACGCGTCTTTGTGAAAACGCTTGTAGAGGGATCGGAAGGGAAAGGAATTGAGCGCTCGTCAACGACAGCTGACGCCGTGATATTCAGGCTCCAGAAGGTAAAAGAATGGTAAAGGCAACAAAGGGGAAAAAAGCTATGGGTTTCGGCTAGAGCTTTGGAGCTGCTCAATTCCAAAATGACCGGAGGATTTCAAACAAGAGCCCTGGCCTCAGTAAAGAGCCGTTTAGGGGAGGAAAGCAGTGTATTCCCAAGACCGTCGACCTTGCCTTCTTTCTTTTTGGAGAAGAGGCGGTCGAGGGAAATTTTTTGGGGGGACTGAGAAGAATTTTGCGGAGATGGAAGAGAGGAACTAGGTATTCCCGTTCACTCCCGTAGCGGACGGGAACCTCAAAGAAGATGTGAAGGTGACAATAGACATCATTCAGGAGAAGTAAGTATAGAATAGAGAGGAGGATAAAAGAGGAAATGGGAGAGAGTGTGAGAGGAGCGGAGGGGGGAGGGTCTCAGAGGCAGCTTGGTATAATGGCGGCGCGGTCCGGCAGGAAGTACGGAGACCCCTACCTAGGTAAGGTAGGGTATTGTGGTACGTCCTGGTAAGGTACTGACTTACAGTCAGGTGCTAGCTAAGGTAGGTACTGTCCAAGTGGTAAATACTTATAATAATACCATCTGGTATTGACGGACTTACCATAGTACTACCGTAAGGTACGATTCTTTAGAGGCCCTAGGCCCGTGGTTTGGTGACAACACCATCTCTAATCTAGCCCCGGAGGGTGCTCTCCCAGAGCGGAAATGTACAGTTCCAGTTCGGCGTCGTATGCAGGTCATCCCATTTGCGGTGTCGATGTGTGAATGGCGGTATGATACGGAACCGTAATACAATAACGACCCAAGTAAGTTTCGTTTCCCGTCATCAAGTACTGAGGTCCAGGGCTTTCTCTATTTTGCCCTCTACGCAGGGTGATACTTTAGTTGTGTACAGCAACTCCAGTGAGTAACATAGAGGAGCAGAGGCGCCTCTACACTATATATGTCCAATTCTTCTCACCTGCGATGCTGCATGTACTCTGTTGTTTGCTACGTGGGTATGAGACACAGGTACCGACTAGGGCAGAGATAGGATTTTACCTATGGATAAAATTGTCTAGCTTAACTCTCGAGTGCAAATTAAAATAGAATAAAATGTAGAATAAATGGAATAAACGGCCGAAGATATTCTGCAAACCTCTGAATAATATCCCATAATTTGTCTACTTTAACTAGTTTAAGGCTCTGTCTTTGTCTCACCAGGCAGCCGACGACCACCGTCATATACGGAGGATGAGAGAAGCATATGGCGGGAATGTACCATCCACTTTTCGAAAGGACTGAGAGAGCGACTTGATTCTATTCGAAATGAAGCGTCTAAACTTAGAAGATATCTACAAAGAGAGATTGAATAATATTGAATGGTCTGTTCGCATGCATAATTTCTGCATTCTTGTGTCGGAGAAGACCCGAACTAAATCAGTTTAACTCCGCCATCGTCTTGCCTCTACTGCTCTTAGTCGTCCCTGTTACCTCGTTTAATTTACATTAATGCCATTTGCCCTTCGTACCTATGGATCCAACTTATTATTATGCTTCGAACCAAGGCTGTAGACTAGATTGGGTACCAGAAAGCAGGAGCACACTTGCATACATTAGCCACTCAAAACGACGATCCAAGCATCGGATGCGGGGCACAGCAAACCAGTCTGGTCCAAGAGATCCCGATCATCAAGAATGACATTTTAGCATGCTGAAGGGAACTCTTAAGTAGAGGTCAACAAGTCACATTCACATCTTCATGATGGCTTCAGAGAAACTCCTATTCTCGTGGATTACTGATACAATACAAGGGATATACTGGATGTCTAAAGTATATCTTGCTGCATAACCCCCGCAAACGTGATTCGCATGTACCACCTAGCTTGGTGGGGAGTTCTGTACACTTTTCTGCAGTGGCTGGTTGAGCTGTAAACTTGTAATGTGTAAGAGCCAAAAGTCTAGGGATGTGCTTAGATCTGTAGGCCATCAATGGTCCAGAGGCTTGAGGATCGCTGTATTAGCAACTGGAGTTGGATGCGACAACGCAGCAAAGATCTGAAGTCAGTGCAGATCCTTAATCTCTCTGAGATCCTAGCAGGCTAGCACAGACAAATGACGGTGGTCATAATGCGTGGACGTTGGGGATCGCACGTGATGTTACTTGCTATGAATATGCATGTAGACGTAGTAATGCATTGAGTGGCACTCGTGAATCAAGCATCAAGGGTATGGGTATACTGCTGTTCAGAATTGTCCTTTACACTCAAAAAGACTATTCAATTAGCGTCATGAGTTCTCACACCCATCGTGGCAGTCCATAAAGACCCCTTCAGATAATGAAGATTGACACTTGGCCAACTTCCAACTCGAGACATGGGAAAAGGTTAACTAGGTTGTGGTACCTTACCTATTAATCAGCTCCAGGTACTCTGTACAGTGACCATAATTACGACCGTTTTTGCGATACGGGTATGTATATATTGTAAGTGTGACATACACTGGCTGACCATACAATACAGGAACATGGAAGACATGGAAGCTTCTCCCTTTCGGCCGTCAGGTACCATGAAGCTCTAAACGTCTGTTGTGGAATGATGGAACAGGATCGGAGGGATGGAAAAGCGCAAAATCTAATATGTTCACATTTTGTAGCCAGGTGCTACATAACCGATGCAAGGACAAATTCTTGCTTGCCATGATCCCGGAACCAGAGACACCTATAGCGGCGAAAATAACATCAGGTACAGTCAAAGTCACCTTTAAGCCTCCTGCACCACATTCAAGAAACTAGTAGAAATAACAAGGATAATTTGGTCCTTACATCTGCAGCATCAGGGCTTTAGCCTCTTCTAGACGCATCATGAACGCTCTTGGGCTGGACGGTACTTGCATGGGTTGCTTCTTCATCCTGCCGCCAGTCAAAATGTCATCCCAAAGTCATGCTTGGCAAACCAACAAGCAGTCGGATTCTGAGCTCTGCATCTCGAATACCTCTTTATAGAGCACATATCTACGTATCAGGCTGGGTAACTCAAGTACCTTATTCTTCATGACATTGCTTGCGAGTAAAGTGGTCTTGAGGATGGATACCTAAGGCTGCTTCATTGAGGCTCCATTCCGGTATTAAATTATACCAAGTTGACTGGCCGTACAGTAGTGAGCAATCTATTTTTCTCTATTCTACTAGACAACAACAACGACAACGGGACAACAACTCATCATCTCAGCCCGTTCTCCATTCTATGGTCAACCATCATCGTCGGATCCAAGTACAGCGTGAACAGCTCATCGTTGTTAGTCCCTCCTCGTGGCTCTCTTTTTGCCGACTCCGATCTCCAATACTCATTAGTTCTTCTCCTCCCGCCTTGAGCGCTGGCAATAATATAATTGATCCGCTACTTCCATCAACATCTTTTCTCTGAACGATCCGATTGAACTATTATTCGGCCTACATATCGCCTCAACATGGAAGAAGACGACTCCGTGGAGACTCTGGATCCCATCGTTGACGCCGAACGCGCGAGGCAGCTGTCACTCTTCCGACCTCTAGGTAAGGAGCCAGTCAGAGTAGTGTGCCTTTCCCCGTGCCCCCATCACTGGTCGTGATCTATCCGCTTCATCTTGCCCTGCCCCTCCCTCGATGGTTCCTATTGTATCTGCCCTCATCCGCCGCGCCATTACTCTGTGTGTGTGTGTGTTCTTGGCTTCCATATTCTAGCCTTCTGAAGCTTTGGATCTGGATAATTTTCCTGGTTGAGCACACACCGCTTGGAGTGCTTTGCTTTTGCTCCTCCACTTCATGCTTACTATGACTGTCCGTATGACTAACAATATTCGCATACAGGATACCAGCGCAACTCATGTGGTTACTGCAAATCTGATAATGGAAGTGAGTGTGTCTTTTTGGTCACCTGCCCCACTTCCTCCCATCTGCCATCATTCTCTTAGCCCTGCTTCGATGCCTTGGCTGATCAGTCTATGCAGGTGCTGCCTACTACACTAGTTCTGTTTCAGTACGCCCGGAACATTACGATATCCTCGTCAATCGCGGCTGGAGAAGGTTGTACTCGCTCATCTGCATGCAGTCAACATGCAATCACCTTCACAACGCATTGCTAACCTTCGTCTAGATCTGGAACGCTCTACTATAAGCAGAATCTGCCAAGGTCATGTTGTCCGCACTATACGATAAGGTGCATACCCCGTCCTTTTCGCTAGCTTTGTGACAGTGGACGCTGGGACTGAAATTGATCCAAACTCTAGACTTGAAGCATCCGCTTTCAAACCGCGAAAGGATCAACGTCAGGCTGTCAACCGCTGGAACAAATTCGTTCTGGGTCCGGAATACATCCGTAGGGCAGCCTATTTGTGCCCCAAAACAAGGGAGTGAGTATTCGTAGTTTTCTATGAAACGGTGCCGGTAACATGGACGCATAAACTTACACTTTATTCTCTGCTCAGAGAAAAGAAACATCGAAAATGCCATTTCGATCTGCTTACTGCGGTTCATGAGGCCGAGTACAGCAACATCAAGCGGCCCATTGATCCGAAGACGAAGAAGCTACTTGAGCCAGCCCATCGATTTGAGGTCAACATAGAGGGAGACTCTATTTCTCAGGCAAAGTCAGTGTAAACGGGACCCTGGTATCATTTCGTAGGCTAACCTGGTCCCAGGTTCGATCTTTTCGTCAAATATCAAACGAAAATCCACAAAGAAGATGTATCCAAATGGAAACAGAAGGATTTCAAGCGTTTTCTGTGCTCAGGCATCAAAAGGTCGCCCGCAGAGGCTAAGTCTGCGGAACAAAAATTAGGGTCATGGCACCAATGTTACCGGCTTGACGGGAAGCTCATAGCGGTTGCTGTTTTGGACTTGGTGCCAAGCGGTGTGAGCTCTGTCTACATCTTGTGAGTTTAACTCCGTGGCCAGTCTCTGAGCTTGTAGCTAAGTAATCTAGCTATGATCCGGATTATGAACAGTGGGAGTTTGGTAAGCTCAGCGCCATGAGGGAGATTGCTCTAGCGCTGGAGGGGTCTTACCAATACTACTATATGGGTAGGTCACTCTGGTCTTCTGTGTAGAGCGAAAAGTGTACGATGATTGATGACTTCCAGGGTACTACATCCACACATGTCAGAAGATGCGCTACAAAGGCGCGTTTCGACCACAATACGTCCTCGGTAAGGATGACATCGGGCCCAATAACAACGAAATGCTAATTCGATCCCAGATCCCGAGAGCTACACCTGGGACCCGCTTGACGGGGAGCTCACCAAGAAGCTGGACGAGCGTCCCTACGTGTCTCTATCCCGCGACAGACGATTGGCTGCGCAAGGCCAGCCAGAGTCTACGGAGGCCGAATCGGCGGAGGAAGAGATCAATGACGAGGAGATGTCTCTGTTTGACCTGCACATGCCCGGAGTCATGACTCTCGATGAGGTAAAGACGCTGGATCTGGACCACTCGCTTCTCCTCGTGCAGGGCTCGCTTGTACAAATGATGGTAAGACTCTCCCATTGCCGGCGCATCCAACCTCACTTGCTAACATGGCTGGACTCCAGGATCTTGTAGGCTGGGAACGGATGCCTATCGATAATCCCCAATCCGTCAAGGGCATCATCGCCGAACTCGCCGCTGTGTTGGGTAAGGAAGTTTTCAAAGATTGTGCGGTGGTCCTGTTCGATTAAATAGCGCCTGGATTTATATTTACCGTGAGACATGCGCGCTTTCTAGTCTCCAAGGTATTACTACTAGGATAATCTACGTTGAAAGGAGCAATGCAGTGGTTTTGGACCAATCCGTATGTAATGACACTATGTATACTAGCTCAGAGTCTCGTGTCAGAGTAAAGCATATAGAGCAAAGTGCGGTTCATGAACAATGCATGTTGAAATCAAATCCCGACCGAGACGCCTTCCATGATGATACAGTCACTGAAACCCGAAATGCTGCCATAGCAACACAAAAAATACCCCCATGCATGCCAATATCATTATCAGGAAACAAAGACACCCAAATGCATCGAGAGAAAAGACCGACGAAAAGCAATCAATGCATCAACTCAACCGGAGGCCGCGCCGTCTTCGGCGGCAACTTTTTAACCGACACGTCGATCGGACTCATCATCTCGACATCCTCGTCGTCGGCCTCGACAGTCGTATCCTCGACCATCACGGCCGGTAAACCGAGACTACCACCATGATCCTCGGGGTTGTAGATCAGCGTACTACTCCGACTCCGCTGCCCCGACATGGCGACGGGCCAGCTCCCCGTCCGCTTCTCGTCGGACATCGACATGGGCGTCCCGGGGTCCACAGGGCCAGAGACAGGAGCAGATTGTTCCGTCTTGAGCTGCGCAAGCGCCTGGGCGAGATCACTGGCGTGGACCTCCTTGTTGGGCGGCTCCTCGGTGCGCATGACCCAGCCGTGTGGGGACTCGGGGGCGGACTGATGAAGAACAGCTTGTCGAGGTGCGGGGCCTCGAGCAGTTTGGGGCGGCCCCCGTCGAGGAGCGGGGTGGGTTCGCCGAAGTAGATCTTTGTGCGGACTTTGCGGTTGAGTAGGGACTGGCCGTCGAGGAGCTTGCGGACGCGGAGGGCGTCGTCTTCTGAGTGGAAGGAGCAGACGATGCGGCGCATGGAGGGGAGCGGGGAGAAGGAGTTTAGGGGGGCGATGGACTCGATTAGGGAGCGGATGGAGGCGAGGGAGGCCGGTTGGAAGAGGTAGAGGTCGTGCAGGTCGGTTATCAGGAGGGTGTTTGAGGGGGAGTTGGCTGTGAGAGAGGAGGGAGATTGGAGAGGTCGAGCGAGAGAGCTGGGCGCGATGACGAGGAGGAGTTGGAGGCGCGGTGGGCGCGGAATGAAGGCGACTGAGGGAGAGAGTGTGGTGGTGATGTTGTTGTGATATCCGCCATGATTGTTTAGGTTCCGTTGTTTTCTGCAACTGAATTGGTTGATGCAGAGGTGCGAGGATGTTGAGGTTTGAGTTGTTTAGATGCAGGAGATGGCAAGATGGATAAGCAACTTTTGTATATGACTGATGGTTGCCACCGAGTTAAGGCCGCAAATGGCGACTGATGGAGGGTTTCAGGGGAGAGAAAACCTTGATCGGGAGGAAACTTAATAATGAGATTGTTCTTTCTTTTGAAGTTGATGAGGAATGGCAAAATACTACTCAACGTTCCGTTCCCAGCCTTTTTAAAAGAGAAACGGGTCAAACCCCCCCAAGAGTTGCTGTGAGGCGCAGCCAGACACACATGAGTATATCGCCATGGCCTTCGGATGCGGCCTCCCCTGGGCTCCGCTATGGGGGCTTTGACTTGCCTCGTTCGTCGTAATCACAGAGACAATAATTCTAGACTAGGGATCTACCGCATATCTACCTTGCTTTGATTTTTCTTTTTTGGTTCCTGAAGATCCATCCAGCATTACTGTCGTATAGACATCCACTTCCTATTTGGGTGAATTTCTCGCTGGTTCGATCGGTGCGGCTTTTGCCACGCCAATAATTAATTCCACAAGTGGACTTCTCCGTGTGGCTTGTACTTCCTTTGCTCAGCGTTGCCTAGTATCTACACTGGCAGAGAGAGATCGTGAATGTAACGATTGCCACTAGTTACTTCAGAGTATTCGTCGACTTATCCGTACTGTTGTATCAAATCGGCTGAATGTTTCCGATGCCTATGGGAAGGTTACAACCCATTGCCCAAGCTGGCAGGTTCTCACTTGACTACAACCAACATTCACGGTAATCATATCATTTGACATTCCAGCCTTTGCCATTATTAAAGAGTTTATGAATTCGAATTCGGAATTATGAGTACCTTTCTCCTGACCAGATCATTAGGCGGGTCTTCTCCGCGTTGCTTCAATGGTGATTTCTGGGACAGGACGGAGTATCTGGGTCTGCTCCGCTGCTCCGCCCCTTCAGTGGATGTGGATAATTGAAAACACAGCAGTATGCCAGTAACTGCCCAGCGGTCGATAGTTCTTCGCTCATGTGGCTTTGACAGATGGATCGACAGATGCACATATCTCTGATCAATTTGGCTTGATGCAGACTTGATAGGACGCAAGTGGCTGGTCACACTCTCCTAGATACCTCTTCCTCCCATAGCCCCGGAGTCTCATGGTTACTTGGCACGATGGACATTCCTCTTGGAGAACGGTCATGATCATGCCGAGGAACTTTAATTTCACTATCTGATCGGACATGGCCCAATATCTGCTCTTGATGATGTCTTTTGGAATGTCGTCAGTCACCTGGACCATCCTTAGAGTATGTATCTGAGAAGCTCAGCCCTCGTCACCAAGGCTCAACATCTTAACCAGGCCCGCAATGCCTTCGCGTCTTCCATTACAATGATTCTTACTCTCAAAATCAAATGAATGAATTCGTCTGCCTACTTTCACCAAAAAGCAGTGCTGCTTGGCTGACGCCGATTTTGGCTTAGTCCGGACCTGTGTCTTCGGGACAGCGGAAGTTGTATGGCATAGCCACGACTACAAGAGTATAGACTGCGGAATGCGGACTACTGGCCGCAAAGGATGCAGCTTGGTTCTAATATTTCCACTTCGGGCTCCGCACACTCACTTCTTGGACAAACGCCTTGCTAAACTCAAAGAAGCACAAAAGTCGCATGCAATACTGCCTGGTTGGACAGCATCATCTAAAGCGTCTGGACAGCTCTGAATCGATCCGCAGTGGCACGTTTTGTCGCCTCAATGTGCGGAGCATAGACCTCAAAGGCATGAGGTAGGCCAGGGTATACGTGTAGTTCTACACTGATGTTGGCGGATGCTATTCTGGCCGCGTAGGCAATATCTTCATCTCGAAAGATATCCAGTTCCCCGACATCAATGTACGTGGGCGGCAGGCCTTGCACGCTCACTGCGCGCGCGGGCGCAGCATACTGTGAGACATTGTCCTTGCCAATGTCGGTCCCAAGAAGCGCAGTCCAGGCAGTGATGTTATCATTACAGTCCCACAGCGCGAAACGTTCCAGTTCGGGATTGGGCACCGTGTTCCGGTCATCCAGCATGGGATAAATGAGGATCTGCTTGGCGATCGGAGGCGCCAATCCTCGATCGCGGGCCATGAGGGTAATTCCCGCCGCCAGCAGTCCCCCTGCGCTCTCGCCCATCGTGGCTATGCGGCTGCGGTCCACGGAAAACTCCTCCGCATGTTCGTACAGCCAGGTGAGTCCAGCGTAGCAATCCTCTACTGGCGTCGGATGAGGGTTCTCAGGCGCCAATCGGTAGTCTACCGAGAATACCTGAATCCCAGTCTGTTGGACTTGGATGGAAAGAGGCTTGACGAACAGGGCGACATCGCCTTGTATAGTACCGCCTCCATGGGTGTGTAGCACGGCTGGACCAGCAGCTGCTGGAGTCGAGGTCTTCTTGAAGAACCGATGTACTTGGATGGTATGCCCGTCGTACGATTTCACTGGGTAAAAGCTATGTTCCACGTCGGGTGCCGAAGGCAACTTCTCAAACATCGCTTCGTAGTTGGCCGTAATATTACTTCTCCGAGTTGCAACATTGTGAACAGCAGGTTTCGGGCCTGATCTAGTCGAGAAGAACTCGGCTGTGGCCTTGTGGTATTCCGGATCGTAGCTAAGAGGCATTTCGGCAGCGCTTGTTTTTGGGTAGGCTCAATTGACAGCACTTCTGCTTCAGTCGCATTGAGGGGTCTGCGATTATAAAGCATTGATCGAGGCATTGTGGGGTATTTCCAAGGGGGATATTCATGATCGACCAACAAGAAGCCATGACAAGTTCCGAAAACGTATCGAAAAGGGTATGGATAATCCTCTTCATAGGGTTGGGATACCAAAGTTGTCTGATGCTGGCCATCACCCCGCGTAGCTATCCGGTAGTCATTGTCTTAATCTCACTACAATTGGCAGCTGTTGTAAGTCCTCCTGTGGTTGTCGCTTTCTGCGAGACTGGCTCTGCAAGGATATGCAGCTACAATGCTGAAGCCATGTGCTTGACTTGAAAGAGCCAGGCTGAGATCTTTGTGATTAGCCACATAGCATAAACAGCATCATCATCATCCTCTAGATGTACAATATTCAGTAACAAGCATGCACATAACAATGACCATCATCATTATTATTGATGATGACCATCAGAGGCATCTCTTCTCTCCATCGGCCCGAAGATCCCCTACCGTGACCCAAAACAGTAAGCGGTCAGGTGATGCCATGTCTGTAGCTTCGAAAGTTCTGTTTTTCTGTCGGGAAAAGAACTGGCTCTACCACAGCTTCACCCTGCTTGCATTTTCCCCCTTTCAGAGCTCCATATTCCTTCTTCATCTATAAAATATCCCTCAACTCCATCATGTTTCAAAGAACTTTCCTCAGACAGGCCCAGGCCGCCAAGTCCGTTCTCTCTCTCCGCGCCACATCTACCACACCCTCAGTCATCCGCCGCACATCACAGTTGCAACCACAGCTGCAGTCTGTTCGGCCGTTTGTTCGTCAGCCCACTTACCGCTTCTACTCGACAGAGAACCAAACTCAGAACGCTGAGAAGACCGAGGCCAAGGAGAATGGAGCTGCTGAGGAATCCTCAGAGGAGAGCCTCCGCAAGGAACTGGAGGCAAAGCAGAAGGAAATCGTTGATCTGAAGGTATTAACCACTATTTATGTTTGATGGAACATTCGCTGTTGCGATGAAAGCCAGCCCGTTCGCAGGTGCTGATTAGCGTACAGGACAAATACATGCGTTCTGTTGCAGACTTCCTCAACCTGCAAGAACGCACCAAGCGTGAGATGGAGAATGCCCGCAATTTCGCCATTCAGCGGTTCGCCGTCGACCTGCTCGAGAGCATTGACAACTTCGACCGGGCTCTCCTTGCTGTTCCCGCGGAGAAGCTCGATGCCGAAGTGACCGAGTCCAACAAGGAGCTGATGGACCTCGTGTCCGGCCTGCGGATGACCCAGAACATCCTGCTGAACACTCTGAAGAAGCACGGTCTGGAGAGATTCGATCCCTCTGAGCCGACTGAGGACGGCAAGCCCCAGAAGTTCGACCCCAACGTCCATGAGGCCACATTCATGACCAAGGTCGAGGGTAAAGAGGATGGCGAGATCATCCACACACAGACCACGGGCTTCAAGCTCAATGGCAGAGTTTTGAGAGTAAGTCATTCTTCAATTGATCAGATTTATCCCGAGATCTAACGAGTGTCTCCACAGGCTGCCAAGGTCGGTGTCGTCAAGAACAACTAGACTTGAATCGTCACGACATCCTGCATGCCTGACTCGCCTGGCTGCGTTTACGCCCCACCTACCGTCTCTCTTCTTCTCACATCTTTTCCTTGTACAATATACGACATGTCTTTCTCGTCATGATGGGGTAATGCATTCATCGTCCTTCGATAAGGGCATAAGCTATTTTGTTTAGGATTTTCTTCATGCGACTGGAGGCGTCCGGGTTGTCTTCCCGTCGTATGGGCTCTTGTTTTTGGTTGTTTCACAAATCTCTCCTCCTTATTGTATACTACTCACAGTCAGCGGCATGTTTTCCGCTTTCATACACCCTGAGAAAGGGCAATGTCGTCTTTGGAAGTCTGGCTTTGGAATGTGGATGACCATATCTGCACGGGCTTGATATATCTCGCCCTGGTAATACGGGCGGGTGACCTAGAAGAAAATGGAAAATCTAATGACCAAGATGAGACTCGGTATCATTTTGTTAAAGAGTAATATACAATATGTATGGACCTTGAAGACGTAGAAATTCTATAATACAGAGTGATGTTTGATTTCTCGTGACTGTTATTACCGCAACTCGACACCCAACTGGCCGACGAGTTTTTCGCGTAGTTTCTCATGAAGGCCATTCGTCTCTTCGTTGGTCAGGGTGCGCTCCAGACTCCTGTAGTTGATGCGGTAGCACATGCTCTTCCTGCCCGTCTTGGGATGGGTGAATTCATCGATGAGCCGGACATCCTCGACGAGATCCCCCGCCACGCCACGGACGATCTCCATGATATCGTTCTCGTGGACCGGCACGGCACCACCCGCCGCGCTGCCCCCGCTCACGGCCGCGGACGGCAGCCAGAACGCCACATCCTTGTAGCAGGCGGGGTGCTTGGAGAAGGGCTCGAAGCGGGTGATCTGGCCGGCCTTGAACTGCGAGAGGAAGCGCTCGTCGCGGGACCAGAATAGCCGGATGTCGGGGATGTTGAAGAGGAGCATGGCGATGCGCTCGAGGCCCAGCCCGAAGGCCCAGCCGATGCGGTCCGGCACGTCCGAGTTGATGAGCAGGTCTTGCTTGATGACGCCGCAGCCCAGGATCTCGAGCCAGTCGCCTTGCCAGAAGACCTCGAGTTCCCAGGACGGGCTGGTGAAGGGGAAGTAGGCCTCCACCCAGCGGACCTTGAGAGGTTCGGCTTGTGCGGTTGCGTCTGCAGCGGCGGTGGCCTTGCGGGCCTCGGTGAAGATCTTGACGACCATGCGCTCGAGCGAGCGCTTGAGGTGCGCCGCGACGGCCTCGACTTCCTCGGCGGTGTGGTGCTCGGCCTGGAGCGGGTTGCGCTCGGCGTGGACGGTTGGATTGGGGTCCTCGACGGGGACGCCGTGCGCGGGTATGCGGTTCACGTCTTCTATGATGGCTGCGGCGGTGCGCGCGGCGTGCTTGAGCGGGTCCGTGGCCGGGCGCTTCCACAGCATGGCGCCCTCCATCTGGTGGAAGACGGGGTAGTGGCTGCGGTCGATCGCATCGCGCCGGTACACGTCCGCGACCACCGTGTACCCTACCTCCTCCGGGCGGGTGGCCTCGTTGCGGTTGATCTGTTGGAAGTACGCCTGTTGGTGGGCGCTGGTGTGTGTCCGGAGCACGGTCTTGTCGTTGATGTAGTATGTGTCTGTCCGGCTGCGGCCCGGGTGGTCCGGCGCGAACCCCAGGACATCGAAGTTCTGCGCGACTGATACCACGGGGTTCTTCTCCGAGTAGTTACCGTACACCGGGCCGGGGAATTGGCTTTCGATCAGTTTGCGAGTGATTGCGAGAGGGTGGTTCTCGTCGACGTAGAGCCGACGTCCGACGTGAGACAGTATTGTGTCTGGGGTGTTGGTCCATTGGTCTGTACGGTAGGTCTGGCCTTCAATGGTCAATGACTGCGAAGGTGATGGACGAGCCGTAACTTTCTGCTTTGTCTCTGGCTTTTCTTCAGTCTTCCGGTTCGCGGTCGAGCTCAGATTTCTCGTAACGGTGACGGTGAGAGGCTCGACGAGATGCGAGGTCGATATCCGAGGGCTCCTCCGAGGGGTCACGACGGACCATCTGCCACTGCTGGCCCGTAGCACTCTGCCGGTCGCCAACAAACGCATGGCTTTTAGTTAGTGTCCGATGGATCACTAGCGGACGACTGTGATATGATAGCAGTCGGGTGCGGAGATTGAAGCTGGAAATCAACAATTCGGGCCGGGGAAAAGAGTCGCCGGTGTTTATACATTTGGCAGTGCTTCGCTTTTGGCCTGCGATTATTCTTCATTATTCGTAGAGGATGGCTCGGAGTAAAATTACAAATGCCATGTTGAATGTATTCGAATGATTATATGTTCTCCGAAATCGGTCATCTCATCAACCTTGGCTGATATATGTCGTCCGGGTCAATAATATATAGTTCGCATAAAGCAAGTTATGGTCAAACTGCCTGAAAGTTGTGGTAACTGTGCCTAAAGATGAATAATTTCAAGTCATCGCTACCTCGCGATACATCATATCGGTTCTCAAGGTATATTTGACCCCTCGAAATACTGGGTCCCCAGCATGAAGCAAGTGGTACTGCTGAAAGACCAATGCTGACCCTGTCTTAGGAAACACTCGAACTATACCATCTCCCTCCCCATAACTTGCACTGAAGGATGTTGCTCCTCCCAGGAGCTTGCCCTCGGGATCCATATTGACGCTGCCCTCAGGATCTGTCTCCGCCTTCTTACTCACGTGCTTCAACTCTTCCAGGTCCTGCTCTCCATCGCCGCTCAGATACAGATGCAGAGTATAAAACGACTCCTCCTCCTCATCCGGTGTGATGTAGTTTGAATCCCAATGAGGTCGAAAGTATTCGCCACCCTCGTATTTTAGGAACCGCAGTTTCTCATTCAGCCGCGAGAGCCTGTATGCTTTGCCTACTCCTTCAAGACCAGTCACAAGCGGCTGATTGCGGATGTGATCAACCCCTTCTTCCTTCAGAAATGGCATCAGGCGAGCGAGCAGCTTGTCCGCCAACTCAGGGGTATCGGCAAGGATTCTCCCACACTTGCGGTGGACTGTAGCAAGTATCTGGCCCCCGCCTCCGGTGTTAATCATCGCGCGATCCCATGTTGGAGTGCCAGAAGTATCCTTGACAGTTGAGGCTTCTGCAATGCGAAGCAACTCTTTGCATTCTTCTTCCGTCAGGAGGTTGTCGATGACGACAGCATTATAATCCTTGTACTGAGGGATAGGCGGATCTGTATTGAGATAATTGATACGCCGAACAGTGGCATTGGACGGCGCCTGGGGAGGCAGAAAATCTTCAGCTACGCTGGACGACCCCATAGTGGTTCAATGGCGGGCTTATAACTTGTTAGACTTGTCGACTGCGGACGGGAATTGTCGCTCACCTTCAGTCATCTACAATGGTTTTGTCAAGAGAAAGTATGGCAGCCTTCTGGCTTTGATGGCTGCGGTGTTTTAAAAGGTTTAGGTACCAGGGCCTTATGTACTGCAGCCTGAACCCAAGAGCCTTGCGATTGAGCATTGGATGTCATGCTGGGTTCTCCTCACTAGGCTACCTGAGTTGGCTGATGCGTTATTGGTCGCTGAGATGCAGTAGCTGCAATCCGTGGTCGTCCAGGATCACACCAGATCGTTGTAGATAGGACCTCAGCAGTAATGTGTCTCTACCTTATCGAAGAGGGAGATATGTTCCATTTCATCGAATCTGCCCGTACCTATTTCCTGGGCCGACGGAGTATGGTTCTGATATAACTCGGGGTTTGCTCGGATCACTCAACGCACGAATTTCACAGATATTATGTACTTTTGGTTCTCAAGCTGCAATGAATAAATGTAAGAGGCGCTTTACACTTAATTACCATGCCCATGACAGTTTTGACATTGTAGAATCAAAGTCAATCATCGCATGCGATGAAAGTACAGTACTTGTGATGTAGCCCCATACGTCAGATATAGATCATGATACGCCAGTTGGTGGTCACTGCCCTTATGCGAGGTTCTATATTACAACAGCACTTTTACCAGGACTTTAGATTCCTAGGGCATTCTACGCCTTTAAATGGTCAAATATTCTGTTAATAATATTCATGACAAGTTTAGGTGTCCCTGCAGTCTTCAATTAAAAAAGTGTGACCGACATCGACCGATTATCGCCTTGTGTATCGGTTATTACAACTTCTTGCGGATTGAATACAGTAATATTACTGGTTATTACATCGAACTTGCATGACACCCTCCAAAACCGAGACTCTGATTGGCTAAGAGGACCCGGGATCGGTTGGCATTGCCGAAGCACGCAGGGCTCGGAGCCTTAATCTATCGCCGACTCAGAATTTATCTAAGGCCCCTCTGGCTGACATAGTCTTACGATTTACGACTTATCGCGGCCATTAACATTGCTGTCTCGGTGATAGGACACCACCACTCTCCGCTCTTTCTTTTCCTTTTTGGTGTATGGCTGGAATGTCCACATCTTGTTGATCAAGATGGCTGGAAGTGGAAAGTTGGAGGATTCTCAGCAGCCCGCGAGGGCTGTTGTAAAAAAAGTGCATTATCCTTTTTGGTTTGGTGGTTCTGCATCATGCTTTGCTGCAATGGTCACACATCCTTTGGATCTTGGTGAGTATATTTCGCAATGGCTCGCTTGAAGTATTCTTGAGGGCTTTTCACTGACATTGAACTTGCAGTAAAGGTATACCTCCTTATAGACTGCGCGCAACGCTCGTCTCATCTGTTCCCTTCCGCTTTGTGTACACAACGCTGATCGGTGCGCCGATGGAATACAGGTTCGCTTACAAACACGTGGGCCAGGAGCGCCTACGTCGATGGTTGGAACATTTGGTCATATTCTCAAGCATAATGGAGTCCTGGGGTTGTATAGTGGGGTATGTACAATATCTGCATGGATCGTGATTAGGAAGATGCAAAGAAGAAAGGCTCCATGGATCTCGCTCACATCTGTGCCCTTTTTCAGCTCTCCGCAGCCATCCTCCGCCAAATAACCTACTCGACCACCCGCTTCGGAATCTACGAAGAGCTCAAATCCCGCTTCACCTCGTCCTCGTCACCACCCGGACTTCCCATACTGGTCGCAATCGCCTGCGCATCGGGCTTCATTGGCGGGTTTGCAGGAAACCCGGCCGATGTTCTAAACGTACGCATGCAACACGACGCGGCGCTTCCCCCGGCTCAACGGCGCAACTACAAGCATGCACTCCACGGATTGGTGCAGATGACTCGCACAGAGGGCGCGGCGAGTCTCTTCCGCGGCGTCTGGCCCAATTCGACCCGTGCCGTGCTGATGACGGCCTCGCAACTTGCCTCGTACGATTCCTTCAAGCGTCTCTGTCTCGAGAAGCTGGGAATGTCGGATAACCTCGTCACGCATTTCACCGCGTCCCTGATGGCCGGATTCGTGGCGACAACCGTCTGCAGTCCCGTCGACGTGATCAAAACCCGCGTGATGACCGCATCACCGACGCAGACCCGGGGCCACAGCCTCCTGGGCTTGTTACGAGATATCTACCGCAAGGAGGGTTTCGCGTGGGTCTTCCGCGGCTGGGTGCCTAGCTTTATCCGACTGGGTCCTCATACCATTGCCACGTTCATCTTCTTGGAAGAGCATAAGAAGCTCTACCGAGCGTTGAAGGGGATCTCGGGGACAACACCATCAAAGTATAGACTTTTCTTTTTCTGTTCCAGTATATTGTTTTTGGGCGTTCGTTTCTACGTAGACTTCACGTACATGGCATCTGGCGAAACATACTGGGAGGGCAAAAGTCTTGTTCGATGCTGTACATAATCATATATATGTCCATGTCTTGTCATTTCGCTTGTTGTGTCTTCCACCTGTCGATACTGGCTGTGATTGCGGTGTTTTGGATGACCTCACTGAGATACCTTCTTACACTGTCTTGAAATTTTGACCAGCTACTTCTGGGTGCGAGAGAGAAGGTATAACGAAGGTATAACCGAATTCAGTACTTGCACCTGCCGGTTGCAACTGTAAGAAAACAATATTTACTGCTGGGATGCATATATGTCAAGAACAAGAAGAATTACAATATCAGCTTCATGGCGGGGAACTCAGGTACAGACTACACGATGCTGGCGATAGATTGATATACGGATATTACCTGGAAAGGCACGATAACCACGTCCACACAAGCGGCTCTTCAGACTAGGGTAGCCTATATACATCGTTTTCTCTGGCTCCCCGATGACGAAAAGGACCCCACAAAGAATAGGACTTGTATTCCCGGTCTGATCGCGTAGAGTACATGTTTGACACCAAAAATATTCGACAGCTAATCGACAAGGACTAAAATCATCTACTCCAGGCGAGCAGGGAAGTTTCCAGCCTCTGTAATACGCAATATGTTAGACCACATCTCTCCGAAGAAGGAAAGAAAAGTACGCACCGCGTTGGCTATCCCATCTGTCAGTCCAGGCCTTGGGGCACAGGGAGCGAAAAGCGTGGTAGAACTGTGATGGACGAGTCAGGACATTAATCCTACTTGGTTTTCTTTACTCCCGGAATTGAATTAAATACCTGACGGCATGGACGGAAATCCTCGCCCTTGGCGTTGACACACTTGTAGTAGTCAACGTAGTTCTGCCAGCAGTGCTTGGTCCTGAGGTTTGTATTAGCATTGTATCAGAGCCAGTGTTGGTAGACAAGCAGGAAGACGTACTGGTTCTGCTGGGGGAAGCGAGCGTCATAGCCTGTTGTTGCATCACAAGTGGTCAGCATCATACGAGGTAGCACCAGCGACGAAAACCTGGACCAAAGCGGCACAACAGGCGAGCAAACAATCAATATCCTAGATTCAACGTACCAGCTGCAAGTAAGTTAGCAATTGAGCTTAATTCGAGGCCATTGGCCCTACAGACAGCTTGGGATGGACTCACCTGTCACGAACTTAAAGGGCTTGGTCTCCATGGGCTCATCGGGATCGGCTTCAGGAATGGCACCCATTTTGAATATGTGAGGTTGAAGAAACCCTTAAGACTGGTTATGGAAAAAGTGACGGAGTGTGGAGGGTGGGAGGGGAGGAACGTCGTTCGGAGAAGGAAGATGGGGAGGTTTGCGCCAGTGGAGTGGAATGATCCCGTGAAGCTGTGAAGCCGGAAGTGACCGCGGGCGGTCTAGCGAGCCACTCATGCGGCAAGATTTCCTAAACACCCGACCCAGCCTAGTCCAAGTGCTGCTCCCTTCGAAACGTCCCGTCCTGAGCTTCCGTCACCACATCCGGTCTTCTCATCCCACCACCACCACCAGCACTCTTTCCACCAGGCATCGCTCTCCGCCATCGCCATGTACCCTACTCGTGTTCTGAGGATGCAGGCCTCTCGGCCTTTTGCTTTCCCTACTCCCGTAAGTCTCCAGTTTATTGCGACTAAGTCAGAAAAAAAGGCTTGGCAGACCACGGATGCTAATGGTCGTCTGCAGAAGGAGAACCAGAGCGGTATGACACGCCTCACGAGACGCAATTGAAGCAGCAATTGCTATGTTTGACGAACTGCGATTTTACTAATTGGTCGATAGCTCACACCATCTCTCAGCGTCTGCGGACCCTGAAGAGAGTTCCTCCGGAACTGATTCCCCTCGGTACGTTGCTAGTCTGGAGTTGATCGCTTTATTGCACTCATCTAACCACTATTGCAATTCGAATAGGTATTGTCCTTGGGTAGGTTGACACCGCGCTGTTTCTATCTACAAGAGACATGAATTTCCCACCTGCCAGCTCCATCATCCCCCGCTGACGCAATTGTTACAGTGTTGCCGTCGGAGCTGCTATCTACTCTAGCACCCGCAAGCTCATGACCGACAAGACTCTGCGTCTCTACCGCAATAAGCCCGAGGACCGCGAACACTAAGCATGTACCAGCACATTTGATTGATTTGCAATGGACATTTCGTTCTGTCTGTCCGTTTCGTTTGTTGAGGACCTGTATTATTCACAGACGTGATTTGTCGCAGCAGAGAAAAATTGAAGTCGATTGTTTGAGCGTCGAAAGCGCGTGTATATAGTACGGCTTTGACCCAAGGGGGGCTCTGTTGGAGTAATATCGCAACTTTACTGTTGTCGGGCTTCCTGTGCATTCAAATTTCGCGGGGTATCATGTAAAAAAAACTCATTCTGGCTTTGGGCCAGCGACATCTAGCTCCTCTAATCCCTGCATGGGATCAGGAGCCCCTTCGCTAACTGCTCTGGCCTCCGCTGCTGCCATCTTATCCTCCTCACTGACCGCGTATTTGGCCAAATATCCTTCCTGTACATGCGTAGTTAGCGACACGTCCGTGTACGATCGGATCAAAGGGACCTACCTGCTCCCAAATAGCTGTCTTGCTTCCCAGCCCCTCGTTGCTTTCCTTCTGCGGCTTCGCGGCGGCGACCTTTATTGTACGGCCATAAAGCTCGCTTCCATCCATATTGTCAATCGCTTCTGCAGCGTCCTCAGGCAAGTCGAACTCCACATATCCGAAGCCGCGGTGAAGATCGCCTGAGTTGGGCACATCAGGCTTAGGTAGCGTAATATCAACGACTTCGCCAAAAGGGACGAATGCCTCGGCCAGTGTCTGCACCGTAACGGCCTGGTCGAGACCCCCCACATAGACAGTACATTTTAGGCGAGCCTTTTCGCTCATTATGCAGCCGATCAGAAGTATTGATTAGAGGGATTATTCAGCCATATGAGAACTGTCCGAAAACGAGCGAACAGACCTTGAGTCACGATCGCCTGGGTGATATCTGCTCCGCCGTCCCCAAGTAGATTTCTTTGCCTGGACCCTCAGCGGAATGAATGATGTCACGTGCATCCGCGGATGTTTTGGCGAGGTCCCGATGGAGCTTAGCGTCACTCCCCCGGTCCCCCTCCAGAAGGACACTTGGTTGCTTGAGCCCAAGGCATCGGATTGTTCAGGTCTCGATCACCTCTTAACCTATAAGCTCCTTTCCGTTCACTGATTAAGGAGGGGATTTTTGCTTCTGTGAGCTTGTCTTTCCCTCAATTTCTTTCGCTCCGTCTTTTTCTTTTCTCATTTAATGATTATCATCCCCAGACGGTTCTGAGTCTGATCCTCCCCTAATCTATACCTACCTGTCATCCCGCACCTCTTTCCAGCATGGTGCGTCTGAGGGAGATCCCCCGGACCGCCACCTTCGCCTGGTCCCCCGGTGCAGCATCGCCATTGATTGCTACCGGAACTCGGGCCGGCGCCGTCGATGTTGATTTCTCGAATGAAACATGTCTTGAGCTCTGGGATCTCGGATTGAGCAGCCAAGATGCCAGTCAGGAGCTGCAGCCCATTGCCAAGATTGGCACTGATTCTGGGTATGGATTCTTATATTGCTTAATTTTGGCCCTTCATTGCGCAGAGAGACTGACTGTTATTGTTTGTAGGTTCAATGACCTGGCATGGACAGATTCCGAGGACAACTCAAGGGGGGTGATCGCTGGTGCTCTGGAGAACGGCTCCTTGGATCTATGGGATGCCGACAAGTTAATCAACGGTTCGAGGTTCGTGCGCAGGAGGACCCCCGGGCTATGATGGATTGGCTGACGGACAACAAGCAGCGACGCTGTCATTTCGAGAATGACCAAACATTCAGGGGCTATCAAGGCGTTGCAGTTCAACCCCAAGCACTCGAATTTGTTAGCTACTGGTGGCGCAAAGGGAGAGGTAATTGTTTCAACCGATTTTTTGCTCGTGTTCTAGTGAGGCTCACTGAAGCAGCTTTACATCTCCGATCTCAACAACATCGCGAACCCGTACCGACTCGGAAGCGCCACTGCCCGCGCTGATGATATCGAATGCTTGGACTGGAACAAGAAGGTCGCACACATCCTGGTCACGGGTAGCAGTGCAGGTTTCGTCACTGTCTGGGATGTCAAGACGAAGAAGGAGAGCTTGACCCTGAACAACATGGGCCGGAAAGCTGTTAGCGCAGTAGCGTGGGATCCTGAGAAGGTGAGACTAAACAAAATCAACAGCAGCTGATCTTAACTCTGACTTTGGACAGCCCACGAAACTGATTACTTCCACGCCATTGGAGTCCGATCCTCTTATCTACGTTTGGGATCTCCGCAATTCTCACGCCCCAGAAAGGGTGAGCTATCCCACCCCTCCGCGGGCAATAGTACAAAGATAATTAATATCCTCTAGACCCTTAAAGGACATGAATCAGGCGTGCTGTCGCTTTCCTGGTGCCCTCAGGATCCCGACCTACTTCTTTCCTCCGGCAAGGACAACCGCACTCTCTGCTGGAACCCTCAGACGGGACAAGCTTACGGAGAATTCCCTGTCGTTACGAACTGGACGTTCCAGACTCGCTGGAACCCGCACAATCCAAACTTCTTTGCCACGGCTTCGTTCGATGGGAGAATTTCGATACAGACCGTCCAGAACACTCGTACTGACACCGCTCGGGCTATCGCTGATCAGAACCAAGCGCTCGACGGCGAGGATTTCTTCGCGAAGGCACAGACGCAGCCTCAGGTATCAAATTTCTCGCTCCCGAAGGCCCCCAAGTGGCTTGAGAGACCTTGCGGCGCGTCTTTTGGCTTCGGTGGCAGAGTGATTTCGGTCGGCTTAATCGAGAAGGGCAAGCGCGCATCGAAGATTAAGATCACTCCGTTCGAGGTTGACGAGGCTGTCGCAAAGTCTACGGAGACGTTTGAGAATGCACTCAAGGAGGGTGACCTTCGGAGCATCTGCGAAAACAGAGCTTCCCAAGCCGCAAGCGACGAGGAGAAGGCTGACTGGAAGGTCATTGAAGCCTTGATTTCAGAAAACCCTCGCAAGGGTTTGATCAAGTACCTGGGATTCGAGGACCAAGCCGACGAGACTGCTAATAAACTGGCCCAGCTTGGTCTGGGTAAGGAGGATGACGAGATGAACGGGGAGTCGGCCAAGGAATCCCGCGGGTCGGGAGCCAAGAAGCACAAGCGCCTGCAGTCGATGTTTGACGCGAACCCTGAAGCTGACAACTTCCTGTCCGATTTAGCTGCATCAAAGGGAGCCAAGACCAACAACCCATTCCAGATTTTCAATGGCTCTGAGACCGAAGCGGACAAGGGCATTACTCGAGCTTTGCTTCTGGGCAACTTTGAAAAGGCACTCGATGTGGCTCTGAAAGAAGACCGCATGTCAGACGCGTTCATGATCGCAATCTGCGGTGGCCAGAAGTGCATCGAGAAGGCGCAGGAGCATTACTTCTCGAAGCAAACCGATGGGCCGAACTACATCCGCTTGCTTGCATCCATTGTTGGCAAAAACCTCTGGGATGTCGTGCACAATGCCGACCTGTCTAACTGGAAGGAAGTCATGGCTGCGCTATGCACATTTGCCGACGACAATGAATTTGCCGATCTCTGCGAGGCCCTTGGTGACCGCCTGGAAGAGCAGATTCGAAACACCGAAGACAAGAGCCTCCGCAAGGATGCCTCTTTCTGCTTCCTAGCGGGATCCAAACTCGAAAAAGTTGCTGCAATCTGGATCGAGGAGCTTCGAGAGAACGAGCAGAAGAGCATTGAGACGGCCGCAGATGATACTTCTTTCTCAATCCATGTTCGTGCTCTGCAGAGTTTGATTGAGAAGGTCACCATCTTCCGCCAGGTTACCAAATTCCAAGACACGGAACGTACGAAGGATGCCGACTGGAAACTCAGCATGCTTTACGACAAGTACATCGAGTACGCTGATGTCGTGGCCACTCACGGACGACTGCAAGTTGCGCAGAAGTACCTCGACCTTGTCCCTGAGAAGCACCCTGAAGCCGAGATCGCTAGAAACCGCATCAAGCTGGCAATGAGACACGCTGCGCCTCAGCGCTCTCAGCCAACTGTTCGCACCACCAGGACACCCGTCAATAAGCCCTTGCCACAAACCAGCATGTACCCTGCGCAGCCCGCCTTCTCTGCACCTGCCGCTGCTGCAGCACCCGCAACTACTGCTCCTCGGAATCCCTATGCTCCCCCAACGGCTGCTACGACGCAGCCCGCAAATCCTTATGCTCCTCCCACCGCAGCTGCGACCCAGCTGCAGACAAGCAACTCATATGCACCAATTGGCGGTGGAGGTTATACTCCTGCAGGATATCAACCTCTGCAGCCGCCAACTTATGGCGCTCAGCCGCTTGGTAGCTCCGTTCCACCACCTCCTCGCGCATCCAACCAGTCTCCTGCCACTGTGACTACATACACCACAGCGACCCATCTGCCAGCTTGGAACGACTTGCCGGAGGGCTTCACAAAACCTCCGACCTCCCGCAGGGGAACACCCGCCGCGGCCGCGGCGCCTATCAGCTCGCCTTTCCCCAACCAGTCTCCAACCCTTTCTCAGGGTCCTCCACCACCTGGAGCCCCACCTACTCAGCGCGCCCCTTCTGTCCCTCCTCCGCCAAAGGGCACGGCTCCTCCTCCCCGAGTGACCTCGCCACCCACGAACCTACCAGGCCCTTCACCCGCGGCCAACCCTACGCTTCCTTGCCTCAGTCCCCTCCAATGGGCTCAACCATGGGCGTTCCTCCTCCCGCGTCAATTCCTCGGGGGCCGTCTCCGTACAACGCCCCGCCTTCGATGCCACCACCGTCGAACAGGTATGCACCTAGCCCGGCGGCTCAAGCAGCAAGCCCGCAACTCTCCACCAGAGCGCCTGTTCCTCCTCCACCGCAGGCAGCTGCCTTGCCCTATGCCTCACAGCCAGCGTCGCATCCTCCGCCAGCAAATCCTTATGCTCCTAGCACGCCACCACCGAGTCAACTGCCGATGCAGCAAGCGCCGCCGCCCCAGGCTCCATCCTCGAGGCCAAGCACCGCTTCGTCGCAACGGAAGGCTGCTCCCGCTCCCCCCAAGTACCGTAAGTCATTTCTACTTCTTTGATTTTCATTTCGTAGTTCTGACTTTGAGAAGCACCCGGCGACCGCTCCCATATCCCCGCAGACGCCATGCCTATTTTCGAGATCCTCTCCGCCGACATGCAGCGCGTGAAGTCTCGAGCGCCATCCTCCTTCAAAGCGCAGGTTGAAGACGCGGAACGCCGCTTGAGTATTCTGTTCGACCATCTGAACAACGAGGACCTGCTCAAGCCTAACACTGTTGCCGACATGGCGGAGCTTGCTCGGGCTATTCAGGCACGCGACTACGAGACGGCCAAGACCATCCACATTAATATCATGACAAACAGGACGGAGGAATGCGGTAACTGGATGGTATGACAATTTCTGATCGATCCCGCTCAGGTTGACTTATGCTAACTTTGGGGTACTAGGTTGGTGTCAAGCGTCTGATTAGCATGAGCCGGGCCACGCCTTGATGAGTTATTTATTGAGGATGTCGCATGGAATGTGGTTATGAGTTGTTTGTATAGTGATTGGCGTTTTCGCCGTCTCACCTAGCTAGTTGTGGATTCTCTGCGCTAGCCTGGTTTTGGTCAGGATATCTTCTTCACACGTCTATGTTTCAGTGATGTTTCTGCGAGTTTCTTATCCGCCGTATTACTATAGTCCAAGAGAGCACGAAGAGGAAAGGAAAAATGACTTAGACTTTTGGCTTTCAGCTAGAAGATTGCTCTCTACGGAGAACACTCTTTTCAACAAACTTGAATTGACAATGCTAAGAGTTTAGAGATAGATATACGCTGCCACGCAGCATGCAAATGAGTGCCTATCTTTGCTTGGATCGACGGACAAATAACAATGCAGAGTAAACATCATTCATATGTAGATTTAAGAATGCTCATTTCTCTCCTAAACTATATATATACACATCGACCTTCACCTTCCAGACAGAACTCCCGAGCCAGTTCTTCCCCGGCTGGCGGGAAAGTTCCGAGCACTCAGCAAGGCGCCCTTGACACCTCGAATGTCAGCCCGGAAGCTGGCCATCGCGTCCTCCTCGGCTTTACTGATGCCTGCCGAGGGACCGGATGTGGTCTCCAGGCCAGGCGTGCTGTATACCCCGTACGCCGTGACGGAACTATAACTGGATCTGCTGTAGAGCAAGCCATCGAGGTAATGGTGTAGTTCGTTCAATCGGGTACGCACGGAGTCGTCCAGCACACCTGACTCTTTCTCCATGGAAGCGACTTCGCGGAGATGCGAAGTGATGTTTTCGAGCCGCTTGAGGTGCGTGTTCACCGTTGCGGTGGGGTCGGGGTTGCCTCGTCGGCGGGCTGCTGGTCTGCTTTGTGCGGGAGGGTGCTTGCGTCCAGATCCTGAGAGGTCTGGGTTGCGACGTCCCGGTGGAAGAGCTCTGTTGGGTCGGAGGTGATGGAGTCCTGCTCGTCGTCTTCGGAGTCGGCGGGCTCGGTTTGTTTTGTGTCCTTTGCGGAGAGATAGGGCGGGATCCGAGAGACGTTCTGCTCGAGTTTCTCGTTGAGCTTTTGGAGGTTGGTGTTGGCGGTTTGCGCGAGTTCGAGGCGGGCGCTGGTGAGGGTGGCGAGCATTGGTTTGACGAGGTATTCGCTTGCGCCGTAGAGGCTTGCTCCTAGGCCAGCGGCGCCGTAGAGGGTGTAGAGGATGCTGCGGAGGGTTACCAGTGGCGGGGTTTGGATTGCTGAATTAGGAATTCGGGGTAGGTGATGATGGGTGGGACATCTCGTGACGCGGAGTTCTTGGTGGCAGTTGGAGCAGCGGGTGTGGTAGATGAAGATGCGGAGGATGTTGGTGATGAGGAAGATGGTTCTTTGGGACTTTGCGACTCGTTGCTGGTGGATGATGTGGTAGAATCCGGGGTAGACTTGCTCCCCTCTGCGGTGTTGCTGCTTGAGTCCGCATCTCGCGAGATGGCCAGGAGACTGTCTATTTCCTGACTGCGGAGGCCCTTGGACTCTAGGAAAGTTATCTTGCGGTCAATGGGCGCATCGCGCAGGGAGTCATCCTGCAAGAACTTTCGAGCTTGCTCTATGAGCACTGAACGGGGAGTCTCATCGGAGCTCGGCGATGGTGTGGAGGTGGAGTTGTCGGTGTTCGTGCTGGCAGCGGCAGGTTGCTGCCATTGAGGGATTGAAGGGGATTTGGGCTTGATGTCGGACATGTTGCGCTCCAGGAAAGGGAAAGAAAATATCGACTTCAAGGTGAGAGTGAAGTGACGGAGGAGATAAGGAGAGATGGACATAGAACTCCATGTGAGCGATGGAGATGTCGGCCGTTTCTTTGGGGTCGATTTCCCCAGACCTCGGCTGTATGGTAATGCAATGTAATTTACGGCGTACAGATCACCTGATCATATTGAGGTGCATTATTCTTGGTCTCTTCACGTTGATATACTGGTATAAATGACATCCAGATAGTATTATCCTTATGTATACTTGGTCTGAGAGTATTCAAAGAAACCTTTAGTATTCAATTCCAGAATTAATACCCAATCCCCAGTAGATATTCAGGTTAGAGAGTTATCGCATAGATGTACGCCTGCCAAGATCACAGACCGCTGAGCGGCAGAATGATGAGGATGAGGAATAAATCAAAGACCGGCGGACGAGAATAGACATACAGAGCACTCTTGATATCATCCTTTAAGAAGTGCTGCACTTATAAAAGAGCACATATATCCATCTTTCATACTTCCACCACCGACAAGTGCTCTTTGTCCGACCTCCATATATATACCTGAGATATACACCGGGATTGTCAAGAAGATCATCTCGGACCCTTCCCCATCGCTCTATCAACGAACCATCTATTAGTTCCTTCTGGTCGAGTGAGTATCCGTCCTCTCGTATTGCTCTCTTTTCCTGTCCGTCTGCACAATAGCCCGTGAGTTGTCATTGGTGTGTTTTGCGATTTCTTGATTGTTTCAGTCTTTGGGGTAGCCTTGCCACGGTCACTACAAGGATTATACACCCCTGGTATGCTGGTGTGGCGGAGAGAAGCGAACGCACAAGCGTTTGAAATTCACCGCGTCTGCGATGGGTTCGTTCGTTGTCTTAGTCGCTTGTCGCTTTGGCACGGGCGTCCTCCATCCCATCCTAGATCGCAACGCCCTAATTGGTCCCCATCCTTGATGCCGGGTTGCGACTTTTAACTGGCGTCAAATGTGTGATAGGCGTAGCTTTCCTGCGTCTACCCGGAATGCATGGCCTTCCTACGCACGTCTATCTACAATGGCCCACGTATCCATCATCCTTTGAATGGATGTTTGCTCGATGACCATCATCTTGAGCTCATCCGCCGACTTGTGGATATTACCTCCCATTCACTCGCATCCCCGCTTCACCTGCTAGAATCCTCATAGTCAGGCATCGTCGACGCATTGATATATCACTACAACGATCTTCTCTTCATCATCCTCCTACCCCTCATTCCTGTTTCCCGTAACATAATTTCAGAGAAAAGTCTCCATTTTCCTTGGCCATGTCTATACGTCGCTCTCTTCGCTCTCGTCCAGTGCGGAATGATCCATCGAGCATTGATTCTGACATGAGTCCAGGGCCTACCAGATCGACACGTGGTGTCCCATCTGCCCCACTAGTAACAGTCACTCGGTCTGTTTCAGGCAGCGCAGAGAACCCCATCAGATCGCTTTTTCTGACTGTAAGGATGCCTTCGACCAAGCTTCGCGAAGCTACCGGGGGTAGCGCACGGGGTAGCACTTCAACCAGACGCTCCCACAATGTCTTCACTGAAAATCCCATCATCACGGGACCGCGGTCTAGCCGGCCCAAGAGGAAGCTCGTAGAGGTTAGCACAAGTGAGGGGGATGACTTAGAAGATCAAGAGGAGGATGAAGTTGACGAGGATGCACCTGGCGAGGATGACGTCGATGCGGATGGCGATGCGGATGGCGATTTGGAAATGGACGATGCGCCGCCCCGACCACCGACTTCAAAAAGACACGCCAAGGGTGCTGCCACATCAACAGGAAAGGCTGTGAAGAGCGTTGAGGAGAAGGAGATGGAATTGGAGGAGGAAGACGACGAAGATGATGAGGAGCTATCGGAGCTGGATACGGATGCCGAGGGTGAGCCTGATGACCAGGACGAGAGTGGGCTTGGCAATGGAAATGGAGGAGATGAGGACCTGGATGAAGAGGATGAAGAAGACGAGGAGGATGATGACAGTGAAGAGGTCGCACCCGGAGGCGATCTTAGCCGGTTAACCAAGCGGCAGAGAGGGACCCTCGGCAATGACTTTTTGCAGCTTCCCATGGGTGAGTTTCCCTTTTGTAAGTGTTTCGTGCGAAGTGTCGCTGCTGACCGAATACCAGAACCTCAAGTGAAGAAGCACCTAACAGCAGAGGAACGTGCTATGCGTCGTGCTGAAATGGCTCGAAGAAGAAAGAACCTCAGCGAGAAGCGGAACGAGGAAGAAAAGGTAAGCTGGGCCGGTGAAGCAACCGTTCTCGGTCTCGCAATTCCGCTATCTACTTGCTGTATCACGTCGCTAACGCATAAGCACAGATGGATACGATTAATAGGTTATTACGCAAGCAGGCTCCAAAACGGCGTGGTCGAATTCCAGTTGCTGAAGCGGAAGCCAACGCCGCCGAGGCAGAGGCAGAAGAGGCAGAGAAACCAGAGCCAACGATGGTCAGATGGGTGAGTGGCCGCGAGGGTAGTCGTATCGGTGTGCCTGAAGAATGGCTCGGAACTCCTGCGGGACGCGTCTTTGGGGAAGCTCCTAACCGGCCATCAAAGCTTGTGGAGGAGGTTTGATACTTGGTATGACAGGGCGGGGAAATGGAGCTGGGCGTTTTTGGCGGCATTAATCTTGTCTACGATATCGAAACTGGGAGGGCTAATGATTCGTAAATTGGTGACGTTCATGTATTTTACCTTCTTCTCTCAAGTGTGTATCATACCCTACTTGGTTGGTCATTCAGATAGAAAAAGAGCGTAGAAATGCGCTAATATACGTTTGCATATGGTTTGATCTTTATACAGCACAGCAGATACTAGTTATACCACAGTGGATCACCTGTCCATGTGTCGATGAACGAAGCATACTTCTCAGATGGGAAGCATTAGCGACTGCCATCCGTGGTGATTGGTTGTGCAACCAAGCTTGAAAGCAAACCCGTCGACACCAGTTGACGGTGAGCTCTACGCCATCATGTAGGTAGCTGTCTGGTCCCGCGATGGCGCAGCTAGGTCCCTCGAAAGCGACGCGCTGTGACGTTCTATCTCCAGGCAGAGATGTCTTGCACCACGTTGCTCCCACATGTTTCAGCACCCGTGGGTTCAGTTCGAAGTCCCTGCGCCTGCGGAAACCTTCTATCTTCAATTCCGCCTTTATCCGGCTTCTCGCTCAGCGCTACCTCTGCTGGTCCGACGGCTTGGTCTCCGAGCTTGACGCGGGAGTCTGACGCTGCATTTGACTATCACCCGATTGCTCTGTCTGTCCACTTGTCCTGTGTATGTTCATCAGCATACCGCTACTCATTCTAAATGCAATGCGCGGCGGCTCGTCGCAGAGCGTGTAAGAGCGAGACATACGATAGAGGCTTGCGCTTCTCGATTTGTAATTCTTGTAGTGCGGGTTGGAAGGTATAGTAGCCTGAAAGGAAAATACAATTGTAAGTTTGTGGGTTCAGCAAGTTGAAGGTTGCAAGATCATACCGGTCAATATGCCCACGCCGATGGCTAATGCTGCGGGGACGAAGTTGCGACTCATGTTTGACAGTGATGGTGCAAGCTGCTGCAGGTAGATCGGAAGAACTTGATTGTCGTAGTCACAATAAGATAACCAAGTTAGGATCTACGACCGATCATCTGTATCCGTAGAAATCCCGACACAAGAAACGTGCAGAGCAGGCAGATCGACCTCAGGCTATTTAATTGGCACTTTAACGCCAGCGGTTCCAGGCTCCTAGGCTCCCACTGCGGAACTGCTCCATACTATTATTCCACTTACGATTTCCGCCTTTTGGGAACAACGCGTCCACGCATTTTCGACGCGTCTAATCAACGAACAACTTTGTTCGACCTGAAATCACCCAATCCGACATAGACGCTCCGGCCTTGCCCTCTACGCATTTGCACTCTCGTGGTCAATTCTCATTTACATCAGTCGCGCGTATTTTGGACGAACTTCACAGCCGCGGACGAAGCATGGACAAATAGGGAAATGGGCACACAGCACCAAGGTCACAAATGGAATCATGGCGGGAACGAGGGTTTGTACCGGACTCGGACTCGGAGCTTGACTTTGACAGTCAGGAGTCAAAGGTGGTGAGTGGGAGGTTTGAGGATAGTGATAGAGGGACGGAAGAGGTTGTTGCGCCCAATGCGAAGCTCACTGCGCCGGCCGCAGACGATGAGGCAAACGAGGGAGAATTGGATGGGGCTGGTGACGACGGTACCGACAAGGCTCGGGATGTGGTATTAAGCTCGAAGGATGCTGAAGAAAGCACTCCCGCCATTGATAAGGCAGAGGAGGACTCTACGATGGTGGATTTGAGGAAGAAGACGTCTCAAAGTGATTCTGGCTCTGTCCGAGGAAACCACAAAGATCGAGCCAACCAGAGTGCGCCTGCTACGAGAAAGGTGGCAGACTCTTCGTCCAGTTCAAGTGGAGTGTCCGCCACGAATCCCAGCACTCCGTCAACGCCTCGCACCCAACCGCAGGCCGGCATATGGGACATTCCCAGCTCCCCAGACGAGTTACAGTTCGATGTGCAGCCATCCCGGAGACGGATTACTTACTTTTCAAAGAGGAAGGACCCCGGAACCCAGAAGAACTCGTCAACTATCGACGAAGCTGGGACGCAGCTAGTGAACGTGAATGAGAATATATCTCCTCTTTCTTCTCCTCTCTCATCACTTCATTCGATAAGTCTGGGTGAAGATGATGACAGTCTGCGAGATAGGCAAGAGGTGCAGAAGGAAACAGAGACCACAGAAACACAAGCTCCGCAGAATCGAGAGGAGCCACTGCTGCCTTTTGAGATCCCGGACCATATACTACAGGAGATGTCACAACCCATGCGCAGGTCATTGAGACAGCGGAATCCTATCCAATTACACCCGTACCTGCTCGAAGATGCGAAGTACCGGAGTCTCATGAAAGCCCGAGGCCTGAAACCCGTACGGGTACCTCTGCATCAAGCTGTACATGACACAGCCGACGAGAGTCAAAGCAAGGACTTCGAGCCTCCTTCAAGCAGTCCAGCTGAAGACTTTCAATTTCCGCCATCATCTCCAACAATGGATCAACCGCTGCCTGATAGACACGTCCACAAGGATCCTCTACATCGGCGAGGTCGTGTAGACCCACAACTCCAAGACCATTTAGCGAACAGACCAGATGCTCGTCCTTCAAAACGGCGCAGGGTATCCCGACCTGGAGATGCTGACCGACGCTCTCTGAAACATGCGTCCCAGCCAAAGGTGGTCATCGGCCAATCTCCTGCACGTCCTGAACATGACTCTATCTTCAACATACCAAGTCCACCCCGCTCAGGAAGCGTCTCTTCCACGCAAACCAGTCAGCACGCTGAGGGATTCCGTTTCCCACTTGGATTCACGCCACCGACTTTAACTACGCCGGTTACGGAGCCTCGAGTCAATGGACGCAATGCTATAAATTCTGACATGACGGACTGGTTGACCGGCGCTGACGACCAGGTTTCTGTGGATGGTGAAGCTACTAATCAGAGCCAACCAAACTCCGATGTGGGCGAGGATGCACCTGAAGAAGATGATGAGCAATTCGCAGTGAGGGCCCTACAACGCAAGATCAAAGGTGTACTGCCGGCATCTTGGCTGCGACTGGACCAAAAGAACCAGAGACAGGGAAATCTCCCTTCCACGCAGCGACAGCGTGATAGACTGGTATCTCACCGAACAGAAAACGCTAAGGGCGTTGCCAGGAAGATCACGAAAAAGAATGATTCTAGGATGGTTTCAACTGCTAGGGAGCCATTGGCCTCGTTGAGCCACCTTGCGGATGATGACAGTGGTGAGAGTAGCAGAGCAGAGGAGGACATGCCTGTAGACGCCCACAAAAAGATGGCTGAGTTATTTCAGCTCGATTTGCCGTTTGATGACGACATTGCTGGGGACGACATTCCTGAGTCTGATCATATAGACTACATGTTTCCGCCAATCCCTCGGGGTCCAATAGGCCCACGAAGTCGAAAGCCGGGCAAGAAACGCCAGAGGACGGAAACAGGTGGCTCACACTCTCATAGTCACACCAAAAGACCGCGGTTGAAGCGACAGACAAGAATTACCGATCCAGAATATGGAGCCCGAAAGGAAAGGGCTGCGCCGCGCCGACTCCCTAGACTAGGCATTTTAGACGCTCCAGACGTTGCTCATCGGCCTCGCAATGAACAGCCTCAATTCTTGAGGGTGGCCGCGCGACGAGCACGTTCCCGCAAAGATATGGGCAGGAGAAGCCCATCCCGCAAGTTCATCAAGCTGGGATCGCGACTGGACACGGAGGACGCTAACAAGGCATTGGGCGAGTGGCAGAAAGGAAAGCTGCGGCAGACGCAATTGCCTCGAGTACAGACCAAGCTTTACGCGCGACCGCCATTGTTGGATCGCTCTGTCAATCAATCAGCCGTCGTTACCAATTACAATCCCTCTTTAAAGGAGAGAGGCTTCTTGCCAGATCCTGAGAGGACGAATTCAGTTGATATGATCGACGATACTCTTGATGAGACGCCTCCAGATGTCCCAGCTATCACTCCAACCACAGAAAGGGACATTTCGTCGCGCCCGAAGCCTGCGTCTGGGCAGCAAGGTAGGAAATGGGTCATTCGACGAAACTTTGCCGTTTCATCTCTGAAGAGAAACGGCCCACGCCCAGCGGAACCCGAAATAACAGACGCTAGCAGAAACTCTGCTTCACCGTCGCTCTTCCAGAAAACGCTTGCACTGCTGAATCGAGACTACCGGCATAAACACCCGGCGCACCGGAACTTACCCCTTGGTCGTTACCTTGCGGACACTCTCACGCCGTCTCTCCCTACCAAGGTTCAATCAGATGTCTCTGCCGAGATCCCGAACCCGGCCACCGACGCGTCGCCTACACTTCCAGGTCATAATAGGCGCCGTCAGTTGAAGAAACGACCACCTCGGCGACTGGACCTTGGTGCACTCGATAGTCAAGAGGTTGACACTCGAGATTCTGGCACTACCGTGCCGGCAGATAGTGTTGTTCTGGAAAACTCGCGTTCTACAATCAGCACTGGCAACGGACTCAAGTCTTTTCGGCGCACTTACACCGTTGATTTTGACATCACACCTCTTTGCCCTGGCACATTCTTCCATGAATCTACGTTTATAGGGAGTGGCCAGTTCGCGCGTGCTCTCAACGTTCAATCGCGCAATATGGATGTGAAAACTGGTCTGTCTCGTATCAAATTGAGGGACCAGATTTTCCGGTGGGGTCCTTGGAATGACACCGTCTCTTCTGAATTCGGCCAAGTCTTTGACGTTATGATTGAAGAGTTAGAGACGAAGGCTGCCTCTGAGGTTGCAACAAGCATGGATCGAGGAACGGCCTCCCACGACGCTTGTGCATTGTACAGGTCGTTGGTCCAGTACGTCACAGAACACCTGGCGTTTGAGGATCCGATTGATAGGATGGGATTTGTCAAACGAGCCCAGAGTCTCATTGCAAAGCTGAACGAGCAACTTACGGCGGTAGCGTTGAGTGACGAGCGTCCGAGGGATTATCTCACCCAGATTGCGTCCTACAATCTTGTGTTTGCGAGCCAAGCGTTTCAGGTAGCCTGTCATGCTCTTGTTGATGGGAATATTGCCCATGAGATCTCAGATATGGTCAAGTTTGCTGCCAGACGGGTTCTGGGCTTCATTGCAAGTCGAACGGCACAGATACTGATGCGCACGTTCCTTCAAGACAACAAATCTCCTAACAAACGTGAAGCGGGCATCCAGGCGGACCAATCTGTCATCGAGGCCTATGTGATTGTGCGACATGTGTTGCAGTCCATGGATAAACTCAAAGGTTGCTTCGGTGAGTTGATTGCTGAAGCCTACTTGTCAGCTGGAGGGGATTCGAGTAATTCAGGAGATATCGATGGTTTCGAGAATGGGTGGGAAAGCTTATTCACCACATTGCCGCTCAATGAATTTGATTCGTGCGGTTTGGTCAGAATTGGAGCACGCTTTCGGGAAGCTCATGACAACTGGTTGATGGTGAAACGATTGCTCTCACCCGTTCTCGCTAACTACGACACCAACGCTGAAACGCAACCAATCTCATGCAACAATTACTGCAGAGTGCTTTTTCGAAGATGCCACCATCTGATCAATGGTTGGGGCTGGCGAGATTGCAGGCCTATAATGCAACTCATGTATGACTTCTTTGCGAAAAGGCATCTCTATGATCTGAAGCTCGAGGAGAGCTACAAGTCTCCTTCTTTTCTCGATGAACTCGACCGCAACCCTTCCTTTGATGTCCAACCAGGCGACCCATCTTATCATATCTTTTTGAAGATTCTGGCAACCGGGCTGCGATTTTTGCCATTGTCCTGTGACAAGAAACAGATCCGAAATTTCGCTTGGCGACTACTACCGAATCACGATGGAAGATATCCCAAGGAAAAGCCTATTTCTCAGTCGGACTTGGACGCCGTGAGGAACCATCATGATCTTCTGTGCACTCTTTACTTTGCTGTTCCTGATGGATGTCGTCCGCGATTGGAGATCATCAAGACGCTTGTTGACCCTGCCATTTCCCATCGTGAAACGTGCAACATCAGCATCCGGGCATGGAGCCGACTCGTGCGGTTCAAGTTGTCAACCGACGAGGACGTATCTGGACTTGAGCCTTTTGCCGATTGGCATTGTTATTTCCTCACCGAGTTCTTGAAGCAGCACTCCCTCGCACGGAAGGAAATCGAAGCTCAGAACGCTATAGCAAAGAGCTTCTCTCGTGAAGAGGTTGAGAAGACAATTTCTCAGAACCAAAGGCAAATCGAATCGTTGCTCACCATGGCTCTCGGTGGTCTACAGAACGCTGTTCGTGCAGCTCCGACGCTGGAGCATGCGCGAGTGGTTGTATCCAAGGCACCTATTCGAGCAATTCTGGGTCTTTTCAATCCCAAGGTGGCTCGTGTCAATACTGTAGTCTCTGAGGCGTTACTTGTAATCGTTGCTTACCTTCAGAAATGCGACGCGAACCCCGTCCCGGCGGCGAAGACTCCCACAGTTCCAGCTGACGAAGACAGCCAAGAGTATGGGGACTGGACTGACATTGAAGCAATATACGGGGATGAAAGCCCTTCAGTAAGCAAAGGCGTTGAGTATGTGGAATCGGCTTTCCTTCCAGCGGTATCCCGTCTTGTGTCAAACTGCTTTGGCGAGGATCACTGTCCGGAAGATGTGATACTCCTGAATGTTGTTGATTGCTGGACTTCCATTGCCTGGGTTCTTGTGAAGCACGGGCTGAAACATTGGGATAATTATCTCGGCCATTACGATGGAGAGTCGTGGTCTTCGCTTCGATCGACTGTGCAGACAAGGAAGTTTACACCCCTCTTCCTTGCAAGTTGTATTGAGAGAGACCCACGATGCCTGTCTGAGTGTAGGCTTTTGATACTGAGCATGTGGCTGTCGAGCTTGGTGGAACGGGTATCGATGCTCAAATTCCAGCATCGTCTCACGGAGGCGCTGTTAAATCTCGACACCACGGACCCGTTATTGCACAACTTACCGTTCTCGAAAGATCGGCAGAATGATCGATATTCCATTTCGTTGGAAGATCTCAGTCAACGGAGGTTATCACTTCTCTCAAGTCTACTTTCGAATATGCGAGCACACGTCCAGGATCTGGAAGATACAGAAAGTCGGGAGCTGTCAAGTACGAGGCGGGACTGCAGAGAACTGATCCAACGGATGATGGCATCCATGAAGGCAAACTACCAGGAACTGGGCAGTGGAGGAGCCAGCGCACAAGGAGCATACGTTGACTTTGTTCATCGGATCGTTGGGTTTCTGCAACAGTACAGCAGGGATATCTGCCCTATTGATCCATTCTTCACTGATCCTACCTCTTTCCCACTCCCGTCGGCGGATCCAACCTACATTGTCGCCAGACTCAAGAGCTACGAACCGAAGCTGTGTTCCGAGAAGGTAGTGAAGACCTTGATTGTGTTTGTCCAGGGTGTATCGGAGAGAGCAGCCATCGATGGGCAGCAAGTATATCTGGTTGATCAGCTCCATACGTCCATGGCAGATATCTACGAGACTGGAGACCCGTGCAAGCCTACTTTGCGTGCAGTCCTCCTACAATGCGTGTTTTCCGCCTATATCGAGTGCGCGTTCAGCAATCCTGCCGCATGGCTCCTCAGTCGACCGATTATACAGACGGTGTCTCTCGTCTTTAAAGACTTGCTGTTTTTCATGGATATCACGGATCCAATGTGTCGGGCTTCCGTCTTAGCTATTCTTGGTGCTGTCTTCCGTTCATCCTACCAAGCCGTTCGGTATATCACAAGGAACCCCCGCATACTTACCGATTTTACTGCGATCACCACACTTACTAGTCTTGTCGAAATGGTTACCTCCGCGATCCCTGTTGTGGATTACATAGATCGAGCGACAGATGTGGGAGGGTGGGCCGTCTCACAAATCGGTGCACTTCGTGGACTTGTTCTTTTTGTCGCGTCTTCCCTTCGTGAACAGCCGCTGGCGAGCGAGGTATTGGGCCTGGTACAATCATCTAAGGCCTTCGATGACAACGGCACTACGAACCAAGCTGTCCCGTCGTTCTTCCATGGTCTTCGCGCTGCAGCAACACATGAACTGCAAGCCTATCTCAACGACAGCTGGTCTCAACATCAGGGAAAGTACTACTTCACTCGGCGTGGCGGTCATCAGCCACAGGAAGTCCAGCTTGAGCCTTCAGTTGCTGCCGAGATTGAGCGCACACCAGTGGCAGCGTTTGAGCAGGCTGTCCAGACCTTTTTGGATACTGTGAGGGCCGTTGATTTATTCGATGAGGCGGATTAACGAGCTCTGCTTGTCAGCTATGCAGTATATACTCGCTGTCGGAAGGCGTTGACTCGAGATCTTTTTATGCCATATATAGATTATGAGATGACAACCGCATTAAATGAATGAAATAAAATGACTTGCAAACTCTTAAACCAATCCTCAAGAAAGGAACCAGTACCGGTCTATTGTTGCAAACTCTGTCGCGAACAACCCATATACCACCCCAAACTTTGAACTGTATGCTGTTCGCCCGCACCAACTCGCACGAGACTTGCTCAGCGTCATCCGCCGAGCATGCGATCTAGTGCCGTCACTTGCTTAGCGTCTCTATCCGTATCATTTCCATGATATTGGTGTGTGTGGTGTGGTGTGGTGTGGTGGATGGACATGGACATACCCTGCACAAGGACACTTTCGGCGGGAGGCACCTCGTCGATGAAGTAGGGTTTCCAATCTATGGAGAAGGAGTCGTTTGAGCCGCCAGGGTAGGTCCTTTGTAGATGTGATTGATTTCTTGTGGTTGGAGGTGGCGATGAGTACTTTCAGTTGAATGGTTACATATATATCTGGGTTGGGGTGGAAAGTGAGGAGGTGTGTAGACTGCTCATGGGCAGATCATGTCTGAGATTATCCCGATTGAGATGTGGTCGTATTGGAGTATGTATAGAACGGTTGAAGTGATAGTTTCTGAGGACGGTTTTTATGCTTGTTGCTTGGGATTTATGGTATGGCGGGTTAGAACTAGGGGATATTGTTATTACGCCGCCAGCGGGCATACGATGCTGGAAATAGACGTTGCCTAGACTGAGACAGGTGGATTGTGCTTTGCCTTGCCTGTGCTGCTTATGAGATGAATAGCAACGTGATTTGGTATAATGGTTTTCGTGCTACATGGGGTTATACACGGCGTTCCATCGTGAGAGCCATATAGCACTGAGTCGTCCATTTCTGATCGTCATACAACTCATGACAGTAAGTAAGGAAGAAGACGTAACATAGACAGAGTAAAACATAAGCCACTCCAGATGATGCATCCTGTTCGCCAAAGACCGTCCGTAGCACCAGTCCAATGCAACCCGAACATGAAATCTCGAAGTCAAGTTCATCACAGCAGACGTAAACTGAAAACTTATTTGCTCGGATGCCCAGCACCCGGAAGATCAGGCCCTCCATCCTTGGGCTGCCCGTCGTGCGCCTCAGGGTGACTGCCATGACTCGAGCCTCGGCGATGGAACGGGTTCGAGTGGAAGCCGGAGAAGTGGAACACCTTCTTCACGGCGCCGACGACGCTCGATCGGCGTTTAGACTCTTGAGATCCCTGTGCATCGCCTGCGGCGCTGCCGTTCTTATGCACGATGGAGTCATCCGGGAGGACGATGGAGGTCGGTTTTGGGGGCCACTGGCCGTCGGACTTCCATCCTTGCACCATCGCCTTGACGACGTCGGCGAGGTTGATGGGCACCGTGGGTGTCAGCGCCTGCACCACCACCTTGGAGTAGATAGACGGATACATGGCAGGCGTGATCGAAGCGCGCACGGCGTTGCTTACGGGGATGAAGGACGGGGCGACAGGTATGAGGGGGTCGCGGACTTCGCCGGCGGACGGAGGAGGTGGTGGAGAGACAGACTCATCATGCGAGGACTCTGGGCCAGGTACGGCCAGGCCCGTCTCCGTCGATTCCTTGGCCGCTTCATCAACAGCTGGATCTGCCTGTGTTTGCTGCGGCTCCCCTTCCTTCTCAGCGATCGCAAGCGAGCTCCCTGTCCGCGCAACAAGATCCGCGGTCCCGTCCCGCTCAGCACCCGTAGCCTGTGTCTCCCCCGGAGTATGCACGGCAGCGCCTCGTTCTCGATCCTCCGTCGCCAAAACCTCCTCCTTCGATCGCGCCCCCGTCCACGCATCCCGCCTCTCAACCCACGTCCGCAATCCGATATTCCACCGCATCTCGTCCTCCTCCAGCTGTCTGCGCCGCTTGCGCCGCCGCTCCCGCGCAGTCACTACCCGCGACGAATCGGACGAGTCACCGTCCAGCTCCCCAGGGCTATCTGGCTCATCCTGCGGCTCTAATTCCGACCCGGAGCTGTCGTATTCGCGGAGTCGCCATTCGAGCCATTGCTGCTCGGGGGCTGCGGGTGTGGCTGATGCCGGCGCGCCAGAAGTGGCCGACGAGGGCTCAAAGGCCCAGTCGTTTCGGACGACTTCGAAGACGTGTCGTTTTGCTTCTCGGATGGCTGCGTCGCGTGCCTCTGCCGACATGGTAGTGAGGCTTTTGTGTGACGGGAGGGGTAGACTAGGTGAGGGGAGGAGCTGCGGAGGGTCGTGTGGGCTGATCGACAAGGTATATTAGAAACGGGTCCGGAGCAGGCCCCTTGCTGTGACCCACGTGGAACCCGTAGAGCACGAGATTAGAGACAAGGGGTTCCTGGAGTGGGAGAGGTGTGTTGTGTGTGGCGGAGTTGCAGCGACTGAAGGGGGCGGGACAGGAGAATTCGAAGATGTCATGGCGACAAAAACAAAGTCCAAACTTTGTGGGTGATGGCGCCGACAGATCAGCAGTCAATAGTCGATACGCTATCTTGCGCTTTCATAATGTATTTAAGAGAAAGAGCACGCAGAATCTGATGAAATATATACTCTTTGTTAGGCAGAATACTAGTACAAGTCCTATCTATCTATACCATGTCGCTAATAGTACACAAGTCGTCACATAAATCCCGAGTCCATACCATGTATTTCTCCTAATCCAAACGAGATTACCCAAGAATTCAGAGCCAAATCGAATATGTTCAAGTCCGGACACGCGCAGCATCCGTTTCAGCCTGCTCCGTACCAAGAGGCATGAATCCCCATCCGGCGCTCTTCTTGCGACGGCCTTTACGATCACCGTACTGCTCGTCGAACTTCCTGATTGCCGACAACGAGGACATATCTTCGCTGATCGACGCGCTAATCTCTTCCATTCCCCGCTCAAAGTGCGCCCGAGTCAATATGCGACGCGCTGGATATTGGTACGGCTCGGGGCCCTGATGTTTGGCCGCGAGGTCGTTCTCTTCTCGAACGCAGGCCAGAGCGGCCGCAACGCAGAGATTCTTCAGATCAGAGCCGGAATAAAGAGGAGTTCGATGAGCCAGCTCAGCTAGATCGACCGACTGATCGAGGGTCTCGTCCTTCAGGTGGATCTTCAAAATGGCCAACCGATCCTGCTCCGTCGGAAGGTCCACAAGAAGCCTTCTTGGGAGGCGTCGAAGGACGGCGTCGTCGAGGTCGAATGGTCGGTTGGTGGCAACCATGATAAATGCAGACATGTCGTTCATTCCGTCCCACTCTCGGAGGAACTGATTGATGAGCTCCCGATGCGAGGTGCGACTACTGGCGCCCGTCCGGGAACAGAAAATGGCATCTGCCTCGTCAATAAAAACCACACATGGGCTTAGTTTCTTCGCCAAGGTGAAAATTGCTTTGACGTTCTTCTCGCCCTCGCCGACATACATATCGTACACCTCGGAACCGCTGACCTCCAGAACAGTCGCACCACTTTCCCGAGCAACGGCCTTTGCAAGCAGGGTTTTACCGGTACCTGGCGGGCCGTAGAGCAATAATCCTGGAATTTTGTCCGTAGCCAAGACTCCATATGTGAAAGCCTCTGGCCGGATGAGGGACAGCGAAGTCAGCGTCTTCAGAGCATCGATAGTCTCTGGTGGGACATGGACGTCGGCAAATGTTGTCCGGATATTGTTGGCATCGACAACGCCATTCAGCAACTTCTTCTCATGGGAGTTGCAGGTTTTACGCAAAGAGTTTAATAAACGCTCCCTGTCGGTACCTGCCTCAGGTGTAGATTTTGGCGTCCGCTCTCGTAGCCAGTCATTCTTGGTTTGGTCTGTCTTGTGCATCATCTCAATACCACGCTGGATGTGTTCAAAACCCAAAGGTTCGTTCGGGCCAACGCTACCAAGGGCAAGTGTTGTCGCCCAGTGGATCTGGCTGTAAGGCCAGTAGCGGTCATCTAAACCGGACTCTTTCACAAGGGACGGAGGTAGTGGCCAAGACCGATTTTCGAAAATGGCATCTTTGACTGCAGAGGCGCTCTCATTCAGTCGAGTACGAAGCATATCCTGCATGTGGCGAATGTTGATGTCCAGCGTACGCCTCTTGCGGTCCTCTGTAAACGTCATTTCCACCACTTTTGACTCCATTCCTGGTGTAATGACCAGCATTTGCGAGAAATGGTCGTCAAAGGCATTTTGCATAAGTCTCGCCGAGTCCGAATCGGGGCTGACTTCCTGCGCCGAGGTGCCAATGAACAGGACTCGAGTGCCGGCCTTTCTCCGATCCATGATAGCTTTTTGTAATAGAGTAATAAACTTAGCACCTTCACGTGCCGCCTGGATTTCCCCATAGTCCTGCACCTGCACGATGACGTCGCGAACGGCGGCAGCCTGAGCCTCCGACGGCGATTCTGGCTCAGATACTGACTTGGACCGCTTGCTGGGTGAGCTAATTAGCTCGTGAACAAGTCGAAGCCGCCTATCTTCGACTCGATCGCTCGGGCTCTGTGCCGCAGCTGTACCATCCAGGGGCCCATTGAACGAGGTCATCAGTGATTTGAGCCCAAGAATACTCGGCAATGGAATATCACCGTTATTACTCGCGCTCGAGATCGTGATAAATTTCGCTCCCTTTAAGCCGGGTCGGAAATTCCTCGGCGGCACCGGAGCGTCGATAAAGTCAGTGTCGTCTGCTTCACTCTCGTTGAGGTTGTCTCCCAAGTCCTGCCACGATTCAGCAATAGACGGCCGATAGACCTCGTAGCCCAGCGACCTGATAGGCGACGTCGCACCGCTGTCCGCCATGTCTTGCTCACTGCATAGCTGAGCAATGTCCTGAGCATCCAGCGTCACAACATCCGCGCCTAGCTCTTGGGCTAATCGCTTCACCACCGCATCCAAAAATAAGATGCCATCCGCACCCGGGTATTGTAGGACGAGGTGCGATTTTTGCGCCGAAGGCTCTTGCGCATATTTGGGTGGTGGAAGCCGTAGGCCTGCTTTAGCAGACGCGCATAGTTCTTCCCATAGCGCTTCGCTTAGGACATACCGATGGCCTGTGTCGCTTTGTGCCTCAGATGGTAACGGGTCGCCTCCATCACCACCCCGGGACTGAGCATGCGCTTCCGCTTTCTTTTCCTTCGTTTCTAAGCGACGTATCTCAACCTGTTGTCGGGACTGTGCAACGGCCTGTTCTTCATCACCATGCAAAACAGTATTTCGTTCACGGAACCATTGCGGGACAGTTGCTACCGGAGCTATGAGATCTTTGCCCTGTCTCCGGTTCCTTAACGCCCTCCGTACACCTGAGCCATAGGGACCCGGATCTTTCTTCACCACTCGTTCTGTTGTTGCTACCGGACTTGTCGAGGGAGCATCTTCGGAGGGGGTATGTTCCGAGTTCAGTGCGGGAATATCGTGAGCGACGCTTTCCGGAGGTGAGTTCCGAGAGTCGCTGGGATCAGATGGTGCGCTAGATAGCCATTTTGGCGTCAGATGAAAGCGACGTGCAGACGAGGCGAGAGTTGGGGGGTAGCGGCGATGGGCGACGAAGCGGCAGGGTCGGGCGAAGGACGAAAGTAGCCTGCCCTGTACCATTGACGAATACATCCGGGGCAAATTCTGCCACCGGAGCTAGGTTATGAGGGTTACGCTGAGTTGCGAATCGCAAACGTCTGCATCAACCAAGTCGTGAGTAAAAGAACGTTGTGACGGTTACTCCGATGCTGATCCTTTTTTGCCGACGGAGAGCTTAGTCACGTGACATAAATTATATGGCTTTGTTTGATGGCTGACAAAGATGGACAAGCTGAACAACGCTTTGCGACTTGACTTTTACTCCGTAGACATTTTGTCGTTTTGTACAGAAGATGCATAGCAGCTCAATTGGCCTACCTGCCCAGAATCATATCTACGAGCATATCCAGAGCTTCAAAGGTAATCTAGACCAAGTAAAAACCAAGGGTAATAAGGGGCTGACGTATGATCGACACTACATGGTTATAATGCGTGATGACCGTATACCGGCGAGAAGCGGAAGATGTACAACGTTTACAAGACACAACAATGAAATTGGAACCGAAGTGGCATTGCTGACTATGAATTATCTATATACGGCTGTTCTATGTGACGGCAAGATAATTGAATCCAGGAAGACAATGCAACAGTACGGTTCGACTCAATTCTTGGACATTCGATAACTGGCACTACACTGATCCGAAGTTAGCAGATATTTCGGACTATATGGCATGCAAAAACAGAGCAATTGAGATAGTTCTCAGACAAAATATACTGGCAAGTAGCAGACCAACCGGGAAAGGGAGGTCCGAAATGTCTCGTCAAGGGCGACTCGGAGAGTAAAGAAGTAAAAAAGGTTTTGTCATCTTCGAAGATGTATTTCATGATCAACAAGAACAAATGGAAATAGTAGACTAACCTTGTCAAATGTCCCATGAGCGTAGCTTCAGAGGTGACCTGATGTGTTAGCAGTGGTATGATCGTGCATCAGGATGTAGAATCAATTCATTGTGATTCAGCCTCCTTCTGCACATCATGCAACGATCAAAGCTTTTCCACAGGCATTATCGAAAGCCCATATTCAGAGATTGAGAAGTCGACAGATTTATCGCCAACAGTGTTGAGAAGATGAAACGGAAGAATCTTTCTGTGGGAGAGAGGCAGGCAGAATAAAAAGAAAAGAAACAAGCGGGAACACGCAACAACCTTTTTCCGGATATCACGTGCCACATACCCCATCCGACCTAGCGGCTTCTGTGATTCGCGCTGGCCGACGGGCGCCGTCCAGCAAAAACGAAAAGCCTCAAAGGGCCGGGGACTCTCTCTCTCGCCTTATGAGTGTGTGTCTTCTTCTGATTTTTACCCTCTGGTCGATCCCCCCAACCTTATCCACCTTAACTGGTGGCAGCTTTTTCCTTGAAAGTTGTACGTGGTTTGTATTGTTCGTGTTTTTCGATTTTGTTTTCTGGATCAAGAAACGAGCGATCATCGAACCTGGCGATCGCGACGGGGTGCCCGTCTGCCTTTCTCTCGCTCTCACTCTCTCGTTGGCCCCTAGCCCCTCCACATCTCCGTCCGGCCTCCTAAACCCATCCCATCGTTATTCCTTATCCTTTTTATTATTGCAACTCTGGCCTGGCCCTCGTTACTCGACAACTGACCCAATTCGGTTTTCGATAATATAGAAGTCGAGTGGCCTGGTGGCTAGAGATTACCAGGGCCCATTTTGACCAATCCATGCGCCAACGACGCTTGTCTAATTTTCAACGATAACGACGCAAGTTCGGTCGCCCGACTGCTGCGTCTTGGCCTCCGCCCCGACGCTAAAAGCGGCCTGTCGTTCCTCCACGTCAAAGAGCGCGCTCTTTTTTGACTTTGACAGACGTCCGCCTTCAATCTAAATTGTCGATATTCTTACTTTATTATTTTATCCACCAGTCCTGTCCCATCCTCAGTGTCACCATCTCTCCCTTTCACCGATTCTAGGAGTCCCGATCTCGGCGACTTCGCTGCATAGCGATGATGATGGCGCAGCCATTTCCTGCCCATCAAGGCATGCCGCAACATCCTGGCCTGCCGCCAGGTCATCCAATGGCCCAAGGACAACATCCTAACGCTCATCCTGGTGCCGGGATGGTGCACCCGGGCGTGTCGGCGCCAGGAGGGCCTCAAGTCACTCAAGGAGGACCGATGATGGGAATGCCTCCAGGCGCTGGAACGACAGGCCCTGGTGGTCCTGTCCAGGCTCATGCACTTTCTCATTTGGGGCCTGCGCAGGCGCATCTGTTCCAACAACCGCAATTTGCTCAAACGTGTACGTCCTTTGTTTCTTTGCTGGACATTGTTAACGTGGAGAGGGTAAACGGTTCTTGCTGACTTGTTTTCAAATAGTTGCCAATAACCCTCAGTTGCTACAACAACACCAGCACCAACAACAGATCCTTCGACAGCGCATGATGTTTCAGCAGCAGCAAGCAGCTCAGCAACAGCAGCATGCAGGTCTCCCAGTGTCATTACCCAATGGCACTCAGGGTTTAAACGCTGCTCAATTAGCCGCCATGCAAGCGAATTCGGGAATGCGACCGGTAAATCTACAAATGCACCTTCAACAAATGCCTCATGGCCCTCAGAACATTCAGCAACAGCAGCAACAGCTCTTTGCTATGCAGCAGGCTCAGCAAGCGCAACAGGCACACCAGGCACACCAGGCGCAGCAAGCTCAACAAGCCCAGCAAGCTCAACATGCCGCGGCGGCCGCCGCTGCAGCAGCCGCGCAACCGGGTCAGCATACACCGCAGCAGCGTCATGCGGCACATCCCCAGAATATGCATGACGCTCAAAGTGTAACACCTCAGCCGCAACCTCCACCACATCAAGGAAGCAGCACGCCTCAGCCGAACCCTCCTCAACCTCCCTCCAGTCAGCCTCAGCAGCAGCCAGGTGCTGCTCCCCAACCGCATCCGACACCAAACCCGGCCCCGCAACAGTTGCCGCAGGCTCAGCAACCCGGCCAGCAGCACCAACAGCAGCAGCAACCACCGCAACAGCAGCACCAGCAACAACAACAACAACAACAACAGGGACAACCGCAAGGCCAGCAGCAACAAATGACTCCCCAGGAGGCTCAAATGAAGGCCCAGCAGACTCAGAATCAAGCCGCCATGATGATGCAGCAGAGGATGGGCATGAAAGGCACTTCGATTCTGGCCTTGCTCACTTTTGCGGAGCATTTGAGTAACTTTAGCGTACGTCGTAATTTGTCGCAATATGCGAGTGCTTTTTGATTAGAGATTGTGCTAACTTGACGACAGAGTCGCGGCGAAGCCCAGGATTTGCTGTATTGGCAAGCATTTGTTGATAAATTCTATTCTCCGGTTGGCGTTCTCCGACAAGGGGTGTACAATCCCCAAGCGGGTTCGAAACAATTCGAGATCTCGACGCCGGCCCTAGCACGGTATTATCTGACTCAATTTACGAGTGGAATCCGTCAGATTCAGATGCTGGTTGAAGGTGCGCGCGAGAGAGATTCGCCCAATGGTGGTCGCATTGTGGAGAGTCGCAGGACGTCGTTTATCTACTGGTTCACCAATGATTCTCAGGTTTGTTTACTATTCGCCTTGGTTTTGGGATACGCTTCTAACTTTCTCGAAAGCTATTCACCAATGGGACACTTATAGCGCACTTCGATCACAATAACAAGATCGAAATGCTTGACATTGTTGTGATGAATCATACCGAGTATCTTCCGCGGAGCCAGCTACAGGCGCTGGAATTGTCAGAGCAGAAACAGAGCCCGAAAGTCTCCAAGAATATGGGCAAACGGGCCCAGCAGAAGCAGGCCCAGCAAGCCGCACCGTCTCTGCCCGAGTCTATGGTCACAGCAAATGGTGTGCCAACGGCGGTCATGAGTTTCTTAGAAGTGGCGGAGACTATCTCGCATATGCAGATGCTGTTCCAATTCTCGCAGCAGAATCCACAATTTTCGCCTCCTGAAGCACTACGGAATCTGGTGAACACGCTGCAGAGCCAGAATCCCAATCCGGGGTTCATGCCCAGCCCCATGAACCCGGCAATGCAGCAAGGCCAGAATCTACGAGGACCCCAGATGAACGGACCTAATCAGTTCGCATCCCCCGCAATGGCTCATCTCGGGTTGCCCGGTCAAGGCTCTCCTCACCTTTCAGCCCACCCGAGTCCGGCCCAGAGCCATCTCGCCGGCCCCCTGGCATGGTACAACAGGGGCAGATGCAGCCCAACGTTGGCCAGGTCACCAGTGCTAGTGCCAGCCCGCAAGTGACCAACAAGCGTCGACGGGCCAGTACCGTCAAGGTGGAGAACGACGATACTGGTGGTGCGGAAGTCAATGGAACTGCTCCCCAAGGCGCGGGCAAAGTCAAAGCCAGTCCCCGGGTCGGCGGGAAAAGACAGAAGGGTACTGCGTAATACTAGAGATGGTTTCCGTTTCCGCCTGGGGTCCATTCATCTCCTTTATTGTCCTTTTATTGATTCATTACCGTTCCATTTCAGTCTCAAGAAGCGGGGAACTGGCGTACCATAGGATACCTGTTTGAGGCTTTTCTTGCTCTTCTTTTTTTTTACGAATCTGGGTGCGTTTCATCTTCATCTCGTCGCTTGAATATATCGGATGGTACGTTGTTTTGTTATATGTTCGATTCCTCTTTTCCGCTCCTGCATCGCATGCGAATCCGCTGGCGACTACTCGGTACCGGTTGTCTGCATCACACCAGCGAGATGGATGGGAACTATTTCATCTCTTGTCCTGAGTCGCAAGTGGGATCCCCACGGCAATTTTTCACGTTGAATATGAGGTCTCCTGATACAAACTGATATCAGCCTAATGTACTTTATCTACTTGCTCGTTTTCCATCTGAGGCTTTTGGTTTGGACTTGTTAATTCTGGACTTGGATCGACCATTCTATGAGCTTTTGCTTTCCTCGACGGTTTTGAGGAATGATTATCTTTTGGGTCTTTGAGCTCGATTCCCTAGCGTTGATGATAATTGACATTGAACGCCAGTCCGCTTGCTTCTGATATCCGTGCTATACAGTCCCATCTTTTGATCTGGCGTCAGGTGCTTGCTTGCTCCTTTGAAGATTCCGCTTCTCTGCTATCGTTTGCTTGCTATAGCTGTGTGACTCTAAGACGGGGATGCGAACGAATAGCCATCATCTTGCTTCTGACTTGCCTGCGCTTGTAGGGGTCCGCACCTTCCAACTCATAACTCGACTCAGTAGATAGACTAACGTTTGACTCAAACCGTGGCCCCGTAGCTTTTCTTTCAGTGATAGGCGGACTAGATTTACGGGACTCAATCTACTTCTTATCGGTGATATGCGCCACGTTCTTTACACATGTGCAGACAGACGGCGGTTTTTGCTATGGCTTGCGAAGACGAAAAGATATAATCGGACACAAATTCTATATGATCTTACTGCGATGAATCAAGCCTTATCAAGGTTTCAAACAAACTAACATGTCTCATGTAATGTCATCGGAGTCGCCCGTCTTGGCCAAGTCCCCAATGCAGCTCTCTCTGGGGCTGCCCCTCACCCCGAGATAACGAGCACCCCTCCATGGAGCCACTACTTTTCTCACCCTTTCTGCATTGAAATTTCCCTTGCACATCACTTTCAACCAACAGGAAAAACACCATGTCACACTCCCACTCCCATGACCACGGCGTGAGCCATTCCCACGATGACCCCTTCAACGGCCACGGCCACTCTCATGAGATCCTCGACGGGCCGGGTTCATACCTGCAACGCGAGATGCCATTGATTGAAGGCCGCGACTGGAAGGACCGCGCCTTCACCATTGGTATCGGAGGGTATGTTTTCTCAACTTTGATTCGGTTTACGCTACGCTATATACTAATCCCCATTGCCATTCAGACCCGTCGGATCCGGCAAGACGGCGCTGATGCTCGCGCTCTGCCATGCCCTGCGAGACCAGTATAACATTGCCGCTGTGACGAATGATATTTTCACGCGGTAGGGTTTAAGTCCACGACTACCCGTATCACCGCTATACCCAATACTAATTCGTGTTTTGACAACAGCGAAGACGCCGAGTTCCTCACGCGGCACAAAGCCCTCTCGCCCAGCCGCATCCGCGCGATCGAGACAGGCGGGTGTCCGCACGCCGCTGTCCGCGAGGACATCAGCGCTAATCTACTCGCCCTGCAGACGCTCCAGAAACAGTTCCAGACGGATCTGCTCCTGATTGAGTCGGGGGGTGATAACCTCGCTGCGAACTACTCGCGCGAGCTGGCGGATTTCATCATCTATGTGATTGATGTAGCGGGGGGTGATAAGGTGCCGCGTAAGGGCGGGCCGGGGATTACGGGCTCGGATCTGCTGGTTGTGAATAAGATCGATCTGGCTGAGGCGGTGGGGGCGGACTTGAAGGTTATGGAGAGGGATGCGGCGAAGATGAGGGAGGGGGCCCGACGGTTTTTGCGGTGGTGAAGCATGGGAAGGGGGTGGATCATATTGTGAATTTGATTCTGAGTGCGTGGAAGGCGAGCGGGGCGTATGAGGCTAGTTTGGAGAGGTGGAAGAATGGGGCGCCGAAGAATTCGGGGAGTGTGGATGAATAGGCAGCCTCGTTCTACGATTTGAGCGGGATTTATATATGATATGCATGTGTAAATGTACATTCAATGACTGATTGACGATGACTACAAACGACTGTCACTTTTGCCCAGTACCCAACCTTACCAACGCCCGGAAAATGCAGGAACAAGCTGAGAATGAGAACCGATGGTCCATGAGAAAACTGGGAACTGGGTATCTATCATCTCTCGCGGGAGATGAACAAGGAAGCAATCAACATGCTGCAAAACATCCAAGACTTGACGCCAATCAAATCCCCTTCTGGGCGAACCGCGCCAACGCAGGACCCAGGTCCTGCCGCTCGGCGCGGAGCTTCTCCTTTTGCCGTGCAGCGTGCTCCTTGCGCAGCATCTCCGCCTTGACGCGCTTGTCGTCGATGACATTGCGCCGGCCCTTCTTGCGGAGGTACTTGCGCAGGGCGCTGTTGCGGCCGCGGCCGCGGTTCTTGAGCTTCTCGATGGGGTCCACGGGCCGGCGGTCGAGATCCTTCTCCTCGCGGTTCTTCTGGTCGCGGATCGTATCCAGCTTGCCGACAAAGTTGGAGTCCAGGGAGATCATCTCGGGCTGCAGCTTGTTGAGCAGCGCGCGCACCTCGGCCTCCTGGCGCTGTTTCGTGTTCTCGTACGGGTTGACCTCGAGCGCGTCGAAGTTGGGCTCTCCGGCGCCGGGGACCAGGATGCTGGCGAATCCCTTGTCGTGCGCGACTCCCAGGACGTCCTCGTATGGGCACCAGCGCAGGTTCTCGATGCGGTGGCCGTCCCCGCCCCAGGCCATGTAGGGGCTCTTCACTTTGCCCTGGTCTGCCTGTGCCGCGTCGAAGAGGCCGCGCCACACGCTCACCTGCGTCCCCCAGCCGACTGCGGTCAGACCGCGGTCACTGATCGAGACCGATGCTCCGGGCTGGTAGCACGAGTAGGAGTGCACCTCCCGGAACATCCGGATGTCCCACACGCACATCTTCTGGTCCTGGCCCGTCGACACCATGTACCGTCCTTGTCTGTCCACCGCTAACGAGCGAACGGGGCCGCGGTGCACGAGGGCTTTGACGAGGTTGGTTTGGGAGTTTGGAGACCACAGCGTAACCGTTCCATTCTGATGCCCGACGTGCATGATGGCGTTCATTGGGTTCTGGCAAAGCGATGTCGGGGCGCCGAGTCGTGTGGGAAGTTCTGCCACCATCTGGCCGGTCGATGTGTCGGTGTACTTGAGATGACCGCTCATTTGCTGTGTAGACATGTGTTAGCAATTTCAGCAATTCCAGGTATCAGATCCGAAAAGGTCAATCTTACAGCGCCCACGAGAAGGAAATGGTAGGGGAGAAAATCGAGGAAGACCGGTTCGATGTACTTGTTAAGACAGTGCAGCTCAACACCGGCGTGGTCGTAGATGTAGACGTGCTTCCTCTGCGCAACCGCAAAGTACTGATTGTTATGCAACCACCGAGCATCGCGAACTGTCTCTCCCAGTTGCAGCTCACAGCCCAATTTGCCATTCCGCCAGTCCATCGTCGCAACATGCCCCTTCCGGCCAGCCATAAGCAGCTCCCGACCGTTCCTTGTGTAGTCCGCCCGGTATGGGCCCAAATCTCCCAACTTCAACTCGAATCCCTTCTTCGCCGTCTCGATAGCGACATTGTCGCGGATCTCATCCTGTCGCACCTTATATGTCCGTTCGAGCTCCCCTTCAGGCTCCAGGAATCCCGCCTCATGCTCAAGCAGAATTTCCGCATCTTTCGCCTTGAGAGCGGCTGCCTTGAACTTTGCCTCCACAGCCTTCAGATTGCTGCGTAGCTTCCTATCCCGCACGCTCTGTACATTGATGGGCTTGCCACGTCCGTAGGTTTTTTGCGCTTCGACTACCCGTTTGCTCTTTTCGCGCTTGCCGGTCGGCGCGACGGCCATCGTCGGTGCGGATTCAGACATTTACTTCGTTCCTCCAATATTTCAAGTAATCTAGAAAACCCCGAAGGAGAAACGGGAAGAAATTGAACTGAGCGAGAAGTATTGCCGACTGAAAAGGGATCGGAGGTAAGGTTATCTGCGGGTCTTGAAGGAAAATTCATGCCAAGATTTCACCCTCGCTTGCCCACACCTTAAACTGATAGATAATTTTTTTTTTTTCGCTGGCAGAAAAGACCCGCTCTCCGAGATCTTGTCTTGTCTATCGTCCATCGGCTTATCGTGCTAGATAGAGTCTTTAAGATTTTCGTCAAATCTATTTTCTTTAGACATATAACTCTCTGTCTATTTCTATAGCAAACTGGACTCTCTTCCTTTTCGTTTCAAAGGGTCCAGCGGTGCCAACATGGCGCCCACCCAGACGGTGCATCATCACCGCTCAACTACCAAAACACCCCACAAGCCATTCAAGTCCAAGCATGCCTCGAAGAGTGCTCTGAAAGACATCAACAAGGGTATGATTGCATTAATCTGCGTTAATATTACTACTCTGGAACGACTCTAACTGCGATATCTGTGATCAGGCAAGGTCGAGCGGGGTACTCGCAAGACCCCTCACCAGCAACTCATGTCGAAGCTCGATCGTCGAAACCAGGCTCGTCAAAAACAGCAGCTGAAGCATCAGGAAAAGGCACAGGCCAACAGTATCTTCACCGGAGCGAACGGTGCGCCCCGTCATGTCGCAGTCGTGCCGCTTTCCGCCGATATCGATGTCGCTGCAGTCCTCCGGTCTTTGAATGAAAGTGTGGACGTTTCGGTCGATGTTTCTGCGGACACGATCTCTCGTGTGCGCATTGATCGCTTCAGACAGAGCCTGCAGTATATTCCCGCGAAATTTGACTTAATGGGCGCTTTGGATGTGTGCCGCATGGCGGATTTCGTTGTCCTGGCATTGTCCTCGGAGGTGGAGGTAGAGGAGCAGGGGGAACAGCTGTTGAGATCGATCGAGGGCCAGGGTATTTCGAATGTTGTGGCTGTCGTTCAGGTATGTCGGGGTTCTTGGCTTTCGGATCGTCGGGTTAGTAGACTAACCGTGGGTTTATTTTCTAGGGTCTCGACAAGATCAATCCTCCCAAGAAACGTCCGCAGGTGGCCTCTTCCCTCAAATCATTCATCAACCACTTCTTTCCTTCTGTCGAAAAGGTGCTGTCTGTCGACTCGAGACAGGAATGTTCGAACGTCGTCCGGTCCCTGTGTACCGCAACACCAAAGGGTATCCGCTGGCGGGATGAGCGGAGCTGGATGCTGGTAGAGGAGATGAAATGGCCCGAGGCCACAACAGAAGTCGTCGACGACGTTGTTTTGACCGGTATTGTCCGCGGACAGGGACTAAAAGCCGACCGTCTCGTCCATATCCCTGGATGGGGCGATTTCCAGATCGATTCGATCACTGCAGCACCACTCCCGGGTGCCCGAGCGAAGCGCGATGATGCCATGAATGTTGATGAGAATGAGGCCCCACAGGTCCTGGATGTTCCCACCGCTGACCGCGACGACCTCGCCACTGTGGCTCCCGAGGAGATCGAGATGGAGGAGGACGATATCTCTGTCGCCGAGACGGAGCGCAAGGGTGTCCTCCTAGATGACCACCATTACTTCTCAGATGATGACTCCCATCTGCCCACGCGCCCCAAGAGACTGCCCAAGGGAACGTCAGAATACCAATCGGCATGGTTTGTCGATGATGTCTCCGACAGCGGCTCCGACATTGAGGAGGAGGAAGAACAGGACGAGGCTATGGCTATGGATACCGCTGGAAACCCCGAGGACGGCGTGTTCCCGGATCGTCAGGATGCTATGACAGAAGCTGGACCTTCTGAGTACCCTCAGTCCGAGATGTTCCTTGACCCCTCGCCGGAAGACGAAGCTCAGCAACTGGAGGAGTATCGGGCCAGTCGCCGCAAGGAAGCGTCCGAGGACCTGGAGTTCCCAGACGAAATCGAACTTCATCCTAACGTGCTTGCGAGAGAGCGGCTGGCTCGATTTAGAGGTCTGAAGAATTTCAAGACTAGCGCTTGGGAGACTGCTGAGGACCGTCCGCATGAACCAGAGGACTGGCGCCGGCTGCTGCAGATCGTGGATTACAAAGGCTCCAAGAACAGAACTCTCCGTGAAGCTCTGGTTGGCGGTGTGAACCCTGGCATCAGGGTTGATGTCCACTTGCGCGGAGTGCCGTCCTCGCTCCGTAACCGCCGGCAGCCCCTGTCTCTCTTCTCACTTCTCCGCCATGAGCACAAGCATACCGTAGTCAACGTGAACATGCACTTGAACTCTAGCGTTGAGGAGCCCCTCAAGTCCAAGGAGGAACTCGTCGTTCAATGCGGCCCCCGCCGTCTGATCGTCAAGCCGATCTTCTCTGCTGGCGACAACACTCCGAATAACGTGCACAAGTTCGATAGATTCCTTCACCCCGGGCGCAGCGCGATTGCTACCTGGATTGGACCTCTCACATGGGGCGCCGTTCCCATCCTCGTTTTCAAGAGCAAGCAAAACCAGGATCCCGAGGTCCTCGACTCGGCCGACGCCGACGCAGAGGCCCCGATCGACATCGACAACCTGGAGCTCATCGGAAAGGGCACCGTCGTCGCCCCGGACCAGTCCCGCGTTGTCGCGAAGCGAGCCATCCTCACGGGTCATCCGTTCAAGATCCACAAGCGAATCGTCACCGTCCGCTACATGTTCTTCAACGCGGAGGACATCAACTGGTTCAAGGCCCTGCAGCTGTGGACCAGGAGAGGGCGCAGCGGTTACATCAAGGAGAGTCTCGGTACGCACGGTTACTTCAAGGCTACTTTCGATGGCAAGCTCAATCCTCAGGATTCGATCGGCATCAGTCTGTACAAGAGAGTCTTCCCCAGGAAGGCCCGGGCTCTGGAGGAAGTTGTTGCATAGATTGGTGCTGGCATGGAGGATTTTATTTGATCAAGTTTTACATGAAGGATGACATGATACCACAAAAGTTACATTGCATCGTTGGATATTTCGCGAGGGCTCACAAAGCATTTCCACGTTTCCACGTATATAGACGAAGCATTAGATCCGACTTGCAAATTCAGAGCGTCTAATCTGGATTCGTTCCGACTATTTTGTTTTCCAAGGCAAAGTAGATAATGTACGAATCATCCAAGGTTTAGGATCAGGGGGTAAATGATAGATGCAAGCAACATCACAGGATTATTGTTATCTCCTTGATGTATAGAATTGAATATAAAACCGGTACAAGGCACGCATGGATTTGGATCATCACAACATCATCTAGCATAATCGACAAATATCCGGATAGTCCAACCAGGGACACAATAAATTCAACCCTTGTTCAGCTATCAAACACTATAACGAGAATTACGCGAGGCAAGCTTAAGAGAAATCTTCCTCCGCCTCTTCGATATTGCTCTTAATGCGCAGCAAGAGAGTAGTCTTCCACTTGTCCAGCTTGCTGAGCTGGTCATACTGGAACAACTTATCGGAGAAGGCTTCCTGGTCATTGGCCTCGATAGCCTGCACCAGATCAACGAGCAGCTGGTGCTCTCGCGTCGAGGCAAATGTAGGATCGGTGTCGCGGTAACTCTCGAGGGCGCGGTTCGCGGCGACAATGTCCTGCAAGACGAATAAGCAAGGGAAGAAAAGCTGGGGTCGTCGAATCGAGACATACCTTGCTTGCCAGATGGCAGATACCCGCCTTCAGGAAGTAGTCCTTGACTGACCACTTCATGAGATTATTGGTGATGGACGACCGGCCGATCCTCTCGTAGTTCTCAATGGCCTTGTAGTAGTCTCCCTCGAGGGCGGCCAGATCCGCAACCTTCAAGTAGTGCTTGTTCGCGAGCCTGTACGCAGTACTGGTCAGTACCGCTAGTTGTGCTACAGTTTGTACGACGGAAAAGCCACATACGCTTCCGCATTGTCACCGTCAAACCACTCCGCGGCTTTCTCGTAGGCTTCCAGCGCCTTCTTCGCATCGCCCAGTTCAACCTCGTACACCTCTGCCAGATGCTGCTGCTGTGTGGCGGCCCGGCGCAGATTCCCCTTTAATACGTAGTGCTGAATCGCCGCCGAGAGCACGCGAGCGGCGTCCTCGGGGTCAGATTTGCGGTAGACCTTGAAGGCTTCTTGCAACGTGTTTGCTGCGTCGTCTGGCTCATTGAGGTTTTGCTTCTGGATTGCGGCGGCCTTTTCGAATGCCAGCCCGGCTTCTTTGTCTGATCATCGAGAGGGTAACCTGTCAGTGACATCCCTGGGACTCGAGGAAGATGGAAGCGGGGCAGATGCGCGTACTCAGCTTCTGCACTCTGAAAGCGTTTGCGGCCTGGGTATACAAATCCGCAGCGTTCTCGTACTTTTCTGTCTTTCCGCCGAAGAAGCTTAGTCCGCTTGAGGCGCCTTGCAGCGCTTTGTCTGCCTAGAGAGACGATAATGTCAGTGATCGTCACTTGGGGTCCTGAAAGCGGGGAATGGAGGTTACCTTCTGAAGCAGGACTCGGGGGTCTTGAGCCATCGTAAATGGTAGACACACTGTGTGAAGCTATACCAGACGGAAAAATATTATTTTGAGTACTTGAAATCGAATAGAAATGATGGCAAGTGACCACGTGGGGAATAGATGGATTTCATGAAGCTGAGCTTGGGGTAAATCGAGATGCGGCATGCCCGCCTAACGTAGGCGGTGGGCCTTTTTTCGGACCTTCTTGCGTTGCTTGTTTTCGCTGACATCAACGCTGCTCTGCCAATCAACAAAGCTCAGTTCGAGATCGTCTCTAGGATATTACTTATATTATTGAATCTGTATATCTTTCAACAAACAACATTCATCTGCGCAGTTACCGGCAACTTCAATAACCAAAATGCTGCTCCGCCCGAGTTCTCGGATCGTTCCCGGTCTGCTTCCAAGACATGCTCTGAGGTGTAGAGCTTACGGTTCTCGCCCTTATTCTTCTTACAGGTCGGACGAGGTGGACATTGATGCTATTCTCGCGAAACCTAGCTGGTCCGTTAAGTCACTACTCCCCAGTGAATCCGCCATAGAGTCCACCACGGTCACTCCAAAACAGCTACATCATCTGCTACGTCTATCAGCTCTACCGCAGCCCGCCAGCAAAGAAGAAGAGGATGCGATGATTAGGACTCTCGAGTCCCAGATTCAATTCGTAAAAGAGATCCAGAGCGTCGATGCGACCGGGGTCGAGCCCCTCCAAGCTATTCGAGATGAAACCCCGGAGGCGATCCAGGAGAACACGATCGGACTAGAGCAATTGAAGGAGGCCATGTCCAAAGAAAGAGTCGTAGGTCGAAGCAGGAGGATACATCGCGTTGGGAGCGCCAGAAATGACCGTCCGGATGGAGATGCTTGGGATGGGAATGCGCTTGGCTACGCGTCCAAGACTAAGGGGAAGTTCTTTGTCGTTGAGACGGGCAATGAATCTGGCAATTGATCCAGAATGACTCTTTCCCAAAACCTATGGCAAGTACTACGGCACAATGGCCTGCTTCATCTCGCGCGCGACGGGTTGCACCCCTGCTATGAGAGACCGTACGATACTACTGTGCTGAGTCAGCATCGGATGACTTCATTAGATCTCGACAGTCAACAGCATTTCTCCACTTAACCACCTACGAGTGAAGACAACGCGGGGACTGGTTGATTTTCTTCGAGTTAGTTTCACTTCGGCGCTTCTTTTTATCAATGTGGAAATCTTTCAAAGAAAAGCATGCCAGCAAGTTTGGGGGAGGCTCGACTGAAGCGGCAGACTCGGATCGCGGCCAAGATCTGAGCTCGATATTGGATCGATCCCAGCGCGGGGAATTGACAGTGCTTGTCGCGCTGATCGCACAGCGGATGCGAGATGCAATTGAGCAAAACTTCTCCAATGGCACGCCTCTGCCAGGCCAGTCGGCCAACTCCGAAGAAAAAGGGACAGGCTTTCTTCCTCAATCTACAGATGCTCAAGACCAGTCATCCCCCAGCAGCGCAGCGAAGAGCTCAAGAACCAACCCTAAATTTAAAGATCCCGAGACCGCGACATGCGCTCTATCCCGTTTTGACGACTGGAGAGACTCTGTCCTTCTTCGGATTGGTGAGGTCGTCAACAGGGATCCAGAGAATGGGGAAGTCCAGGCGACGAACCAGAACCCGCCGTCAGAAAAGCAATCCCAGCAGATCCGCTCAAAAGAGGACGACCGTTCCATGCGTAAACTACGTGAGGTCTTCCCACCGCTGGAGACCAGCCTCTCCCAACTGCCAGAAGCAAAGAAACTCTTAATACTTCACTCATTGCTACTCCTAGTCCTGAGTCTTGAACATTATAATGCCTGGTCTCGCGTCCTGATGCTGTACGTTGCGTCGAGCTTAGGGCTGGATGTGAAATTACTGAACGAAGACGAAGTCAAAGTGGCGAGGGGCTTGCTCGACACTGCTCTGGCGCTGTCTTCTAACGCCCAGACGCAGGATGAGCCCCGAAATCGCGATTCATCCCGAAAGTGGAAGGTCGGTATCGCGTCTGTTGCCGGTGCTGCCCTGATCGGGATCACCGGTGGACTGGCTGCACCGCTTGTTGCAGCTGGGCTCGGAACTGTCATGGGCGGCCTTGGGCTTGGAGCCACCGCCGCGGCGGGGTATCTCGGTGCCCTCGCTGGAAGTGGTGTTGTCGTCGGCGGACTTTTCGGTGCTTATGGCGGGCGGATGACTGGCCGGATGGTTGACAAGTACGCGCGGGAGGTGGATGATTTTGCCTTCTTGCCCATTCGTGGGTCTCGACATCGATCCGAGGACGAAAGAGAAGCTGCGCAGCAGGATCATCGACTTCGGGTTACTATTTGCGTGACAGGGTGGCTGACAGAGGAGGATAACTTCGTGATCCCCTGGCGCGTGATCGGAGCGGAGTCGGAGGTGTTTGGTCTCCGTTGGGAAACCGAGCCTCTGATGAATCTGGGAAGTGCGCTTGATCTGTTGGTGACCAGCGCAGCATGGACTGCCGGTGAACAAGTCCTAAAGAAGACATTCCTCTCCCAACTCTTGACCGCTGTCGCCCTGCCGCTTGGCCTTCTCAAGGTCGCACGTGTGGTGGACAATCCGTTTAGCGTAGCCAAAGCTCGGGCGGACAAGGCTGGGGAAGTTCTTGCGGATGCTCTTATCAGTAAAGTGCAGGGCGAGCGACCAGTCACTCTCATAGGATACTCCTTGGGGTCTCGAGTGATTTTCGCTTGCCTTCAGAGCCTGGCGAAACGGCGCGCGTTCGGCTTGGTGGAATCCGCAGTTCTGATGGGGGCTCCCACTCCGTCGGATACCGAGCAATGGTGTCGCATCCGCAGTGTTGTGAGTGGACGCCTTGTCAACGTGTTCTCTGAAAACGACTCCGTGCTGGCTCTCTTGTACCGAACCAGTAGCCTCCAGCTTGGGGTTGCAGGCTTGCAGCCTGTTGAAGGCGTGTCAGGAGTTGAGAATCTGGACGTCAGCGACCTGATCAGCGGACATCTCCGTTACCAGTTTCTTGTTGGCAGGATCTTGAGTGTCGTTGGGCTCGAGAGCATTGATGCTCGCGAAGTAGCACGGGAGGAAGCCGCATTGGAAGCCAAGGATCGAAGGCAGGTGCAGGAAAGGGCTCATAACGAACGACAGGCTGGAATCATGAGCGATGGTCGGTCACCAAGCCAGCAGCTGGAAAGCCAGGAGGGTCTCCATGGCGAAGAGGACAGACTACAGAAAGAGATGGAGGGAAGAGCACGAACGCGGCACTCTTAGATAGTACGCCTCAAAGACAATGGAATAATAGCTATGGTGATCTGTCCTTGTTTTGGTTTATATTATAGATGGACTTCTAAAATCATTGTCCCACGATGCTCGAAGCAGTGGGAAATGACACATGAGGGACGCGCCAACCAGGTCAGTCAGCGATAGCAGTCCACCCTCGATAAACTTGTCAACAGCAGCTAATATCCGACAGATCCGAGACAGTTCATTTGGATTTGAGGCTAAATTTGAGGCTAAACATGGCCAACCAAGCTTCCAACCAACCCCGCCAGTCACTGGGGCCGCAAAGCTTGGTCTAGTGAAAGTAGCCGATCACTAGTCCAGGCAACCGTGCATCAATGGCCTGTACGCGATAATGATCCCTGGTTTACGAAGCCTGTCTGTCGCTAAGCGAGGCCACTGATTCCAACGGTCTCTCTCTAGTGCTTGTCTCCCTGCAACCAGGCATGGTATGATTTGTCGGCCATTAGTGCCCTGTCGTGAGTCAGGCAGTGCTGGTCAGCGTTACATTCGAATAGATTGAGCGTCTTACGGGGGACATATTAAATAACACGCAGCTGCCTGGCCCTCTGTTCTCTTTTCCTTTCTTTACTTTGGGCCTGACGTTCGTTACGAGTCTATTTGTGTCTCTTTGCAGCCTTGGCTTATCTTTCCAATTTACTATACAAGTCAATCCGGCTACCTTCGCTCGTTCTTAGCAGCAATGAGATACTCTCTCGTAGCGTGGGTTTCCCTGCTATCTGGATGCGCTATTGCTGCTGTTCCAAACGTTCAAATCAAAGCAAGTACTTGATTGCATTAGGCGCAAGAGGAAAGCTAACCTGAGCATGATAGGGCTCCAAGTTCTTCTACGCGAATAATGGAAGCGAGTTGTGAGTATTGTCCCTCACTCACAGTGCAATGACTCATTCTTCTTAGTTACATTCGAGGTGTAGCATACCAAGGTATGTTAGCAACCACTGCCCATCCAGGATGCAACTAAATGAAATAGAGGACTACAGCGGCGGAGGAGCCGGGGGAACAGGCCAGTCCGATGCCAACTATGTCGACCCCCTGGCCGACGGCTCCAAATGCGAGCGCGATATCCCCTATCTCCTGCAGCTGCGGACCAACGTGATCCGGACGTATGCCGTCAACCCGTCCTTAAACCATGATGCGTGCATGCAGAAGTTGTCTGATGCCGGGATCTATGTCATCACGGATCTGGCGTCACCGGACGAATCTATCACGTCCAACTCTCCCGTCTGGACAGTCGACCAATACGCCCGCTACACCAGCGTCATCGACGCATTCCAAAAGTACGATAACGTGATTGGCTTTTTCGCCGGCAATGAGGTGGTGAACCAGGCGAATCAGTCCGCCGGCGCTGCATTCGTCAAGGCTGCCGCGCGAGACATGAAAGCCTACATCAAGACCAAGGGATACCGGCAGTCGCTGGCAATCGGATACGCCACCACCGACAACCCGGAGATCCGGCTTCCGCTGTCCGACTACCTCAACTGCGGCGACCAGGCCGACGCGGTCGACTTCTTCGGCTACAACATCTACGAATGGTGCGGCGATCAGACCTTCCAGACCTCGGGCTACGAGAACCGCACCGACGAGTACAAGGACTACTCCATCCCCATTTTCTTCTCCGAATACGGCTGCAACACAGAGAAACCGCGCAAGTTCGCCGACGTGCCCGTGCTCTTCGGCCCGCAGATGGACAATGTCTGGAGTGGCGGCATCGTCTACATGTACTTTGAGACAACCAACGACTACGGCCTGGTCTCCGTGTCCGGCTCCTCCGTCACCCCGGAACCAGACTTCGCCTACCTCTCGTCCGAGATGCAAAGCGCCACGCCCACCGGGGTCAACAGCGCCAGCTACTCGCCGACCAACTCGCCGCGCGCCTGCCCCACCGTCGACGACACCTGGCTCGCCAAATCCAGCCCCTGCCCCCGGTCCCCAACGCAGAGCTTTGCAATTGCATGGTAGCCAGCCTGTCCTGCGTAGTGAAGGACTCCGTCGACGCCGACAAGTACGGCAAGCTCTTCGGGCAGGTCTGCGGCTACGGCAGTGGGATCTGCGACGGGATCGCGCATAACGCCACGACGGGCTCCTATGGCGCCTACAGCGTCTGCACGAGCAAGGACCAGCTGTCGTATGTGTTTGATCGGTACTACAAGAGCCAGAAGAAGGCTGCCTCCGCGTGTGACTTTGCCGGCGCGGCGTCGGTGCAGTCGCCCAAGGGCGAGTCGGCGGACTGTAAGTCGCTGGTTAGCCAGGCGGGTTCCGCGGGCACGGGAACGGTCACGTCCCAGCCGACGGGGGGCAGCGGTACTACCGGTGGTAGTGGCAGCGCGGCCAGTACGTCCACGTCCAAAGGTGCGGCTGCGGGTGCTGTGAGTCCTGCTGCGGTCCGGGTGGGCGGATGGCCGTTTGTTGTGTATGGGGTTGTTGCTGCCATGGCTGGTGTTTTGATGATTTCTCTTTAGTCAGTAGATGCATGGTTGCACAGTTGGTAGTAGAAGGCAGCGACGGCTCATTGTCTATTGATATCTAATTACCGGTAGACTAGATGGTTTCTTGACGATGTACTCCTTAGCCTAGAATACATTACCCATAGAGATAGTGGTATAATATCTCCGCCTGTGCCATTTGTAAAAGACTTGCAGAAAGTAGCCATGAACCCCAGCCTGTATCCCAATGCAGTACGTTGCGGGGGACCAGTTCCTTCCATCCAGCGAACAATTCCAGCGGAACAGTGAAAGAATAATAAGCACCAGACTCCCACCCTCCACCCTCGAGGGAAACATTGCAAAAGCATGCAAAACGGAACCCCCCCACCCTTCAGCTTCTGCTGCATAACAACCGTTCCAACGGATATGAAATATGAACGTTCGCTCGTCCTTCTCAGGCTCCCCTTATGTTTTCATCCAAGAGGGAAGTGTATTCCGTCCTCGATGGCGAAGTCCTGACTGCCACTATCGCCTGGACCAGAGAATGGAAGCCCATACAATTGTTCCAGCCACTATCTCCATCCAATTCTGAAGATCGTTTTCTCGTCATCGCCATCAAACCACCGCTGGGCTTGGAAGATCATCTAGGGACGAGTGTCTCCCCACAGTGTATTAGTCCACAGAACGGGAAACGCTGTACCCGAGAGTAAAGTCGCTGCTAGTATAGAGTTGATACTAGCTATTATTCTGTCTTTAGTTGGAAGTAAAAAGACAAGTATAGCGGAAGTGGGCAAAGAAGAGGAGGGTGAAGAAGAGCTGTAGTGTTTGCAGCATCTCTACCTTCTGCGAGGCTTCACAATATTTTGGTATGTTATGCTCTTCAGGACCTTTCTGAGCCGTGTATAGAATATGTTGCTATTTTGACACCCTCGCCAACAGAAGTTTGGGGTGGAGTATTCCTGGGACGTATCAACATGCAATAGTTAGATATATAGTGCTACTAAGATATAGTAGGAAAAGGGGGTGAGGCATAGAAAGAACTAGGTATATAATCTGAAATATATGTCACTTACATAGAAGGCTCCATGCTGGATTGAAATAAGTGCAGAATATGTAGTAAATATTATAGAGTAGTTTTCTAAAAGGCTGTTTAATCCTAGTAAATAATCTTAGTCTAAGCCTGTCGCTAGTCTCCTCTTTTATAGCCAGCTTTGCTCTAATATAAAAGTACTGAGGCCACCATAAGGTAGTCATGAAGTCACTGTAACTAGTCTATCATGTCACTGAATATAGGCAAACTACCAGATTAATCAAATTTATCTCTTTCTTTTACTGCAAGCAGCTGACTATTACAGTCTGTTAACTTAAATTGCATGGGAAGTGAAGAACTGTTACACCAGGAAATTGAAGAATTAGGTAATTGACTATTCTATACACTTTGATTCAAGCAGACTGATGCCGCAACCAGCAAGCTGCTTAATATTTTACTTGTCCCTATATTGCGACGCTCAAGACTTATATAGAGGGCCTAAAGAGGACAGACATTCTAGATACTTGTACTTTATAAATCTACTATCTAGGAGGTTTTCTTGAACTTATCATCTCATCTATTCTCATATATTCAACCCTGCTATTACACCTAGTTTGGAATTATTCAAGAAGCTATTTACATTTCTGAACCTAATCCTTATACCTTACAACCCTACAAGCATGTCAAAACAAATTATTATAGTCCCCTATGACCATAATGTCTACCACCTTGCCACCAAGCCTTCTCTTCACGCTGCTACAGCAACCTTTGGTGCACGCAATGTCCAACACTTTATAAATACAGTTATCCGGGACTGTTTCCTGAAATATAAAGTCCATAAGGTCTTCAGTGCATGCCTTCTCCATCGACACTTCGACCTAAACCCAGATGAGCGAAACATTGAAGAAGATGGCCAAGCAACTGGTTCAACTGACTTTAACAACACATATGCTTGCAGCTGGCTTTTCTATGAAGGAAAGCTGTTTCCATATGAGTTTAAACGAGGAAACACTCTTCCTGTTCCTCCAGTTGATTTTATTACAGAACTGGGTTTAATACTGCAAGATAATGGTCTGTGTGATATCATTGGGCTGCAGGTGTACGAGGACGGAATTGTGGGTATGGAAACAACAGATCATGCAGCAAGGATTAGCACAACAGTTGACTATCCTGAAGGGGCGGCAAAGCTAAAACAGACTCAGGCAGCGATGGCGTCGTTTGCTTTTTTTTAGTATGGATGCCCATAGCGAAAGGCGTGTCTGCGAGCTCAATGAAGCTTCCACTAGCAAAAAGCCAACTTGTTTTTGACTATTTATGTGATCTGCGTCGCCTTTTCATTTGATATTTATCAGCGATTGACCTGAGGAAGCGAAGACTAATAGCTTGAGAAAATTCAACCAAGTCAACGCAATAGCTCTTCAAATGGTTGTGGGATGATTAACAAATGGCACTTAAAATGCGCCTAGAACTTTACTCAAGGACACTGCCTCTGGTTCCTCCGGCTTTCTGGAAGAGCCAAAGCTTCGGTATCAGGAAGGGAATTCGAAGGACTACTTTCGGATGGTGTTGCAGATCGCAAAATAACCGTATCTGGGATGGGAAAAAGTATCCAGTCCCTCAGGAGTTCTTTAAGTTCATCAGAGTCCTGTCTAACTCTCTCGTCTCAGCACGCTGGGTCGGCGATGGCCGATCTGCCGCACTCGTGCTTGCCTTTGGTGAGTTGACAGTTGGTGTATTGAGAATCTCATCCAGAGATGCTTCCAAGGCGTCGAGAATGTCAGGCGTCTGACGGGATCTGATGCTCTCCTGTTCCAGTTTCTCCCGTTGACTGGTCAATCTCCCAAATCTTGTGAGGAACCGGGGATTGAATCTGCGGGGTGAGTCCGACCTGGATGTCCGTTTGTCCATGTCACGGTAAGAGTCAGTTTTCAGGACTGCAATCTGTCCGCATGCAATCTAGCAGGTCGACAGGGCATTGATCATTGCTTGGGCCGGTTAGCTTGTCAATCTCAGCGTTAGGCGTTCTTGTCTCAGCACTGGAGTTGCCTGGAAAATCTCCTGCAATGACACTGTTATTTGATGATTACAGAATTGAGGGGAAAATGCTTACGAAGCTAAGAGGCACTGGCTGATTTTCTCCTCCAGACTTCAACGCGGCCTTTGATCGTCTGGATGAGCTCGGCCTGTGCATCTTCATCAGCGGACTCAGCGGTGTCGCCCGTCGCTGCCACCACGAGTGGCTTTAGCAGGTCATGGAGGGAGGCAGCCAGCTGTGGTAGTGCCTTAATCATGTTATTACACTCAATCCACCGTGAGATGCTATACTCCTGGAAGAGTATCCATGCCTTTTGCTCAACACCCTGTCCCAGGCGGTGCACCCGCCCCACTGCCTGGAACAGGGTGTTCATGTTGAGCGGTGGCTCCAGCAGAACAACTTGACTGCACTGGCCATGGAGATTTAACCCATGCGCCCTGCACTGGTACGAGGTTAACAGCACATCGCACTTGGTGTCAGCAGAAATGAATTGCTCCGCCGCCTCACGGCGGTCACCGTCTGTCATTGTGGCGCGAATCGTAACGTAGTTGACCCCAATTGAAAGATTGAGTGAACGGAGTATCTTGCGGATGTAATCTTCCTGGTGAAGGTAAATAGCTTCCTTCTGTTTGATCACATTAATTCCTAGGTAAGACGAAACGTTGCCATTGTCTGTGTAGTTGAAGGACTTTCCTAGTTGCTTTAGGAATTCGTCCACGAGATCGTTGGATTTGGATAAGATAAGTATGTCGTCGACGTAGATCAGTATTGCAACGCCGTTTTTGATGAATACTGAACAAGGTCCATTTGACAAGAAAGACCAGTCACCATATTAACATTGGGGGGGGGGGGGGAGGGGGGGGCGCTTCCCACCAGCCAGTGATTTTTGTCTCTGATGAGACGAGGGTATGATGCAGAATACCCCACTTCAAATACAATCATGGGCAAGTGCATCCACGGGGCCTGATATAAAAGCCAGGTTCTTTGAAGAAGAGTGTTTATGGGCCGGTGTTGGGAATGGCGTCAGTCTCCACTCCCCATCGTTCCGCAAGGCGATGGCGATCAAGTAGGCATGTAGGTCAAGACGGAGGGCTTGCTGGGCGATCGAGTATTGCATGGCCCCAAGCCAACCATCTGCAGTTCCTCTATCGAGAAGAACATGAAAGTCGCACACCCCTTGCCTCTTTCAAGGCGATGTCCTCACGGGTCCTTTCCGCATGAGACTTCCAAATGGCCAAACAGCCCGTTGGCGGCGATAGTTGCCCGGCTCGTACGCCTCCAATTCCTCCGGGATATCTTCATCTGTCGTGTCTGAATAGAAGTATCCAAGGAGAATGTCGACTATACTTTGTAACCCTAGGGAGTTCTACCGACAACATCGGACAGACTGGAACCAGAGTATAGGATGGCTATATAGCCACACATATCAAACGTCCGGTTGGACTTTTATTGTAGCCGTGAGGAACCAGATACCGCAAGAGCGCTAAGCCACTGTGACTCTCCCATGTATCTCTGTAGCTGGCCTTGGCCTCTTCCACGTCGCTTGGTCATTCTCTCTCGCAGTCCGCTAAACCCCCCAGCTAAGTTGGGTAGAAATAGCCATCCGCCGTCATGGCGGGGCGCCTGATGATCGCCTTGGCGCTGCTCAGGTCAGATCTGAAGACTTTCTCGAAGGTCTCCTGGACGGTGTCATGGTGAAGTAGGGCGCAGCTGTTCATATTAACATAACCCCGTTCGACTTTGTCCTGTGTTCTATGGACAGACCATCACTTGGTTGAAGTAATAGTTGAGTAGGAGGTCCCAGACGCCAGTTACGGCGCCCTCATAGTCCTGAACACTCGCGGCCCGGTACTCATCGTGGAAGGTCAACACGGTATCATACTTGGATGCCAGGGAAATCCGCAAGGGCGCAGCACACAGTTGATCAAAGAAATGCTTACAGGTTGAATGCTCATTTTGGCTGGTGTAAGTGGTATCCGGCAAAGTGGTAAATGGCTGTTCCCCGATTAGCTGTCTGTCGATATACAAGAGATCTGTGAGCTTACCTTGTCTGTATGAAGATGGTGGAGAATGATCGTCAGAAATGTTTCTCAGGAGATCTACTGATCCTCCATTCAAGCGAGCCACCACTCGGTGGGACTTCATGTGAATAGTCGTGACCGCGTAGCCTTCATCGCAAACCACGCAGCCCAACCATCCGGACATAGTCGTTTCGAATCGCTTTGCCTGCCGGGCGTTTCGGCCGGAGCTGAAGTTGTCTCTCTCAAAGTGTGTTATCATCCGTCTCCGCAGCCTGGATTGGTGGCCCGTTTCTTGGGGAACGATCTTTCTGGAATGTGCTCAACAGGGTTGGCTGTGCCTTTATCCATGTTGATGTACAGCAGCGCCAAGATGATAGAATCAGTTGCCCCAAGGTATTTTCAGCTGTCATGAAAAGAGTTAGCTCCTGACAGATCGAAGGGCTAGGTGACACTCACGCGAGTATGATTGAAATCGGGAGCTTCTTTTATATCCACCGGCTTGCGCCGCGAGTAGGCAAAAGGCAAGAAGCACTGCCGAAGGGATGGAATGGCCGCTTGTTCATCTATTGGGAAGGGATAATCGAAGCGGAAATCCTCTGTTTGACGAATAAACACTGTGGCCCGGATGAACCGCGCCGAGATACCCTCGCCTGAGGCAGACAGGTTTGTTGTGCCACGATATTGCTTCAAGCGGGGGATCGGCCTCTCGATTAGCATTCGGACAGGCTCCATAACAGTAGAGCCTTTGATGATGATTATGATGGCGATGGCGATGGCGATGATGGATTGATGAAGATGATCCCCAGAGGGAAGACACGACACCAGATGTGGCCTTTAGAAAGTTGAAAAAAGAGTGTTCTTGCTTCGACATTCACTTGATTACAAGCAGATCAAAATTGTGAATGTCAATTATCAGAGAAGATGTAATATAGACTGACTGACAGGCACACTGAGTGAATGGTAGGGTTTCCAGCACCCTCAAAGGTACCATCATTCCCTACTACAGTAGCAGATATACTTGGTATCCATAAGCTAATCAAGAAACCCTCTCTGTACTGCAGGTTTGTGGTTTATTCACTTCCACCAATCCAACATGGCTTATTGGGCCATTATGATATTCACCAGCCCGGCAAAGAGTTCTCAAGGTGGCCAACTCAATACCATATGGATTTCTCCTTGGAGATCCAAAGACTGATTCGACTGTGTTCGAATTGTTCTCATTTGGCTTTGGCGCTTCGAACTGTAGCCTGCCCGTTGGATATCATTCTGATGGATAGCCAATTGAGATGGCCTACTCACTGTTGATAATCATGAATGTAGTAGACTTTTCTCTGTCTTCCTTCCTTGACGGATCCCATTCTGGTTGCAATGGCATATCATTGCCTGAGCATCGCTGCATTCCTGCTTCAGCCAGTGCCTTCTCGATATACTGTAGAATTCTGTGCGGGGAAGCCAAAGAACATGAAGATATTCGTTGAATTCGTTATGAGGTGAACAGGGTGTTTGTAATGCGCCTGATCCGGGTTGGAAGTATACCTTGCTAGCTTGCCAACAGCGAACGCAGTATCTGGCCTCGTTTGAAGCATTGGATACATCACCGAGCCTACACCTGCTCCATATCTTTCCTTCAGTTCGGGGTCGATAGGCAGATTTGATTTCGCTAAGCGAGCACCTTCCTCCATGGGTGTCGCAGCTGTCTTGATTGAATGTGGATCGAACGTGTCAACGAGACGTTGAAGATTGGCCTGTTGGGACAGTTTAATGCATCTCTGCTCAGTATCTAAGTCGATCTTCATATCGGATCCCTGCCATACCCGAGTATGGCCACACATACTTGTTCTGGGATATGGCCTTCCGTCCTCTGTGATCTTGCAGCCTAGAATGGTTCACCGGTTTCCATGCCTAGGAACAAGCTTCCCATCTGTTCCTTGATTAATTCCATACCTTCTTTCGTCGCCGAGATCAAGAGGGTGTCATCGACGTCAGCAGATATTCGTCATCTCCTCTTTGATAGACACAGGGCCGCTCGATAAGTCGTCTATAGCCCATTGATCTGATTCCACGTCGAACCTTTTGTTCCAAAGGAAAGCTGACTGTTGTAGCCCACGCTAACATTAAATTTGGAAGGGAGCCAAGCTGATGAACTGTGGAATGAGCGACGAGACGGTCATCCTTCAAGATGAGAAGCTTCATTAGATTTTGATCTCCATTTGTGAATATATTTTTGGTTTCTTATAAACAGAGGCAAACCAAGTGGAGGACCTTCATGAAACTACCAGGATCCTCAAAGACGACGAGATTCTCAGAATTGCCCAGTAGCCACCATCCTTCCGCAAGCAATATTCAGGCCAAAGTGGCCATGGATGTCGTGTACATGGTTGAGGACATCCGGAACTTCTTCAGGCAATAGGCACTCAGCCCACTTCCCGTTCGTTTCATGGTACACTAAGAGGGACTGTTCTCCTATCCTCGCAAGACTGAAGCGACTCAGTGTTTCTCCATTAATCAGTCTTTCGACCTGTCTGCCGTACCACTCTGATTCGAGATATGGACAGGGTTCGGGTGTAGCTCCATGGTCGGGACATGAGTAAGCGATTGAGGAACATGCTTATGGGTTTCTTATGCACGGTAGCCGCAGATGCACTTTCTTCAGCAACCTTCCTCCAGTATGAGGTCGGAAGTTACTTTGGCCTTCCGCAGGTAGTTTATACCGATAACGGCAGCCACTTCACTGGGGACGACTTCACTTCCTACCTAAAGTCAAATGACGGATTTCCTTCCGAACCTCCGTCCACTAAAACTGCGTTGCAATTGGTCACCCGTATCATATTGTCCTTTGTCATGGTCTGTACGATTGCGGATGTGTAAAGAGCTCCGAGCTCTGTGGATGTCGGGGTTGGAAGCAATCGTCGCAGGCGTAGATCCATATAAAAGGTGTCCAGATGATCTCCCACCCAGAACTAGCAGCAAGAGCTGGCAGCATTGTAATGTACCTCAACATCGGACGAAGCCACTCAACTACCGCTCAGCCGCTCAAAAAGGCGCTCCTCCCACACTGGTATGAAGTGAGGTACTTGAGTATGGTGGTCGTCATGTTGCTGATCTCGAATCTGCTTACTTACCATCGTCTGTCTCTTCCCACGCCGGATTTTTGATGCGTCCCGAAAAGCCGGCCTCTGGCAATCGCAACGTGAACTCCCCGTAGTTCTGGCATCCCCTGCAGAGAACAAATGAGTGCCCTTGCTGCAGCTCTGAGTGGGACTCTGAATGGAACAAGCTCCAGATCGTATATCACTTCCCAGATCATGCTCGCGTCTTGAGCGTCTTGTCCTCGTCTTTCCGGACAGAAACGCATGCTGGAGCACTGGACATTGTAGGCAAGCAGACCCAAGGGGCAACAAACGGCGGATGGTTTTAGTTCCACGTCGTCCAGCGTCATTGCATGCGCAGGTAGGTATGGCGGCTGTCGTCAATCACGTTAGTTTGGCTTCATCTATCTGACTGGGGCACGCAACACGTACCAGATACTGAGGGATGATGTCAATCTGCACCCAGCCGTTAAGGATGTATTTGAAGAACAGCGGCAGGGAACCAATCCCTCCAGCGCCTTATTGAGCTGCATGGAATATGCGTTGTTCGACGTGAGCTAGCTACCTGCTGAGAAAGCCTTGGAGATAATATCCCGCGCCAGGTCCAGCACTACAGGAATCGCCGAAGAAATCCTTAAAAAGATCCGCATTCTGCACCATCGGTGTAATATGGGAAGGAGAACAGAGCCCTACTATCCGGTGAGCACCAGATGCTCGAGGACGTTGTCGATCCATCATAGCAAGTATGCTGACACTGATCGAGGTCTTATTGCTGTGCGGTGTGGGCAGTTTCGTTGTCTGGAACTATTTATTCCGATCAGCAGTTAGTCTTTCTCCGGATATGTTCTGGTTTGAAAAGGATGGCAACTCACTCCAATTGTTACTCGCAGCCGTTCATATCAAAATACTCCCTTCGACTCTGTCCTGTGTTCTAGGGACAAAACCATCACTTTGGTTAAAGTAATGGTTCGGTGAGGAGGTCCGGACGCCGGTTATGGAGCCCTCATCATCCTCATCTCTCGCGGAGGTACATCTTCTGAAGCACCATTAGATAGACTTTGAACGCTTGGCAGTTTTCGAAGAGCTTTTCTGCCCGAAATGGTAATGTAGGACCCGTGAAGGTGATAGCTTGGTGACATCGATTGCAGCGCGTTGGCGAATGACCCGGAGAAAGCTCATACGACAAGAGCAACATTGGCAAGCCTAACCGTTGGCTTTAGCTGAGCTCCGGAACTCCCCAAGATTGGTGCTTGAGCCATCCACCGTCCTCGGCCGTCTCCTGCATCTGGACAGGAGTCGCCTTACGAACCTAGGCGTCGGCTTTACCTCCAGGATGGACAGAACTTTGTCTGTCTTCCTTGACCGCACCACGCCATGAACAGTAGCCGTGTATGATTGTGTCCCAAATTCAGGAACATATCGTACACGTGTAACCGTGCCTGGAGCTTGGACGACCTCTTTAAATTTGACTAGCTCCTGTACCAACAGGACTAGGTGCATGTTAACCACTGCCTCATCTAGCGTGGTGGGGTACAGCTCGAGACTAGTTGCAGGACGCGGAGCCTGCAGGATGGCCCAGCATCTCAGATCTCAGTCCCCTCAAAACTGGTCTCTTAGCTATACTATCCGGGAACGATGAGCTCTGCAGCCCGGCGCCTGCATATCCGGGTCTCCGGAACTGGTTGGTGATCCTGCGCAGTTTGGATTCAATGCCTCTGAACAGTGTCGGCGAATTTACCGCCAGACTGATCAAGACCTGCAGACGATAGCGGCTCCTTGCAAGATCGTTGTCCATCGGCACAGCCTCGTGTAAGTTCTCTTGCATTCGGATGCTCTCCTGCCCTTTGCATATCTCCTCGCAGCCTTTAAATTGGGTAAGGATGGTTCATCGAATCGAAACCCATCGATAGCTATGCCGGTGTAGTGTATGCGAAACGCTCCTCTTTGATCAAAGGTAAAATAGACCACCCGGCACAAGGCGGGAGCCGGGTTGTCCCCTTTGAATGTGTCGATGGCGACTGACTGAGGATAGAAGTTTTGGGCAGTCGGGCTGACATCGGATGCCCATAACGGAACCGGTTCGGGGTCGAACCCAAGCGATAGTTCCGACCCAGAGGGGGATTCGGGTGCCTCGGTTGGGTTGGAAAGCTGATGTTCCTCCTCCTTAATAGACTTGATAAATTCCTTGAGTAGGTCGTTCGACAAGACGGCCAATGATCGGCTCGGTGGGGAGTATAGCGCTATAGTTATAATCGACGACTGGAGTGTCCAGTGGAAATGGGGAAGCAAGTGGGAGTGAGAAAGGATTAAGAAAAGGCGTACTCAGTTGGAAGTGAAAACAGAATGGTGCAGTCTGATCTCCTGTCGAGATCCCGGGGCATGAACGAAAATGGACGACCCCGTTCTGCGTAATACATTCCGCTTAACTTCCAGTATTGCCCGGATCTCCTTTTCGGACCTGGATCTTACGGCCCCATCCATTATTGTTGTTGTGTATCAACCTTCGCTGAAGGTAGGCGTGAATCTGGCGCCGTCTTGCATTATTCAGAAACCGCAGGGTCGACTGCTCTTTAAGAATCCAGCCAGCCGCTGCGATGGAAGGTATGGCGTGTCGACTATACGCGCATACCAGTCGGTATGTGATTCAGGCTCTTCAACATTAAAGTTCACCATCATCGCGTCACCAGGTTGCAGGTCGGGACAGAACTCATCCGGAAGCTCAAGAAATCCAATATACGGCTATTGATGTGTTGATTATCCTTCGTCCAATGCCAGAGGGCGTGAAGTTTCAATCAAGCATACCAACTCCTGCCGGATGATGTCCATCTGGCTCAGCTTCCTTGGATTGCGTGTGAAGTATAGTGGCTGCGCTCTCTCCTCGAACTGGTCTGGCAATCGGGAGACTAACTGATGGGACGTAGTATATCAACATCCTGGAATGTGAATTTGTAAGGAGAGTTGGGTCAAAGAGGCGGGCCGCTACTGACTGGGGTCTCGTCCTTACTGCAGCGAACATCCCTCAATACGCCAGGGGTACAAGATCGCCACACAGGAGCATGTACTGTGATTGCGCAGCGGAAACTTGGGGTTTCATCGAGCGGAAGTTCAAGTCGACCGTTCTTCTCTGGTGTGTAGCATCTTTTGCAATCTCGAAAAAGTGCTGGAGCGTCTTTTAGTCAGCCCATTATGCCCGTCTCGATGCTACCAGACCAGTCTTTAGCTTACTGCAAGTTGGTATGCTCTCGGCGTGCAGCGCTGACTCGACATAATGGGAAGCCAGCCATGATGTAAGGAGAACCAACCTTCTCAGCCTTTTCATGTTCTAGACGTATTTGTTCGGATCGGGCAGACTCTTGATGAACGGTCCGCGCTTGTGAGCCAGCGAGAATGCCTTGTATTCGTCGGCTTCGAGGTCATTGAATTTTAGCTCAACCATCTTCCGCTGGAGTGGCGGGATATCAGCGCCAATCGTGTTTGATGAGTCCATGCGGATTGTACGCGGTTCTCGGTTCTTCCTGTAACTGCTTGCCGGAGCTTTGTTGATCACACCAGAAGCCGTAGTAAAATTGTCTCCTGCAATAGCAGAAACGAGGGCAGATGTTGCCCACAGCCGCAAAGGTGCAACGGAGCAGTGGTTTGCCGAGAGAGTTCTTGGATGACGGAGATGGACATATGGACGAACAAAGTCCTCCCCCTTTAGGGTCATGGCCACTAATAGTGACTCGACATGATCAGGATCCCCGGACTTATATCTCCTTCAAACAGTAGTGGGAGCAACTCATCTGCGAGGTCGTGATAAGCTTCTGGCAGAACTCGCTTAATCTCGCTAATCTCATCTTGGTCTTTGAGGGTATCAACTTCATTTTGGATCTCGATGAGCTGCTCGTTCAGGAGGGTCGCTTCGTCGCGGCGCAGGATAGCCTTTGCTTCCAGGTCAGTGTAAATGCGAGAAACAGCCTCCCAGCAGCGGAGAGGGTCGGTCTGCCAGTGAGCGGCAAATTCCTCGTAGGAAATGCCCTCAGCTACTTCGTTGGAATCTTCGTCGAAGCCTCCATTCTCCGCCTGATTCAGCAACCGAGCCATGCCCGCTCGCGGCCAGGCAGGGGCCGCTGCCCTGTCCAGGCGGAAGGTCCGCAACATCCATGCTGTCCAGCCGCCGTTCGAGAATCCATGACAATTGAAATGGTGAAGACGGGATCGTTGAATCCCTGAATGAGCGAGACCCTGTGTTAAAGTACAATATGAGCCTCCTTCCGGTTGCAAGGAGTTGTGATCCATTCTTCCCATTAGGCCACACAGGGTTCAGGAGGTGAATATTAATGATAAGCGTGCCAAGCAATGCATCTCAAATCTGATTGCAGATTTGGTCATTCACCACTGATGTGGCTGCATCAAGGGCTTTCTTCTTTGACTTGGCCATCATGGAATCTAACTCAGGTTAGATTGTAGCTGGACTAGTCAAAGAAATAAGGGAATACTGTACACTGTCTATTCTGAAAGATCTGCCGCTGGAGAGTATCTCGACATGATACTTTTCCACAACAATGGTGGCATATCGAATGTGTCTCATATTCCTATCGACTTGGCGAGGGCAGTCCAGTATGGTTTTGGTGTAATGCGGTATGATTCCTAAAGCCTTTAGCATTAGGATATAGGGGATCGCGTTGTCAGATGTTGTCCGATTGTCATTGTCCCCCTCGCTGCGCGCAGACTCTCGCAAGGAGACCGTCTCTTCGGATGTGAGTCGGGTTCTGACGCCAAATCCAGGGAAGCGCATAGAAGGTGTCGGATAGGATCTCGCATAAGCGTGGTGCTGCTCGAGCTTCTTGGACGAAAGTCCTTAATGCTGAGAGGTCTGCTACTTGGAGTCAGGCCCCAAAAGAATGTGGATACAGCCCGCGTCTCAAGTCCGTGGCCAAGTCCCAGCAAAAGAGATTCCCTGTCATCTGGAGAAGGTAGAGAGGGGGCATCTGCTGGTAGCGAGGAACCATGCTATATCACTGTGGCCGAACGTCGTCTGCCTGGCGATAATTGGACCGAAGCATTGTCCACATCCATTTAGGTCGAGTGGGTAGACAGATCTGTATCTTGATCCAGAGCTTGCCTGCCACCTCGCCGAGCTGATCTTCATCTGGCCATGGACTGTTTTATAGCAGGGCGACGAGGATTCTCGAGAGGCGACTCTTCCTGCTGGCAGATGTCTGTTGAAGAGTTAGTGATTGCGTAGACTTCAAATAGGTGAGTGACCTTCGTGAAATCGTTTCTCTAACGACACGCAGACTACGTGATCTTCAATGCGTGGTTGTTGCCAGTATTGTGAGGAGACCCATTTTCATTGTTTGTAAGAAGCTGCATCTGAGCTCTTCCACGATGCGAATGCATGGCTGCCTTGGTAGCAATTTCCCGCCAGGTCTCTCGTACGTCGAATAGAACCCGAGAGACACGGACAATCGTCCATGTAGCGGGCGAGTTGTCCCGAAAGGAAAGGCTATGCAACAAGCATATACCAGCAACAAAGTTCGTCCTAGTTTATATCTTGACAATTGTACTGGCAGTACCAGAAAGATGAGCAACTGGAAGGCTTTTGGAAATCAGGATACACATACCTAGTCCTTCACAACGCTCGGATCTGTCCGCTGTGCAAGGCGTTCAAATGTGTAACTGTAGGGTATAATGCGTGCCACCTCTAGACTGCAGAGTTAACAGAGAGAACATATCACATTAGGCCCGAAGGCCGCGCACGCAGCGCCTAAAGAAAAAGAAAAAACAACAACGCCTCGACCCCCGCAGGGGGAGCAGTCTCAAATTCTACGACATGGTTAGCCAAGAACAAAGAAAATGGGAAGACGCAGACATACCCATAAAACAAACGAACAAAGCCCATCACGGCGCCAAAAGGCGCAGTGAAGCCAGCAGCCAGGACCGCGATCTAAAGGCTTCAGGCGAGACATTTGTGAATATAATGAAGGGAGCGTGAGTATTAAGGCTGTCTTTAATAGTCAGGATGTAATCTTCATAGTCCTTATACTTAGTTGTAAGACTTGGCACTTGTGTGTTGAAGTTTGTGGTCCCATTGCGTTGGGTCTGAGGAGGTTCTTCGACCTTCATTGTGGGAAGGTGCACTTTTGATCTCTTAAATGGAAGAGCAACCGGAGTTTGTTCTCTAGTAGATGCTTAGAGAGGTTGAGACTTGAGAGTGCGTAATATAGGATTGATCATGTCATATTGATCCTCTTTACTGAGACTCTGCATAGACCACACGAGTCACTACAGGCAAAGAGAGCAGAGCAGGAGTTTGTTGTTGTGTTGATAGGTATGAGTGTTATTATAGATGGATGATGGCCTCTGGCTAGGGCGGTCGGCGTCAGGACCGGCCGGAGCCAGGCCGGGAGCAGCAACCTCATCATCAGCCGGAGCTGGAGAGCCACATGCTGTCCCGAAGGATGGGGTTAGAGACGGAGGCCAAGCAGGCGTGGAGGCTAGGGGGCGCACCATGGGGCAGAGGCCCGCCAACTGCGCGGACCCGAGCCCTAAAGGCCCAGGCCGCTTGACTAACGGCCTCACAGGCAAGGTCAGCAGCATTAGGATGGGCCACTTCCAGCGAAAGCTGGGCGGCAACAACGGCCTGCGCTTCGGGGAGCGCGGCAGCAGGGAACTTCAAAAGAAAGAAATGATCAATAACTGCGCTGAGCACAAAGAAAGAAGCAAACGCACCGACTGACAAGGCTAATGAAGCCCTTTACAACGCAGACACTTGACGCCAGAGGCGCCATATCCGTTGCAGAAGGGCAACGGACCCCCTCCCCATGGGACTCATTAGCTGACCATTCAATATGCAGGTGTTGCTGTGCCTCGTAAGGTTCTTTGATTATTGACAAAGAACGATATGTAGTAGCTGTATGCTTACTCTGCCATGTGCGGTTTTTTTCTTTGGTTCTCCCCTTTCCCTCACGACGGGACAAGCCCAAGATGTCTTTTTTGAGCGTCGTATGGGGTCGTTGAAAGCTAGCGACCAAACCTCGTATTGTTCGCGGGTTCCGTCGCGAGGGAAAGGGACGACATGCAACGGTCGTCGAGTAACTGTGAAGAAAGTCTTAGTATAGGGTTTGATCCCAAGGCTGGGAAACCTCACGTCTGTCTGTTGCGCTAGCCGATTGAATGCGTTGTGGAGTTCGCTGAAACGGTCCACCATCTCCTCGAACTTGTCGTCCGACTTGTTGAGCCGTCTCTCCAAACATTCGAGCTTGGTCTCTAGTGCAGGTATTCTTGCTTGTTCCCTGACTATTCCAAGACCTTCGTCGTTGCTGGTATACATGTTATCGTACAGGACTTCTGAATGGAGTTCGTCGGTATCAAGGCATTCAGCCAGTGACCTTTTCGCACCGGCAATCATGCCAGACTCTGAGACTATCTTGGTCTTGGTTGTGAGCACAGCGGTAGACCTAGCATTGGCATTGGTATAAATGTTCACGTCAGCAGCCAGCGAACCGTTCTTGCCCTGTTCATGGTTAGCAATATCGCATAGTAGAATGCAGGAGACTGACCTGTGCTCGTGAACCGAGGCTTTGCTCTCGCCAGGCAAATTCTACTTCTCTCATCCAGTGGAAATGGCATTCATGTGCCAGATTGGTCCTATCATTCTGAGTAAACTTGACGATGAGGGTGATTCTGACATATGGACGATCCCCAACCATCCAGACACGCTTGTCCTCTATAAGTCGTCTGTGGGAATCTGACCATCCGGCCTCAATAACGAAGGAAGGACGATACTGGTTATAGACAGCCGTCCTCTGTACTTCTCGAGAGGGTAGCAAACACCTGCAGGAGACATATATGCGAAAGAATCTGTGGGAAAGGACTACTCCATGAGGAGGCTTCTCGAAAGTCTCAGACAGACCCGCACATGTCAAATGCACGGTTGTATATCGGGGTCGCCATGAGGAACCAAACGCTGTGCGCTTCCAGCCTGGCAACCGCTTTAGGGAATCTGGCTTGGATGGTTTTGACCGCGTTGTCTGTGCCGTAGCAGGCCGCATGCTTTATCAAATCAGCAGGTTGCTCGCAGACTGGAAGGAGATATCAAACGGAATGCTTACCTCCCTGGCATTGCCTCTGCCTTGCCTCTCTCTTTCCAGGTTTTCCGGATTGACCGTCATGAGGTACTGAAAGACAACTGACGATTCAAATTGTGGTAGCAGTAATCAGCAAGATGTGGCAGTCTCGAACACGAGCAAGTAGGTCGTGGCGAAGCAAATGAAGAAGAGAGGTGGGATGGAGAGATGAAACCTGATTGACAAAGTGGATGCAGCATGAAGTAGTGAATGAGATACTTGGAAAATGGATGAATACAGTGAATAGACGGCCCAGTGGAAGTGAATTGGTCTATTAGTGAAGGCACATGGTTCGAAGGACAATATGATAAGAACAGAAGAAAGTATACAGATTTTTTGAGGAGAACTCTTAGTAGATATTTATGTTGCCAGAGCTTGAGCAAGATAGAAAACTTCTTGCAAAGAAAGTATGCAGGGAGAAGTCTATGCAATGTCGTCTCCTGCGACTTCCCTTGCCCAAACGAGAAGATATGAAGCCATCCGAGTTCGCTACCTACAAACAACCATTCCCAAGAAAATTTGGCTGAAGCAATTCCTGAGTGGTCCTGTTTCATTGCCAGTAGCCGTTCATCAGATATATGTCCTCAAACCTGGTATACGACAGCTGTCCAGTTGCACTGAAAGCGCCTCTAGAAATATCCAAATAAACATGTCATATATGCCATCTAAGGGTGTTTGGATTGATCTTCTCGTTTCTGTTATACGGGATCAATGTGATTGGGTTGAGAACGCGCCCTTTGGACGACATTTGATCCACCGATACCAAATACAACTTCCTCTACACCACGGATGATTTTCAACTTCAATTTCTCTTCATCAAGACAGTTAATTAAGGTCCAAACAAGATGCATCGATCCAGCAGTGCAGAAATCTACGAAATAGCGCCAATACACCATGACCAACCCACCAATCCATTGGCAGAGCCAGACGGAGATATGCAAACGGAGGGCAGAGTCAGCTGGGCCTATCCAGAAGGAGGCTGGGAGGCCTGGACTTGTCTCCTGGGCTCATCTTTGATAATGTTCCCGTCGTTTGGTTTTCAGACTGCAGGTATCCAGCTCCATTCTCATTCTCATCTTAGGGTCCGTGGGCTTCTGACACGCGACAGTCGGATCGGTACAAGACTACATCAGCACCAACCAGCTGGCAGAGTACACCGTCCGTGATGTGGGCTGGATTACTGCTATTCTTGCCTTCCTGACTCTATTCCTTGGAGTCCAGGTCGGGCCTCTGTTTGATCGATACGGGCCGCGGGTTCTGTTGGTCGGTGGATCCCTCGCGAACATTGCCTCCTATCTTCTTCTGGCGCAATGCAGAGCATACTGGCACTTTGTTCTCTGTCTCAGCGTACTAGGAGGCATCTCATCTGCGGTCATTACAACCGTCTCCATCGCCGTGCTGAGCCACTGGTTTAACCGTCGCCGGGCGCTCGCCTCGGGAATCTGCATGGGCGGTTCCTCCGCCGGAGGGGCCATCATCCCTCTCCTGCTGCGCAAACTCTTCCCCAACTGGGATGGACATGGGCTATCCGGACGATCGCATTCATGGCGGTTGGCTGCTATACGGCTGGGATCATCCTAGTCAAAGGACGACTCCCTACCGGCCACCGCAGCCGCGCAACCGCTGATTTTGGGGCTTTCAGGTCTCCCCGACTCTGCTTCCTCGCTGTGGCGGTCTTTTCGTTTGAGTTCGTCATCTTTGGCTGCGCAGCGCTGCTACCCACTTACGTCCGTTATGCTGGTTTCCCGCTCGACGTGCAATTCTACTCCCTCACTCTACTCAACAGCATGAGCTTTTTGGGACGCGTGCTTCCCGGTCTAGCAGCCGATCAACTCGGCCGGTTCAACATTCTTCTGGCGCTGGTCGTCATGACGCTTTTGGTGATGAGTACCGTGTGGCTCCCGTTTGGCTCTCGCGGTCAAGCTACATTGTATGCCGTCGTCGCCATTTTTGGCTTTGGGTCTGGGGGATGGCTGTCCTTGGCGCCTGTATGTGCGGGTCAGCTGTGTCGGACAGAGGAATATGGGCGATTCTACGGGACCATCTACAGCGTCGCTGCGTTTGGAGTGTTGTTGACTGTTCCTATTGGTGGAGAGCTGCTGCAGTCGACTACGCCGCAGGTGCTGATCGGTTTCTACTCGGCTGTTCTCATGGTGGGACTGATGAGTGTAGTCATGGCTCGATGGGCCTTGTTGGATTGGAGGTGGAAGTGGAGGGTCAAGCTGTAGTGAGCATGACTGGTCGTTTCGACTGGTAGAGTGAATGTCATGCTTGACCAGTTCGGAGTTACACTGTAGTCCTTGACCTCGGATGTCATCGCTTCCACTTCATCTATCAGCAGTTGTCGGCCAACTCAGAGCATATCCAGGCAACATCATTGGTGAGACAACGATGTCAGTTGGAGAAGATAATGTTGACGGCGCTTTCCGAAACAGGATAGTTTAGCGAGGCATATCATCATTCAAGTATATCACGATGAGCTACATCAGAACACTATCTGATTTTGACTCATTTTGCAGGCTAATGTAGACAAGTTTATAGATCCAGTAGCTCAGCGATGCCAGGCTCCAACATGACTCATTAATAATTGGTGGTCGAGGTCCGTCCGCTTGCTGCCTACAGCACTACGCACCAGTACTACTACTAGTATATAGAGACTGTCCGATCTCCAACCTGTTCAATGATTCAATCATCCAATCATCCAACAAGATAAGAACCAAAATGACAGTCACATATCTCTGTGGGTGTAGCTACTACACTCAACCTCAAGCAAACCCGGTCTACCTCCCCCGTATCGGCATCAAAGCCTACGCGACTATCCTCTCGTCCGTTTCCAAAACGGTGCTCACCCAGACATACACAAACCGATCCAGCAACCTCCTCGAAGAAGTTTCCTATACCTTCCCGCTCTACGATGGGGTTAGCGTAGTAAGTTTCAACTGCCAGATCGGTAACCGCACTCTGCACAGCCGCGTGAAGCCACGCAAGCAAGCCAAGGCGGAATACGACGATGCCGTCTCTAAGAGCGAGTCCGCGGCGTTGATGGCGCATTCGCTAAGTGTGTCGGACGTATTCTCCATCAGACTTGGGAATGTTGGGCCGGGTGAGGAGGTCGTCGTGGAGATTACGCTTGTCGGGGAGCTGAAGCAAGATGCGCAGAGTGATGCGGTGCGGTATACGCTGCCTAGTTCTATTGCGCCACGGTATGGCTATGAAGCGGAGGATACGAGCATGCCGCCTGAGGCAGATGTGCAGGGTATTTCTATTACTGTGGATGTGCAGATGGAGAGTACGGCTGTTATCCGGGAGATCCAGTCGACGAGTCATTCGTTGAGTGTGGCGCTGGGACGGGTATCGGTGTCGGGATCCAGTGGGACTGACAAGGCGTTCAATCCGGCGCAGGCATCTGCAAGTGTCAATCTCAAGGAAGATCGGACGGCTCTGACGCGCGACTTCGTCCTCCTTGTCAAGGCAGATGGACTCGACACGCCCCGTGCGATGCTGGAGACCCACCCGGCTATCCCTAACCAACGGGCAATCATGACGACTCTTGTCCCGAAATTTGGCCTTGAGCCGATCAAACCGGAAATTATCTTCGTGATTGATCGCAGTGGAAGTATGATGGACAAAATCGACACTCTCAAGTCGGCCCTCAGAGTCTTTCTTAAGAGTCTTCCGGTAGGAGTGTGTTTCAACATCTGCTCGTTTGGCAGCTCGTACTCCTTTCTGTGGAAACAGAGCCTTTTCTACACTGCCGAGAGCCTCCAGGAAGCTCTGAGCTTTGTCGACGGCGTCCGTGCAGATATGGGCGGAACGGAGATGCAGGAGGCCGTCGAGGCTACGGTCCACAGTCGGATGAAGGACAAGGAATTGGAGGTCTTGATATTGACGGATGGGCAAATCTGGAAACAAGAGGCGCTCTTTACATTCATTCGCGAGACGGCGGCCGCTGATAACAGTGCACGGTTCTTCTCTCTAGGAATCGGCAATGGGGCATCGCACTCGCTCGTCGAGGGGATTGCGCGGGCCGGGAATGGCTTCTCGCAGTTGGTGGTGAACTACGAAGAGCTGGATAGAAAGGTGGTGCGCATGCTCAAGGGAGCGCTGACGCCGCATATATCCGACTACAAGCTGGAGGTCGAGTACGATGACGGTGGCGATGTTTTTGGGCTTGTTCTCCCTGAGCGGCCGAAGACCATGGCTGTGGATGAGACCGAAAAGGAGCAGCAGCCGATTTCCCTTTTTGATGCAGACTACAAGGAGGACGAGCAGAAGACGGACAGAGGAGCCCTGCCGGTCCTCACACCTCCCCAGGCAATCCAAGCACCGTACAAAATCCCACCTCTCTACCCTTTCATCCGAACCACAGCATACCTCCTTGGTACATCGACCATGCACAATCCCAAAGTCCTCATTTTCCGCGCCACTTCAAAGCAAGGCCCGCTCGTCCTGCGCATACCCATCGACGACATCGGCACGGGTGAGTCAATCCATCAACTTGCCGTCCGAAAAGCCATGATCGAGGTCGAGGAAGGACACGGCTGGCTCGCCGCCGCAACCAGCAAAGGGAACCCATTCAATAATCTCCACCCCGGCTCGAAAGAACGTATCATCGCCCGCGAATGCGAGAAACTCGGAACCCAGTTCCAAGTAACCGGCAAGCACTGCTCGTTCATCGCCCTTGAGAAAGAGAGCACCTCAGACCAGGGGAAAGAGAAGGATATTGCCCACCTGTCTACCTCCGAGGCTGCTGGACAACAAGATACCATCCACCAGGTTAGCGCGGCAGCAGCACCCGGCCCTGCTCGCGCCGGGTGCAGGAGGGTAGCCTCAAAAGTGCATAGAAGGATACTGCCACCGTCACCACCGTCACAAGGGACCCGATTCAATGCACGTATACGGGCAGGGCAAACACCAGGGGCGTCCTCGGGTTCACTGCAGCGCTGGGTGAAGACTTCAATAGCAAGCGCAGTCCCAGAGTCGTTATTCGGTGCGCCTGGAGTTGCAAGATTCGTGGATACGAGGGGATCACCACCGCCTCCCCTGCGGCTCCAGGCATGGGACTCGGATTTGATGCTCTGATGGAGCCGGAAATCTGTCCTCCCGCTCACGTCTCGGAGGATATGATGGAGATGGAAGGCGCAGACTACTCGGATGGCTCGGTCGGGTATTCCCCGGCGTCTCCTATCTTGTCTCCTCACAGCCCTAATGAGACGGCCGGGGCCGCAAGCCAAGTCCACAGAATTATCGCCTTGCAGTCCTTCGAGGGGTACTGGCCTTGGTCAGCGGAGCTGTTGAATGCTCTGGGGCTACATGAGCGGGGTATTCAAGCTCGGCTGATGCAACTACTCCAGAAGGACAGTAGACGGTCTAATCTGACGGTCATTGCGACCATGTTAGCCATGGCGTACCTCACCACCAAGTGTGCTGCTGATCGATCGGTCTGGGAACTGGTGTACGACAAGGCTGAGGGGTGGAAGAGGCAGAAGCTTGTGGAGATGGGGGACGTGGGAAATGTTCTCAAAGCGAAGGAGAAGGAGATCACTGCCTTGGTATGAGATTATAATGCATGATCCTTCGCAGGGCGTTAGGATAGGATTTCGCTTTAGGCTGGCTATAGCTCAATGTTTGTTAATATACCAAATGAGTATACCGCAATTGATAGCGTTCCAGTCCTCGCAGTTATGAGGTGACCGATGCTTCGTCGGAATTTTACTTTTCGCTGCAACTGGCCTCATTTAGTTGAGATGGGATTACGAGTATCACTCTACTTTGATCTTACTGTCTTAATTCGCTTGCTATACATGTCGCTCTTTGAACTACAATCCCCTCGCAGTGGTATCCCCCTGCTGCTGGACTCATTGCCATCGATAGATGAAGAGAGGTATCCAGCTAGCCTAGCATCTGTAATGCAAGGAGTGGAAGGAGAGTAAATACTGTATCCCTTTAGTAGACAGCTCGTCAAAGGGAAACTCCGCTTTGAGTTGTTCATTTCTTACAGGAATATATTTGCTGTCTCTGATCCATATTCACTATCTTTGTAATCCACTGCTATAAAGAGGCATTATCTTCTAGCATTCACTAGATTTTATTCGCTACTCTCATCCATTCAATCCTGAGGCGCCTGAATATACTGACTATATATAAGTCTGTAGTCAGCGCCCCCAGAAACTTTCTACTTCTACTCTCTCATCATCTGCTTTCCCTCAACCTTCTATACAGGAAACCTTTGATATATCTATACGTCAAGATATATCGGTTCAATTCAGTGCTATGAGAAAACACTATTCCTGTAAGACTGACCACATCCACATGAAGATTCCCAAACATGGTACTGACCCTCAGTGTGGTTCGTGTAGACGAACACATATAAGCAGACGGCCTGCCTCATGATGCAGAATCTGGATATCTGCTTCTGCTAGAGAGGTAGTAGTCACTGATGGAGTGGCGAACTCGATCCCAGAAGCACACGCGGCTTCATATACACTCGCCATTTTCACGGAGAGGACAGGGAATGTACGCTGAGCAACTCATGCCCTTGGCGAAGGCGCCATGATGAAGCTTTTTGGGGGACGGTCAATTAACCCCCACCAGATGGTAGGGTTCACCTGATTCAAGACATAGTCGAAGCTGGAGCAAACGGTATCTTACGCCAACTTTTCCGGAGTTCCAGGTCTCCTCGACTCAATGAAGGATGCCGGTCCAGTTGATGGACCAAAAGTGGTACAACCATCGCCCAGTTCGTCACAGTACTCAGCCGGAAACAAGCGTTTACCGCAGTTAATCTAGTACTCAATTGATAATTGAGCCATAGAGATGGATTCTATCAAAGATCCCACTCACTGCACGGAAAAAAGTTCAACTCCTCGAGGCGACTCTGGCATCGGGTCCTGAGGACAAGGAGAACCACGTCCAGGTACCGCGAAGTAAATTACACGTTACTGTCAGTGGAGATGATTTATCAGTCAGTTTCTATCAATCTGAGCGAGTTCTGATACTGACTACCTTGACTCTGCTATGGAAAGATCATGGACAGTCACAAACCCATGCCTATTTCAGCGGTCTCGGTGCAGCTGGGGACTTCGTAGCATTTCCACTATTTCGCATGTTTGCATTTATATTGATTTAACCTTCTTACCTTCATGAACCAAACTACCAAAAGGTGAGTCCACGCTGGTGAGACACCATATCAACTCTGCTAAGATACATAGACAACCCTTCTATACAGAACATACCTCAACCACGAACCCGACCTCCGCTAGATGACAGCAATAGCGTCTATGACTCATTTGGTGATCTTGGAAGGAGCATCTGCACAGGAGGTTCCTTTAAAGATCTGCTATTGCGAAATCCACGAAAGCGAAGCCAGGCCACCGGGCAATGCAATGCTTTAGGAAGCCTGATAACTGGTGCTACTGCTACCCAATGTGTTATGCTTGTAAGAAGCACCCGTGGGAGAAAGACAATATTCCCGTCGGGAGACCTTCGCAGACAGACGTTACCGTATCCCAGAGACCGGAGTACCCAGAGACGGGCCTACCTGAACACGGGATGCTGGTGGGGAGACACGTCCAGGAGGACGTTCAGACTCTGAATTGACGCAGTCAAAGTTCCCAATTGCGATGAGGATCAATTCCTCGGCTTTCCAGTTCGCCTGGAAACGCCCGCTTGAAGGCCGCCGCTGTGGTTGGCAACTTGAACTGCAGTGGATCCTCAATTGTTTGCCTGCCATAAGGGGCGGCGCAGGACCGAAGGACCTTGAGGATCACTCGGATGAAGGACTTGAGACTACAGCGTATCTCGCACAGGCCTGTGTTGCCATCCTGGGTCCTCCCGGCCAATTTGTCACCAATATTGCGAGCGACCAGCCCAGGGCTAACCCCGTCATCGCAACCACTGCTACGACTGAGGAATAACCGTACCTCTGCTGCCAGCTGAGAAAACGCAAAACTTCGGTCCTGGCGGATGATATCTTACCCCCAAGTAGGTGTCTGGTTGTCTTAGAAGAAGTCTGAACTCGCGGTCTTCAGCGACAAACCCACATTGTCTAGAACTAAGCGGAGAGTGTGATTTTTACGTGCATCCCATCGTTGATGCATGGGGACAATAGGAGATTAATGTCACTAGGAGTACCCCTTGAAGGCTTTTCAGCCAAAGGTAGCTCCTGGGGCTTATGGGTTACAAGAGAGACCAGGGTATATTCTGCACAAGCTTTCGCTTTTATCTCAACTTCACTCTTAGACAAAGAGGTATACACTTATTGGAAGAGCAAAGTACTTGGTAAACCATCCATTCATTGCATTGCCATCACGTAAAGCTACTATAATCCAATTGTAATTCCGGATAGATTGACTTGGCAACTACCATACACAGTTCCGTCGTTAGAGAAATCTTTTCAGATATAACTGCTGCGCTCAACAATTAGAGTTGGTCTGCGTAAGGAGACCAAGCTTCCAAGGAAGCGAGTTGTAATCCCCACTTGCCGACGGGCTCAGTCCCTGATACAGATACCGCAGCTTGCAAGGACTGATAGTCATGGTCTGATCAGTCTGCGTACGAATAATCTCCCCGTGACTGATACTCTTCGTCCACGGCGTGCCGCTAAAGGCAACATTGTTTGAGCGCGCAAAGGGGTTCGACTCTGTGTTGGCCAGGCCCCTCCACGATCCAGTCAGACTGTTGGCAGTCCAGGAGCGGAAGTACCGCTGTCCATCGCTGCCGATCGCTTCAACGAGGAGAAGATACTCCCCGTTCCCGGTGTGGTAGACGTTTGACGCCTCGAACAGAGCGTTCTTGTTGGAGTCGGACATGGCAATCACCGTATTGCCCATGCCGTTGGGGAAGTTGGCCAAAGAGGTCTGCGAGCGGTACAGATGGCCGTTGTCATCGGAGGAAAACAGATAGCAGTTGCTTGAATCGCAGATCGTCCACATATCGACCCAGTTGCCATTGCCCTTGTTCTGGGCGATGATGCTGGGCATGCTACTGAAGAAATTCTTCGGTTTGCTCCACCCGGCTGGGTTGGCGATGTTCGGATTAGTCGAATAAGCTGCGTTCCCGTTCTGGAAGACCAGGTACCAGAGGTTATGGGGCTTGAAGAAGAAGACCTGCGGCGCGGCGCGATAGCCGGAGCCGATCGCGGTCTGGTCAAGGTAGTGGAAGGTGGCCTTGTTGGCCTGGCTGAAATCCCTGAAGTTGAAGTAGACGAGGTTGTAGCCGGATTTCGTTGCCGTGCTTGCGAAGACGTGGTAGGTCCCGTCCACTTCGACAATGGAGGGATCTTTGATAGCTGCGATGTTGCGGCCATCGTTCTTGGGGTCGACCAGAGGCCCGCTGGAGCTCCATTTGAAGCTGCTGGGCAGGGCTGCCGCCGCAAGAGTGGAGATGAGAAGAAGGAGGAATAGCTTCATCGTGGTGAAAGGGTATGTCTTTCCGTAGAACCATTCTCCAAGCCGCGATGGCTCTTTATATATTCTACCCTCTGTCTCATGTCTGAAGAAGTCCCCTCCGATCAGCAATGGAAAAAGGGCCCATAGACACCGGCTAAACACGTGATGAAACACAATATCGCCTGACGAAGATTATACTTCCGGTAAGATGACTTTAAGTCCTGCCAACCAACAAGGATGTGCGGAATATTACCGAGAAGGGGTCGTGTGCCCTCAAATCCGCGACCAAACGGGAAGTCGGAGGACTCCATCACGGCACTCTTAACCTCTCCATTTGCCGTCGATCATTTATTTTCCCCCTGTTTTGTCGCAGATTGACATTTCCATTACCCAAAACATTCAGAATGCGGAGAATGGACCATATTGGCACCTTCTCTGGACCCTGAGCCCCCACCGGGGGGATTTCAGGCTAAATCCGTGACGAAGTTCGTCTCGGGATGTCTTAGATGTGGGGAGACAGGGGTGAGTCTAGAGGCTGACGGCTCCGTGATGAGAAAGAGTCAGCGTATTAGAATTGGGAGGCATTCTCGACATTGCAAGCGACGTAGGCCTCCGTACTGCCTCTGTCGTCGCTGTCTTGGCTGAGTGATGTCAAGAGATATGTCAAGTCAGAATAACAGGCCCGGCCAGCGCACTAACATAAACGAACAGTAACGCGTTCTCAGGAGAGGTGTGAAAATGGACTCGTCTTGCCAGTGAATACATATCTATTAAGTGACACTGGATTGGTAGTCCAAGTCTAATGACGCGCTGCAACTCCCCTTCGTCGTGTTTATTCTTCGTGATGATCGAAGATATTGTGTCCTACGACCGACCGTCATGACGGCACTGCTTCATTAAGCGAGCCTAAAATTACAGGGGAGGAGTGTCGTTGTGGAAGGGCAAAGCTACGACACACGGCGCTTTCCTTCTACTTCGGCCTGGCCGTGACGACTGGCAGCATTTTGTGCTGGAGTCGAACACAGAATTCCACATCCTGTCAAGCAATAGAGTCGACTCTGCGGTTGGCTTGCAAAGGGTTTTCCTACAGTATCATCGACGACCGGGAGACACGGAGAGTGCATACGTTCTTCTCCTTCCAGCTGGTAGTGCTCCATTCCGGGCAGTGAAGTATCTACTCTGTTCTTACACTGTTGCTGTTTTCAGAGCAAGCATAAACCGACACTTACTACGGCTCTTGTACTACAAAAGAGCCAAGGATTGAATCAATCGTTCACTTTGCATCCTGTACAAATACACCGAATAACGCCTACGAGGGAATTCAAGTCAGAAAACAATGCATTTGAACTCGGATTTGCACCACTAGACAACATCACCAGCTTGCAATTTCACCTCCGAAAACCATCGAAAAGCAAATAAATCAAAAGAATGTCAAACAGACTAAAAGCAAGAACTGAAAAGCACTCACATGTCGTCCACCCATCCTCCCCACCCCCCGGTCAAGATCCCAGGCCGAACCATCTATACAGACAGTTAGCGCCGCTTTGCCTGCTCTTTCCAAGCGCTGTATGGCATGAGGCCCCACCCAGAACTCCAGGCCTTATTCTCGATAACCAAGAAGAGCTCCTCACCGGCCAGCTCATTCTTGTCCCAGTCCATACTGAGGTGCTGGATCTTTGTTCGCGCTGCCATGACGATCTGGTCCTCGTTCATTCCCTCTGCATTCAGGGAAACGATGACGTTGCCGCGCCTGACGGCCCCGGCGTTCTTCATCACCTCGAAGGAGTGGTAGATCTTGACATCTCGGTGGTAGATCTTGTGATGCAGACTCTCGAGGACGATGGGTTTTAGCTTCTTTGGGGAGGCTTTGACGTCGAAGAGGATGTGGACATAGGCAGCCTGGGCATTGGAGGCCGGGGTGGGCTGCGTAATCGGCTCGGTTGGCTGAGGGGACTGGGTGGATTGATTGGTAGCCATTTTGACTGCTGGTTGTGTTTGCGTACCTTAGCGGAGAAGATTGTGTGAAAGTCGAGGTATGTTTGTATTCGGAGTGATGGTGAGAGAGGATGAGATGATTGAGAGAAGTGGCTTAGATAAGAAGAGACTTGAGCAGGATCTCAGCTGTATTTATACACAAGGGTAAGACATCTTCGAGGCAGTATCTAGATGGATAATTCCACTGTCTTGAAGAAATTGAAACTCCCCGCTCTATGCAGAGAGACATCGTAGAAAGAACTGAGAGTGCTCCTTTGCGATGTGTATCAAGTTGTCAAACGAGGCTGAATAGGAAGACGGCAAATGCCTTGTTATCTATTATCATTGTCTTAGACGCAACTACAAAGGGGATTATGTATGACCATGTTATGTCTCATATCGCTTGTCATCCAACTCCGAGGCTAATCCTTTTAGACAAAGGATATCGGACACAAAGCCGACGCACCTTCATGCTCATTACTTTATGCACAGACTCCACTATTGTCAACTGATCTCCATAGACATATTCAAAGGATATAGGCGAGACTATGTGAGAAAATGTTTCGTCATCTTTGCCGTTATTGATACGGCCTTTGACCAGGTGTCTCTAATCGAAGACATATCCCGTAGATATTCCGTACAACATCAGAAGCCATCATCCTGCAGGCCTTTATACCTGACCTCCCTCAATCCGAGGAAGAACAGACGACGGCAAACTCCATCCAATAAACCCAGTTACTCAAACAAATGGATATCACAACCACCAACTCCGATGCTTCCTCCAATCCTGCATCGTCCCCTCTGCCAGATCATCCACATTGATATAATCCACCCCCTCCCGAACCAAAACATGCCAGACATGATTCCGCAGGCCCCGCGGCCACGTCGGGGTTCCCCAGTACCTGACCTTAAGACCGCGCTCATGAGCCGCTGTGACTTGTTCGCGGACGCGAGCAAGCTGGTCCTGCGAGAAGCGGTTTCGGGATAGTGGTCCAATTGTCTTGCGAAAGTCGACGGAGGCGTAGTAGCTGTTTGTATAGTTATAATCGGAACCAGTTTCTTGTCGGTTTTCCGAAGTGCTTTGACCTAGTTTATCCAACGGCGCGTCGAGGAATATGTCGCGGTAAGTGCTATTCGCCGCAATAAGATGGAAGGGGGCATCTCCCGAGACGATGACCGTCACAGGACGCTGGACCATCTCAGCCCCGTCGAAATGCGTAAGGTAGCCTGCCTCACGCAGCGGGCCGAGCTGTTCAACCAGATAAGGCCAGGTATCATTTCCGTCCGTTTTGAAATCGATGAGAAGAACGAGTGTCTGGGATGGATCGTGAGCAAACACACCCGCTAGATCCTCGTTCCTGTCGGGCTGCAGCCGACTGGAGCGGGTGTTATGCCGATCAAGAAAATCCATCAGCGGATCAAGGTATAAGCTGCGCAGGGTGGCGGCATGGTGTAACGTGAAGCGGTTGTGGCCGACGAGGAGATCCTCCCCCGACAGCCAGACGTCTGCCTCGACGCCGATGCAGCCCGCTTTGACTGCTGAGAATAGCGGGACGGGCCGCCAGTAGTCGTTGTGTGAGTGGCATTGCACGGGAGTGATCCCGTGAGTGGTCCAGTGAGAGAATATGGACGGTCGTCCACCGGGGCAGACCCAGGCGTCTAGACGGGCGTCAAGATTGTCGGGAAAGAGGTGGACTAGACCGGTCCACATTAGAGAAAGGACCTTGAGAAATCCCCTAGGCGACAAAGTCAATATCTAGTGAGGATATAGCGCATGAGAACTTACAATATCCAAACCAATGCCCAGAAAGGTCTCTTGAGCCCTCTGCAGATGATTGCGCGTCGAGAGAGTGGATGTGCGTTACACGCGACATGGGAACATTTCCAGCGATTTAAATGTGATAGCCACGGGCGTCTTTGTCTGTACTTGTAGCTGCTATGCTGATCGTCTAAGACGTCAAAGGGCAATAATTTTCGATCTGCAAGGTCACCGGGAACCGTCTCCGATGAAGCCAAGGTATCCTGGGCTGAGGAACTTCCGACCTCACAGTCGTCGGCAGTTGATAGAGATAGTTTCATACTGAGAAATATGTGCCTAGGTATCAACTAGTAAAGTTGGGAGTTTAGAGATATTCTTTAGCACGCGACCTCTCTGGGCGATCCATGCCGATTTATCCTTAAAGTTGGCTTACGCGGCCCACAAGGCGTATTAGCTACCATATCCAGACATTGGCCGCCAAGGGAGCCCTACGGTTCCTACCATTGATTGCTTGATCCCATTAAGCTCTGGGAGTTGCAATACATTTGACCAATCACCGGCTGACAGAATCATTCCATTCTGCTACGACCAATCATCGCAGAGCAACAAGAAATCCAGCTGCCTAATTTATTTGGTAACTTAGGTATCTTTTACCTTTATGTAGGTACCTTAGGTAGAGATTACGGCTTTCTAGCCCTCAATATCTGACAAGGCCAAGCCCCATACATAATCCTCAGACCCCCACACTCTCTCGAGACATCCGTCCAGCCCATCTCCTTGACTGTATCCGCATACTCACCCACATACCCCGCCATATCCACCACAACCAAGTATCCCCCGGACATCAACCCCTCGCCGCCTCCCCTATCGCCTTCTTCCTCGTAGCTTTATCCGCATTATGAATCGACAAACTAGCCGTTACCAGCGAAAACACCCCATCGAAGAACGGCAACTCCGCAAAACTCCCCGTATGTAGCACCGTCTGCTCGCATACCCCCAACGCAGCGGCGTTCTTGTAAGTTGCCAGCGACGAGTTTCCGCTTTGATCGCCTTTAACGAATAGATCGATGCCGTAGGCGGGGTGGACGGGTGATTCTGAAGAGGTGAGTTGTTTCTTGATTTGAGCGATTTTCAGTAGGACCATCCCTCGACCGCAGCCGAGGTCGAGGGTGGGTGATCTGAAGGTTTCCCTGGGGAGGTTGGCGAGGAGGTCATCCCAGACTTGGAATTTGCCTTTGAGGGTTGCGTAGAGATAGAGTGGGGAGAGGATGTTGGAGGCGACCAGGCCGAGAGGTGAGTCGATGCCGTAGGATGGGTTTGAGGGGATGTCTTGTGCTGCGAGGTTTGTGGATAATCGTGCGATGTGGTTTTCTGGGATTGAGGATAGATAGATTGAATGCGACATTCTGTCTGTGTAGTGTGCAGGTATATCTAACAGCAGTGTGAGGAAAATCTGGGAGATTTATCGTCGACTAGAGCAGATTTATCTACTCATTTCTCTTCCCTTGTTGTTCTTTGCATAGAATTTATATCATGATTGATGGTCGGAAAGTACTCCGCTCTTTGATCTTTTCTTGTGTAGTCTCGCAGGTGAATGCCCCTTTTTATAAGTCTCATGAGACCATGAACTCGTATTTCAGGCAGCAAGAAAACCAGCCAATATCACAAAAATCCATACAACATTCTGAGCCCCCAGATAAAACAATGTCATATCCGAGTCAAAAAAATTGCTTCAGTTCATGCTGACTATGTGGTAGGGATGCCCTGGTTGTGCGAATGTAGCAAGGTAGGTGCAATGCTAGGAAAAACTAGTAGATGAAACATGTTCATTTTTCAACTCCATCTCAGGTTGAGTAAGCGCAGGAGAGGCAGTACTTACTAGATGATGACTGGATTGCTTGATACTTATATTTTCGATTAACGCTCGTGATATACATGTCCGACTGAGCTGTCCAGATACGAAAGGAGGGTAACAAGGTCGAAATTTCCCTATGTAAGTACAATGCCAGTGAAGATATCCATATTTCCATTACCAACTACACAAGATCAAGACATTAGATGATAGCGTTTTGCATATTCCATGACGTGTTGCGGGTGGGTGAGATGAAGGTGCGGTGGATTGTCTTCCGCATCCCCCGAGGAATACCATTTCCGGACATCTCAACATCAACGCCAAGAGAATCATCAGAGTCGTGGCGAACTTCAACGACGTTTCATAATGGCAAGAGTCTCCTCAATTCCTCGTTCATGACACATATTAGCAATAATCGTCGGATGAGGCTGGCTGAAGTAACGCACAATGAGGATCCCTTACAGACTATCGGAAGTAACAGCATAGGCGAGTCCATAAAGTGCTTCTCATTCGTCACATTAACTGATGATAAAGTACAGTAACCACGCATTCAACTTAATCCGAGGGCGTGGAGAGTTCTGATTTGCCAGAGGCTGCTGGTCTGCATAATCTATCACATCCTGCAGGGATCGCCCTCGCTAATGTGCGTCTCCTATATAGCTGATCTACTATGAATGTGGTTGGTCCTAGTAGTGGTCACGCAACATAAGAGCTGCATAAGCTGGAACCATCTCCTCTTCATTTTGAGTCGAATTAAGGGAGTAAAGGAAGGGTAATAAATAAGGCAGTGGTTCTATCTTCCTGCAGCTTCTTTTTTGTTTCCGCTCGTCCCAGTACCGAGACAGTGGCCAAGTCAAGTGCTCGCATACACCCAACTCTCCAATTGTTTGCAGGATGACAAAAAGGCAAGAGAAGATCTCAGTTCATCAAATGACGGCCCCAACCTCGGCCATAATTGAAGATTTTGTGGCTTCCTACGACACGCAACGCGAATTCTACAGCCACACCGCAACGGCTGTTAGAAAGATTTGCGAGGCAGCCCTCGGAAAACATCATATACCATGCCTTGTCAGCCATCGAGCGAAAGAAGCAGCGAGTCTACGCAAAAAGCTATATGCACGACAACTTCTCCGGGGCCATGCCTACACAAGCAGAGAAGAGATCAAAAGTGACATTTCCGACCTTGCTGGCGTACGCATCGCTCTCTACTATTCTCGGCACGGGGAGGAGGTCAAGCGTATACTCAATGATGAATTTACTGTCGTGGAAAAAAAGACGTTCAGCCGAATGGGCATCGACGAGGCAATCCATGGCGGCTACGATCGATGGTTCCCGGGCTACTGCGCACAGCATTATCGAGTGCATCTTAAGAACGGAACGGTCAATCAGGAAGGCGTACCTATTCACAACACAAAGGTGGAGATCCAGGTCGTCTCTGTGCTGCGGCATGTCTGGGCTGAAGTGGAACACGACGTGGTCTACAAGGGGAAGCTCAGGGCGAGCAGAGACGACCACCGCATCCTGGACGGGTTAAGCGGTGCGGTGTTTCTTGGGGAGTGCTTCCTGGATCAACTGTATCAGACCCAGGTAGCGAAGACTACCACCGACGACAAAGGTTTCGAAAGCGTCTACGGGCTCGGCTCATTTTTGTGGAATTGGACCGCCTCCCTCGGGCATTGCCAGGTAGAATACCCAGTGGAGGTCGAGTTTCTGAAAGAGGTGCTCAGTATCCTCGGGCTCAACAATCCGCGAACACTACGAGATATTCTCAGTCAGATCGACCTGTCCACTCGAGAAGGCAGCGAGTGGCATTCTTTCCGGGCGGCATTTCACCCCGCTAGGTCCAGTCTTACAATGTTCATAATGGACCGGATCCTTACAATGCCGGTCGGAGCCAGCAAGCTTGAGAATACGCCAGTGGACGATCCTGGGCTCGATCACGCGAGACACGAGCTCGGCCTTATTTCCAGTTCCCTGATCTGGCTCGATCGGGTGTACCCGCTCTCGTCTCAATTATTCGGAGCCCTCTTCGCCAGTGACTCGTGGGACCGTTATCTGCCTGGAATCCGGTGGCTTGATTCGCGAAAAGCCCAGGATTATTGGAGGGGTACTGCGGTGCTTACCGACGAGGAAAAGAACAGGATCAACGGTCTGTTTCAGTGCTTTGCGAGAAACAAGGAAAAGCCCATTCAGCTTGCGTTTGCGCTTGCCAGGCTGGGTGTTTTGAAGAGATACGCTGCTGACTGGCTGGCTTTGCATCGCGTCATCTCGCCGTTGCTTATTGTAATAAAGGCTCGATATTAGGGGATCTTAGGATGGGGTGTGATGTATACGTCTGCTGCCTAATTCAATGCTTACGCTGAGATTGGAAACATCATGTATGGTAAGCTTGATTTACTGTGTAGATGTGGATCTATGGGAATATTCCTGGCAACTCTGCATAAGCGAAATTGCGGTCCTGCAACCGAGTTACTCCAGCAGGCATGCTTCTTTGTTAGGTGTAGATGATGAGTATACATGGAAATAGTCCTACAATCCCTGACCATGGACAATGTTACGTAGTCCGCAGCAGCCACGGTTGCCTAACGACACCACCTTTTAGCGAGCATAATACCGCAAGCACTATCTAACTCCATATGAGATCTCACCCCATCTGTACGAAAACCTGCCAGCTCAACGGTTGACTTGGGAGTCGCGGACAGACCGTGCCAATAGTCCTTGATTGGTAAAACGGTACCGGGGCAAAGGCACGCTAAGCCCTAGCTACATGGCGGGTTCCGGGCCGTGCGTTAGTGGCCCGCGCTTTGGCAGCCGGATAGCCGGTAGCCAATCGTTCAGTGATGAGGATCAGGCCCGCAGGTGTGGAAGGGGGGTGTAACCGTTCTCTCGGGATTTGGTTCATGAGATGATGGATCGCGGTAATGCGGTTTCCTCAAGTTTTCCGTACGGTAATGGTAGTCCGTACAGACTACCACTCAATCAGTGTCACTCGCAGTTGAATGAGATATACGGTATAGTATGCTCAACGTGCCTAATGCCACTCGCGACGCTTCTGATAACCCTCCAGCATACGACGGGGTTTGGATAACCGTCGCAAAGTCCCGAACCGAAACAACGGTCGAAACCAAACCCAATGCTAACTAATGCCTTGACATCCCTGTCAGTCTTCAATGAGTCACTTTTTCAAACAAAGAAAAGGCCTACGCCAATCCTTGGCGTACATTAGAAGCCTTGCAAGCACAGACGCGACATGTCAACTCAAAATCTACCACTGTGTCGGGTTCGCCTGTGGCCCCCTGTCTGAGCCACATTGCTGAACTATTGGCCGTTGTCTGTTGCTTAGGGGCCGCATTACATTGGCTAGATGTGGTCTGAAGAGGCTCCTGCCTAAATAGGAGTTGTAGGCACTTGTTAAGGTCTAATCAAGCCAGGATTGTGAGACCCCGAGCCAGGTATTTGGGTGTTGATTCCTCGCCATGACAGTTGCTCTTTGGGAGAGACTATGGTCTTGTTTTGTTAGTTGTGCTCCGTCCGGCCATAGTAATAGACATCAACCACTTCGAGGACCGAAACCAAGGAACTTCAGCCATCTCCATCTGTACTCAATCCCAATACCGACCATTCAATGCCCGGTACGATTCAGACAGCCTCACCAGCAAACAGTGTTGCATTCACTAATTAACCAAAGAACTCACAGATCTCCATTGTCTCCGCATCATTGAAACGCTCCACGGAAGCGAGGTTAGCCTCGATTTCGAAGAAAAGGCGCTCGTCGTCAATATATCCCGTCTCGTTGAAGATGAAGGATGGTTTGGCTCCGAGCGAGACATAATCGTTGTATCCTTCATGAGATACCTGCGTGATCGTGCTGTTGGCGAGGAGACGGTGGAGAGCACCTGGTGCCGGTACATGAGGACGGAGTTTTATGCATGCTTGTGTGAGATGTCCTGATTCCAGAAGACCGAGTCTGGAGAGATGGCTAACATGGGGATTGTACAGTGGATGCAAGGGAGAAGAAGGGCACCTAGCAAGACAGGAAATGGGGCTCATCATGATAGTTAGGAACCCGAGACTGGGAGAAAAGGGGCGATGGTCACTACTCGGCTTTATGACTATCTATTAAGCATATCCGAGTCGTGGCATCTCTGGAATCTTGAAGGAAGGAGAGCAAATTCCCCGCGACACTCTTTTAACACGTTTATGCATCTGACTGCTGCAAGCTCAGTATCGTCGCATTAGCTATCTCATAATTTTGGATCTTAATATTGTGAAAGTGTCAGCCATATCGTACCGCTCTCGAATCCAGAGAGTATCGGATATCGATATTTTACCGAATTCTGGCTGGGCCAATCAGATCGCTGGATTCTACTATGGATTCAACTTGCTAAATTAAGAAGATTTTACAGTTTTCATTTGGTCGATTATAAGTAGTTAGTTAGATATTAGATTGCCAGAAATCAGACCTTCATTCATCCCGAACCGTACCGTTTACTGGCGATTACCATAGATTCGCTATTATCGGGGATCGGTTGACAGAAAGGTACTTGCTCGCCTGCGCAGCCTGACTGGGCTTAGCGCGCCGCATGACTGTCACCTCTTGCCGCCTTGGACTGTTTTCATATCATTACTGCAAGTATCTAGGATATGTAGTGAAAATATATAGTGTCCCCCTTATCTGATATTAGAGAAGACAAGGATTAGTCTTATTATTAAGTAATCTACTATTCTCCCATACTATCCTGACCCAACATTCTATCATTCCTAATTCTTGCCTAGTCAACAGGCTAATCTACCCTGCCCTGTGGATCATCCCTCACAAAATGAGACATGGGCATTCAGAGATAGCATAGATAAAGCATGCTAACCAGGTCTACAGGAATATATATAGAAAATTATATGCACATCCTCTATTAGAGGTTAATAGACCTATAACATTCCTTAGTATCACATCTTATTATAAGCATATTTAGAATCATTGAAACGGCAGCAAGAAGGCACACATGACACGTTACAAGGGGTTCTGAGAGAGAAGAAGAGGAAGAGAAGTAGGAAAGGGTGTCAACGCGCCATTTGTCAGGGGCAGGCCTGTTATCCACAGCCATGTCTGCTATATCATCTTACTGGTGCATCTTGATTCCTTGGTAAGCCGCTAAAGAACCAGTGTGGACACAGACTGAATGGATGAGTGAATGCAGTGTGCGTAGGTGTTAATTAGTGAATGAATCAGGTTGAATGGGCGAGCAAGTCACCTTGAAGGGATGAGTGAATCAGCTTGGAGGGTGATTTTTACCCAGGTGTCAACTCACCCTGCTCACCCTCTTAAAGCGGCAACGTCCAAATAAGGAAGGAAGAGGACCGCCATAGATTTCTCCATGGTATTTATAACAAATTAAATGATAATATAATCAGAGTGGAAACCAATAATAAATGAATTGTAATATCTGACCTGAAGTTTTTATTTTTTTATTCGTATTTTCATTTATTCTTCTTTTTGCATTTAATCAGGATATTACAGATCGAGAACCACATACTGAACAAATTATAGAATGGCCAGAACATCATCTCAGTTTTTTCTGGAACCACTGAGTCCACCATGCCCGTATTGTTGTCTATTCCTGATCCGATTATTGGAGCCTCACGATTGATGGCGCCCTATATTTTATCACCGTTGCATTGCTAATTATCCTAGTTCATGTAGCAAGAGACACGCTCCCCTGGATGCATCACCTATGGACCATGACTGGCACGAGGAAGATTAGAATGTACTGCGCCAAGATCGCTACAGACTCTTGTCGGCCAATCAGCTGAGAAGAATACGGAGACCATTGGCATCTTTACACTAGCTACGAGGCTGAGCTGGTTAGCGCTTAGCAACCGGATTGAAAAACTGGTAGGAAATTACATCTTTCCAGGGTCGAGATCCTGGGAGCAGGCACTTCAATAGTGCATCAAAAGCGAAAGCTACCCTAATGATGAAAATTGCGGTCGAGCCGTCTGAATGTCTTGCGCTGGTCGGGATATGACTTATAAGACCATCCAGCCGGGCTCCCAGGCAGCACACACAGCGCCAGGTCTCTCTCCCAGTCCATCTTCCACGCCTGCAGCTACAGGCCGCCAAGACTTCCAATCAATATGCGTTCCTCCATTCTTGCCTTCCTGCCTGCTCTAGCCGCGGCTGCTGACTTTCAGATTACCAGCTGGCTCTGCACACCACTTCTTGACCCCACCGAGGGCCAGGAGCATTTGAGCGTGCGGGATGCCGGCGAGACTGGCTGCGCTGGCTATATTCTCAATGAACACGATGACGGTTCGTACGCGGGGGCCTTCAGCGGCAATGAGAACTCAAATACTACTTTCATCTTCACGGAGGAACCCAATCCTCGCTTCACGGCCAATTTCTCAGATTACGTTCGGCCCGGTACCTGCACCCCGGCCCTCGCGTATGATGTCTGCAAGACGTTGTCAGCTGCCTGTTCCATTACCATCTTATGGGACTGTTCCTACGGCGTTGAAGCCCATCAAACACAGCCACAAAAAAGACAGCAAAGCGTCAAGGTGATGGTAGCTGGAGATTCGATCTCACACGGGATGGACGGTGACTGGACCTGGCGTTGGCGTCTTTTTGCTTGGCGTGAGTTGATTCATCTTCAGGCCTCCACCAAGGTCCATTAATCGTCGTGTGTGTGCAAAGTTAACCCTAGTCATGGGCATCTCCAGTGCAGCTAAGTTACAACGTCAACTTCGTCGGACCGTGGGTTGGCACACACGGAGTGATGCTGCCCGAAGCCGCTGTGCCGCAGCCACCCGTCTTGCCGGGAGAGTCTCCTCTTCAGTTTCCAGATGTCGTGGGCGTCTATGCTGACGGGGTGCCGAATTCGTTCACCTCCACGGGCCATGCTTCGTTCTGGGGCCGGCAGGTGGCGCAGACAAAGGATACCATCAAAGGCTGGGTCGCGGAGTACCAGCCAGATTACCTCCTTATCCTGCTTGGCTTCAACGACCTGGGTTGGTTTGTTAGTGGCCCTGAAGACCTAGTCGGCAATATGGGGCAACTAGTAGAGAACGCGCGCGCGGCCAAGCCAGATGTCAAGATCCTCCTGGGCAACGTCGTGCACCGTAAATTCCTCAAGGGCCGCCAAGACCTTGTTGACAACACAAACAGGTATAATCAGCTCCTGCGCGACAGGTACCCAAGCTGGTTCCGATGGGAGTCTCCCATCTCGTACGTTGATGTTAATGCCAACTACAACTGCCACCCTGAAAGCTGTCCTGACGGCTATGATGGACTGCATCCTAATTCAATAGGGGAGTATCATATTGCGCAGGCTTTTGCTCGCAGCCTCAAGGCCGACTTTGGATTTCAGGGTCCAGACTTCGTGGTGCCGGCCAACCCTGAGCCGAGGATTATTAGCACGCCGGCCGGTGTGCAAACCTTCTCACACCCAGAGGGCTTGTACACAACCTGGAAGAAGGTCCCAAACGCTCGAGGCTATGACATACGCTCTCGACTCCAGGGAATGACTGGTTGGTGGTCTGAGGGCCAGGTCTACCCCAGCACTTATGCCAGCTGGACCACATGGCTGGGAGATGGGCAGACGTGGGAGTTCCAGGTCCGCACCCGAGGCGACAATGACGACATCTCCAGCTGGTCAGAACTCGCTACAGCTAAAACTCACTTGCAGACCTCTCCGGGGCCCCCAAACATTGTGACAGTACCTTCCGGAGACGGTATCCGCATCTCCTGGGGGCCTGTTACCGGGTACAGCGTCAACCGGTACGGAGTCATCATATGGGATAAGGACACCGAGGGCGCTTTCATTGAGACACGCGCCGTGTCAGGGACGAGCCTCTTTATTGGCGGGTTGATCTCCGGGCACCGCTACGGAACTTGGGTAGCTACCTACGTCAATATGCAGAGCAGCTTAACAGGGCAACCCTATGCAGCGGGAGGCTTGCCAGCGGCTGGGAGGGAGGTGATCATTGGCTCATTCTCGCCCTCGCCGCCTACAAACCTTCGTGTCACCAACACTGACGCCACAACCGTGCAACTCAGCTGGAGCCCCTCAGAGGGCGTCACGGGCTACGCCATCTATGTCCGGAGTGTAAAAGACAAGACAGCCTTTAACGTGGACGGGACAACGACCGGTACAGCGTACGGCGTAGGGTTCCTATTCCCTGGGACCTGGAACTTTGAGTTCTGTATTGCCTCATATAACGGGAACCTTGAGAGCCCGCACAGTAGTTGCATCATCCCACCGGTCTATGAAGTTCCCACCATTCCCAATCCCAACCCCAAGGGCAACATCAAGCTCACCTGTACGTTCAACCATCATAGCCTTCAGGGAGCAAAGCAAGCTGACAACAACCACAACCAGTCTCGGACGAAACTATCAATATCGGCACCATTAAGATTGGCGACATCACTGACAAGCTGAATAAGGTCTGCTCCACCCAAGGCCAATGTGACACCAGCCCCTTTACCCTTAATGGTCAACTTGTCGAGTCCGGCCTTGGTGGCAGTGTTAACGACTTAATCTTGACCGTCAATCCATCTGGGGCTTATCCAACATGGTGAGTTCTGGTTAATATTTGCTATTGACCTTAGTCAAGCCTATGTTGATGCTGATTTTAACCTTGAAAAAAGGATTCACAATGGCCTAATAGACACACTGTATGCAGCTGTCACAACACTGGCAGACTGCTACCAGGTGACTAATACGCCAACATGTCCATCTCCAATGACTTATTGTCCTTCAAAGCCATTTACTGTCACAGAGTGCAAGGTGCCCCAGTACTGGGGTATCAACTATCAGGATCCCAGTGAGGCTAACGCAGCCCCACCATTTATTGGAGCTGATATGAATATTGTGGTGGATGCTGGTGGATTTTGTACAAAGATGTTGACTGCCTTCGGTGCTGTTGCTAGTGAGTTCCTCTTAATATTTGCTGTTGACTTTACTCAAGCTATGTTGATGCTGATTTTTAACCTTATGAAGGTGCTGTGAATGGAGCTGCAGGTGGAGTTTTCACACTCTTGAGTTTGGCTTGCAAGGATTAATAAATGGGATTTGGGTGTTTCACATGGAAGAAATGCAGAGCAATGACAAAAATGTTGGAGCTACCCATCTGTTCTAGACATCTCCATTGTATGGAGCTAGCTACATTGGCCTATATAATTTTCTTAGCTCAGTTATCGATCTACATATTCAGCTCCATATGATCACGAATCGGGCCTTGTGATTCGAATCCGCTTATATAGTTGGACGCAGTAACCAAACAATGCCGGCAAGAAAAGGAGGAGATCGAGAAGAAATGTCAAGGCACTCAGCCAACCAAAAGCGGATGCCGTCACGTCTCAGAGGGACTCTCTGCCGAAGGCAACCATTTCACTCAATTCCGTGCCTGTCTTCCATCCACGGACCCGCGATGGGAGATTGAGCGTACTCAGGCAAACAGCTTCCCTGGTTGTGCGAGCAAATGCCATAAAATCGGCAGCTGTGGGGTCGGTGGTCTGGTATCGCAGTTCTCAGGACTGCTACTTGTATAGGGACATTATGGATCCTGGAGCTATCCAGAACGATGACACTGGGGATGTCACGGTCAAGAAATGGTTTTGGCAAAGATTCTTAATATAACTATAGCCCCTCGAGTATTTGCTTGCCTTGGCAGAATTGCTGTCTTGACCATCACCCGCTTTGTACACGGTATGTGGACAGAAATGACGGGCCAGATGTGAAATAACGCTTCATTGCTGATCGCTTCCTCCATCGCTGTCTCAGGAGTCGGAATATTGACTGCGAGTTACTGAATTTGTCACCACAAGTCCGTATTCAGCTTTGTTGCATTATTATCGTTTGTTCCCAGTCCTCCCTCACTCATCAGCTCCTTGGTGGCTCGGTCCACCTCCTCCGCTTCTCATAGTCTCGGTCAGTTATACGGAGTACTAGATCTCGAAATAGCCTTGAGGCCCTTGACATCCACTCTCCATATCTCTTTCTGGCCCCACCGCCAAGGCCTTAGCGCAGATATTATTGAGCGGGCCGCTTTAAAGGGAGGGGAGCAGTAAAATCGACCTTGGTAAAGATGCAGTACCAGGCTACGTAATATAACACCATGCCTACGAAAAGCCCGTGCAATTTCCATGGAACCGATACCCTGTAGAGCGGCAACCCATACCCTGTGTACCAAATCTGCCTCGTGGCATAAGCTCTCCGTGTCAGCCGCCCGATAGCACGGTGCACCTTTGCTGGTCACACAATTGCGACCATTATTCAGCAAATGCCAGAGCTACGCCAACCTCCCCTAGACTATCCTTTTTAATAAAATTTGGAAAGTATAGAATATAAATAAGTTGGCATACTTTGCGCATAATCAGTCGTGAATTGCTTTTTGGTTGGCCATAGGGAAACTGTGTACTGAGCCCACCACTATTGTAGAATAAATCGGAATAAAGTATACAATTTCTATGGGAAGGCCGAGAGCCATTTAACCGGTGTACAAGTCGCCGGGTCCTACGATGATCTGGGCCAAGGACCCTGTCCTAGCCTGCCAGCGCTTGCTGGTACATCTCCTCTTGCGTCCTTCAGCTTCCCCTGGGCAGAGTAGAGACTCCCAAGGTTGTTAACTGTATTTAGGGTGGGTGTGTTCCGTAATGCGGACCGCGGGCCTTCTTGTAGCCTGCCGCGGTAAAGGGTATGCTTGATGATCTGGTGTCAATTTAACAGTTGATCATTTACAGTCAATGTAATCGAACTATAATTTTGACCCGCTGCTATAGATGTATTCTTATTCACACAATAGCTACTAGCCAGGTACTTCTTCCAAATCCTCCCTGTCAGCTACAGTAATCCCTTCCACTCCTGGATAAGTCGTGACTGACCTGTGGTCAACCCTTGGGTACGGCCCACATCCTGATCGGATGTTGAGCACGAAATGGTGCTGTATAGCGACTGTAAAAAACCTAATCTGCGCTGAGATGCCCTGCTCTCAGATTGTTATCGTTACCTTGTGATGGCGCAGTCAGCGAAATCACAGAGCCTTACCGTTCATACTTCTAATATATATGACTGCAAGGCAAGGGTTACTGCGTCCCGACGTGTTCCTTCTGTAATCGGTGTGGTGGCGAAGCCGGTTCCACGGTGCGTATAGCTAATGTTTGGTTGCGCCGAACTGATGTCATAGGGTTGTCCAACGGTAGGATATATTAGCTCTATGGGCTGTGGCGCGACAATCCTACAACGATACGGGGCTTTCAACTATAGCTTCAACACGGACGAAGTTCATGATAAGCACGGACAGATCATTTCTCCCGGCGACCACATCTTTGTCAAAATTCGTGGAGGCCGACATGAAGGCGAGGTACCAACCCTTCAGCACATCCAGGGCTGCAGTATCCCAAGAATTTGATTAACGACATAAAAGGTTGATAAGATCGTCAGAACCGAGGGAGAAGCTGAACAGGAGGGAGTGAAACATCCACCTAAGGTTGGTTCTTTCCCCTTTGTGAAGAATTGTGCTGATAAATGTGAAAAGGTCGTGTTCCATGATCAACGCGGAAAAAAGGTTGCGCATAACCCAGGCACCTTGGAAAAGGTCGACGGTTGATACAGGCGGGCAAGGCTTCGTTCGTTTCTTCGGGTTTCTTGATTTAAATAGTGGAAGATTAGCTCAATACCAATCCTCATCACGGTCTGCGAATCGTAGTTGTAACTAAATTCAGATATTCTGTGAATAAATCCAAGCACTTTCACTCAACTGGCCTCCTAGCTAGGTGGCTATTATAAGGATGGCATAGATAGCGAGGAGGATAACTTTTATTCTCTTTAAACTATCATTCTCTCGTTCAAACTTTCGAAAGACATGGATGATAGGCATCCAGCAGAAACCAGTCTGCCGTGGTCAGCTATTCGCGGTCAGCGTTATACATGAGCAACCGGACACGGTCTTATCGCTATTAACTAAGGGAAAAACAAGCCCTTGTGAACCGCAATAAACCCTTGCTTATCGCATATCCCTTCTTCCAGCCTGCTTGAATTTCATTGATGACGAACTTTCCAGAATAGAGAACCCTACTTCAATGAGCTTTCCGCATAGTTTAGGTGTTAACAGACACGAAGAGCTTACATCATAGACTCCCGAAGATCGCCCTTGTAGACTCTACCATCCTTCTGGATCAGAAGCCAGGTCCTTCCCCATTCAAAAAAAAGCTGCGCCCCACTGTGTCTAGTCAGCAATCCAACTCCTGCTGCCATTGGAGATCACTTACCCTAAACTAATCAGCCGCGCAGCGATGCTGTACATCAGATTAAACAGTTCCCGTAATCTTCCTCAGCCCGTGCAAAGCTCGTTGGGGCAGCGAAACCCCAGATCAGCGATAATGGGTAGACGTAGCCCTTGTGAGGAACACAGGATGAGAGGGATCTGGGTCTAGTAGTTGGGCGTATGGTTATTGCTGGGTCCATTAATGCGTCCACTTCCCCTTGGTTGTTCACTCGGAATGCATATTCTGATTCTGTTAATGGTTGGGGATGCCTTGCAATAATATATGTCAACTTCACCTTCCCAACTCTAAAGTAATATGTATGCAATGCACGCCAGCACTGAACTTCATGATATAGGATTTGCTACTAGGGGCACTGTAATTTATTATAAGTGAATGAGATCCCTAAACTCAGAACTCAATATGGTCCACAGTGCATCTGAAAACTGTGGACATTTCCATTGTGGGGGATTGTTGCCGCAAAGCATCATCATCATTAAACATGAACGACTGTGCCTGATTCCTAGAGCACATAGAACAGGTACTTATTGGCCTGGTTAGTGTAACAGCCACACCAGCCTCCTTGACCATTTGAATAATGTATAACTTGAGCAGTGGGTCTTCGCATTGTGCGTGTCTCAACAGTTCATCTTTCAGAGAATGAAGTTCTGAGCGCATATGGTCGCGCTCTAAAAGAAGATGCTTATGCTCTGCTGATAGTTTGTGATAGAGGCTCTCTAGTTATTGGTTGCATGCTTTCTTCTGGCGGTGGCATTTGCTGGCTGCGCGCTGGTTGCGCTTGAGATACCTCTCATGACGGGGATCGTCCTTTCTAAATGATTTTGATTTGGTGTTATGTTTGCTGGGTAGTGAATACTTTTTAGTGAAAGTAGGCGCTTCAGAGTAAATAGATCATTCCAGAAGCATCAGGGCCAGTCACAGCTACAAAAGCTATATCGTTATGGTAGGGGGTGGAGACATGTCAGCCAGAAATACATTCAGCTGTGACAAAACCTTTGCAGAGGATACTATTAATCAAAGGGATTCTCCTTTCAGACAGCTGTATTGCCTGGTATTTACTGTTTATATCACTGATCAGCTTTGAGAGAGTGTGTGTTGGTTCAAAATTCACGAGTTAAGATCTGAACTGATTTGTATATGACGCAGCTGAGCATGAGCCGTAAATTAGAAAACAGATAAGAGGTCACTTTCTTCAGACCTGAGAATATCTGGTATGGCTTCTTCTCAAAGTGCAGGGAGGACTAGCGGCTTGGCCATTTCATGGCTGGCTGAGGCTTGCCTGCTATTTATTAAGATTGTTTTGCTAACTTACTCATCACCTTGACCCCGCTCCTAGTCTCTCTAATTTGGTTCTTACTATATAACTATATACTATTAAACAGACTCTTGAATGTACAATTGCTTGAAATATTTTGTTTATTCTCCATCCTAGTACAGAGACTATTCATATTAAAGCCTTAATATGGATTGTGAGAGGTACCATAAGTCCTTACATCTGGCTTTTCAATCCACTGCTGACTTTGGCAGCCTTAAGGATGAGCAGGAGTAGGAATCCATTAAAAGGACTAATAATGTACTCATAATCACCCTTAGAGTATATGCTAATAGTATCATGACTGCGATTTAAGGGATTTTAGGGGCGTTCTGATTACCCCAGTCTTTTAGTCTATTAGGTGGACGATGAAAGAGTCCTAGAGATTTAGAATAAGCTTAGCTGCTGCCGCCCAGTAACACTAACGGTATTACCTCAGTATAGATAGCACTTAAATCCACATCCATGCTATAGTAGGTTCCACTATAGGTACTACTTCCAGATTGTGTGACAGGGCCTTGGCCCTGCTCAACATGAAAGTGACTACTGATATCCAAAGGACAGGATTAACTAATAAATATGAAAATTCCTATCCAGTCCAGCAACCATTGTGCAGAATTCTGCAGGCAAAACGTCATGGTACAAAGGGCTTTCTTATGGTCTCAAGCAAGAACCATGAAAATAGCTAAATTTATTTAGGAAAATGCAACCATCAACGTTGCAAAAGAGAGATGAGAAGAAAATTGAAGGTTTAACAACAACAGCATAGATAATGGTGATAAATAGATTATCTATTTCCCTGATAATGCAACTAGCTGGCATACAGCCTATACCACCCATACAAAGTCAGATCTAAGGAAATATATGGATGTCTATCTCACATGGACTAAATGCCAGTATAGGGCAAAGCCACAGCACCTCTATTCAGATTAGGAATAAACACTCAGCACGTGGTATATCAACTAATGTGCTGTGAAAGGCTGCGCAGCCTGATTAGGCTTAGCACGCCGCGTGACTGTCACCTCTTGCTTCGCATGTAGATAGTATCATTTCTCTCTTAGTCTAGCTATTCTGAATATGACGATCATCATTCAATCCATTCTATCTCACAAATATGCGGATCTTTATCCGAGGGCTTGACCATCATCCCAAGGTGATCGTCTTGAGTCATACCCGATCCGTAAGTGCCCGAATGATCCGAGGTTATCCGACCCAATACATAACGACCTCAGCATCACCTCTTCCCATCCGAGAACATTGATACCATCATGGCTCCATCAACGCAACATAATCAAAATGAGTGTGCACTTACTGCAGACCCGGAAATGGTCACTTCCCACCCACCAACCATGGAAGTAGAAGAACCAGTGCAAGAGCAAGCCCCACTAACCTGTACGTTGTCTGGCCGAAATCTATAGGGCCCGTCTAACAATTCAGGAAATCTACCCTGGTGGTGATAGCCGCCTTCATGAGCATCTTCACCGGCTGCGGCCTCAACTTTGCATTCGGCGTGTATCAAGAACTCTACGAATCCATGTCCCAACTCCCCGGTCGCACCCCCTTCACCGGCGTCACTCCCGCCCAGATTGACCTCATCGGGACGCTGGCCGTCTCGATGATGTCCCTCGGAGCGCCATTCGCCTCGGGCTGGTGCAAATCCTACTCCCCCCGTAGGATCACCCTCGCGGGGACGATCATCTTCGCTACGGCGAACGTCCTCGCATCGTTCAGCCAGCGCCTCTGGCAATTCGTCCTCACCCAGGGCGTGCTACTAGGCTGCGGCACATGTCTCACCTACATCACCGCCGTAACCGTCGCGCCAGGCTGGTTCACCACGCACCGCGGCCTCGCCATCGGCATCATCTCCTCCGGCACCGGCGTCGGCGGCGTCGTCTGGGCGCCGGCGCTGCGGGCCTTAAACGCCCAGATCGGGTTTAGGAATACCCTCCGTCTGACAGGCGGTGTCTCCTCGGTACTCCTGGGCGCCGCCTCCCTCGTACTAGACTGGGACCCGCGCACCAAGCGCCAGATCGAGACAGAACGAGCGACATCCTCCTCGTCCCGACTCCGCGTCACGCTTGTAGACTGGCGCGTCGCGCGTACCAGGAAGTTCATCGCGCAGTGCGTCTCCGCGGGCTTGCAGGGCGCAGCGTACTACGCGCCTGTATACTTCATGTCGACGTATGCGCGCACGCTGGGCTACTCTGCGGCAACAGGGGCCATGTTCATCTCTATCTCGAATGCGTCGTCGGCGGTAGGGAAGGTGGTTATCGGGCATGTGGCGGACCGTGCGGGACGCATCAACGTCTTCCTGTTTACGACGCTGATGAGCGCCGTCGCGACTCTGGGGCTGTGGTTGCCGTCCACGGTATCCGGGGGAAGGCCCTGTTCGTCGCGTTTGCCATGTTCTATGGTGTGTTTGCCGGGGCGTATGTGAGTTTGTTTCCTGCGACGCTGGTGGAGCTGTTTGGGGTGGAGCACTTTGCTAGTGTTAATGGGTTTCTGTATATGGTCCGTGGGTTTGCGGCTTTGGTTGGGACGCCGGTGGCTGGGGCGTTGATTCGGAGTGCTGGTTCGCATGTCGGTCAGGAAGTGATGAGCAAGCTGTTCTTCAATACGAGTATCCTGGTGGGCGTTTTGCTCGTCGGTGCTACGGTGGGTGTGGTGTGGGTGCGAATCGAGGCAGCTGTCAGCATGATGGATCGTCAGGTTGGGGTCGGAGGCTTCAAATGGAGGATTTGAAGCTATATCTCCATTTCTCTGTATATATATGTTTTATCGGCACATTGAGAACTCTCCCCTCACTTTCGGACACCTAATCTCGGCATCGTATAAACCTTGTCAGTCCATCCGCACTAGACATATAAACACAGCAGCCCGAGAAACGAGCGAATACGAGCTTAGTTCGACTAGCCACGAAGCTACTATATATAAAGCCATCTCCCACAACAACAACCATCCTCCCCTCTTTACGCAACCCAAGCTGACCAAGGCAACAAAATGCGCCTCTTCAACGCAACAACCCACCAACTAACCGACTTCCTCGAGGCTATCCCCCTTACGCCATCCTCTCCCACCGCTGGCAAGACGAGGAGGTCATCTTCCAGGATATCATTTCCGGGGCTGCACGCACGAGAAAAGGCTACGACAAAATCACACAATGCTGCGCCCAGGCTCTCCGCGACAATCTGGGTTATATCTGGGTCGACACCTTCTGCATCGACAAGACCAGCAGTGCTGAGTTGTCTGAGGCTCTGAACTCGATGTACGAGTGGTATCAGAATGCGGAGGTGTGCTATGCTTATTTGTGCGATGTCGCTGACGCTTCGGTTGAAGCGACGTCTGGAGGAAGTGGGGATTTTCGTGGTAGTGTGTGGTTCACGCGCGGCTGGACGCTGCAAGAACTCCTTGCGCCTGCGCGCGTGCAGTTCTTCAACTCCAGTTGGCACCCCTAGGCTCCAAGGCTGAACTGAAGAGCATCATCTCCGCCGTCACCGGAATCCAGGAGGCGGTGTTAGACGGGACACTCCGACCCCAAGACCTGAGTATCGCGCAGCGGATGTCCTGGGCTTCGCAGCGTGTGACGACCAAAGTCGAGGATATGGCGTATAGCCTGCTCGGCCTATTCGAGATCAACATGCCAATGCTGTACGGGGAGGGCAAGCGGGCGTTTATCCGGCTCCAGGAAGAGATTATGAGGCAGTCGGATGACCAGACGCTGTTTGCGTGGAAGAGTTCGAGTTCGAGTTCGTTGCCAAACGCCGAGAATACCTATCGCGGGCTGCTGGCGCAGTCGCCGGCGGATTTTAAAGAGAGCGGCGAGTTTGTTCAGGCAGAGCAGAGGTTCAATCGCAATCCGTTCGCGGTGACTAATATGGGGATCAGCATTGAGCTGGCTGTTGTGCACTGGACTATGGACGTATACCTTGCAGCGCTGGACTGCGAGATGCAGAGTAAGAAGAAACGAGTGGGGATCTTCCTCTCGCCGTTGCCGGAGGATAATCAATACGCAAGGGTCATGTGCGCGGGCGAGGATCTGCCAGCGTTTCCGGCCGACATGAAGTCCGAGTATCGCAAGGTCTACGTGAGACAGAGAATCGCAGGGACAAGAAGGCCCCGGAGCGCATGTACGGGTTCTGGCTCCGGCAGTTTCCCCCTGTTTGGAAGGGCCCTCACTCCCAATTCGAGGTAACGGCGTACCACCCCTGGGATGAAAAAGAGCGCAAGCTCTGCATTCCTCCAGGAAAACGAGGCACCGCGGGAATCATCAGGTACTCCATGCGTCAGGACCACGTCGTGAACCTGCGCGTTGGATTCGACGCCATGCTTAACCCCGTAGTCCAGTTTGGTGGCTCTCTCATGACAGACGCTCGGTTCAAAGCCCGCGACCCCAATGCCTTTGAGGTGCAGATGGCAGACGACTGGATGGACGAACGGAGAGAGCGCGTTTTCATCGGAGACAGGAACCACGGACTCAACCTGAACGACGGGACAATCCGGATACTGATCCTGGAGGAGGTGGTCAAGAGACAGCGGATGTGGGTAGTCTATATCGCGAAGCCGGAAAATGGAGCCTGGCACAAAGACTGCGTCTGCAATGGATGCTTGCTTACGGTGTTTGGGACTCGGTATCGATGCAGGTTATGTCCTGGATTTGACTACTGTTCCGATTGCTTCCAGAACGCGAAGCGTACGCATCCGGGCCACAAATTTGACGAGGACAAGCCGGTTTGGCATGCTGGAGTGTACTGTGACTGGTGTCGTGAGGTAAGCCTTCAGCTTATTTGGTATTGTGCCCTCGGCTGACTCCAGCAGGGTATATATGGACCGCGGTATAAATGCAAGGACTGTGCAGACTTTGATCTCTGCTGTTACTGTATGAAAGAATCGAAAAATATCCATCCCGGACACCGATTCTCTGAGATTGACCGTCCTGGAGGTCAGCCTCGTGAGACTATGTCAATCCGAGAACAGAACACAGTATCGATCAGTCAGCTTCAGCGCATTACGAATGACGTCGGCGCATCTAGACGATCAGATCCTAGGAGAGCCTCGCAATGAGAGCGGCTCAGATGTATCTACATTCTTTGGAAAGGGTGCTGCGAGGAACAGAGAGACAAGATCGACTGAGTAGACGGATCAAGGACAGGTGTGTGATGGGGATTGTCGATAGTAATAGAGGACCGGGCCATCACTTGAGGACGCTCGGCTGCCGACAATTCTATGAAGTCTATAGTGCATGACTGAAATAAAGCAATTCTCATTTAGGTTGATTACTAGGAACAACAAGCGGGAGCTATTGAAATCTCCATTCAGAATGACCTCAAACATCCTGCCTTAAGCCACAACGCGACCTCAGTCATCCGCAACCTCAGTCTCACTCCAAGGACACTCAACATCCACTCCCCACAGGTCTCTATACAACTGGCGAGGCAGAGCCCAATCATGCTCCCAATCACCATCCGAGCTGTCACCGCCGTCAGCGAACTACACCGATACCATCATCTGCCAAACTCACCTCAAGCTAACACAGTTCGGAGCCAGCACCGCCGCCCTGAGCAAGATACATGCAACCACCTCATCATATGGCCTATAAGCCGTCTTGATGAATGAAAATCCTGCGTTCCCATGCCGGTCCAAGCAGAGAGGCTCGTATCCGTCGTCTCCCACTCCGTTGAGGTGTATTCCCTGCTGTACGTCGATGATTGGTGGGCAGGGCTCGTCGAAGTCGGGACCGCCAATAGGCACGCCGGAGTAGTCGATGATTTTTTGCGCATCTTCGACGAGTTGGGGCCAGGCGGCTCGCCATTCGTGGCTGGAGGTGTTGTCGACAGTGTAGTAGTGTGTGTAACTGGCTTTTGTTAGTAGATTGATGATGTGGGTGATAGTTTGTTCACATACCCCATCTTGGATGTATCTCGCCTGGGTCGTTGGCTGTGAGGGATGGAATCGATGGAAGCAGAATGGTACAAAGGGAAGATGCAGGTGAAGATGTGTTGAGGTAGAGTGTAAATGACTGCATGATGATTCCGGAATTCTCCAGGTCCTGTTTCTGACTCAGGCATACACAAGGAAGGAGCGTCCTTCACTGCACCTGCACATTTATTGTTCATTCACTCATTATAGCAGTAATGAGGACAAGAACATGAGAACACACTGGTACAAGCTGAAAATCATGTCTTTTCTACAGCGCGATTCCAACATCCAGTCAAGGTTGTGCTTGTAGGGACTTGAAGTTATCACACGGGACGACTGCCCTCAGCTTTTCTTTCTTGAAAGTTTTTATTCATATAAGAGCTTACGGTCAAGTATAAGGTTCACAGTTTGATCCAAACAATATTATAACGCTTGGAGGAAAAGCTATCTATTGAGAATTGATCCAGGCGTCGGTATTAGGGCAAGGGGAGAACAGTTCGGCGAGTTGCTACCACTCGTAGCAGTATGACCTGAATCTTCCCTCGACAACCTAAGACAGCTATATTATTATTTGTTTGATAGGCTATGGAGTGCCTGTGTGCATCAGCAGCATACCTGTCCCGTGCTTATGCTTGCAACCTCTATAGCGACATACACTCCGATCTGGTCAATTATCCCACTAGGATCATCAGTAACGAGTGTGCTCACTACATCATTTAACGTATAAATGTACAGACCATATCAATAAACGTACAGATCATCAGAGGCTGAATGGCTTAGTAGATGCGTGGGTTGATCATTTCGTCACGAGGCATTGCTTAAGCCGGTAGATATACGTTGGATGTCTATTTCTAGCTCATGGCGGACTCAGACAACGCATCGCTTCAATCTTCCAATTTACATTATTCCCGAAAAACAAACTAACTATTAACTAATCAAATGCCGAAAGTAATCACACCTTGCTAATATGACAGGAGCAGGGTAAGACATGCGCGAGCCATCAAGCGACACGTGCAGCGACAGCCTGGAATACGAAGGCCAAGCAGAGATGTCTCAGCCCTGACGTACATCATGTCAGCTTGAAGGACAGCTGTTTCAGACAAAATCTCCGGATTTGGTATTCTCAAGTCAGGTGAAATGGTTTGACTTTCGAGGCATATGCTTCCGTTTGGCTGCCATCTGGCATGCTTGAAACACCACCATATAGAACGCTGCTTAAGCGACATTTCGATTCTGGATGGACTCGAGACTCAGAGGCTGGAAGCAGTGAGATGTGATTTTGCAGTCATGTAAACCGAGATACTGTCTGCTTACAGTTGAATATTATGTTATCCTAACCGTTGACTGAGCAGCCGTTCTTATCCAGAAACATATAAGAGTCAACCTGTCCCTACACATCCATCTACCATCATCGCATCCCATCATAACATCACCGTCACACCTTTTCCAATAAAGAAAATCAAGCTACACCATGCACCTCCTCGCATACCTCACCCCCTCCTCTCCCTTCTCCCTCTCATCAACGCCCTCCCCAGCCCCACCAGCTGCACGACCGTCACCCCAGACATCGCCCGCGTCTCCCAAGCGGAGCCAGTAGCATCCTACCTCCCGGGCTTCCGCCTCTCCCAACAAGCCGGCGGCACCAACAAAGAAGACATGTTCGTCGAATTCAACGTCTCCTCTGGCAGCTGGGGCTGCTCGCTCTCCTACTCCTTCCCCGCCGGCACGCCAGTCACGACATCTGGAGCCGCTGCCCCCGTCGAGATCTTCGCGGTGAACGGCCCGCTGAGCCGCTCTCCTCGTGGCATCGACGTGTCCTGGGCGTATTGTCCGGCACCCGGTGCGTTGGTCGGGAGTACGACCTTTGAATCGGATCCGAATGAGGCGAGGACGAGGTTCGTTAATAGTTTCTCCTGCACGGATAAGATGACGTATCGGTTGAGTATTGCGGGATGGTATAAGCAGACGACTAGCGTGGAGTTTGCGCAGGGGCCTGGGGTTGGACTGAGGATGAGTCATAATTGTTAACTTTGTATTCAGAGTGAGGCTGGGGAGTGTGGCCAGTTGATTAGTGGAGATCCATGAGGTTGTTCTTGGATATGTCATTTCCTTTAATAGTGAGTATACTTGTTAGCGGCAACCGATAGTCAAACACACCCAATTTTGATTCTCAGAAAGGAAGCAAATTTGATTCATAGGCTATGGTAATTGTCGAGCGCCCTCGAGAGGCTCGCTGTACATGTATCGAGTAATGTGCCTAGGGTGAGGCATCTACTGCGTAGATCTACAGGCCTCACCTGTTGAACATAGCAAGCAACTAAAAGTTAGCAACCAGAGACTTGATCTCTTCCCTCAGCTTTGCCCTCAGCATGGTATCACTTTCTCTCCGTTGCGCTTCGATCATGACAAAAGAGCCTCGCTCTCATCAAACCTGCGCTTCCTTATTGCCCTCAGAAGCATTTCGTTTCAGTTATCGCCAGTTGTCCGCTGTTAGCTGGTAGTGGCCCAGAGAACCCTAATAAACATCACAATGAACAATCTCGCATAAAAGTCACTGAGTGAGACTGAAATACAGAGTATAGGCGGGTGTATTCCGTTGAAGTACTGTCTCGTCCGGAGAAACGAAACCAAACCTGGCTACTTCTTCCGACGAAGAGTAGGACAAACGGCCTTGGTCAGAAGTGTTGGTGGCTAGAACGTATGGTACTGATGATCAAACGATGGAGATGATGAGACTGATCGTATTTTGATGATTCGATAATGGATGGTTAGATACAGAACGCAGAAGAGAGGGAGAGCCATAAGATGGAGGCAGTCGCAAACTAGCAATGAGTAAGCATGTTTGCACTTTGTACTACCGTCCGCAACAGTACCTATTGGTAGATGGATGAAGCTTATATTCATACCCATCATCAGTTGTACCACAATATCCCCTCCACGGAAAAGCGGAGCGTGTCTTGAACGGCCAGTTGAGACGAAAGTAAACGGTCTGAGCGCGATGGTTGACCATCGGGCGAAACACGAGGAGGTACCTCGCCCATGAGCGAGCTGATGAAGTCCTTCAGAGTGTTCTCAATTGAGCGGCTCATCTTCCAGTCCTCTCGGTCTTTGTCGGCGAGATTCGGGCGCTGTTTCGGCTGTGATACAAGCCACGACGGTATCGTCCGTTCCGTAGCCAGAAGACACATGAGCTCGGTTCAGAGAGATTATCGTGCTGCTGATTCCATCAAGTCTTAGTATGCAAAAGCCTGCTCTGATGACCTTGCAGCTTGCGAGGAATGTGAATAAATCTAGCACATCCCTTTCCAGAAGATCTGCCGCAGGAAACTATACAAGAAGAGTGGCAGCTCTAAGGTTAAATAAGTCGTCAAGATAAGAAGCGAGTTGGAGAAGTTAGAAGGAGAAGGAGGAAGACAGAGGAGATTATATTGCTAAGCATGTGAATGACCCAAAGACAACATATTCACTCAGCCATTGATTGTTCAGTAAAGGACCCATTCCAGATAATGAGGCTGAGACAGCCAAACCCCAGATGGTGAATAGACAAAGTAACCGACCTGAATGCGCCAATCAGCGGGGTAGGAGCGTGGTCTCAGAAACCATGTTTCCCTTCCGGGAAAACGTGGCGCTATTCCCGTTCGCTTAACCACCTTCCATCCAATAAAGGACCAGACCATTTCTTATACGAGATGAGCGCCAAGCTTAGCAAATTAACCCAGCGTCAGGGTTTGCGGCTCAGCAGGAATACTTAATTTCAACATGGATACGCCAATTTGACCTTGGGAGGAAGAATGCACCATGTGTCTTCAAGACGGTGCCTTCCCACTATGGCACATTTTCTCCGCCTTCCTCTGCACATCCATCAGTGTGCTTTCCCAACCAGCCGGCCATGTCGCGTTCATCGATGACTTGAAAGTCAACGCCGCGTTTCTATCACCCATCACAGGGGCGCTCTGGTCTCTACGCACTGTATTCGGGGTTATCGGGTGCAGGGTATCCAACTTGGCGGATCTTCGCGCAGCGCTATGGATCGCCTCGGAGAAGGAGTTCCAGAGCCATGGTGGACCATATGTGATGAGTGCGCTCGGGCGAGGACCACGGAATAGCTACGTTACTGCCCGATGGGTGTTTTTCGTCCTCGTCAGCCTCCCGCTTTACCTCCGTCTGGTCTACTCCGTCCAAATCTGGTGGGCGACAACATGGGCAACCTGCCTGATAGTCAAATTCCTCTTGCTGGAACTTCTGACCAGATACTACGACCCGCCGCGGACAAGGATACTCGTACACACGACCTGGCCCGAAGTCCCGCTCATCACTCTGTCCAGCACGCGAACACCCACTGAACCCAGTAAATCCGACCAGAGTAGTCCTGTCCAGGGCAAGGAGGTCGTGGCAGAAAAAAGCATAGACCCCAACGACGCAAAGGCCCTTCTCCCGCTTTGCACCCGCATCGAGAAATTCTGCTCCGTCGTGACGGAAAGCCCCGACGACGCAGAACGAAGCCGCATGACCCCCGTAAAAGACTTCTACCTCCGCAAGGCGCTGAACCACGAATCGCTTGACCCCAGACTCTGCTGCGCGCATACGCGGTGTCGCCTGTTTAAACTGTTCCATATCCTAGGCCATTCAATGCCCTACCTATCATTGGCCCTCGAGGCTCTCGTGGTCCTATACCTAGGCCACCAGAACCTACGCACAATAACCGTCCTCGCCTCGGGGTGGATCATGAGACCCCGCTGGGTGATGTTTGCCGTCTCCCTGGGTACGAGAATTACCGTTGTCCTTCTGCTGCCCATCTTCCTGGGGTCGGTGGTGATGGCTGTTCTGCGTGTGCGCGGCCCAGCTACGGAGGTGACGTTTGCTCGCCGCCTTTTGGAGGTTATGTGTTTGACTATCCTGGCGGTTGTCTGTGTGGTTTATTTCCTTGCGTTTGGGTATCCGCCTGTTTCTCCGTTTGCTTTTGCGTGGGTGGGGGAGGTGGTCGTTGTTCCGGTTATACTGGTAGCAGGGTTTCAGTTGGCCAGATGGCTTGTGCGAGGGCCGCCGCGGCGGAATGGGCAATGGTCGACTGGCGAGGAATGGAGGACGATCAGCGATGAGAAGAAAGTTGCAGATGACCCGCCGCTATTGGAGCATCTGTTTGTGTTTGCTTGGACGGTGGTGTTCGTGATTCCTGCGGTTGTTGTGTGGGTTGTGAAGACGGTCTTTTGTGCTGCGATTGCCTTACAGGAAGCGGAGATTCAGAGGAGGTTTGAGGAGTATTATGAGCGTCCTGGATTTTAGTAGTCCGATTTGCAGTCTGCTTCGAGGCCGATAGATCATGGTATATAAGCTATAGTTTCAACATGAGCATCAGACATCTCAGCGGCTTATTCTTGCCCATCCTCTCCTCCACTCTGTCCAGTGTCTCAAGCATTGCAGTAAACAGCTTCTCTAGCACCTCCAATGTATACGTCAGACTCCCGACCTCCTTCATCTCAGCCAGAATACGTAACTTTTCGGCATGCGACAGCTGCGCTTTCTTGTCCTCTCCGTAGATGATCTTGAACAATTCGTCTGACTTCGGACTATGCTCGAGCAAGTGGAGGACCGGAAACGAGAACTTGCCCTCGTCAAGATCATCGCAGAAACCTTTCTTTGCGGTGTACTATTCAAGTTAGTCTTGGAGGATAAGTCGAACCGAAAAAACCCACCTCATCGGACGCGAGATTCTGATAATCGTCGCGGATTTGATAATATCTCCCAATGAGGGTAATCAAATGTCCCAGGTCATGGTCAAGTTCACTGCCTGTCACAGAGCAAAGGCCACGTAGTAGCAGTCGAAAAAATCCTCCAGTTTTATGGTCGACCATGATGAAGTACTCATTGAGAGTCGGACGAGTCTTGTTGAATGTCCAGTTAAGATCTAGCGCCTGGCCGCGAGCAAGTGTTTTGATTTCATCTACAGAACCAAATTAGTATAGAGTCGACCACGGCACAGACGGCTTTACCTAGTACTATTTTCAAACAATCGGGGCCAAGATGCTTAAGAGTATAGCCTACGGCCTCCGCATGCAGAAACGTGGCGGTGTTGACGGTCTGACCGAGTCCGAATTTGAGATGTGCAGCGGGTTTACCACGGCGAAGTGTTGAACCATCCTCAATATCGTCCAATCTGTATCGTTAGCGAGTTGGCTTATTCTAGTTGGGTAGACATACAGCAGTGTTGAATTGAAAAGCATGACCGTGATCTCTCTCAGGAGTGAAGAGCTATCATCTGGTACACTGAACCACACTCGTAGGCAATTGATGAATTTGGCCAAGGTGTTTTTGCCAGGAAGAGCCTTTATATAGTTGAACGGAGCCATACAAATCTGAAGAAAAAAAAAATCAGCTATCGGTAGCAGATGAGGTGAAAATCTAACCTCGTCGGCATCGGCAACTTGAAATGGTGCGCAAACATCGATTCCCGAGACGGTACCGTTTGCTCCGTTGGGTCCCGGGAACTCTGCTTCATGACTCTCTCCGTTTACCGTCTCATTCTGGTTCCCATCGAGCGCTGCCGGAGGCGGATGTCCTCCTAGTTTAAGGACCGGGTCCCGTCGCGGTCGAAGCAACCGAGCTCGATCTTCGGCAGTGGTTGTAAACCCACCGGCGGTATATCTGGGGGTTTGAGCCTGCCAGTAATTTGCTCCGCCAGTTGATAGAATGAAAAGAATGAGGTAGGAGCGAAGATCATCCGACTTAGGCACGGACGACTTCTCCCATTGGCTGTATTGCTCCATCAGGTTCTTTTCCGCGGCAAGTACCTCTCGCTTCAGGATATCTCCTGCTTCAAGCTCGGTATATCCATACTCCGTCATGAGCAGCGCCATTGCATTGTGGATCGCATCAAGACTTCCAGAACGGACATGGTCGTCAAACTCTCGATGAAAGCTATAGTAGTCGTTTGACAGGGATACGCTTAAAACACCATAACCGACCATTTCCGACACCGCTTGCCTTTCCTCTTCTCTCACCCGCAGGCCCTGCATGTAAGCAACGAGCTCGTGGGTTTGTCTAGTCCAGATTAGCATCATGTAGAAATGCGGAAGTTAGTGACAATGCTCACTTGGCAATGGAACTGGCCATCCGAGTTTTCTTGTACTCTTCAAACGACATGCCGGACTGGCTGCCAGTCGACTGCGGAGTAATCATATCTATCGACGTTTGGAAGATCAGCGACCTTACATCTGGCGCAAAGTCGGGCACATTATTCAACACGTCAAATCGTTTGTTTATATCATACTCGAACACTGGCGGTTGACCAAGTTTCCACATCGACAGGAGGCCCAGGGTGTAATCAGTGAGGGTGTCTTTTTTCTACTCATTTTCAGCACCATCGCGTTGAGGAAAAGGCACAGAATCTTACCCTTTGTGCATCGAGCGCATCAATCTCATCTATAAGCCATAAGAACATGGTAACTCAATAAAAGGAGGCGTGATTACCGTCATAATGCAATAGCAGTTCGCTCATCTCAGTTATCACCGGGATCAACTCAGGTGGCAATTCGGGCGCAACCCACGAGACCATATGACCGGTAGAAGCGACACATCCTCGAGAAAGAAGGGACTCTGGACTCTTGGACCAGTCTTGAGCGATTCTTTCGATTACGTCAAGCGACGTAGACGTGGCCGTTTCATGGAATCGCGATTTGCGGTATGGTAGCGTGTTGAAGAACAACGGAGGGAGTTGTTCATTCGGGTCTGGAGGATCTGAGTAGAGATAGCTGTATGAAAGGTCGGGAAAGTCGGGCATGCTGGCTAGCACTAGAGTATCAGCGGTCGTTGGAATGGGAAATGTGTTTTCAGGTACTCGGTGGACTCGGGAGATTGGGCTTCTTATCGAGACTGTCCCTCCTGAAAAAGCAATCCAGCGTCCCTATTCTGGCGGTTAATGATTGGCTGCTCTGATGTGTTGCGCAGAATATGCACGTTCCTCCACGTTGTTCATTATCCAGAGGTGATGGTTGTCAGAAGAATGAAATAGAATAGTCCTGACGCCTTTTTGGCCGCTAGTGGTAGTATATTTCAGTAGAGGGTGATTGTGGCTTGCTTGCGGGTGCTTCTACTGGGTTTTAGGGGCTTTCGGGCGCAGACCAGTCTGCAGGAGAAGGTTTAGTGCCTAGGAATGTTCAACCTGTCAACTATTAAACCACCCACTCAGCTAAGAACATGTCTAGACACCATTTGTGATGTAGTAGGAATAATAGTGCAGACTGCAGTCACACAGACACTGTCAGTTCTTTGACGACTACTCGGTTTCCGTGAATCCTGATGTAAATGATTTACTACGGTAGTATACAGAATGTTTTGCTAATGTAGTCAAAGGATGACTAGTAGGAAGGCCGTAAACGCAATTGGCAACATCGCGCCAAGGTATACGAAACCACCTATACTTTGCAACTGCGCCAGGAAATAGTATGCTGTAGATTTGATCCAGATAGAAAGAGATTTACAGCAAACCAGGCTCATCCAAGAATTCAATCTGGCCTCCAGAATGATCATCAAAAGCTATTGCCACTTCGCATTGTGTACCGATATCCCCCTTCCCCATATGACAGTACTAAAGCAGCTTGCCGGAAGACAATCATCCCACTTCAGAGAATGTGATGTTCACCTAGAAGACAGTGTTATCATGCGTCTTCTAAGTTGCTTTGCTAGTGTTTAGAATAGATCTCTCCGTATATGTTGTACGCAGAAAAGTAGTTCCAAGGGCAGATTCGCCAAAATGGGAATACAATTCATCTGTAAGGTCTCCTCAGCTTACCTTCAAATGCCAATGATTGGAGCAGACGAGCCAATATATCTGCATTATATCGAAGAACTCCTAGTATTGGACGGACTCAAGCGACTGTTGTCCTCAAGATGAGCTTGATCGGATAGGAATTTCCCTTTTGGGTAAGTAGTATCGGAGTAAAATCGGACTGAGTTGCATGCGATCCAATATACTAGAGCACACTGAGTCTTCTTCACACCTCATCCATCAGAAAGGTACTTGGTCTCTCTTGTTTTCTAATACTCCTATCTAAACTCACGATTCAATGTATCGACGGAATGGAAAACCCACATCGTGTGAGCGTTGTCGGATCTCTAAAATCCGCTGCGACCATGCACCGGTCTGCGGACGATGCAGGGCTCGTGGCATTTCAGAGCAGGTAAACAACATCATTATTTTGGAGGCCCAGCTCATGCTCTACAGTGCTTCTATCATCCAGCTCCGATGACTCGTTCAAAAATGAAGTATCGGTACTACCACGTTCAAAAGGTCGCTGGCCGACCTTCGAGGAGCGCATCGCCTGAAAAACAACCGAGAAGTCGAATAACTCTACGAGGGCAACGACGGAGTCTCAAGGAAGAGGGTACAAGTCCTGATCTGAGTCCGTCGGGATACGTCGGCTCCTCTAGCATTCTTTCTATATGTCCGAGATTCTCGCCTGTCATCTCTCGCAAACCAGTACATCCTCGGGACAAGGGCACTTGGCCATTCGAATTCGTAAAGCAACAATTCAGAAAGTTGTTGGCTTCTTCGGAACGTGTAGACCAACTCATTGCTCAATACTACGATAGCGGTCGTTTTACCGTCATCCCGCGGCCTTTGGTTCTCGACCCGATTTCCGCGCTTCTTCGCAAGTTGAGTGCGAGTCAGAATGAAGAAGCGATTTTGGATCATCATGTTGAAAATGCCAGACGAAATTTAAACAAGAGATTTCCATCCCTCTCGGCTCATACGACATTTCCTGAGTTCCTTGGGTATTTCAATTCTGAAAATTTCGACTAGAGTTTGTTGGCCTCACATTTGCTCTCGCAGGGGTCTCCGTTTTTTATAGCCAGCAAGGTCTGCGTGGGAATCTGTGAGGAATACAATCAGGTGAACGATCTTACCGTTTGGTCGCGGTATATGAACTTTTATTTTAGCATCGATTCTTTTTGGAGACGCGAGTATGGTCCTCTCTCCCTCGCCTTCCAGGCTTGAAAATACTCACAACTGTCGCAGGTAATATCCTATACCACCGAGCCAGTGAATTCACGGCCGAATTATTCATCATGGGTTTCCATCGACTCATATCCTCACCACCTGATGTTCCTCTCTTCATCCTGGAGACCCGCAAGAGAATTTTTGCGTCGGCCGTTACTATGGACAAAAATCTTTCTACTTTCCTTGGTAGGGCTCCGCGGATAGATAGCGATTTTTGTGACTTGCCGACCCCGTTCGATCTAGACGATGAAGAGGTCTTGCTTGAGAGCAGCCGACTTGATGCGGCTTTGCAAGGCCTTGACCGGGATGGGTGGAAGGGTCCTAATGGGAAGGATAAGTCCAGCCGGCCAGCCAGTTTGATTCGACTTCGGTACCAACAAGCTCACCTTCGCGACAAGATTCTACATCTGTCACTGGGGAACAGGACGAAGACTTTCTCGGAGACTCTCTCGTATGTCATACTCGCCATTTGCCATGCCTTGCTAATAGATACGCAGGACTTTGTACGGAGAGTATCAGGACGCGTGGTCAAAGGTTCCACCGCAATACCGCTACAACGAAAGCGTGTGGGAAACTTCGAACCCGCAATTATGCGTCGCGCTTTTGATTGTTCATCTAGACTATCTTTACAGTGGTTTCTTGATCGAACGAATGCTCACTCAAGATGGTCAAATGACTAAGACTTGCCTCCTGGCAACATCAGCGAAGCTGCTTTCGGGCGTACTTGAGTCGTTCAGCATCAACATTGCTATCCTGAATTACGTGAGGGGTTTACTTGGATGGTGCGCGCCCGTCCTCGTATCTTGACTGCAAGCTAACCCCAAGTGCTAGTTCCTTTTCTACGGCCTTCCAGGTGCTGGGACCCTTGCCACCGAACTTCATCATAGCACTCTTCGCGGACTCCCATTACAAACTTCTATTCCTTGCGCCAACATCATCCGCGACTTGAGTGTATTACTGGCATGGTTCGAGCGCAAATGTTTTCCCGATCGTTTTCCCGATCGGCCTGACTTTCTAGTCTGTGTCCAGATTAGCAAAGTCATTGGTGCTCTTTTGGATGATACACTGAACAAGGGACCTTCATCTCAGATGGCAATTCCACCGGAAAAGCGGCGGCAAATCAGGGTGCTCCGAGCTCATCTCAACCTTGTCCTGCAAGCCATAGCCACCTTGGGATGGTCCAGCCGCTACCTGACGCATTGACAAGTCAAGACTTTCTTAACTAGTTTGACAACTTGGTGTGGGATGATCCCTCCATGAATTTTGACACCATCAGTTAATAACCTTTAGCGAGCATCTTTAAATTTATTTGCCGTTGATGCTCTCAATTGTTCTATAATCAAATCGGAATGCGATATTGACAGGGATACTTGGGAATGATCCCATTGTCGGGCACCGTGTACGGCTTAGTACCGGCTACCCCATACTTCAGGCGGAGCGACCAACTCAATGATAACAACACCGGATATATACCAGACCCCGCTTATATGCGGACAAATAACCCAGTTTGATCTATTCCCGGGAGCAAGCGATGACTTGAAATACGAGATCACCTGATAGTAGACATATAAGTCTTCCCGTCATTGTCCAACCCCTCATTCTCCAAAACAACCCCATCGAAGTCTCTTGATCAAAATGTCGACTGCAACCAAGATTCTAACGGCACAATGTCACTGCAAATCAGTGCACTTCAATATCAGGATTCCTGTAACATCTCTCCCCTGCCAGTCCATCTGTGCCACTGTAACATCTGCCGTCACCAACGTGGAACCCTCTGTGTCTTCCATACCCAGCTTCCGCCTGGTGTAAGGCCAGATTTCATAGCATCATCGAGCAAGGAAAATATAACTCCCTATATCCGGCCCGGATCGCCAGCAAAGAGATACTTCTGCAGTACATGCGGTTGCCAAATTGGCGGTGAATTTATCGAAACTGGTGACTGGGTGATCTCAACGGCCATCTTCGACGCCAACCGTGATGATACGGGGATCTGGGATATCAAAAAGCATATACATACCGAGCCTACGCTGGATGGGGGGTTAGCGGAGTGGTTACCACGAACCGGGGAGAAGGAGATGACAGTGTGGAATCCGCCAGACGACCCAATCGATCATCCGCAAGAGATTGACGGAAAACTATTGGCGCAATGCGACTGCGGAGGTGTATCATTCCAAATCTCCCGCCCAACACAGGAAATCCTCGACGACCCTGAGATGAGACGCAAGTGGGTATCCCCCGTCGATGAGTCGAAGTGGATCGCCTGTCTGGATGCCTGCGATACGTGCCGACTCACAGACGGGGCTCATGTGATGGCCTGGACGTTTATCCCGAAGAAACTCATCACGCCGGCGATTCCGGATGATCTCCTCCTCGGTTCATCCAAAGGCTACGCCTCCAGCAAAGGAGTGCGGAGGACATTTTGCGGTACTTGCGGCGCGACGGTCTTTTATGACTGCGATGGACGGGAGGAGGTGGTGGACGTGGCGATAGGACTTCTCCGGGCGCCTGAGGGTGCCAAAGCAGAGAACTGGCTGACCTGGAGGACGAAGCGAATTGGCTTCCCGGAGGATGGGATGCGGTATGATCCTGTGTTGACTGAGTCGCTTCGACAGGGATTCGAGGCATGGGCGAAGCGGAAGCATGGAGACGTGCTTGACATCACCATCGGATAGAACTGTAAACCGCAGAAGTGGGAGGTGTTTAATATTAAGTTGCTGAATAGAGAGAGAGAGGACTACCACTGGTGGTCGGTCTCCCTGAAGCTTCGTGATACTTCCACGCTCCTGCTTACCTTCCCCATTGCCCTTCTCTCTGTACAAGCCCTGACAACTTTCTCGTTGGGAGGTTAAGAATCAGAGTACTGCTAACCGGTCCACAGCCTGGATCTGAAATTTGGGATTCATTCTTATAGTTCGTGATCGACGACTTGATACTAATACAACTATATCCTTGCCCCGTTACCTTGATCGTAGCCCTGGCTTTGATGCCATGTTGCATATCATAAAAAAAGGGCGAAAGTATATTCTATCTATTTGGACTTTGATTACAAAATATGGGAAATTTGGAACGGAGACAGCTCTTGATGCAACACAGAATTTGTCGGGCATTTTAGATATAGTCATAACTCAAGTAAATAGTACCCACTGCTAGCTGAGGAAGCAGAGAGAATAGAGAAGAAAAAGTATTTCCATCTCATAAAATTCTTAGAAAGCGAATAGCCCCAAGTATCTCAAATGTATATATATTTCTATTTTCACCCCTCTTAGACATATAACGCAGCGCTCCTATTCAATCTACAACTTATTATTCACTAAATCAGTGAATGAAAATACTAGAATAAGGCCCGTAAGACCTCAGAACCCACAGTATATAAAGACTGATCTCCCTCCTAACCTTCTCTCTATTCTTCATCTTTCTACGTTGCTATTCATCCGCTTGCCAGCCTAAGGAGACTCGATTTTAAATCTTTGCTTGATGGGCCTCTTCCCTCTAAAGAGATATCTGCTCCCCTTTTTTACGAAGATTCCGTGTCGATGGGGATCCTTACCCCATACACTGAAACACTTCCATATGACCGTGGATCCTGCTTTGTGGCTATCGTGGAGTATGCCATCAATTTGCGCTGCTTTGAGTTTCGAACCTAGATTTCATTATGAGATAAATGAACTGTCGTCTCTTCCGAAACAACATATACGCATGTAAATCTGTTCTCTGTGCATTGTAGGCGATGTCAAATCTACAAAATGGTTCAGGGATACCAAGGTATGACCTGCTTGATCGGATACAACGCTCCAGATGGTTCCCGTACCATGGTAGGCATCCTTTGCAACTCGGGCCTGGTTGTCGCCATTCTCTTGCAAATACTTCACACCAGTACTTTGCAGAGGCTTCAGGTGACTGCTCGACATTCTTTCGGTCACACCCTAGCGACTTACCTTCAAAAAGTGCGTTTGAAGCTCCTGATCACAGGCTGGACCCTAATAGAGTATCTGCGTCGGGGGGTTTCCAACAGTCGACGGAGGCAGAGTGCTCTGTCCACAACGTTAAGAGAGTGGATGATACACTTGAAGCAACAATGTGCAGCAACGAGAGTATGGTTATTCTGTCTTTTTTCGTTAAGAATTGCTCGGCTACGTTTACCAACTGGCAACAGCGTTGACAGCGGGGTTCGAGGAGAATAAATGAAAGCCGGTAGGGTTGGACTAGAGGGCCAGTCTCCTGATTCTCTGGGTTGCATTTGCCTATCATTATAGGCAGTATGCTGTAGTACAAGATGTCTTTTCCTTCTACGCTGCACCAAAGGTTATATATCTTTTCTTGCCGGGGTGGTACATAAGCTACAACCGATATTCTTAGGGCTTCGGCCATCACCTGAGTCAGCAGCCCGATCAGCGATCAGGATCTTCGAGTCATGCACGGAGTAACATGGAGCGCGGAACATCCTCCATACTCAAACAAGAAGTATCCCCATTAAGCGAGGTAGAAAGACAGCTTGAAACTAAATCTCTGAAATTTTGTAAAATGATCTTCTTGGTGACTGAAGAGACTGATGATCAACAGGCTTATTGCTGCGCAATGCACATGCAAGCGTTCAGCAGTGGGTCCAACAAACTTCCATCAAGTGGGACTGCATTGTAGATCTTCATAACGGAAGGGCCAACCATCGATTGTGGCCAGTCGTTATACGAGGTTTCATGATAGTTTGCCCCAGTGGACTTGTTTACGGAGTATGTTGGAGGTCTCTTCCAAGGAGCGTTTCGGTCGGTGGCCGATTGGTTCGGCTTTGTTTATTGGTACTGATTAATACCTTTGTTGTCTCACTCAAAGAGCCTCGAGGCAGGAGGAAGATTCGCTAAGGCATAAATATGTGTAATTAAGGGTTTGTTTGAGGCTAAGTCGAACATACATCATCATCCAACATCTTCATACATTAAATAGTATCTAACAAAGGAAAAAAAAAAGTGGTTGTAATGAAAGAAGTAGGACGATTATCTGCTGAATCGATTTGGCTTCCGTAATGGCTCTTCTGGCTCTGCGGCCTCGTGCGTGATCTCAATAGTCGTTTCTTGGTACACTCCGTGGGCCAGGTTGCCCAGCTCCATGTCGCCTTTCTGGCCTTTCGGCACAATATCTTCCGTCGAGTCGCCTCGGTCATCGAGCACCGTATCGTTGATGCTTTGCAGCCCACGGCGGAGGCGTGACTTGACCCGAGATTTCTTGCTCTCAGGGCCCGCAACGGTGGTGCTAACGTGCGTGTTGTATAGATTCGAGCCGGTGTGTGCGTAGTAACGATCCGACGTGCTCACCTCGGTGTCCAGCAGCAGATGTCGGCGGGTCAAGGTGTACACAATGACATCCACAAGTCCGGATAGAGCCATGAGGGCACCGGCGGCGGCAAAGTATTCCTTGCTGGGAACGACATGCCTTGCTGTAGACATTCGCCCCGCAGCCAGAGGAAGGGAGAGAAGGACATATACCAGAGGATAAATAACCATATATACGACGACTCGGTTCAATCGGTTAAGACTTTCCTGGTGGTTTTGTCGAAGGGCCGCTGCTTGTTTCATCTGACGTCGGAGGTAGACAAACATGATGCCGTACAGAATGATGGTGCCAAATTCGGAAAGGAAAATCCATAAATAGTGTCCCCAAAGCCGCTCATCTTGGGCTTGAGGACTGAGCCAGCACTGCTGAGAGTCAGTAAATCCCAATCTTCATTCATCGTCAAGGTCGTCCCTGAACAAACTCACCCAGCCGGCTTCCGAAATCACAAACGTTTTCGAGCCATATAATCCCACGGCAATCAATCCGAGCAGAATGATAAAAGCCCAGAGCCCAACGACACACCAGACAAACGTCGTAAACGGTAATTGCCGCCCACGTAGAACAACTGCACAAGTATGTATCGCAATGGCCAACACGAATAGACCACTTCCTGGATCTGCGGTCTGAATCCACCACCCTTGGAGAACGCATGCCGCACTGGGATAATTTACACCGCCACGGGCGACCCAATGCAGGCAGAGCAAGAATGCCGTTGCTTGTTGAATGTCGACGAGAAGGAGGTTATAGATGAGCACGACATATTGATTGTGCGCAAGAGGACGCTTGTAGTAACGCTGCCAGAAAATGAATCGGTACGTTAGGAAGGAAATGAGCGAGAATGTAGCGATCCACGAGCAGAGAGCGACTGCTCCTATTGCAATGAAGCCCGCCCGAAGGCTCCCCGTCAGAGGCTCGTCGGCGAACGTCGGCGGCGGAACTCCCTGAGAACGAGCGGTGAGGTACGGTTTGTCGCCATTTTCGCTTCGCAACATTAGCAGCGTTCGAACCAAGCTAGTCATCCTCGTTTATCATCGCCCGCTTAAGGCTGGTCGGTGATGTAGTCGTTGAGAAAGATGCCAGATTGACGGAGTTCGGCGAGTAGGTTCCTGATTCCTAGCATGACAGGTACTCCTGGCTCTAATATGGAATTCTCGACCATGTCAAGGCGAAAGCTTTTATTACCTTGGCTTATGCCCAGCTAGTGAGACAGATGGGTCAAGGACTTGGGAGAACCATGGTCTTGAGTTTTCGTGCCGTAACTGTCCAATTCGCTAGACAAGCGAGAAGTGATGCTTTAGGGATGAATCTAGCCTAGGCTATCCTCAAAAGCACCTGCTGAGGGCCACAAGGCAGGGGTTAGTTCCCCAGCGGTCATAGGAGACAGGACAATACGAGATCCGCAAGAGTGGCAATATGGCTCTGTTGTCTCCACAAGCGATCCACCAAACAGCGGTCTCGAGCCGACGACATTCCAGATACAGTAGATATTAGATAGATAGTGCTATCCGATATGTATGAACTAAGCCATGTCAATTTTTGCCGGCTGTCTTGGCGCAAAACACGTGGAGTTAGGCTGGGGGTCAAAACACACATTGACCTGCATCTAGGGCAAATTTGAGCGTAAAGGACCTGAGTGGCTGCGAGAATGAAGACTTTCCTGGCGAGCATGGGAGCAGATCTCGAGGCGAAGTTCCGCTTTACCATGGGCTGGATCCAACGTATTGGTAGTCTTGTTGATCAGCAAAATACTTAGTCCGTGACTCTGTATGGTGCCAGACTGCGAGTAGTAGTGACATCAAAATCTCCGCGGTTGATCACGAGCAAAAGTCAAAACGGGAGATATGGTACCTAGGTAATACCTATGCACGTTTTCCTAGCGAATCGGGTTGAGAACTGGAACCAGCAGTCTGGAAGATCATATCGATCTGCATTACTATTGAATGCAGAGATGATCTCTCGGCTCTTGTTCAATGGTCCCTGAGAAGAATACAGGGACGTTCAAATCTGCCTTTCGAGATCCTAAGGTGTCAAGGTTCGACGAGACCACACTACTAGTAGGCAATGTGAAGTGATAGATTGCCACTCCTTTCAAAGCAGCTCTGCCTCAGCCAATTTTGACGCTGCACAGGCCAATGAAAGAAAAAGCTCCTTCCGACATCAGCAAGCGCGCTTTTAGAAGCTGTCCGTGGAGACACCCACCAGCAAGTGAACTGGCAAGGCTAGGACATCCAATGAAGTTGCACTTGAGAAAAAGAATCATGACCAGTGGCCAGACGACAGGCAAGCGGTTCCACTTACTCCATCGGGATAATGCGATGGAGATACGGATAGGTAGATTAGGACAACTACCGAATCTCCATCGCGCTATTACGCACCTCATTCTTCAATTGCCTCGCCCTCCGGAGTCGAGCCGTAGTCTGTGGAAGATCGACTACGCATAACTTCACCAGTGCCGAAATGGAACTTTCTCCGGAGCTCCAAAGCTTGTGGGTTAGAATTTGATGTGTTTCCGTGGAATCGACCGTTTAGGATAGTAGACGGCAGGTTCCGGTCAAGGCTCCGTCGAAAGCTTAAACCTGTCCATATGCCGAGCCGATCCCCTCCCCTTAATTTGAGACAGGAGAACTGGATGTTTACCATGGGGAAACAGCTTCAATTCCATGACTTGAGCGAATACCGACAAATGGCTGCATTCAAGGTAAGCGTCGCAGAGCTTCCCAGTTGATCCATCGACCTCATCTGGATCGAAAAAATGCCTCACGAACAGCGGCGCACCGGCTCAGTTGTGGCGGCTTGGAGGCTGGTACTAGCGTCTAGACGCAAAAGACATGTTTGTTTAGAGTTTACCTGTGGAAGAGATTTTCGAATGATGATTGATGACCTCGGTCCAGAGAAACCTCTAGAATGGATATCCATTGATCAGGTCGGTAGATACCGTTTCCGCAATAATAAGAGTAACCAAACCATCTATATCGACTTAGTTCACGTCACCAGTCAAATATTTGTCATAATTTGATGCACTAACACAATAGCCATAACAAAGTCGCTGATGAGAATATCTTTCCTGTTCGGAAGCTAGCGACCGAATATTACCGAATGAGGATCCAATCTGACTGCTTCTCATCGCCTCATGCCTGGTCCAGAGACGATTGAGATCTTGAGATAATTCTTCAGTGTGGAATTGCTGATGCTCTCCTTGCCTTAGAATCGAGAAGCTCAATGCCAAGGGTGATCCATGCATTGGGTGGCAGCTTGAGTCAGAATGTATATTTAGAAACAAGCATACCATACCACACGTGAGACGATTTCCTGTTTTGTCACTTAGCCTCATCGAATGCTTATGGTCTGACAACTGGCAAACGGTGTGGAAAGCTCAGCCTTACCTTAACCAGATTTCCATCGATCAAGGTTCGAACTTTCGATCCTACCGATCAATGTGGCGTCTGACGGACTGGAGGCCTTACCAAGCGGTCAGCTTGTAGGCCTACAAGCAGGCCCAGAATAGGCATGGTTATTATTGCTTGGCGATAATGCTCGGTCCAAGGTGTCTCGTCTATCGGGACCACCATTCGTTCGACGGAGTGGTATCATCAACTCGGTGCACTTTCCCGCAGTTGTGTACTTGAAAAGTATCACAAAAAATGTCTCAAAAGATCAACCGTGTCACCCGAGCCGGGTGGAAGTTGCTGGAAGAGGGTGAAGCTGTATGTCTCATCGCGGGGTGGACTCAACCTCATCAGATGACCGAACGTTACTCGAACGGGTGTCAGTTGCAGAGTCTTGGATCCCCGCATTTGGCACTCCACTATCATCTGTAGTACCACTGTCGTGTCATAGCAACGATTCCTGCACCATGTCGATCTCAGTTGCCTAGTATCTTTCTACGGCCAGCTGAGGGGGTGTCTCACTCTGTCGATATGCGATTGATCCGGTTTCTGAGGATCGAGACTTAGGCCTACCCATGATGGATTCTTCCAGTGTCTCTCTTCTCCGGCATGGCAAGACGCCTGATCTGGTCGCCAGTATTTGATATATCATTGCTAATAATAGACGGAGGAACAGGAAAAGACTGGAAAAGAGAAGTATATAAAGCTTCACTATCCCAGATACCACAGCCAGGAAGATAGCAACACCAAAGCATCCAACCACTCAATCTCAAGCTTCTCTATCAAGACAATTACTTTCACGAAGCCACTCGTCCTCTCAAGATGAAGTTCACTACATCCATCTCTCTGCTCTCCCTCTTCCTCTCCTCCGCTCTCGCGGTCCCGACCCCAGAGAACGAGGCCAGAGCTGCGATTCCCATCTCCGTCTCCTACGACCCGCGCTACGACAATGGCGGCAGTTCGATGAACGAGGTCTCCTGCTCCGACGGCGTCAACGGCCTCGTTAGAAAGTGGCCTACCTTCGGCAGCGTCCCCGGCTTCGCTCGCATCGGTGGCGCCCCCACAATCCCGGGCTGGAACAGCCCCAACTGCGGAAAATGCTACAAGCTGCAATATAACCAAAACACAATCTACATTACAGCGATTGATGCCGCACCTGGCGGTTTCAACATTGCAACGAGTGCGATGAACCAGTTGACGAACGGAATGGCGGTGGAGTTGGGCAGGGTGCAGGCAACGTATGAGGAGGCCGATCCATCCCACTGTGTCTCTGGTGTATAGATGGATCTTTGGCTGCAGGGAAGGACGCGGGAACAGATCAAATGGTTTTTCACCAGTGCATGTGCATAATGGCTTGGCTTTCAAGAGCCTCTTTCAATCCTTAGACTTGTTGTTTTATATATATATACAATCCTTTATTTAATGTCATGAGAGTGAAGATTCATACAATCTATATATATATATATGTACATTCTAGGGCATCAGTCATCAAGATATAACCTCCAACATCTCTTCCACTCGCCCAAACTTATCTCGAACTTTCCCTTTCTGCTGCCCCAGCTCCCGCTCTGCCTTGTCGATGCGTTCCCAGTCCTGCCAGGTTGTTGGCCGTAGACCGCGCTTCTCCGCTTCAGGCCGTACACCGTCCCAGCCAAGACCGGTGCTATTGGCGGGCCCGTTCAGCAATGATCCTTTGCCTGCTTGACTCGCCTTGTCGGCAGCCAGAGTGTCAGCGGTGGTGAATGCATCGGTCATCGTTGTGGCAATGACACCAGTTGGGCCACGCTTGACCCAACCCGCACAGTAGAGCCCAGGTAGATGGGAGATCAGCGAACCGTCGGGTAGCCGCTCATTACCTCCTGCAGTGGTCGGGACGGTAATTCTACCGAAGCCGTCGTTGGGGAGCACACCGCGATCAGAATCGAACTGGATGCCTAGATCCTCCAGCCCTGGTAGAGGGAGGGATTTGTAACCGACGCTGCGGAAGAACGTGTTGGCTGGTATGTCGACTTGCGCCCGCTTCCCGCTTGAGAGGTACTTTGGTGTAACCTTGGCACTAGGTGTGTGAGGATTGCTCGGATCCAGTTCATTGCGGGAGAACCTGACGGACGAAAGGCGGTAAGGATGGACAGGCGACCAATTCAGGCATTCCGGAGAAAGAAGGAAATCTAAAGACCATGACTTGGTAGCAGTATTGGGGTCATTGGCAGATCCCTTTACCATCAGCTGCATTAATCTTTTTTGTGCTCGAGGAAGCGTAGATATAACGTCGTCCGGTGGAAAGAGGTCTCGAGGAATTGGATCAAACGACACAGAAGGCAGCTGGAGAAGCTCTCGGACCTCTTTGATCGTAAAAGCGGCCTAAGGGGCAAATTAGCATTGCATACCGCAGAAAAACTTGTCAATCGTACTTGCAACGGCCCGCGACGGCCTACAACCCGAACACGCTTGATCTTGCTCCTGACCAACTCCTCCACCGCGTACTCTGCGATATCTGTTCTTCGTAGAGTATTGATATCCGATAACAGTATCCTTGCCACGTCTAAGGCAACGTTTCCCTGGCCGACAATCACAGCATCCTCACCGGCTGTAAGATCCGGCGCGAGATCACGGTGCTCCGGGAGGCCATTGTACCACCCCACAAACTCTCGCGCCGAGTATACGTTCCGAAGTGCATCCTCACCAGGTATACCCAGCTTCTTATCTTTCGGCGCCCCGTATGCGAATAGAATGGCGTCGTAATGTGGTTTCAGCGCTTGGAGAGGGAGATTTGTGCCGAGTTCGATGTTGCCGATGAAGTTGAACCTCGGAGATGCTGCAACTTCGGTAAACTTTTCCTCGCAGTTCTAATGACAAAATGGAATCAACATGGTTTCCGCAGACTTGCTTAAAACGCATTAAGCGTACCTTGACTTCCGGATGGTCCGGCGCAACTCCGTACCGTGCCAGGCCAAAGGGGACCGGCAATTTCTCATACATATCCACCACGGCATCATCGACTTTAGATAGCAGCCTATAGGCTGCATAGAATCCAGCTGGTCCTGACCCTACAATGGCAACGCGAAACGGACGATCGGCCTGTATAGTCTGGCTCTGGTGACGGCGCTGGATTGTCAATTGCGCCAGTCGCTGACCGTGAGGGCGGTATAGTGATGTGTACGTAATTTTTGCACTGCATTGGGCGCAAAAATAAGGAGCGCGTTTGAGACTCATCGTTATTCAATGGCGATATCCATTAGAAAGTAGGACTCTTAAAATAGACCATAGACAACTAGTCATCTAGCTATGACTCCATTTCGTTCCGAGCTCTGCACGTGACCCTTATCAGTTGGTTGCCGCGCCGACTATCGCCAGTGTTGATGCTCCACCCGATTGGGAGCTGCCTTCGATGGGGCTCGATCTGTGAGGATGATTGTCACCTAAGGTAGCCTGATATTTGATGACAGTCTCCTCTTTTCTTCGTGCATTCTTCCCGTCCCATGGTTCCGCGTGTGCTTCTCGAACCACATCCACATCGTACCTTGCATGCTCATTTTGGTTGAACACCCCCCAGCATTCCTTTCTGTCTGGGTCATTCAACGTCCACATTCCACTCCTCGCGTGGATGCGCCGATAAGCATCATCCATTGCGGCCATGGGGAGATCATTGCCTCCATTCCTTTACGGTCCTCCCTCCTCGCATAGCTTCTATGGTCCGACGGAGCGCCCATTCAATCCAAAGGCAGTGACGCAGGCGAGCTGGACTCGTCCGAAGCCAAAACCTAAGCAGAAAGGACCTTATGTTAGCTTCAACAGACACCCTGACTCGGTAAGTTAATTCTTGAACTGCTCTCGATGGCGCACACGTGCTGATTAATGCTCGATCAATAGTATTCGAACTTCCCTGATGGAGCGTCCCGCTGGACTCCCATGAGCCCCAGCACAAAGGGGAGAGTGTTCTATGGTCGAAAGGTACAGCTTGGTCTGCGTGTACTGGCATTACTCGGCGCTCTAGGCTCGCTCTTTTGTGCCATTGTCATCAAGAATGTTGCTATCACTATCATTTGGATCGTTCGAGTCGGGGTGAGTCCCACAAATATGATGGGACGCGAGTCCAGCTAATGTCTGTGCAGCCTATCGTTGCCGTTCTTCATACCCTCTATGGAATCTACCACCTATGCCGCTCGCCTGTCAGCAGACCGGCTGGATCACAGGCCAGTTACATGGTCTTTGCGGCAACGCTTGACCTTGGCTTGGTTCCATACTATGTCTTCTCCGCATACATCGCGTACAAGCAGATCACCAACAATGCCTACCACTGGAGCACTCTGCTGAGCGCGGACGCTGGTATCACGGACAAGGTCGCTCATTCCACTTTCATCCTTAGCATTGTCAACGGAAGCTTTCATTTAATCTCTCTGTGCATTTCCGTTTGGTTGGCTTTAATATTCCGGCAGATCTCCCAGCTGCCACCAGATCTGAATCCTCTCGAAGACAATCTGACTGCTCGTCCTCATAAACGAAACAAGTCGGAAATCAACGAAAAGCATCTCAGCCAGTCTACTGTTGCATCGGCCACGTCTATGGAAGAACCCCTCATTGGCCCTGCTCGGCAAGTGCCATTCATGCACACCCGCAACCAGTCCTCAGAAGATGGCTCGAGCCGGTTTTCCGTTATTAACGAGAAGAGGCGATCACACCAATCGATGTACAGTGACACGGTTGTCCCACCCGTACCACCTGTCCCTCAACACTCCTTTCTGGCGCAGCATGACCAGCAAGCGTCGGTGCAATCGCCCTTGACAGATTCCCATAACGACCACGCTCAGCAAGGCTCTGGTGACCTTCCCGACAGAGCTCAATGCGTGAGCCCTGACTCGGACAACTGGATTGTCTACCCTTCTCGGTCACCCTCGCCTGCAGAGGCTGGTTTGAATGAGAACATAGCCCGTCGAGAACCCTCGTCTGCCTACAGTCAAGCGGAGAGCCTTATCTCTAGAGGTAGCAGCTTCAAGGACTGGCTTACTTCCGCCCAGCGCTACGAACTGCACCTTAACGAGGCTATCTCGGAGGAGGTTCGCGGCGAGTACGAGGCACTAGCTTTCCACGAACACTATGCGAATGACGAGGACATTCATGATATCCCTCAGGTGACACGATTCTACGACAACGCCGAGCAAGACATTGGCGACCACAACATCAATATCTTCCTCGACCACAACACCCGCGAGCGACAATTCTCCGCCTCCCTCCAGGTCAACCCTCTAGCCCTCAACCCTCCCACCCCACAGCCGGTCCAAGACGAGATCAACAACGCACCCCAACCCCGATCCGTGCCCCTCTCGCCGATATTCCGAACCTCGCTCCTAACCCTTCCGCTTCCCCACCCTCCCCGGACAGCCCGAGAAGAAAGGCCGCTTCTACGGAGAACTCAACAATCAGCCTTGGCTCAGCGTTGCGCGCAGTGTAAGCGGTCAGAACGACCCCGACTCGCACGATCTGGACCGGAAGAGGAGCAAGCTCGTCAAACGCAACAGCCAGAAATTCAACACGTACGGTTCACTGAGGCAGCATGACGCCGACGATCTGGACGTCGAAAATGAGATCCCTCCTGTCCCTACCGATCCTACGGTTGCAGACGGTGACCGCAAGGGTCGCGTTGTCAGTAACTCTGGGGCTGACATCGGTCGGCATGATTTTGGGTCAGGCTCCTCCTTGGCGTATGGCAATTACATCGCTAACTTGGGCGTGGGACGACAACGCGATGTGAGTGGAAAGATCGCCGAGGAAGGGAGAGGTGGCGTGGTCACCGAGAGTCCGAAGCCGATTAGAGCTGCCGGATGGGCTCGCTTTGCTGGGCTCTAAACTTGCAGCTCGGGATTCATGGCAATATTTGGATGATCAGATTTGTTGACGATGGAATGGTCATTTTCATGATGGAATGGAATTGTAACGAGTTTTACGCAACGGATCTTTCATGTTTGATAATACATTCTTTTGGCATAAAGGTGTGTTAGGTAGTTAGTAGCTTCCTCAAATCCAATAAATATTGTTTCGCAGCCATTAAAGACTTATATGAGCGTTTTATATCGAAGTACATGTGAGAAAAGTATATATGGGAATGGACGAGCTACGAAGGAACACCTTCGTACTCCCACCCTTGAATGACCCTTTTGCCTCTCCTCGAATTTCTCCGGTTGGCGTTACATTTAACAAATAACGTGAGCGCAGTGATGATGCAGATGACAATTCCGGCAATGGCAGCGACCAACACCGTGCGCCGTTCTAGCTGGTGTGGATCGGCTACGTACGGGCAGGGGGTATCAGGACCCCCTGTTACCCAGCAAGATGCAACGTCCAACGAGTTGAAATCAAGCCAGACCTCGTACTTTGCGGGGTCCGTCGCTGTAGGGTCCACGGTGTCCTTGGATCCATCGAGCAGGGAATGGTATAGGTAGGTATTCTCAAGGCCCGTCCGGGGTATGGAGAAAGATGTATTCTCCGGGCAAGCGTGGTGGTAGGCGTCCGAGTATGTATACGCTTGCGACGACAGGGACCAGGTGAAGGGATGACTTCCCACACGGCAGGCGGCGTGGCGCTCTTCGCTGCAGTTAGTGGAGCGCCAATGGCCCCCCAGTGAGAGATCCAGTACTGCGCATCGCTCGGTGTGCTGCGAGTCGTCGTCGATGCCGGGAGGGGAGCCGTCTCGAGGTTCACCAATGGCCCAGGACCACGAGGCAGACGTGGAGATGTTTTGGTACGGTCTTGCATCTGAATCGGCAGTCTTGTTGAACAAAGTGCTGCTGAGCACCGGGGATAAGCCGCAGACTGTGAGGTTGACGACCAGATCGCATATTTCTCTCAGAGCCTTGGTTTCGTTCGAGCTGTTTATGATGGGTATGCTGCTCGATTGAGCCCACGACGAGTTGGCTTGCGACACCGAGGTAGCTCCCGGCTGGTAGAGGCAGCCAGCAGTCAAGCTACCATTATCAGCCGCTGTTGTCGAAACGGCAGTTGTCAAATAATGAGGAGGAAATATGACGTCGTTGTCTGCGTTCAAGTCATAGCTCCCCAGCTGCGAGTCCACGGAGCCATATTCCAGAAACAGTCGTCGCTCTTGCGCAAGTTGCACGTATTTCGAAGAGGGCCAACCATCCGGCGTACTTTGCCTTCCATCCGCATCCTCGTGAAGGGTAAAGTATTCCGCAATAGGCTTGTATCCATCGTCAACTGCATACCACGATTCGTTGAGGTTCTTGCGCTCCTCGGCTAACTCGGACGGCCTGTAGATGTACGTAGAAAGACGCTCATCAAGCAAAGCGCTCACGTGTTCTGAGGGTAATGGCAGCTGCTCGTTGGTCACGGATGCAGCTGGCTGATCTAAGGATGTAGCACTTGATGCCACATGAAGGTTTAGGGTGATGAATGTCGTATACACATTCCATTGAGAATTGGTGAGTCGGAAATGCTCTGCGAAAATATCAACTAGTCCAGAAAGGTCCAGATTATCGGAGCAAAGATAGGGACCGAGCTCGTAAAGTAGCGAGCCTGACGGATCGGCGACTGCTGTGACGGCGCCGGTGACTGCACTGGCCGTGGCTGTGGGAGAAGGTGTCGTCGAGACAGTGACAACTTGAGGGTTCTGCGGTTTTGCGACTGGGCAAAAAGTCCAATTTCGTTGCTCCACCGACCAGTATATATCAATCAGGAAACGACGGTAGCCGATAGCGAGCAAGTTCGAAATGCATTTCTGAGCAGCAATGTCGTCGTAGATGCTCTTACCGAAGCATGCTGCAGTCAGCGAGACGGCCGGTACGGTAACGAAGTTGATAGGAATTTGGCCGGCCACATCTCTTTCACTCTAATGAAACCATCGTCAGACAGATTTCATGCAGTTATCAGTTCGCGAACTCAACGCACGAGTAGGACAGCCACCCATGTAGAGTTTACAAGGGAAGCATCAGGATCATAACTCAGGCCCATGGAGCTGCATACAATGGGCAGCGAGGATCAAACTAGGAGATATAACTCATTTCAAGTTGGATTCGCAATTGCACCGAGCAATTCGAGTGATGGAGAAAATGTTAGTCGAGGCTCAAACTGCGGAGACGCGGGCGGTGCGATCAGTGAATGACGATCGACCCTTTTCCCTCTTTGGGCGGGCCAACACCATCTATCTGGCCACTTTGTGTTCATCGCTCCCCTGTGATTCTCCGGCTTCTTTCATCTTTCAGCCAAACCACTTTGACACACTCCCCTTCCAGCTTCATACTCATTATCCGGCATTCATGCATCAGTCTTTCCTCTCTTAATTGATTTATTGACGCAAATTATCTAAATTCCCTTTCAACATGGCGGCTCCAGGTGGGCCTAGCCCGCAGCAGATTGCTGCCATGCAGCAGCAGTTCGCCGCGGAAGCAGCAAGACGAGGAATGACCCCCGAGGAATTCGCAAGACAGCAGCGCGAACAACTGAATGCAGAGGCCGCGAAGCACGGCATGACGACCGAACAATACGTTCAGCAGTTGAGGATGCGAGCTATGGCCGCGCACCAGCAGCAGATGGCCCAACAACAGGCTCAAGCATCGCAGCAGCAGGGACAAGCGGGCCCCCAGCAGCAGCAACAGCAACAACAGGGACAGCCTGGACAGCCCTCTCCGCCTCAGCAACAGATGCAGCAAGTCCCTGTGAACCCGTCGAATCCTCCCGACCCTAAAGCGATCGCGGTCGCCCAGTTCTTACGCTCCCAGAACCTCAAGTCTCGCACGTGTATCCTGGACGGACAAAGAAAGGACATGTTCAAAGGTATTTACTCTCGTACTCCTTACGATCTCCGAACCAGTACTGACGAGTAGCATAGTCAAACGCGCCATCCGCGCCCTCGAATCCCCCGCCTACGCCAAAGCCGCCGCCAAAAAGAACTCCCTCCTCCCTCCCGTCACCGACCGCGCCTCCGCCGAAAACGTCTTCAAGCTCCTCCCTCTCTCCCTTCTCGCCCTGCGCGTCTCCAAAGTCGACCCGCACGCCGGCCACAACCACGCCAAACCGAAGACCCGCGTCAAGGGCCTCTGGACCGTCAAGATCGAGCAGCACCAGGAGACAGACCCCATGATGCACTACGTCTGGCTCTACGAGGGACCCCAGTGGAAACAGAAGGCCATGGCCGCTGCCGTCGTGGCGGGTATCTTTGCCGTTGTCCTCTTCCCGCTGTGGCCCATCATGCTCCGCCAGGGCGTCTGGTACCTCAGCGTCGGGATGATGGGTCTGCTGGGTCTCTTCTTCGCCATGTCCATCTTCCGTCTGATTCTGTTCTGCGTGACCGTCTTCGTCGTGCCTCCCGGCCTCTGGTTGTTCCCTAATCTCTTCGAGGATGTCGGATTTATTGATAGCTTTAAGCCTTTGTGGGGTTGGCAAGAGGTATTACTTTTTCTTCCTCCCCACAATCTTCTCTTTCGATTGATGTACTGACTGTGCCATAGAGCAAGAAAAAGAAGAAAAAGTCCAAGAAGGCCGTTGCTGGCGCTGAGGCCGCAGAGCCACAAACTGCATCGGGCAAGGGAGATGACGCTACCCCTTCCGCGACCACAACAGCAACACCTGCGGCAGATTCCTCCGGCGTCTTGAAGCGCGACCTGGCGCCCAAGGTGGAAGAAGCCACTGAGGAGTAAATGGCATAGATGGGTTGCACTAGGGCATGATCTTAGGATGCATCGTATCGTATCAACGAGTTGCTTTGCCTTTTGGGTCATTGTGGTTGTTCTGGGTCATGTTCTGGACCTTGGGTTTCGTGTTCATCGGATGAATAGCCACGTATGACTATGTTTCTTAAAATATATGTTCCTTCGGGTTGGAGTAAGGTTTCACTTGCTTGAATTGATCACATCCTCGTGGGTCATAGAGAATTATGCAATTCCTGTATTATGATCCTTTAATCGGGAGGATGCAGTGCCCAGTGCTGATGTCAAATCGGAAGATTTCACCGTGAGAATCACCCTAGGTTGAAATATTTAACATGGAAGATGACCTCCACTAGATAACTGTATGAGGCATCAACCCCCAGGATAGACCCACATAAAGAACATGTACTAGGTAAAATAATGAAACAGAAGAAGAAAAGAAACAGTGGAATATGGCAACGACGTACAGCGTGGATATCTTCAACTGCGACTGTAGAAAAGGTCAAGAAGACGGGTAGATGCAATGACAAAGTAACAAAGGTGTCTGGTATCAGTGGTATATATAGGAAAGCAAGTCGCCGAGGCATCGCAAATGCAATAAAACTTCAGGTGTGAAGACAGAATTTCCTCAGTAGTGAGGGGAGTATAAAAGCACTTTTCCAAAATGCGCAAAGCTATGTCTTCGGGGCCGAGATGATGTACAGGCGGCTCTATAATATCTACCGACGCCTAGAGATGCAGAATGAGCCAAGGGGAGAGAGTAGAGCAAATCGATGTGAGGTGGTATCGTTTATAATCCGGAAGATACCTGAGTATCTATACTTGGAGCAGCGGAAAGATTGGTATGGGACGTGGGAGGATTGATGCTGGCAAAGCTTCTTTGGCGGTCTCGTAACGTCTTCGAAGGCGGCAAGTGGGAGGACCGAGCTGTGAGGGAAGCACTTGGTAGCAGAACAGGCCTATGTGGATCGATTGGACATGGGATTTTTGGTAAGGGGCAATTGGGGGCGGTGCCGCTGGGGGACCAACAGACAGTCCCGGCATGCTCTTGCGCCGGGCCATGCTGGGAGGACGACTGCCGTGGTCTGTGGGATACACTCTATCCCGTTGGAGCTCAAGGCGGGGCTGATTTCCGTAATTTGTGGTTGGTCGAGTGGGTTGCGGGTCAGATGAAAGCTTGGTTAACGGGTCAATGGCTATGCTCGGAGGACGAAAGTGCGTTGTCATGGTGTACGTTATCGGTAAACGTGGGTTGGGTAGACTCCTGTGGTCGTTATTTCTTTGCAGAGGATCTGCCAGCGAATCCTCAGAATTGGATACCCGCAACTGTCGTCTAGGGGAGGCGTTGCGGACGGTAGAGGTATCCTCATGTATATCGTTGAGGCCCATTCTACTCATGTTGCGGGTTGGCGACTGAGGTGGGGAGGGAAACGCAGCCAAAGCATCGAGTTGCTCGTCAGAATCCTGATGACAGAGCCCATTACTCCGGTCACAGTCCAGACGAGGACCTTGAAGAAGTTGAGCTTGAGCGGTCTTCGCAGCAAACCTCTTGCTGAATGATGGAACACTGAAGTTGGGCGCTGGAGGCGAAGTGCTTCGCAAGATTGGCTCTGGCACCGTTGACGGCGACCACCCAGGTTCATGCCCCTCTGTGCTCGGGGATCCTGCCAGATAGGCGGATAAGCGTTTGGTCAGACTTGCCGTGGTCGGGCTCGGCGGTACGCTCGGTTGGTGTGCTCCAGGGACTGCCACGCCATTAGGAAGTGTAAAAGGACCACTCGGCGGAGGGACCGAAGAATACAACCGCCCGAAGCCATTGACAGGCGGTGTTACATCCGTCTGTGTGGTCGACATCGAGTTGGAACGGGACTCAGCGCCAGACTGATAGACGAGCGACCGGCGTTGAACAGATATATAGGAGCTGCGGCGGGATTGATCGCTGAGAGCTTGATCTTTTTCGTCGGAACCTGCCGACTGATGAGGCTGTAGATAGATGTTGGAGAAGCGGTTGGGGTCTCTTTGTACCATCTGTCGGATACTCGGTTTCGGCCGCAGCTGATGCTCCATGCCCTCGTCGTACGGGTTTTCAGAAATGTATTTTTTGCCTCCGCGGGCTTCGATCTGAGCTCTGACAGCCAGGAGCCAGGAGCTCATTTCTTCGGCATTGGAGAACACAAGAAGGAAAGTACGAGTCCATCGCCGGGAATAGGATCGATGAAATCCCAGGCGGGAAAACAAGGGCCGATGGGTATCAACTGTCGCCGTGCTGTCTTCTTCCGAACTTTGAGAAATTTGCAGCACGTAACGCTTACCAGGAATCGCATCGCTGGCAAAAGCCACTGATTTGGGGCCCACCTGCAACATCTTCTCCGGTAGTCGATCATGCCTCCCGCTTGCTGAGTATTGCAAGATATAACCAGATGTGACCAGCACATAAATCTTTTGGGACCACTCAGTCTTGCCGATAGTGTCGGAGACCGTTCGCATATGTTTCTTCTCCTTATCTTCCTTCTTCTTCCGTTCCGCGGAAGCTTCCTCATTTGGCGGCTGATTACCTTGAGGGTCTACATCGTTGGAGCTGCTGTTGCTCTTTGCGGTCGCCTGGATGCGCAAAATGGAATCAGCAGACATAGCCGGGGCCCAGAGACAGTCGTGCTTGATTGCCTGTGGATAGGCCTGAAATAGCGGAGGCGGCTTCCACCCATGGTCACCAGCGACTGGTCGACTGTCGCTAAGCTTCCCTCGGGACTTCGATGCAAGTTTCATCCGACTCGCACCGCCCGGAGGAGAGGCAACCAAGGTCGACATCGACATTGCGGTCTTGGGGTGGCACAAACACTTGGCGATAATGGCGTGTCCGACACGGTCACTGTCTGTGTTACAGTGGTGTGCGCCTCGTCGATTTCCGCGAGCTTCGTGTCAATGTTGGGCTTACGAGAGGGCTTCTCCCAGGCAAAAAGTCCCCGCAAACCCGACTTGGATGTCTGACGCTTTACCGGAGTTTGTTGTAGTGGCACCCTCTCTCCCTGGCTTTCATTTTGGTAGTCCGTGGGTCGCAGACGTTGCAATCGAGGGGTTGCAGACACGGTTGATGCTGCATCGGGAGCCGCAGACAGAGTCGGGGATTGCACTGAACCGTGAGCATTCGGACGGCTGAAGTTCGTTTGCAGAGGAGCTAGTCGTTGGCCTCTGCGCTCGCTGACGGATGGCTGAGGGGGCTGCTGATCTAAGCTCATCCTTCCGGAGAAAATTGGCTCTCACCCGACATCAAAACGCGATTCCAACTGATCGGTGATGACGCGATAGAGAAGTCGTTAATCTGAGGATACGGAGCTTCAGGGGCGCGCGCGATTCATATGGAGAACAGTTCAACTGTGGTGGGGTAGTGTTTGCGCATCGATGTGGAAGCGAAGACTGGCATTGCAAGTGGACGCTTGTATCGACGGGTCCAGTGGTGATCGCAGCCTGAAACCGAACCCACTGGTTTCAGAACATATACCAGATCGAGAGTGGTTAATGCAATTGTACAGAACGCGATTGAGTGAAATGAGGACAGAACCGAATAGGAAAGTGGGAGAGATCGCGTGGTGGAGGCTTGGAGCGGAGACGGCCGAACCGAATTTTGGGAGCTCACGCTTGGAGTAGAAGTACAGGTGGTAGTTTCAATTCAAGGGAAGGGAATTCAGGTGTAAAGAGTGACAGAGAAGATCGCAGTGCGATATTAGGGCAATTCATGCAACTCCATTGCGCTTCTCCTGGGTTTAGAATGAGGGTGTTGAGGTGGAAGAAGAAAAAGAAGGGAAAAAAGAGAAAAGAAAGAAAGCAAACTCGGCCCCGAACAGGGAAGCCAGATCGAGTCACAATCAGGACTTTTCCTCTTCTGTGTGAGTGCGGTCCTTTTTTCCGGTTAATTTTTCTTTGCCTTAATTTTAGGCTTTGATTAGCTATAAATCACAGTCAGTAGTCCCGTTTTAGTCCACTTCTTGTTGAGATTGGAGTGAAGCTAAATCTGCCTGGAGGATCTGAAATAGTTGGCCCCCTATGGAGTAAGTTAATAGGAGCAGAATCAGGAAATGAGCTAGTCTCGATCTGATCAATTTCGGACTATCATCGGTAGTAATAATAATAGACAATTATTGCCTGTCGAGAATCCGAGATACTATATGCGCCAGGAAGTCTATAATTGGCAATCTGCCCCTGAACAACACTTTTGGGACAGGTCCGGTCCCACTTGGCCGGAATAGCATCATGTTTATTTACGTAGGGCTATGGTGAGAGAAGAAAACACAGTTCCTGCTACGGAGTAGGAGTACCGAAACTCTCTTCATTATTCTCTTAGTACACCTGAACTACACCGCGCGGCCCTTGATATGTCGAGAACGGGCGACCTACTCTGCAGCAGATTGCGAATAGGTTGTAGGGGGTACAAGGTGACGGAACGCAGCAGATTGCAGCAGTCCATACTCGTTCAAGGCATGAGGGACGGCGATCAACGTCAACGGATCGTCGTCGGCACGATTTCGTACGATCGTATCATATCACTTCCAGTTCTGAGCGGCTTGACTTGATTCGGTTGAGTCGTGAAGCCATAATTGACAGGTCAATCATTGTTTCTCGAGTAATACGCAATTCGTTCAGAATAATAAGGTACAGAAAATAAACGCCTCCTAGGCTTCACGCTCATGCGAGGGAGTTCCCAGCAAAGTCACCGAGGGTAGCGAACACTTCTTCCCCTGCGCCTCGGCAACAGCCCCCATCAACTGCGCTCCGTCCTCACAATGCTGCGCCATACCAATGTCTTTCGACGACAGTCCTCGCGGATTATGCGTCGTCCAATGTACATCCACACTTCCAATCCGCTTATCACCACAAACCATTAGCATATCGCAACCTTTTCCCCATTCAGAAGCGGGGGGGAAAAAACACTTACAACAGTCATGGTAGGATGATGCTTCTTTATCGCGCTCTGCGACGCAACCACATTCACAAAGCTCTGCACCAAACAATCAATCAGCCTCCCTAAATCTCTCGCGAAGAACAACAATCAAAACCCACCACAGCCTTAAAATAAGACCGAAAATAAAACGTCTTCTGGATCCCCATCCCCGCCCCATCCAACACCCACCCCTTCTCAAGCAACGCTTTCAATCCCCCATGAACGTGTTCCGCATCCTCACCCTGCGAGATCTGCACCTGCGTCTGCTCCTGCTCCTGGCCCTCAGAAGCACCAGCAGAAGTCGAGTAACTCGCACCCGCACCCGCCATCACAGGCGCAGGCAACCCTCTCCCCTCACGGAGCGCGCCGCCGCGGAGCGGAGAGACTGTCGTGCGGGGGGAACTCCGCGTCGAAATGGATGATGACGATGACGACAACGACGAAGACAACAACAATGATGGAAAAATGACTCTACCAGATAAAACACCGGGACGAGAAATGCAAGCCCGCACCCGGCGTTGCAGGACTCCCCGCGCTGCGTCCATGCTCGAGGTACAATTTAGTTCAAAGACTCTAAGAGACCCTTATCGTCATCACCAACAAGAAGTTTGACATTGAAAACGGGGAGTTGGCAGCACTCGCAGGACGGAACAGTCACGTGATACACTCAGGTATCTTCCTTAAAGGCTCCAGCGTCCACCCCCCACAGACACCGTGATAGATGGATGGTTCCTGCGGAACAGCCTCATCCTCACCCGAATCTGGCAGGTTTTTTCCTGTACTCCCTACTCCGTACTCCGTAAAAATACCCCGACTCCCCAAGATAAGAGATCGCCGGATGCAACCTCCGGAGCCAGACAGCCCAGATCTATCCCACAATTTCCGCAGACGGTTAACTCAAAAGTCAGAAGTCCGTGGAAGTCACCTCCGCCATCTCTGTAGATGCATCTGGCCTCCACCGCGGAGTTTGTACTATCATCTTCCCGGCCATCTGTTCAATGACGTTTGATCTTTTTTTTTTTTTCAGACCACCTGCCTCGTACCTTGGGCTTTGATAGGCTATAATACCTCCTTCTCATAACAGATCCATGGGGACGGAGAACCTTAACAATGCGCTTTAACTCTAATACTCACTTCATGTATGGGTCCCTCCGCATCGAGCCTGCATCCCCAATACCTTGACTTCTACTCTTCCGCCCATCCCGCCGTTCAGCCGTGCTTGAGTCCCTCTGGTGGATTACGTCGACATGAGGCTTTACTGCCTACAGATCGCTTGAAGCATCGATAGAAAAAAATCATCCTCATTTTTCGTATTTTTTCACTAAGCCACCAGCAGCCGAGGAGTCTCTCGCTAAGTACTTCGATCCGCCGTCAAGACACAATCGCTAGAAAGTAACATCCACCTCGCTGGTAACACAAGCGCAGAGAAGACAGACCACCTTTGAAACAGGAAATCTCGTAAGCCGCAGAAAGAAACAAAGCTTAAGCCACATAAAATCCCAGATACAATTAAAAGGCCATCGAAATGGTACGAAGCCGACGCCTGTTTGACTCGGGTGTACCGACCAGACTCCCGCCCATTCACTCTGCAAGTGTGCAATGCAAACGAGTTCCGAGAGTCGGCAGTCTGAACACCCAAGGTGTAGCACTAAGGCCTTCCACCACAGACGGACATGAAAAGAAGCAAGAGACAAGAGAAAATAACACTTGCAAAGCCCGGCCCTGCTCAAGAAATGAAAATTGCTCACAGAGGCAACGAACAGAAGAGCCGCAAAGCTCACAAAGCTCCCATAAAAGCGTGTTGCTGCCTGAAAACCCTGTGTCACTGTGGATCATTCACTCCGACCATGATTGGCATCAACGACAACGTCTCCTCAAATACCCATCGGCTCCAGGCCGCTCGGTTGTGGAATTGTGATCATGCTCATTCCGCGAAGGAGATACTGTTTCTGCGCGACTGAGCACGAGAGCCTGCGCGAGACGGGCCACGGGATGCCACATAGCTGCCCTGTCGGCTTCCAAGGGCCTGGCGGATTCGGAGATCCTGGCGAGATCTTGCAAGAGAATTCGCCCTAGAGCCAGTGGGAATTCTAGACAACTGTCTGACATTGAGTTCGACTTCGATATCGTGGCGAGCAACCGACAGCTGTTGGGCGAATGTAGAGCGCTGGCGGAGGTAAGGACCGCACCAGTAGATGACATAGACCGCAATGACGAGGACGAATGAGATGCAGACTAAAGAAAGTCAAGATCAGTCTCTGTCCCTGGCATGCTGTACAAACAGATTAAAGACTTACACAAAATCGTAGATGCGTACTCAAGATGACGCTTGCCGCCAATGTCTGTGAAAATCGTCTGTCAGCTGCTGTGACCCTAAGGCGGATCAATGGACAAGACAACTTACTCTCGAAGAAAGGTGTGGCAGGAATGGTAAGAACACCAGCCAAGAAGTCTCGAGACCAGCCATTTCCACCGGTTGCCGAAGCAGAGTAAGGACCATAGGCACAGACCATGTAGTCAATCGTCGCCATGTAAATGCTGTAGTTGGCAATGCCGACAATGGCTGAGAAAACCATGGTACCAATCCAGTGGACGGGAGGACCCTGGCTGGTCCAAGCGAAACCAATCAACCCGATGGGCAGGCAAGGAGCAGTGTAAAGAAGCCACCATAGGCGAGACTCGTATTGAGCCCGTTCGTCATGAGGCTTAGCGCGTCGCTCTTTGACGTTTCGTTTAATGACTGGGATAAAAGATATCCATGCTATGAAGTACCCAACTAGGATGGGTAAAAACGACAAGCCGAGTTCAACCGTGCCAAAGCCCCACTGCTTGTAAACAAGACCGAACGACTGGATGAACATAAAGATCAGAGCGTCGCTGAAGCCACTCAACAAAGACAGAGACAGGACGATGGGCTCAGTCAAGAACATCTTGAAGGGGCGGATCCAGGTGGAGAGAATTTCCCGCATTGCAAACCGCTCCCGGAACTCAAGCACCTCGTTAGGGCCCCATATATCCTCTCCATTCTTTCTTCTTCTCTTGGCAATTCTGTCCATCAAGATCGTCGTGCGAGTCTCCGGAACACAGATTAGGTGAGCGAGCTGAACAGCTCCTCCAAAGATCAACTGAATCCAGATGTTCCAGCGCCAAGGCAGGTATTCTTCGACGAATCCACCGACAACAGGTCCAATGACGGAGCCTGCAACAGAAGAAAAGACGACACAGGCCACGGCGTACTGCTGATCATCTGCCTCCCATAGATCGGCAATCATTCCCAGCGTGACGGAGCCACCGGCAGAACTCAGACCACCCAGGGCGCGACCCACCATGATGGAGGCAAAGTTGGGAGCAAGAGCCACAGGAAGTTGGAAAGCATTGACGAGAAACAGACTTGCCTGGAGAATCGGCTTGCGTCCGAGTTCCTCGCTCCAGGGAGCCCAGAGTTCGCAGCCAAAGGCATAAGTGACGAGGAAGATCATGGCACCGCAACGAGCAGCCTGCATACTAACTCCATACTCTTCGGAGATGCCAGTCAGAGCATTGGAATACAGACTGGTGTTGAAGTTCATGGAAGTCTGGACAAGGAAGATCACGCTGATGATTGTCCACTTTTTCCACGACGGCCAGGAGTACCCCAGCTCATCGTAACAGTCCGCCTCCTTGATGACCTTGTCCGCCCTCGAAGGCACAGGCTTTTCTTCGACAGCTTCCACAGTCTCGACATTTTCAATGTCGGCAGTCGAGGGCTCTGGCTTTTCAAACGGGTCAATGCCCTGGTCCGCGTGAGTAGAGGACGAGGCCTCAGACTCATGAAGATGCGAGTCTTCTATCTCCCTGACCCCTTCAGAGGGAGGAGGCACTGCCATTCTGAGATAGCCTGCTCTGTATCTCGCGTGTTAGAAACCTAAAAAGATGGTTAGAGGGTGTGAACGCGTAACAACCATTAGGTAGACAATGTAAAACTTACTTTAATAAGCAAGAGATCTTTGACTTAGCAAGGCTATCACAAGCAGTAGATGTAGATAGAAGGATTATAAGCAGATTGAACACTGAGGAGGCGACACAAAGAGGAAAACAATGAGATGGAAGCTTTATCTCGCGAGTTAAAAAGTGGTTGTGTGAGAGAAGTAAGACTAGCACTTGGTGAAGTGTTAATGTAAGCAAAGGGTTTGGGGAGAGAGAAGTGCAGATCAAAAGGTGGGAGAGAACAGGAATAAAGAAAAACAACAGTCGATGAACAGAGTAGAAGAAGTATGAATGCGGTCAACAAGAGGCGCCTCAGGCTATCTATATTATACTGTGTGGGCTGGCAGGAACCCCAGAAAGGGAAAGGACGGGGAAATACCTGATGCTACTCTACCACCCATGGACAAAGCCCACTTTGTGCCTGCACTTTACTTCCCTTCCAATGGAGAGAACCCGGGGTAAATCAGTACGGGGCTTCTCTGTTAATTTCCAAACTTTCTTTCGTCTACTCTAATGATCCATTCAGGTTACAGAACTGCTAAGAGCAGAATATACTCATCAACCTTTGCTGTACGTCTCTTGCCAAATCCTGTCTTTTTTCCCATGCTTTGCCTCTGTTCCTTTACTAAAAATTATTTATCTCATTGCAGACCATGCTCGCCCCTTCCTTTGCATAATTGACTAATTTTTTCTCACGCAAAGACTGCAGCCAGAACGCTGCGCATTGAACATGGTTTGGACCACCGACGCAGCCGGATACCGAATCAGGACAGGACATTCGAGCCCACTCGCCACGCCATCTAGGAAGAATGTCCTTCCCCATCAGTTGCGAATGATGGGACGTCTGGGAACCTCAGGGGCCAGTCAGCGTCTGCCCCTCGTCATCTGAGCCAACGGAAAACGGCCGATAGGAATCCCCACGGGCAACTAGAAGATGGCCGCAAATGGCCATGATCTATGGTGCTCCACTCGGGAGTTGAGTGCTAGCCGAAAGAGTACCACTACAGAGGCCGCTCTGGGCCGACAGCTTCAGGAATGCCCGTTTCGGGAAACCAAGCGGCCAAGCCATGGGACAGCGTCGAAGGGAAACCTACAGTACAGTCAATTCTGCCAGCAGCAATACTCTTCTGCAGCGTTGGTCTCGTTCCCAGTGGATTTTTACAGAATTTACAGAGTACAGACTGACAATGAAGAGGCTAGCAACCCGTATTGACGCAAGGAGTCGGGATAGTTGGCCGGCCGTGCTCATGGATCATTTTTGGTGTGGCTTGCCGAGGCGGTCGGGTAATGGCGATCTTTTGAACTTTCTTCGAGGCTTAGCCGCCAGAAATTCCCAGGATGAGTTAGGATTTGTCGAACTACGACAAATTACGACGTGCACATTGAGACGATCAATGTTGGAGTGCGAACAATCATGATACTACCATGTTGGATACTGGAGTAATCCAAGAGATTTGTCCAATTGCAGTCTTCATCCTCGGTTTCGTGGGGTGCTTTTTCTTCGGGGCAACCGCGGGTGACGTCAAGCCTCTTTTTTTCCCTTTCTTCCCGTTCAGCTCTTACGCAGATCGTCATTCCGAGTAGGACCTGGACTGTTTTACGACGACAAACTTTAGTCATGCATTTGTATAACTAACTAGTTGGTTTCTGACCTGATCGTGAGATGTTGTCTTACTTTCCAGAATGTTTCATAGAATATTGTCAGATGTTGACAATCCTTGTCGGCTGCATGAGTACGTAGGAGGCTTTCTCCGTAACCTGGAAATATAGTAGTATTTTGAACACCTCGGACGTGACGTTGCAACAAGCAGATCAGATCCACTAAAGGTACATTTGTTAAAGTAGTAAGGTAAAGAGATCATACGGCATAATAGGTGGCAAGGATAAGATAATTTGTGATTACATACGAGAATGCATAGGTGCCTTCTGATATTCCGAGTTACCTTACTCTTTCAATGCAGCGCATGGAGTCAGCATGCAGCCTTCCTGAAACCCATGGGAATGTTCTCAATGTCGGTGGCAGTTTCAGATGCCTGACATAGGATAATTCCGTTCAGTTGAATCTAGACATTGGTTTGCCTAAACGGTGATCCAAAGCTTGCTGTCCAGGGTCAACCCAGGTTACGAGTTTCTTCTTCGTACAAGGCCCGTACGACATGACAAAATCGCTCAGTCAAGGATCGTTGCCAAGGTGATAATAGGGCCTTGGGGCGGAATTTGCAGCTCCAACCCAAATAGAAGAATCGAAATCCCTCATGAAGCTGAATTAGATTTCATCGTGTAGAAATTCCACTGGGGCCCTTGACACTCCTTACTTCGTAGCCACGTTACCCCGGCCCCATCTGCTGATCTACAAAGGCTTCACGTTTTTCCTCACCCTACTTCAACCTTAGGTCTGGAGACTGGAGAATGTTCGATTGCACACCCCTCACATCAACGTTCAGAAAAAAAATCCCCGGAAACCCACGCCCACGAGGAGAGCAAGATCGGTTCCATGTCACGTGGTCCACCTCATGAGGTCAAAGTAGAAATCAGCCTGTTTCTCTAAACCGACGGATCCGAAGGCTCAAGCTTTCTGGCCGATTTGGCACACTCTTGGGTGGTTGGCTGCGTGACTGGTCCGCTTGCGGGTCTTGGCCCCTCACTATTCCTAATTCAGCAGCGGAAGCCGGTGTCGGCTGGAACTGTGAAATTCAGACTTAGTTCAGAGTTCACACTTACCGACTTTCTTCTGAATTCTAATGCTCCTGCTCTGGTGCCTCAGGTATCAGGTCTCAGTTCCCTTTCCCCTCCGCTTTTCCTCCAGGTGGTTGCCCATGGGGTAGACAATAATGTCTCAGTTTCCCGGAATTGTGAATTCATGCATCAAAGTCATCTTAATCAGTAGTCAGCTGACAATCCCCTTTCCTCTTTTTCTGTCAAACTTCCTGTCATGTGGGAGTGAACTAGTTGATGATCCTATGATCTACGGTCGCATTGTAGCTGACATCTAGATTTATACTCAGAGTATAGCTTTTGACTATCGCCATCACGAAGACGCCGCATTAGGCTTCTCGAAGCTCATCGCTGTCTGATCCTAGTCATGTGGCGTTGCTCTCTCGAATTGAGATAAACTCCATCGGAACTTTCAAGTAGATCAGCTGTAACATTCCGGCCCTCTAAGAGTCTAAGTGGTGTCCCTGATCTTCTGACTCGAAGTAGTAGTTCGCGCATGGGAGAGGTTCGTGGCTTGGACTAGATACGATCATGTCTTCATTGACCGTTGACACCTGAAGAACCCAGCCAAGCTTTTGAGAGTGCAACAGTATCATGTTGAGATCATCGTTCCGGCAAACCAGAACCGACTTGTCGAGTCGCTTTCTCCATCCTCATGAGAGGTCCCGGCTGGACTTTGGCATTGCATTCCACGGCAGCACTTCCGACTCGCATATACCAGTCTCAGATACTCTGGTGACCCACGAATTATCCTATGTAGAAATGACCATGTTCTCGGACCTTGTCTACAGAAATAGGAGATCAGCATATACGCGTAAATTCCCTTATCGGTCCTGGTCTCTCGAGTAAACAGCCTATTCCACCGAAGTCACTAGATCAAACCACAGTGCATTGCATTCTAGGCATTCTGTCTCAACGAATCCAGCTTGTAGGCCCAAGTGGTCTGGCTGAATCTCTGTAGGCGATAAGCACCGTTGATCTGTTTTCATAGAGATTTGGTCATCTGGCACTCTGTTGAACTGATCTTACTCACCTTATCTCTGAAGATCTCGAGCTTATCAATTCTGAGGCTCTGATATTGTGTGCTGATGCTTCGCAACGAGCGGGTTGATATGATATGGACCATGATGTGGCTGATAGTCAGCCCTAGCTATATGCCCTAAAATGAAGCCAGAAATGGTCAAACTGTGGCGCAGCATGCTGAATTCAGAATAGCGTGACTGACTAACAGATGCTGCTCTGGTTGCGGCATCATCATAACCAGAACCCATATCCAGAGCTGAGTTCAAGTGAACAGTGATTGCAATCATCATCATTAACATCATCCTCATCGTCATCGTCATCGTATCACATCACTCTTCTTTCTTCCCAGGCTCAGCCTACCAACTCTTCAGGCCAAGGAATGCCTCCTGATCTCAATTCCCTTCCACCATCCCGTTCCCCCTCATCCCCGCGTCCACCACGGACAGTCCCCGCCTCTTCCGAGTCTGTGTCAGCGGTCTCCCCTGCAGCGTCATCTACCGCCATGAATAACAATACTAATGCCACGGACCTGTCCCGTCGGTCCTCACGCGCTTCGCCTCGTACAAGGTTGTCAATTTCAGAGCACCGCCGACCTCCCACAGGTACCAACTCAAACCTGGGCGAGTCCGAAATTCCCTCAGCCGAGCACCGTTCCTCCCTGAGCCATGCACTTCGCACGGCAAGTCCCACGATCGGAGGCAGCCCGATATTTGCTACAGGCGACCCGCACCACCAGCGTGCTCCGTCTCTAGGGGAGCTCCACCAGGAATTGGAGCAAGAACAAGAAGCGCAAGTGGTATGATTATCTATGCGCTATCCTCAAAAACGCAAATTGGCTATGTATGCTGATTGGGCAATAGAACCGACTGTTGCAGATGATTCGGAGTCAACAAGCCCAACTACAACAACTCCAGCAGCAGCAGCAACAATCAGGCACCGCTGTTGAAGATTCCACACCACCGTCCGAACGGTCTGTCGGTGTCCCCATAATACCACCACTCCCTGCAGCTGGTAGCGGTCGGACATCCACTCAGTTTCCTTCATCCCTATCCAGCCACCGGGCGTCGCGCCCTTCCAGCCAGACTGCCTCTCCTAGTCTTCGGCCGCTACCTTCTGCTTCTCTGCATGGAACGTCGGTCGACTCGTCCCGTGGGCCCGAAGGGTTGGACCTGGTAGCAGGCACCAGTGAAACCTGGTCCCGACGTGGTAGCAGGGATGAGGTGGCTTTCTACCAAGCCGAAGCATCCATGCTCAATCGCGAAAACCAGATGCTTCGGCAGCGTATACGCGAATTAGGTTCGTCTGCTCTTTTTCCTCCGTCTGTCATCTCTGCCAAGTCTCGGCATCTGTACATCTCCTATGTATGCTCGGAGCTGAAGATCCAAACCAAACGCTAACAAAGCAAAAGAACGGCATATTAGTGAGTTGACCACGTCTGGTGCCCAACCGGAGCAGAGTGCGCCACCTGCCACACAGGGGACCGAAACCGCCGATCATCATGCATCTGCCGATGTGGGGTCGACTACGGAGCCCACGAACAAGCCTTGATTGGGAAACTCAAGGCATGGATGTGCTGTCGGCTGTCCGCCCACTTCTTTGAATTCCAGCTTACACTTTCTCGGCGTGTCTTATGATCCGAAATTTTTTTTCGTTAGTATCGGCGAACTGCAAAGTTCGTGTGAGGTACTCCGTATTTCTGTTCCTTTCCCGCTGACGTGCATTGATACCCTGAACTATGATTATCTGTGTATCCATTGGATGTATTTGCTGTCACCACTCAATAAAGGGCTCAAAGCACCACGAATTTCACGCACTTCTGTTCGGCCTACCCATACGTCTATTGGCGGTTCGTATCATTTACTGGGGATTTATAATTGCCAGGCAGCAGTGTCTGTCCACCAGGCAGGTCTTCGATCGTTCTAGAGCCTCCTTGGCGGACTCTGCATGCATAATTTCTTCTTATTGCATGCAGAGGGCATGCGCGGTAATCGTCGGCCGGCTACTGTAGGCATCATCGAGCTCAGTTGTAATAAAAGTCAGAATCTCATATTGTGGATTCAGCTTGGCACTACGCGTTCTGTCCTCCATTTCCTCGACAGACCAACCTCACCACCTCTTTGGCAGAATACTCTTCATCCAATCACTAAACTGGCACAGCCGCCATTGTCCTAATAACCCATGTCAAACATACGCCCTAGCCAAGACATCCAAGACCTCGGAAACGCGAATCCCCCTCTCCTTGCCGAGTGCATCCCTCCGCAGCCTTGGTCTTGACTATACCCTCGGGCTTCTAGACCTAGACCCGGCGACACAGATCCATATGCCCCGGATACACTACCCACGCGCTCTCGCTCACTCCATTCCAACTCCCCATCTCCCCAGCGTGATCAGTCAACCTCAGCCGGATGCTGGAAAGACTGCATCGCACCGCAACCTGATCAGTCGCGAACACCCAACTCGCTGAACCATGGTCTCGGCCTCGAACCCACTGCTTGTTTCGTCGCCCTTGCCGATATCAAGTCTTTAAAGCATGATGCGGTGCGATCGTTGCGCTCAAATCCGCATGCAGACGCAGACGCGAGTAGATAAGGATAAAGATAAAGATAAAGCAATCTAGACCGCTGTAGAGCGTTAGCTGTAGAGCGCCGTCGGAGCCGGGGAAGTGAAGTGAAGATGAGTGTGCTAGTTTCGTCGTCCACCCTCCCCCGTCACAGCACCTGGAGCTCAAGCGTGCGGTGGCGAGGTTTCTTGACCGTGTGTTGCCCCTGGCTAGACTGCGACAATCGTGAGGGTAAGATAAGAACCACCCTAGAGTCGGGGGCAGTCTTCGCGTTTGGCTCGGTTATCGAGGTCGGCTCGCTGCTTAGGGCATCATTACTGCGGCGCATTCACTTTATTCAACATTGGATCCCTCGATGGGCAGCTAGTTGCCTGCCTGATTTCCAAGATCGTTGTTTCCACAACTACATTGCGGATTACTGGAGTTATAATTCAGGAAAAAAAAAAAAGTCATGCCATTTATAGGTATAATCTAAGACTGTACAAGGATATAAAATAATTTACAGCTTGGCCTTCTCGCTCTCGGCCAGCAGGTCAGGCATCAGCAGGTCCCTCAAGTCCGTCGCCGCCTCGTTGAGGTAGTAGCTCATTCGCTCGGCTCCAAGGCGCTTGCAGACAATGTTGAAGTTGAGGCTGTAGCCGTCGTTAGCAATTGAGAGGAAGCATAGACGAAAAGGGTGACAAAGACATACCTGTTCTCGTTGATCATATAAGCAATTCCGAATCCATCGTCGATGACCTGGCTCCATCCGTAGCCGTTGAAGAACTCCGAGCTCAGCTGGCTGGTCGACAGGTACCAGGAGCCGCTGTAGGCGTAGGCGGGGTCTTCGTACAGAGCAGGGAGCTTCTCGCCCTCGCGCAGGAGCTTCTTCAGTCCGAACAGGTGACGGTCAACACCCTGACCATCGCTGGCGAGGGCGGTATACTTAGAGTGAGCCGCAAGGGCTGCGCGGAAGAGGCGCACGACCTCCTCGCGGGGGACGGAGGGGTCGGCCTGGGCCTTGCAAAAGGCAACGCTCTCGTCAGAGACGCTACGGATGGTCTCGGTACGACCCTCCTGGAACTTGCGGGTCGAGGCCGACTCGTATGTGGGGCGGTTCTTGCCGTACATCTTGAAGTACGCCAGCTGGATGATCATCTGCACATAGGCGTCGGGGCTGCACTTGAACTTCTTGATGAGACCCTTGCCGTATCCCTGGTAGGACTGCACCTTGAGCTCGTGAGCAGACATCTGCTGGCGGTGCTCCTTGGAGGCCGCGTCGATGGCCTCGAGAACCTCCGAGTTCAGGTGGAACTCGATGGGGCGGGGGTCGGGCAGGTTGGAGCGCACGGGCTTCTCGGAGAGGTCGATCTTGTTGTTGAAGATGAGGTTGTTGAGGTGATCGTTCATGCGGTGGGTGGGGCTGCCGTCCATCATGCTGTGCTCACCCATGAAACCGGCGGTGCCGTTGTCGTTGACGATGAACTGCAGGGGCTTGTCGAACCAGCGGTTGGTGCCATCTCCGTGCCAGTACTGGTGAGCCCGCTCCTCCAGCGTCACAGGGGTGGCATCGTCGAGGCAGACGACGAAGCCGCTGGACTCGATGTCGCGCAGAGCCTGCTCGTTGGCGGGGTTGGCTGCCAACAGCTTCTTCCGAGCATCGGCCCACAGGTCACGGTTGGCGACAGTCAGAACGCCGACGGGGGAGCACGCTGCGCGATCTGGTAGATGCGCTTAAACTGCTTCTCCAGCTCGGAGACGTTGAGGCGCTCCCCGTTGACAACAAGGGGCACTTTGAAGAACTGGTTCTTGCGCACAACCACAATGTGCTCGTTCTCCTTGGCGGGGTACTTCTGGGGTAGTCGGCGCCCTCGGCGGGGATACGGCAGCAGTTGAACATGTATTCGTACGAGCTCATGGCCATGGGCAGTTTGCGCATGTACTCGGGCTCCAGGGAGCCATCATCTACCTGGCGCTTGAACTCAAGAGCAGCGGTCGTGATGGACGCCGCACGCTTGACGGGGTTCCGCCGCATACGGTCGTCCTTGTATGAGTAGAAGTAGGAGACGTAGGGAATGACGGGGTCCCGGTAGCCCAGGTAGGCGGCGTGGTTCCACCATTCCGTGAGCCAGTTCTTGGTCTTCGGATCGGCGGCGCGAGCCAGCAGTCTTTCCTGCAGAGGCTGACCCTCACCACCGGGACGGATAAAGGCCTCAACGGCCTTCTTGGTACGCTCGTACTCGGCCTCGGAAACCACGGCGTGGACGGATTTCAGGTAACGGCGGCCGGTATCTTCTAACGAGGGGACCGGCAAGCGGGGGAGTGATTCTTCAAATCGGAGCATCTTGCCCTTGGAGAGATCTTCTACGTATCCTGCGACAAGTCAGTCCCGCCCAGTCAAGGTAGCAAAAGGTGCGCATGTGATTACTCACCCTCGGGGACTGTGGAAGCCTTGCGACGAGCCATGATGGGAACCTGCTAAACACTCAATTAGCATCTCCACGCTTGCTTTCCCCGGAATTCGTGAATCTTACTGCAGCAGAGCGCGCAAGGAGAGAGTTTGTAGGAGCGAGACGAGGCCGTGTGAGAGTGGTGGAGAGACGGCTTCGAGCAGAAGCCGTGAACATCCCTCTGACTGTGAGTGATACAGATGGGAAAAGAGAAAGAGGAAGATCGAGGGAGAGGGTATATTTTGAGGAGTAGAAAAGAGAGAATATGGAATTAAACGAAAAAGCGAGGAAGGAGTTAGAAGTTTAAGACAGGAGAAGCCAACAGAGACACACTCGAAAGTTGCCTCGGCTGGAGGGAATCTCGTCTCAGCCGACCGGTGGGTAACTAAGGTACCTATGGGTACTTGGTTTGGTGTGGATTACATGTATTTTACCTTGGACGGTATCATCCGTTACTAAAACAAGTGCATATCATCATAAGGCCAAACCGCAGCAGATAAAGGCGCGTGTGACCCATGGAGTCTGCCGTATATACATTCCATTCAAGGGGTTACCTACTTATGTATCTTAGATGCCTAACCAGCTACTTAGTATCCTAAGGTCTTCATCGGAGAACGGAGCACGGAGACCTGCGTAGTTGGTCAGCTCCGGTATTTCCGGGGTATCTCTAGCATACAAAATACGTCAGGTAACGAACAGTTTCTCCCACAGTCCCCAGACTCTCATGAGCCTCGGCCCGTTGCGGTGGAAGATGGCCGTTTGGCAAGCGGATGATGCACGAATCGGAATGACGGAGACCGAAGTGCCCAGGTGCAGATGATCCCTAAGCTATATCTGTGGCCTTATGCCGGTGAAGTACCTCTCTATTTGGGAATGATCAGAATGCTCTATCGGAGCACTGCTACGGCCGTGCCGCCCGATATTCGATCCAAGGTGGAAGAATGCGGGGGGAGCTGCCGACCTATACGGTACGTATCATGACCCTAAATACAGTACCAGCTTTACCTTGCGGTACACTATCAGAGATGAACAGCATTCAATGATGCGTGTCACTCCAACATCATCTTCCAAGTCAACTGTAGACTGTACCAGAAACGTTCAATGTCAGACTTGCCTCTTTTCTCTCCTTGCAGGCGCTGTTCACCATTAACTTCCCTTCATCCGTCCCGCTGATCCGGCTGTCATATGCCTCTACCTGTGGCCAATCGAAATGGCTGAATATAAAGAGGATGAATTAGACATGTGGCACACTCGATCAGGTTTAATGTACCGAGTTCTCTGAATCTGGCGATGACTATGTGAATTGCAGTTCACCAATTGCAACTAGAAATAGAGAGTAACGTCAAGAAACCCAACTCCGCGCCTCGCTGTAGACGAAGACACTAAAAGAGAAAAGAAAGTATACGCCCAAGATCAATCAACACATAGTAGCTCCCCAAAAGATCCATCCCAAACAATATCTAGGAAATACAGTAGAAGATATCCGATCTCATGGAAGACCCTCAAGAGACCGTCTGAACCGGCGCAGACGCTTCTGGCTTATCCATTGCCCTATTTTGGCGCCGCGGCACTTGAATGCCGCTACGAAGCTGGTCCAGCTTGATCACTCCTGGCCCAGTGCAAATGCGTCCCGACTGCATCAGATTGCGCAATCGCTTTCGTCGAGCCTCGCCGCCGCGTTCCTCGCCGCGACCAACACCCTCATCAACCCACTCCACGCGGAGCACTTTAAAGCTCATGCCGTCGTGGTTGCCATCCCAGGAACGAGACTTCAGTCCGAAGAGGACGCTGGATTCATATCGTTCCAGCTTCGGCAGAATCAGGAGTGTGATATGGAGATCCTTGTCTGTTGGAGGGATGGGCGGAATCCGTGGTCGGTCTCCTGTCAGGCCCATATCCTCCGCCGTCTTGGGCGCGTGCTGATATGCGTCACGAATCTCGAGGTCAAGCATATCCACGTCAATCTCCTCACCCCAAGCACCGCGGAAGAATCCAGAATGTATGGCTGCCGCCACCGGGTCCGTATCATCCGTATAGATTCCAGTACCCCAGAGGGCTCGCCGCGCGCATATTTCCTCGCGGCGGCCCGCGTCGATACGAAATCGAGGTACACGTACGGTAAACGTGCAGTTTTCCTTGCCTTCGAATCGGGGAATCGGGAGCGGAGTGGTGGAGTAGCCGAATTTGGCGCTCTCCAAGGTAGCTTTCGCTGAAGGAATATCAATACGTGGAGTATACAGGGTGGACCCAAGATGATGCCGCCGAAGATGGGCTACACTGGAGACAACAGGTTCAACCGTAACCACAGTGCGAGGTTCACGCATCGGTGACATAGCTGCGGAGTTCGCCGTTGAGGCTGTCGGACGAGAGGCATGGTGGTGATGGTGATGGTGGTGGTGATGGTGATGCCCCATCGGCATTCCGGACGCTGTGGCTTCCGCTGGTGTGGATGTGCGGTGGAAGAAATTCATCGAGGACACAGGCCGATGGGACGCACTCGAAGCGGCAACATTATCTTCTTCAGGCTTGAGGCGGTGGTGATGATGGCTTGGGAATGTTAGATTATATGAACAGGTAGAGATATAACCATGAGACGAGAAGGAATTATCACTTACTGATGATGGTGGTGATGAACATGACGACCGCGCCTGCTGATTGCAGACCCACCGAGTCGATCTGTACCAGGCTCACTATCTGCCTTGCTGTCCTCATCTCGTGATTTTCGAGAACGCTTGCCCGTAGTGGATGCAGGCCGGTTGGTCTTAGAATCATCCAGTGTCGCCTCGCTGTTGGTTGAACGACCGGCAACGCTATCGCGCTTGAAGGGACTGACGGTCATCGGTGTGGAGGGCCCACTACCTGCAGTAGCGGCTGTGACGCCACCAACACCACTTCCAATACCCGAGAAAACGCGGCCTAATTCACTCTTGATGCCAGCTTCGCCGGCCGGGCCAAGGATCTGAGCCTGCGCTCCTTGGACAGCTTGAGGTAAAGGCGACGCACGTCCTCCGCGTTTAGCGTCAAGGCCGACGCCGAGCAGATTTCGATGATGTAGCAGCTCGTCACTCCCCTTTCGGCGCTGATCGTCGGAAGAGGCAGAGTGGGCCAGAGACGACGGTCCTCCTGACGGTGCCGAGCCGAACAGTCGTGGTTCCGTCTGGAGCTTGTTTAGGTAGGATTGCTGTTCATTCGATGGGGCCGGCTGGTTCTGACGGGGTTGCATGGACAAAGATGGCTGCCGCGATCCCCCTGGCTGTAATCCGAGAGACTTGGTATAGCTCTGAATGGCGCCGAAGCCGAATGCGGAGCCTTGCTCTGGAGCTGGGAAGCGCTTGGTTTCCGGCGAGGGTGGTAGGGAGCGACTGAGATCCCAGGCAGATGCACCAGAATGGCGAGTTCCCGCGGCGTCGCGATCGCCGTAATGAGGACCATATCGAGACTGAGCATGAGAGGCTTTCGATTCAGCTTCATGAGCCGCTGCCCGCTCCCTGTCGCGATGCGCTTGCTCCTCCGCGAGCCGATCAGCATACAAGTTCCCATACCGGCTGTGCTGCGATTCGGATCCCACGTAAGACGTTGCGCGCTGATGTCCAGAACCTAGCGAATGGTCTCCAGCTCCCGGCGCGGGCGCTGGTCGCGACAGAGGACTATAACCTGCCGATCGCGTCGAGCGCTCAAGATGTTGCGGCTGGCTGTTTGGACGAGGGACCGGTCCGTTGAAGCTCAAGCGGCGCGATTCATGGTAGGACGGCTCTGTGGATGCAGACTGCAATTGAGGCGACGCGTGGGAAGAGCTAGGCTTGTCTGGAAACTGTGTCGGAGGTTGGCCGCGCGATAGGCCCGCAAACCTGGCTTGTTCGGGGCCTGGCGGACCTTGCGATACACTACCAGCGCCTGCTCTGTAAGGACGGCCGGGTTGGTTCTTGGAGAAAGATTTTTCGGGCGTCTTTGACCGACGGAACATTGGGTAATCGAGCGTTGAGGGCCTGGCTGGAGCAGTAGGTGGTGACATTGCGCTTGGGGCGGACGGTGGAGGTGCACTGCCATATGGGCCGGAGGATACAGGAGCACGAGAGTAGATTGAAGCCGAGCCTACATCCCGGGCCGGTCGGTCAGCGTCCGAGCCAAGCATGGAAGATATCGACATGCTGCTCCCAGGACGATGATGAGCCAGGTTGTTGGGAGGCTCACGAGACATGAAAGCAGCAGGCAGCGATGAATTTCCTGACTGGCCCCGTGATGCATAGTGTTGTGGTGGAGAAGGGGGTGGCATTCGGCGGGTTCCTAAGGCACTAGACGCGGACGACTGGTCTTGCGGACCTGTTCAGGCGCAATCACTCTTTGTTAGCAAAGCGCGTAATCATAAGGGATATAAACACATGGTGTGATGAGCGAAAGACTGAAAAGGTATGCATGTAAACGATAAAAAATAAAAAGCAATGATGAGACTTGATCCATCGCAGGCTGTCTTGCACAAGAGCCTCAACGGCGGACGCACCAGAAAACCCGGGACTGCTGCTGCTGCCCAAAGACCTCCGACGACCCTGATCGTGCGACCGGGGAGGATTCATGTCGCACGCAGAGGAAAAGGTAGACAACGAAAATAAAGTAAGATGCACGTAATGAATAGATAATGAAATCAAATCAGGGATATGATGACGCCCGATCTAGGGGTTTGAGAAGAAAGGGAGTATTGGGGGACTGGGGATAGCCGATGGGACAATGATGGAAGTTCCATAATCACAAAAGGCACTGGGGCGGATGAACCCGTGACTCTGGGCCTGGACGGTAGCTCGACTAGCGCTAATCCAGGTCAGGCAAGGGGGTCCTGAACAAGGAGGCTATTCCATACAAGGACTAGCGCTCCCGTGCCGAGCTGTAGTCGATCAGGCGCCAGCCGCGCCACAGACGCGACGGATGCAGGACTTCTGATTGGCTGACGATGTAGTACTGCCTGACAGGTAGGTAGGTACAAGGTCGCACCGTACCGGTAGGTAGTCTGGTACAAATCGTTGTCCATAGTGTCAGGAGCTTGTACAATCGCCAGTCATTCAATGCTGACTAGTGGTCGTTATGCCTCAGGTCCAACCTGGACATTTTACGCGACGCGACGTTCACGCCTTGAATGCCCTGCGCATGGCGTCCAGCGCTCCACTGCAGAACAACTTGGGGATAAACTGGGGAAAATCACGGAACCATAAGGGGTAAAAAGAAAAAGAGAAGAAGAAAAAACAAAGTAAATAGCAGAGTCAGAAGCAAAGGAAATAGTATGCCTACCTTCGCGATATATCAGCTGATCATGGCTATTGTTGCGGCTGTGGCTTCGACGGCGACGCTTATTGTGATCCTTCTGCCCATGCTCATTTCTTTTGGGTGGTTCATAGTCCATCTGCGGCACTTGATAGCTGTGATTGTCTACCCGTAGCGCAGCCGACATGTTATATGGTGTTGATGAGGCAGGAGTCGGCGGAGCAGAAGACATGGGTGTGGAGTAGGGGTAGGCCATTGTGTTTGCAGGTTGGCTTGATGGTATTCCGTGCTGCTTCAGCGAATCGTAGTAGACCTGTTGAGGTGGAGGCACGCCGTAGGCTGGAGGCGGCTGCGGAGCGGCACGAGGGTCGTGTGAGGCGCCAAAGAGCGACGGATATTGAGGAGGGCGCTTCTGAAGATCCATCATCATGGGCGAGTGATGATGATCTCAGGTCGATTTATCTGAGGAACGGCAGGATGAGGGTTTAGTGCATTCAAAACTAGGTCGCGTGTGGACGGATTCCTTAGGTATTTGGTGGTGAAAACTGAGAAATGGCGGTGGAAGCTGATGCAAGCCAGAGAGGCGCTGCTGTCTCCTCAGAGAATTTGGACAGAAACTTAACAGAGCTGTGTGTTAAGGGGAATATGCGGTGGGGATATTCAAGATATCAAAAGATCATGGCCCATAAGAATATAACCAGAAGCAGGTATGTAGGCAGATTGACTGCTGATATTGATGTTGTTGTGGTTGTGGTGATGGCAGAAGAAGAAAAAGCCCAGAAAACGGTGAGCGATAAACTTGAGGAAGGGAAAAAGAAAAACAACAGGCATGCGACAGGACCCAAGGATTACAGGGAAGATGGAGCCAGAGACATGGAGCGAGAGCCAATCACACGGGATGCGGCGGAACTGCTAGTCTGGATAAGGGATTATTGAATCTGCACAATAAATACTAAAATGTAAGTGTCTACCAAAAAGAGCGGACGAATCTGAATCAATAAGATGGGGCCGTCATGGCAGCGGGGAAAAGTGGAGTACTACTCCGTACTTACATAGTAAATGAAGATGAATGAATGTCTCCTACATATCCTACAATAATATACAGAGGTAAACATCCTGTAGTATCCGGTGGTGACTATACTACGCTGGTGATCTACCAGATCAATCTTCTACAGCCCAAAATCCCGATATGCCATTCCTATGGCCACATTGACATAAGTTTTCGCCTCATCAAGGTAGGTGCAGTTGAATACTGTACAATGTTTTCCTCGTTGGGCGCAGACTCCAACATACTTGGCATGGCATGCAGCAGCAGCCCATCGACGTGTCATGTTGACAGTTTGTATACACCACATCCTACTCACCTTTACATTAAAATCCAGTTCTCGCTGAAATCATTTCTGGTGTTCTGTCTACTGATACGTCTGAGTCGTTGGAGAAAGGAAAGTCAAAAAGAGCATCTACTCGGGTCCTCCGGACTCTAAATCTCTATCCCTTTGTTCCCTAAGTTAAAGGAATACAACGCTGTACTGCACCTAGGATCATCATCTGCGCCAAGGATGCTATACATACACACCGCACATGCATGCATGCCTACTTATCGACATCCTCCTCTCGGCGATGCGTTGATTTTTCAAGTAAGGTTCTTGTATCCCAGCTCTGAACTCTCGATGCGGAGTTGGCCTGCTTCAGCATCCAGTAGAAGATCCTGCGCTGTCTGATATGGTTTCGTAGACAGAACTGTAAATTCCGATCAAGGGCCCTTGCATGATTGCCAAAAAGGGGAAATATATAGCTACTAATTAACTTAGAAGAGAAGCCTGCACACATTTCCTTTTTGAGAGGTTGGTGTTACACTGAGCCTTTTGCGTTATACGTTCGAAAGAAGCAAGGAGTTACATACTCATCTGCCTCAGGTTCTTAAGGCGCGATTCTTCACTGGGGGTGAATTGAGTTTCTGCATGACAATATGCTTTTGGACTGTGCAGACAATCACTCCTACATGGAAATTTTAATCTGGTAATCCAGGTACTCTACTGCTACCTTCACCGTCCTCCAAGGACGACTCTCTCCACGGTCGCTCGCAATCATTCTGGTCATTCTCAATCAAATCGACCCCTTCCTGAGCTAGTACTCGCAAGATCAACCTGCGTATTCGTTGCGGATGGCACTTGATGCCAGTATACCGGGCCAGCAGTCCATGCTGATGGGCAGCACGCACTTGGGCCCGAATGAGCTCAACCTGCTCTTTGGAGAATCGGCCCCGACGTGGGAGGCCGACAGATGCTTGGAAATCGGCAGTTGCCATGACGGTCCTTGCTGTCGAGTTTCTTGCCAGAAAGGTTTTTGTACCATGAGTTGCGGCTTGGTTGTCGCCATCGGTTTCCTCACCACCTTCTGTTCGATGCGCTCTAGTCAACGACTCCAGCGAGGTGTCGAAGAAGATGACGTCTGACTCGGTCAGGTTGGTTCGATCCAGGTAAGATAGAGTTTTGCTTGAAATCACGACGGTGACAGGTCTCACAAGTAGTCGCGTCCCGTTCATGTATGATAGGTACCTCTCTGTCCTCAATTTTTCCAACAGTGACGTTAGATCCAGCCACGCTGCTTCAACAGGAGATCGTAGCTCAAGGAGAAGGACTGAGGAGCGCTCAGCTTCCTGGTCGAAGAGCCCCAAAGGGCCCGCTTCAGCGGAGCGAACAAGCGAATCCAAATGGGAATCCATAGTGCCCAGCTCCTCTAGCATTGATTTGAAGTATGCACCGCTTAGCACTTCCAAAGCGCTGACTGCTGTCATTGAGTTGTTCGCCGAAAGACTGCCATTCTGCATCCAAATATCCACCTTGACTCCAATGCACCTGACTGCAGAAGATTCTCCCATCCCATCTCGGACGGCTTGCAAATGATATGCAGCGCATTCTGCATGCCTATGACTAAATCCAAAGCTCCGTCCGTGTTCTGTGAGCTGCGCATGAGGTAGCAAATGTATGGGCCCAAGAGGCATTATAGATAATTGTATCACAGCCCTGTTTCAAACAACGTGGTCAGCCCAAGTTTATGACAATACTCTCGGGGAACGAACGTAATCAACAACAACAAACAAACTCCTTTAAACAAGCGCTCTCCCCAATTCTTCCTTGCCGTCACGTAGCAGTCGTGGACAATCTCGAACAGTCCCGGACAACAACGAGTTGGAGGAGCGCGAAGTGGGTGGTCTTCGAGCAGCGTCCATGAATACCACTCATCGTAAGAAATGTCCACAACAGCCTCTTCGGGTAATTCTAGCCCATAGGGTAGATGGCCGGTAACTGAAGGTGCCATTGGCGAACTCTTTAATCTCGATCAGCAGTAATGCATTGACCGCGACGGTCCGCAATGATCGACGTCACGCTCTTTGGAGATAATGTAGCGGTGAGAAGAACTGATCGGTATTAGATCAAGAAAGACAGCCAAATTGCCCTTGAGAGTCCGAAGTGACACAGACATCGAAAAGCGATCCATGGTCTTGTGCGAGATTGGCGTACGTTGAAACTAAATATGAGGATGAAGATTTGCAGAGAGCACGCAATTGCTGGTCTGGATGGCTCACGGTCTAAAAAGACGGCCAATTTCAAGCGGCGTCGACGTTAGATTGTCGATCCGATGACGAGATAGCAGATGACCCGCATTGTTATCGACTGGCCGCTGGACAACGGAAATCCAGATATGCTTGCGACCTGCTACGACTAGAGCTAAAAGCATTGCTGCGCTGTGCAGCTGCTCTCCTGAAGAGAGTCTGGGCATAGGTGAACCCGAAGTCATAAATATAGTCGAATCAACAAAGTTATTCAGCAGTGAGGTCATAACATTAGCTTTCTATCTATGTGAGTATGGGTCATTAATATAGTCCTATTATCATTACAATTATTCTGTTGGTGGAATCTTCGCCAGGTCCATCATATCAAGCAGCCATTCTGCTTTTGCTGCGAATTCGTGCTCCATAAATATAAAGCAACAGAGGGATAGGGATCATCAATGCTCCCACACATCCAAGCAGTGTGCAGGCCCATTCCACACCTAATCCATCAAACTGTACCAAACTCAGTCAGTTTCACAATCAGAAAGCTCAAGGTTTTGTGAGTGGTACTGACCATATATGTTGCAAATAGTGGGAAGACGCCTCCCGCGACCGACCGCAGGAACGTGTGTGCAGCAACAGCTGATGCCGCTCTAATGATACTCAGTCAGTCCATGCATCGTCATACTTGGCAATATTGGGAGTACTCACTTCTGAGGACGGGCCTCGACCAGATAAGCAAGCGAGGGAAGAAACATGGTCAACAATCCAAATCCCGTCAGCAGGCCCGACAGAGTCGGCACAATCCAGTGGATGCTCTGCTTGTATCCCGACCATCCCAGCCAGAAGAGCCCCGCAGAGAATGCGACTGCACCTGGAATAGCCACAGGAAGACGCCACTCTGGCATCATCACGCCACCGGTTTGCTTCAGCTTGCGCAGAATCCAGGGCTGGGTCGCTGCGATGCCGACGGCGCCTAGGAGCTGACCGACAATAACCCCCAGGTAGGGCAACCCACCCACACCTGGGTTCATACCATGAATCTTCTGGAAGATAATGGGGTATGCGGTCAGGAAGAGATAAAGCAGACCGTACACGAAAGATGCGAAGACGCACATGCACGTGACGATCGGGTCGAGAACGAGCATCTTCAGTGGCAGGGCGAGGTACTCGGTCAGTATGGACCTAGGATCAAGACGCAGCTCCTCGTGTTTGGCGTGGAGTGACCAGTTGCCAGTTTCGCGGCGCAATCTGTCGGCTTTTTGCGCCAGGATCACGGGCTGGTAGGTCTCCTCGAGGAAGACGACGAGAAGCAGGAGCACGGCCCCTCCTAGAATGCCCGGAATATAGGCCGTCCAGCGCCAGCCCAGCGAGGGGTTCATTACCGTGAAGCCTCCCACAAATGGGGCAGCGAGAGGACCAATGAACACCATCAAGCAGAACATGACCATGGCAATCCCCCGCTGCTGCGGCGAGAACATATCTGCGAACGATGCTCCGGCGAGCGTGAGCGGACCAGAGCCAAAGAATCCAGTGAAATATCGAAGGATGAAGAGGGAAGGGAGGTCCTTGGAGACGGCGGTTGCAAACGAGAATATCGTGAAGCCGAACATTGAGATTACAAGAGGCATGTATCTGCCCTTGACCTCCGAGAAGGGACCAAAGAACAATGGACCGAATGCGAATCCGAAGACGTAGAGTGATATACCGAGGGTGCATACCTCCCGGCTGATACCATATAGTTGCATCACTGAGGGCATGGCGGCGGAGAAGATACTGCTTGCAAAGGCGACGACCATTGTGCTGAGACCCAGTATTGCCGAGATATAGACCCTGATGGCCCATCCATGCGGTCAGTCATCCAATATCCAGAGATCAAAGACGGACTAGACGTACCTTTTCCTCATGGGCCAGTTGAGGGGATTAAGAGGATCATCCGGGCCATCGAAGTCGACATGCTTTTCGTCTGTCATCTCGTTTGCCAGGTGTTCAACAATGTCTGGAATACTGATTGTGAGACTTCAACCGATGTCAATACTAGATATGGTATATTTCGATGCCAAACTATAGAAGCGAGAACGCAGGACACAAACAAGAAGCCCAGCGCCGCAAGCCAGCTTCTTAAACCCCCCTACCCACCGATCACAGAATCCTCTAGCATGCTATATCCAGCCCTATTCTTCATAAAAACCCAGCACAAAAACCATATAGCATGATGCCATCCTGCCAAGAATCTGCACAGGGAAAAAACTCCACCAGGCATAAGGAGGGCCCATTCGGGCGTCTACATATCCCGAGTGGATAACTGGATCGTATATGGTCTATTTCGTCATTGCAAACGGTTTCTGGCCTGTTGATTTTTCATTTTGACTCATCGCTACCAGAGGTGATGGTGTAGTTGATTCCGTCCGCTCGGTTTGCCGAGGCATATTTAGTTATTTCGGGGCGATTATGTCAACTGTTCCGACGGGGAACGCACACATCCACGTTTACATTTAGGTATCACCAGATAGCTACCGCCTCCTGATTTAATAATCGAATTAAAGATAATGTAAACGAGCAAATGCCGGAAAAGGTCTGCGACGTGGCAGGGCTTGGTTGATTCTTTGTTCATTAGTCAACTGCTAGGGCTGTAGCCACCCTCGCGGTTGAGGAACTTGAGGTACCTCATGTTTGGTTTGTCAATGCTAAATGGCTAGTTCAATGTAACAGGGCGAAAAAAACTGAAAGATGACCCGGCGTGCTACAGCAGAAGCCAGGAATATTCTAGCATGTTGCCCAATCACATGTAGGGTCCATGTTCGTTTCTGCGTTGATGGGATTGCGGATCGCTTGAGATGGGATCATGGTCATATCAGCCCTATCTTATCCACGCAGTACGGAGTGGATAGTCATCACTAAAGGCTGGAAGGCTAGAACTTGCAGAGCTGTAGATAGTCTACAGACTAGAAGTAAGCTGATCGCTCGAGTTGTGCGTTTAACGGTCGGCCCGATTGGACCGGCAAACGGTCTGACGGGCTGACGGATGTATGGACAGCATGCATAAGAGCCAGCTAAATGCAGTAGCAATCTTCGCTGGGCATCAGATGGTTCCGATGGATGAATGCTTGGCCGTACGATATCAGGTATCGTTGCTACGTACTATTATTGTATGTTGGTACTATTGTAGAATTAGGCTGAAATCAGATCCACATTCACATGAAGAACATCGCCTCAATCACATGCCATATCAGATCTTCAGCTTCACATGCTTCACGAAATCGAATTTCTTTCTATTTCTGTTCTAGGGCTGGGTATTTACTCGATAATGCACAACTTCGTCTCGCTCTATACATAAGGCATAATATGTATCGTGTTCCTGTCGCCAATAATATCGTTCTCGTTATCTCAAGGCGTCTGCGCTCCCTCCCCGATTCCCATCAGCCCGCCCGCTAGGCCGTTCATTCTGCGATCCAAAAGATCCTCGTGACTGGGAAGGCTGTGGAGACTTCTTTCTCGTTTGCGAAGACGTACTGGGCTTTCCAGGTTATCGGACATGGTGTCGTCGGAAACAGGCAGAGTGAGCTTCGTCGGGGCGAGACGCCGTCTTCTACCGAGCCCACTGGATGAGTCCTTTCGACCCCTGGATGAACTCCTTTTTCGGATTCCATGCTTCGAGTCAGGTCTGCGATCAGGGGTGCCGGTAGCCTCCCGACGGGGACGATAGGGCTTCTGTGACGGCGGGTCCTCCTTGGATTGCCGAGTCTCGCTTGAGTCCAGATTGCCGTGCGCAGGTGTCAGAGGGGTCATTCTGCCGATGCTCATCTCCAGAGGCCTGTCCTCGTCTGCAGAGGACTCTCCTGTCAAGCTTCGCTTGTGATTTCGGGGACCCGCTTTCCCGTTAGTTTCTAGGGCCAGATTCTTGTTATTAACAGGATTATCGTAGAGCGGCTGCAAAAGGCTGGAAGACGATTTCTTGACCTCAGCCGTGTCAAACAAGTTCTGGATCCACGTAGCGCATCGGTTGATGTGTTTCCAGCTGTCAGGGAAAAATCCGGCCATCTGAAGGAATCCATGTGACACTCCTGGTAGTAAGGAGACCTCCACGTGGTCCTTTTCATCGAATTCCCGATGGGATCTTTCAAGCCCGAGCTCCTGTCTTTCCCGGAATTGGTGCAATTTGGCCTGGCGCAGTCTGCCTGCGAATATGACCGTGTCATCGACCAGTGGATCCCGTTCCCCTGTGATGAAGTAGGTCTTGGGAAACCTGGTGAGAAGGCTCTCGGGAGCTAAGACAGGCGATAAGAGAAAGTCCGTGCTAAAATCGGGCCGGTTATGAGGTCCAATGTAGAGGATGATCATGGCTCGCATCATCTCTGGTGTCAATATGCGATCATGCACATATGAGATCATGGAGGACACGGCTAAACGAGTCCGGATCTGTTTTGGCTGATGTTCAACAAGTGCAGCTGTCTGAGATGCCAAACTATCTTGGTTCAATTTCTCGGCAATTCTCTTCGAAGTCTTCTCTCCCAGGTCATCCCCCTCCAAGTCCGCATCAGACAAGAACTCCTGTCTCAGTTCTTCCGTAGATGGTCCAGGCGATGCAAATGGTGTCAGCCTCTGATAGTCCATATTCTTTCTCTGCAAAACGTTCTTATTCATCCGGCGAACGCTCTTATCCTGGATCAACGACATCTGCTCCTCCGTCATCCAGCTCTCAACTCGCATGTTTAAGGAGGGATATGCCAGTACCAGACCATCTGGGCGTGGCATCACATCCTCAGTCCCTGACTGCAGAATCATCAGGACCGTCCCGACAGCTAGGTTTCCGCCAGCACTATCCCCAGTAACCACTATACGTGGCCGCGTATCTCCACTCAGTCCCAGGCAACGGCCGCGCGTGGTGATGATCATGTGGTAGACATCATAGCATTCGTTCAAAGCGTACGGGTACGGATACTCGGGTGCCTTCTTGTAGTCTAGACTCAATATCGGCATTTTGGTCTTCCCTGCCCAGGCGACGAGTCGATCTTCCGAGTTGCGCGGGTTCATGGCAACATAACCACCGCCTGGAATATCCAGAATTACACATGTCTGATCTTTCAGCGCGCTTAGCGGTCCGTCAAAATACAGCCATGCATTCGTCGGCTCGGTGTAAATAGATTGTTTAGGGCGAGGGATGCGGATGGCTCGAGGGCCATAACTCGTCAACCGGGGTCGGACTAACTTCTGAAGTGCCCAAAGGTATGGAGTCGTTCCCTTGTTCCACGATACTCGCAGATGTTCCACGGTTAGGGTTGCGCGGACACGGCGCACCATATCGTCGGCTTGCTCTGCCGCGAAAAGATAGTAGACTGTGAATACCAAGGATGCGATATCCCGTAGCCACTTGGGTTTGATCCTCATTGCAGTCCAAAAGCCAGCGTCGAGTGCCGTGGTGACCCATGTTGCGCGGAAAAACGACCGAGAGTAGAGGTTCGCCAGGGGTTCTGGGCTTTCTAGACCAACAATCTTGGCGAAATTGCGGCAGATATAGAGCCATAGAAACACAGCTACGGTGGTTTGCCAGACGGTCAATTTGCCCGACAGGCGGGAAGAGATATTGCGAGCGATCGGAGGGCCATGCTTGCTTCCCCTACGTGGTATGCTTAGCAGACTTTCCTCCTTTCGGTTCCAACAGCGTACGACTTACTTGAACAGATAGGTAGACCAGAATAGGACTACTCCAAAAACTTGGATCTTTCGGAATTTGGTGGAGGGTCTCCCTAGAACGTGATCTATTGTCTATCAGTTGTCTGCTTTGACAGAGCTCTCGGAGCGTTCATACCTATCATCTCTGTAAAGCTTCCAGAAAAGCCACAGCTCGATTATTCCCCTGACTCAGATCGACGTTATCGCACATGCAAGAACCAATATCACACTTCAAGTTCATAGAGTCAGTTGGCGAGGAAAAGAGGAAGGGAGAGCCAGAAGGGTGACGAAAGCGAAATACAGCTTCCTGATCGTCCTATAAGATAAATAAAGAAACAAAGCGTCTCTCTGAACCTGCCATCCTAAAAATTAGGTAGGCAAAGAAGTGTGGAGACCCCGGGATCATGTTGCTAAACGGGGTATTGCAGAGACTAGGATCTCTAAATGCCACATGAGGAGAGTGGGGCAGTGACGCGACAAACAATTATTGCAAACAGCAGGAATTGAAAGAATCTCCGGCATCCAGCAGTCTGGCGCTGACGATGTTTGTTGCTGGTGGTCCATTTGGAGGATAGTGGATGGGCTGGCGCAATAATGATCAGTAGGCAGGCTGCTTAGAGTGATGATGAATGGTGGACGAGGCCGTGACTGGGGCGGAGCATGTGAAAGTCTCCACAAGGATTATCCGGAGATGCTGGAACAACAGGGACTACCAAATCATAGGGGGACTGTTAGGTGCTCGTCAATGGGTCAACGGGTCAACGGGTCAAGGTCATTTTCAATGTGGTGGATTAAAGAGAGAACCCATGGTTGTCTGAGAGTTGGTTGTGGGTTGTGGAATGTGGATGGCCATCACATGTCAAACCCTCCACAACCCGTGACGCTATCGGTTGATGCGGTCTAAGTCAGATAGGCAAAGTTGCAAGGCATCCTGGGCAAATAATATAGTGTCTATTATATTCCGAGCCATTCGTCATCATTCATGCATGATGCTTCTATATTCTCCGGCAGTAGTCCCGCCCATGTGTGACTTGCCAGTCACAAAGCCAGACTTCGAAGACCATACTGACGAAGCCAGCTATGCAGATACCTGCTGCATCGCTGACTGTTGTCGCTCCTAGGGAGAATTCGCGCTCTTCCTTTGGCACACGATCACCGATTTCGGCGAATGTGTTGACATAGACCAAACCGCCCAATAATCCCTCCCAGAAGATGATTGCAAAAATGATATACACACTGGGGATGAAGTTGAAAACGGCATGAAGGGTCAATAGTACCAAGTTCAGAATCTGCAGGAAAGACGGGAGGTAGAGGTCATGGATACGGAAAAAGGGCGTGGAGGATCGAGAGATAAAAACCCCGACCTGGTAGATCGCATTGTATGCTGGATAGAAGGCACGGAAATGCGCAAAAGGCGATTCGTCAAGCGGGAAGAGCAGTGTCGGAGACACTCCTTGGTTTATCGTATACTCCGCGACGTAGACCAGAAGTAGGGGAAGCATACTAACGTTTTGAATGTCAGTGTGGCACCAATCATCGCCACTCAAATTTTCTACTTACAATGGAAAGAAAAGACCCTGGACACGTTTCAAGTCCGCCTTGAAACGCTGCCAACCGACTTTTTCGCTCCGATTGGAAACATTCGAAGCTCCCAGAAGTCGTTCCCCCTCGTCGAAAATCACGTCACGGTCGCCCTCCATGAATTCGCGTTCCTCCGCGAGCTCTTCTCTTTCCTCGACGGCACGGTAGCCAGAGTATGCACCGGAAAGAGGCTGCAGAGGAGACCTTGGCAGGACCATGAAAAAGCTGACGACCATGACCGCCGGCAGACATGAAGATGCCAACAGAGTGGCCTTCACACTGAGACCCAACGAGGTAGTGGCTAGGGCGTATGCGCCAGCTCCAACCAGACCAGCCGCTCCTGTTCCACTTCCCCAGGCAGCCAGACTAAAAGGGCCATAGAAATGTGTCAATCCAACGAAGCTGAGCTCTCCACCTCCGCTGGACAAGCTAGCCAGCACAATACCAGCCAGTTTAGTGGCTATCGTCCCGCCATCGGTATACGGAGGGCTCAGCGCAACTAGGAGCATGCCGGTGGCAGAGAGGAACACGAATATGATGATCCGCACGGGGTAGGGCACCATATGAATGAAGTACGGGGCGATGAGTTTCGTTGCGAACGAGGGTATCACGTCCGCTAGAAGGACAACTCCCTTGGGAACACTGGGCCCGACCAGATCGAGTGCGGCAGACAGGATAACAACATACAAGACATTATTGATTAGGCCTATAATGGTCAGGCAAGGCGCAAAATTGTTAGCATTAAGTGACGTTTCAATCTGTGGGACCGCCTCGGTTTGCATTGACTAACCAAAGAGCCAAAAGGCGACGCAGACGCGAGGATCCGCGCCGCTGAATAAGGCACGGAATCGCTGGCAGAACTGGGCCCATGATGAGGATGGAGCACCAGGAAGAGGCAGCATAGGTTGTTCTTCCTCTGTATCGGCAGCAGCAGGCATAACCAAGTGAACGGAGGGACGTAGGTTAGTATGTTACAAGGCGATAGATAATTCTATGAGACACCATATACATCCATCACTCTGAATGTACAGAAGCAAGGCGGCACAGTTTTCCGATCGCATCAATCAGGATATTGCCAATCGCTCGTTTTTGACAACTGGTGAAGGCCGTAAGGTCGATGCGGTCATGGTCATGATAAGAATGGCAACTGGTCTCGTGACCATTACCTTGGTGCCTTATTGCCTGAGAAACACCAGGTATCACTAGGTAGTCATAGTCATGGGATAATTCTCTTCCAAATGGATCGAGTGCTTTAGCTGATGCTCGCGAAAATTATGCTTGCTTTTGTCTATCTATCTGAGAAAATAAACATGAAACCATTAAACTTGGCTGCAATGAAACAAAAAAAGATTCTGTCTATGGGCAGAATAGTGGTATATCGAAAGTAAAATCAACCTCAACTACTCAGCAATTACCTATGCGTTTGTGAAAACAGCATCAAATGTCTGCTCCAAGATCTTCAGAGACGTTTTGATCTGCTCCTCGGTAATGGTCAGAGGAGGGACGAAGCGAAGACATCCTTCACCAGCAGTAATGATCAGCAGTCCTCGCTCACGAGCTGCGGTGATCAGATCCGACGCCTTGGCTGTGTGCATCTTGGACAGCTGAACGCCCAAGATCAAACCACGACCGCGAATCTCAGAGATAGCATCGGGATACTTCTTCTGAAGGCTCTGGAATCCAGACACGAACAAGGAGGACTTGGCTTCCACAGACTTTTGCAACTCCGGCGAGGCGAGGCGCTCAACGATGTGATGAGCGACTCGGCACGCAAGCGGGTTGCCTCCAAAAGTAGTACCATGATCACCTGTCTTAATGTGCTCCGCAACAGTCTTGCCGGATACTATGGTAGCGCCAATGGGGATACCATTACCGAGAGCCTTGGCCGTGGTCAGGATATCAGGGTGGGCGGCTTCGCCTGATGCAGGCTTCAGGGAGGGGTGAGCATGAGCCCAGAATGAGCCGGTCCGAGATAGACCACATTGGATTTCATCAAAGATGAGGACAGCTCCAACCTCATCACACCGCTTGCGAAGAGCCGCGAGGAACTCAGGAGTTGCGGTATTGACACCGCCTTCTCCTTGGATGGGCTCCACTATAACACCACAGGTCTTGTCCGTGATGAGCTCCTGGAGTTGCTCGATGTCATTGTAGTTGCCGTACTTGAAGCCGGGCACCATAGGTGAGAAAGGAGTCTGATACTTGGGATTGGGTGTAGCGGAGAGGGCTCCCATCGTGCGGCCGTGGAAAGAGTTGTGGAAGGAGACGAATTCGTGCTTGGCTCCGGAAGGGTCAAGAGACCGACCAACCTTACGAGCGAACTTTATGGCAGCCTCGTTCGCCTCGGTTCCGGAGTTAGAGATGAAGACTTGCGAAGCGTCGCGCATTGCGCCGGATTCGTGTGTCAATGCAATCAGCAGTTTGCTAAGGGCACCAGTCCAAGCATTATGGTAGAGGTTTGAGGCATGGATGAGTGTCTCGGCCTACAGAGCAGGGCATACATCAGTTACAAGGCCTTAGTGGTCAAACAACCCCAGTATACGCACCTGTTCTGCGATAATCTTTGCGATCTCCGGATCACAATGGCCGAGAGAGTTGACGGCAATACCAGCGGTGAGATCGAGATACCGCCTGTTCTCCATATCCCAAACATAACATCCTTGTCCCTTGATCATTACGGGAGTCGGTCGCACGTATGTAGGCACCATATACGGGGTGCGCTCCCTGATGAAAGCCGCTGTCGCAGAATCCGTCGCAGGATCTGGGTTAGGCAAAACTGCCTCTTTCTGTGAAGATCGCCGTTATTAGAACGAACATGAATCCGATTTCATATGACCTACAGTCACCTGAGTCTTCACATCTTGAGGAGCATTGGATGTTTGTGTTCCTGCCGCTGCAGAAGCGAATCGTCGCTGTACCGATGACTGAAACCCAGGAACCAGTCGCTTTGTGAGCGGTAGCCGCCGCGAAGCCACACGCATGAAAGTCATTGCGAGTAGCAGTGACACTAGAAGATTGAGAATAAAAGACGACTGAAGCAATTGACTCAGGAAAGGGCTAAATAGATAGGAATCAGAGAAGGAGAGTCAGAGTCATAAAGTTGACAACTGAGACTGTGACTGTGATGGGCCAAGAAAAATGCCGCGATATCGGGCGGGCCGCTTATCGGGCAAAACTTACGCAGTAGAAATGACTCGATGCCATCTCCGCCACTCCGCATTTCCACTTGTCCCACATATCCTTACATCTTGTCTGACACAACTTGAATCTCTCCAACAAGAAACATCATGGCGCTTTTCTTCGTACCTCGCCGGGTATTCGTACCCTCCAGCTCTAGTCTCAGAATCCCATCCCGATCCTTCTCATGTTACTCCGTTCTCCGGAACGACAAGCCGGCTTTCGCCTTCGGCCGCGGCCCAGCTCCTCCAAGACTACCGAAGGAAGAGCAAGAGCTCTTTGAAGAGCTCCAAAGACGATCGACCGGCGCATTTAGTACGCCTCGAGCCCCTCCCAAAATCAACCAGTCACCACATTCCCAACCTGCCGCTGAAGAAAAGCCTGAGTTTAAGGCCATGGGCAAAGGAGAGGAACTTCATCCGGATCTGCGGGGAGGTCTCAAGCCTGAGTTTGAGGGTGAGAAGAATCCCAAGACTGGAGAAGTGGGGGACCCAAGAACGAGCCACTACGATGGGGGGCGGAGGGCGACTGGAGCTACGGTGGTCGTGTCACAGATTTCTGATTGTGCACCCGGATGATCCTACGTCCTACCGTTGCGACATTGCTATCCTGGTGAGGCTTTGCATATTGCATCATTTAGCGTCTTGCATACTGGCTTCTTGATGGACTTGATCAGTGAAGAGAAATACTGATCGCCCTTTCAATTGTACTATATATGCGTGGAAAGAATGTATGATCAAGAGAACTATATTAACTGTATATGACATGATGAATTACTCATTTAGAGACTCCTTGACGCCACTCGAAATATAAATGGTTATCAAACAGACTTACGTTCACTGGTCTGAATTCTCGCAAGTATTGCCTTTCCCGCCCTGCTCTCATTGAACCGGCCCAGCTCGCTGCTGATCCACGAGCCAATCTTGGACATTTCTTCCAAGTTGATACCAGTATGCATGCCAAGTCCATGCAGCGTGTGGATCAAGTCTTCGGTTGATACATTACCAGTAGCACCCTTAGAATACGGGCAGCCACCGAGACCCCCGACACTACTGTCGAATATCCGAATGCCGTGTTCCAGCCCGACTATGGTGTTCACAAGGGCTTGGCCGTACGTGTCGTGGAAATGAAGTGCTAGGTCTGTGTTTGCTATGCCGGCTGCCTTGAGTGCTTGCAGAAGCTCAAGTGTCCGTGGCGCAGTTCCCATGCCGGTGGTGTCCGCAACCGACACTTCATCAGCGCCCATTTCAAGAAGAGTGGCCGTGATGTCCGCGACTTTGGAAGGGGGAACATCGGGACCTTCGTATGGGCAGCCCAAAGCCACAGAGACATATCCTCTAACCCTGATATCTTTCGTCTTGGCCAAGGCTACGATGGGACGGATCCGTTCGAGCGACTCTGCAATGGTACAATTGGTGTTGGCTTTGGAAAATGCCTCCGTTGCTGCGGCGAAGAGTGAAATTTCAGTAGTTGTTGGAGGCTTGGTCGCTGAGCCTGGTGTCTCTGCTGTAGAACCCGTCGCATCCATAACCTTGATGAGACTCTCAAGCCCCTTGACGTTCGGTACCAGGTAATTATAAGCAATAGCATGCTGCGACTGGGGTGGTGACTGGAGCAGATGTTCGCAGATTTCTGCAGTGCTAGCCATCTAATAGGACCAGAATTAGTCAGTCACAAAACTTGATACAACTACTTCAAACAAATCCGCGGATAATCATGAGAAGTATACCTGTGGCACCCATTTCGCAGGTACGAAAGATCCCGCTTCGATGGTCGTCACGCCCGTCTTCGCCAACTTCTCGATGAGCTGTAGCTTCGTCTCAAGCGGTATGGATTTCTTTTCGTTCTGTAGACCATCTCGTGGGCCTACTTCGACAATGCGAACGTGGTCCGAGGTTAGCCGCGCCTCTGTCGCAAAGCGTCGAGCAGGTGGAGCAGCTCGAAGTGCAGAGAAGAGCCTCAATCTCGGTCGGAAAGCCATGATCCAAGGGAATACAATATAAACAAAAGACAACGTCAGTCGAAGAACTGATCGGGAATGCACGAGCAGGCTTAAGAGAGGAATGAGCAGCTGCCATTGCCTCCAGACGCTTTATCGAGCCGAGAATGCGGAGAAACGCCGCTTGGTTACACTCGGCGACCCCACCTGATCCATCCGCCACCATCAACATTTGTGGTCCGTCTTAGTCAGAATAGGAAAAGAAAATCAGACCATCCCACTTTGAAACGAGCAGAATCAACAGTCCATCATGACAGAGCCATTGATGTCTTCTGCTGCTCCAGAAACGAAGATGGAAGAGACTGCATCGTCTAGCAATCTTCGGCAACCCAAGAAGAGGTTTGTTGGAAGGCGTACAGCAGATGCGCAAGCACAGAAAGAGGCCTCGTCAAGTTCTAAAGATGTCGAGTCTACAAGCATTCAACGAGGTGAGTGGCCGGTCTTCTGTTTCTGTGATTCGCACTTCCAAACATAGACTGATGATGCTTTCTGACAGCCGCACCTCGAAGGAACCCAAGAACACTGAATCAAGTCCCGCCCGAGATCCTGGAAGATCCTGAAATCCGGGCCGCGATTGAACTTCTGCCCAAGAATTACTCGTTCGAGATTCCCAAGACGATCCATCGGATACGGACATCGGGCGCCAAACGTATCGCTCTGCAGTTTCCAGAGGGTCTACTCATATTCGCTACCACAATATCCGATATCCTGACGCAGTTTTGCCCGGGGACGGAGACTTTGATAATGGGCGATGTCACATACGGCGCCTGCTGTATCGACGACTATACCGCTCGTGCGCTAGGATGCGATCTGCTGGTCCACTATGCGCACAGCTGCCTGATCCCCGTTGACGTGACCCAGATCAAAACGCTGTACATCTTCGTCGACATCAGCATCGACACCTCTCACCTGATTGCTACGTTAGAACGCAACTTCCAGCCCGGAAAGACAATCGCAACCGTAGGCACGATCCAATTTAACGCAACGCTTCACGGCCTCAAGCCTGTGCTCGAACGCGCCGGATTCAAAGTCGTCATCCCGCAAATCGCACCGCTGTCCAAAGGCGAGATCCTAGGCTGTACCTCGCCGCAACTCTCCCCCACCGAGATCGATATCCTCCTCTACCTCGGCGACGGCCGCTTCCACCTCGAGTCCGCAATGATCCACAACCCTACCATCCCCGCATACCGCTACGACCCGTACTCCCGTACTCTCTCCCGCGAGACATACTCCCACGACGAGATGCACACCCTCCGCCGAGACGCCATCAACACCGCCAAATCGGCCAAAAAATGGGGCATCATCCTAGGCTCGCTCGGCCGGCAAGGGAACCCGAATACCATGGCCATGATCGAGAACCACCTCAACGAGCGCGGTATCCCCTTCGTCAACTTGCTGCTGAGCGAGATTTTTCCCGGAAAGCTGGCGTCCATGTCGGACGTCGAATGCTGGGTGCAGATCGCTTGCCCCAGGTTGAGTATCGATTGGGGCTATGCGTTCCCGCGACCGCTTCTGACCCCCTATGAGGCTTTGATTGCGTTGGGCGTGAGGGAGCACTGGGATAGCGCGAACAAGGGTGTATACCCGATGGACTTCTATGCTAAAGAGGGATTAGGGAGAACAAAGCCTCAGCAAGCTTTGCAGGGGGCTGCTTGATAGTCACTTTCCGTCCATGATTGAAAGGCATGAAAGAAAAAAGAGGTTACGATATTCCAAAAGATGATGGTCATGAGAAACAAGAAATAAGGACGGAAATCTTCTGCCAAACGCCGAGAACATCTTAACAATAGTGCTTGGTGAAATCGTTCGTATTTCCCTTAGATTCATTTCATGATGCCTGTGGCTGGCTTGTAACAGCGCTCTGGCACAGATGTTCTACACATACAAGATGGCCTTCTGGAATTCGAAGGCAGATCCCTTCCCGCTAATCATACATTTCATCCAATAACTTTCAATCCATTCCAACAGCACGTCATGGCCCCTTGACTTCATCTGCGCTATCCGTGTTCAAATCGCTAGTGCTACCTCTTCGGAGGGATAAGATGCTCTTGCTCGCTAGTTCGTCAGCAGTGCGTTCCGCCGCCCGCCATCTCGTCACCGCTTGCTCGACATCTTCGAACATCTCCAAAGTGTCTTTGATGATTCCTCCTTCATCCGGCTCGGGGACTTGCGTGCTTTCTCGTGACCCACTATCACTGATCATTGGGAAGGCAGGTCCGAACCCACGTTGCGGAATGGGATTGAACATGACGGCGTTAGCGAACATGCGAATCAGTTCTTTCTCCAGCTGTGCCGAGTTGACGATTGCCTTGGGAGGAATCACGTCTTCAGTCTTTGGCAGCATTAGAACAGCGTTCTTGGACGTCGTGCCTGCATTGGGAGCCGGGGACTCTCCATCTGCAGCGGGCGTGCTGGCGGCTTCCGTAGCTGCAGCTACAGCTCTACTGCCTTGATGAATGGACGACTTGATGGATTTCAAATCTTGCGGTCGATATATGAGATCTCTATACCCAGGTGCATCTCGTTCAGCCAGCGGCTTCGCAAATATTGAGGCATGCTTATGCATGGTCACATCGTTCATGATAGGTGCCCCGGTTCTGGGAAAGTTACGAGGACACAACACGAACGATGCGGACTGTGTCGATTCCGGCCGGATAGGCTCAGTTGGTACTGGCTCTGGCTCTGGAGCGTCACTGATGCCGCGCTTGCGTTTCGGCCTCCCTCTCCCTGGACGTTCTTCGGTCTGAGGCAAAGCGGTAGCGCCTTTTCGGGCTCCACTGGCACGACCCTCCAATTCAGATGGCTCTGGGATATTAGCCGGTGTACCTGGCAACTCATGCTTGATCTTTCCAATAGGCCCGTTTCCGGCCTCGGCGACGGATTCCTCATCGCGAGATACTACGGACCTTCCCCGGCTTCTTGAGGAGGTTGTGCTTCGATCCCGTTTCTTCCCAGCAGCGGACCCTGTGGCTTTTTCTACTTTGGGTTTCAGCCGCCCTTTAGGTTCCACATCTTGCGGCAGGCTGGGTTCCTGGATTGCTCGCGCCCCCTTTTCTTCAACAGCTCGGCGTTTGTTTCGTCGACCTCCTGTTTCTTCTGGAAGTGGCTCAGAAAACTCAATTGGCGATGGGGCCCTTTCGCTAATAGGGCTGACATCCTCTGGCCGAGGCCGAATCGGTGATCTAGGCGACGGAGGAATGCTAAGGCGAGGTGTCTTCTTCCAAGGTGTAGAAGATCTCGTATCGATGGAGAGTTGAGGGCGATGGACGTTTTGCGCTTCCGAAAATAATCCTTGCGCTGCTCCGACAGGCGTCTGGTAACCCCGAGCATGGCCGTTGACAGCCGTTGATACGATCGGTGCTGAAGCAGGCCCTGGCGTAGAAGGTACAGGCGTTCGGGGAGTAGCTTGAAATGGCTTCTCAGGCTCGGGTCTCGGTGTGTGTTGGAGAGGGATGGCGGATGGTCTTCCCACCATAGCACGCTTATCTGTCTGTTGTTGCGGGTAGGTCAAGGGCGGTGGCTGCGGGGTCTGTGGTGGCTGATGTAAGGACCACTGCTGAATTATTGGCTGGGGTGTGGGAGGTTGAGGTGCTGAGACAGATGTGGCGGCTGAAGCACCCTTCTTGCCTGCAGGTCTGGCTGCTGGAGCTGGTGATGGAGCAGGAACAGGAGTAGGATGGTGAACGTCATGCTGAGCTTGCAAGGGCGCCGCGGTAAAAGTTGGCAAATTGCCCGGGCCCGGAGTTGGGGCAGCGGCGGGTTGCTGCGAATGTACAGCAGGCCCATTCTTCGCCTTTTGCGCCGAAGACACTGTTGGAGGCACGTTGGCTGGTGCTTGTTGAACTGCCGAGGGTGCCTGACCATCAACCGGTTGCGGTTGCTGCTGCACTCGGAGCTGTTCTTGATGCGGTTGAGCTGCCGGTTGAGTCGGTAGCACCTGGGGTTTTTGTATCGCTGCGGCCGCTGTCGACGGCGCGGTCGGTTGCGCTAGCTCTTCTTGCGGTGGAGAGGGTACAATATCCTTGCGCTGCGATTCCTGCTCTATTTGCTTGACCTTGGAATCCAACAGCGGCTGGACTGCAGGTTGGCTGGATTCCTGCCGAAGTTGCTGAGCGGGCCTCTCCTCCTTGACGTCCAAGCCCATGGGCTCCGGCGAAAAGTCTTGTTTTGCTTGTGGTCCTCGTACTGTAGATGCCTGTACAGACGTCGGCGCAGGTGCTGGCTGTGAGGGCTTCTGACGCTCCTCCTTCTGTAGCCTTTCAATTTCATCACTGATCTCTTTATATCTCCTCTCCTCGTTCCGAATCTCTCTAGTCGCGAGTTCCTTGTATCTGGCATATAGATGAGACACTAACTCGGGCAGAAAGCTGGCATGGCTTCTTCCCTTATCAACTAACACCTCCGGACGTGGACTCGCGATCTTACGTTTCAGCGGGTTAGTGGGTTGAGCGCCTTCGGGATGTACATCATTTTGTTCGGGAAGTGAGACGGCTCCGGCGCCATCTAGTCCTTCTCGCATCAAGGTCGTGTACAACTCCTCGAGGGCCTCCGGGCTGAGCCTGTCCGCATTGAATGCGACATTCTCGCGAACGAACGTATTGTTACGTAGGATATCGGAGATGGATGCGAAGTTGATAGGACGGGTGCCCAAGGTGGCGAGAGACTGGAAGAAGAGGAGAGATTCAAAAGGAGTGTAAGCCGACAGAGGAGGCATCCCCCATTGCCCGTTTAGTCGGCCACTGGGGGAGAAGGATTTAGAGATGGGGGCCACGGTGATGGACGATGTCGGCGGTTGGCCCGATGGACCCGGATCCTCGAATCAACCAAACCACAAGAGAACGCGACCACAATTGGTGCGGCTAGCGGTTTAGACCATTAGTGCAGAAAAACGCAGGGAGGAAAATCTTGAAAAGGAGAGGCAGTGTCCAGAACCCGACAAAAAGCGAGCCAGTAAAAATAGGGGGGGAAAATAATGCTTTGGGATTAGGGAAAAATTTAACTTGAAAGGTTGTATTTGATGAAAAGGACAAATTCTTGATGGATTGAGAATTATGGTGATGAACACGTTGCTGGGTGCAGAGGGATGAGCTACTGCTATGACAAGACTGCTCTCTGGTGGTCTCTCTGCTTCCTTCCAGAGAGGGAAAATTTGACAAAGGACCCCGACCGCCCAACAGAGGGGCTAGATCACGTGAGTTAAGTCCACTGATCGACATGCCCGAAACTATTATGTGGTATTCTGGTATGCAATGCTTTAATAATGTAATCACTTTACAGTACGACCTCCTGCACCTGATTCCAGGGGTCCATTCAGACGAAGCACCTTGGCGATGACACTACTTTTATCTTGCAGCATGACGACAAATCGCATGTCATTACTATATATTATCTATATCCATACCATGCGAGGTGTTGTAGGTCCAGCCATTGGCATTAATCAGCCATATTGATCCTAGAAGAATGAGAATCAACGATTAGAGTCACGCATTGGCATGCGATTGAGAATTCAAACTTTCAGTCTTCCCAGGCAGCCATTCAAAGGACCCAGAGGTGCTTTGACCACCGACCGGTGCATTATTACCGACGAGGAAAAAGAACAGGGGCTGGGATACCTATGGAGAACCTTGCCTCAATTACTACTGGAGAATTTGCCTGGGATATCATTGTATGACGTCTGCCACTGGGACTTTCATATGGCGGATGATAGAAATGCTGCGACTTTACATGACTATTACAAAGGTACATACCTTAAAATGACAGTACCCCACATCGTCAGGGGGCTTCTCTCAACTAGGCAACTCATAGAGGCAGCCCAGGTAGCAAGTTCAGAACCCCCTTTCTCGAAGCTCCTTGTCCAAACTGTTGGAAGCCGATAGTGGCATTGCAGTGCGCGCTTCCCAAGTTGGGTAAATGGCTGATAGAGTAACAACAGGGTTCTCGTCTCATTGAACCTGTGGCATCTCCAAACATGAGAAGGTCAGGAAGTATAAACAAAGGCAGAGTTCCTGCAGTGGCGGATGGTGGACACCAAAATGGAGCTTTTAATCTCCCCATAATTTTAGATTCGACGACCTTTTGTATGGAGAAATATCCAATTACTGCAGACACGAAAGAAAAGGAGACAGGAGAAATAACAGTAGACGACCTAACCAGATACTGTAGTGCAACAACTTACTAAGTACTACTGATCAACCTGTACTATCGGTTATTATTTTTCTCATCTTCTTGTTTGTTTCCAGTTCCCTCCCTTTCTCATCAATTCTGCTTTGGTCTTTGGTACTCCTGCTGCGACAGCCGAACACCTGCTTGTTGCGCCTTACAACTCTCCGACCGTGCACTGTCACGCTGATAGCCTCCTCGTCGCTGCTCTTCTGCTCGGTTCGCAGAGCGGTTCCTCCCCTTGTGGTCTATAGGAGTGGCAGCATATCCAGCAATCAGTCCCGTCCGTCCATCAAGCTTTATCATAGATTCTCAGCCGGTCCTGGTCTCATGCTACTATATTAATCTCGCTTTAGTTCTTATTTCTTTTAATTTTACCTTTTTGCCTTATAGACCGAGCACATTAATCCACCCCTTCCCCCTCCTGACGCACGCTCAAACACCCGTCTCCTTAACAGGGACAAAGACAACCAACCGATCTGACGGCGTCTATACTCCTTATCTTTCTCGACCAGATTGTACTTTCGTACCGCGTTCGATCTCAGATAATCGAATACGGTTGACAATAGGGCAAGATGTCGGATATGGAGCAGGAATGGAAACCAAAGGGTCGCCCACAGTCGTTCGTCTTCCCGTTTGCGCCCTCTCCGATATCAAAACGTTGGCGTTGACCAAGACATGGCAGGACCATGGCTCAGGCCTTTTCCTCAACGCTGGATAGCGTCTTCGCACTGGACTCGGATGTGGATCACCTGTCGCAGACTATAGATCAGAAGTAAGTTCTCGTTAGAGGCTTGTTCACTGTACGACGAGATAGTTGGGTTGACCAATGGTCCTGGTACCTCAGGAGATTTCAAATGATTATACAAACGAGAGAGCTGGAGGAACTGCAGGCCAAGATCCGCGAGACCGAGCGACGTCTGAAAGCTCGTCAATCACTCATCGTGGATGGAAGCGGCTCGAGAACCAGCGCAGGCGCACCGAAGGTGGAGAACGAATATCGGACAGCAGGTAAGGAAACTGAATCTGACAGTCTTTTATTGGTATGTGTATGAGTGCCGCTCACAAGGTCTCGTCCGAAACATAGAGTCCTCCGCTTCGACCGCGACATCTCCCACAGATTCAGCGGGGCAGTACTCCAGCAGTGACGAACAGCGAGAGCAAGACCGAAACCGCAACTCGTGATCGATGTTTGCGGCATCAAGACTGGTCTCGTCCAGTTTGTATGGGTAACGAATGCGGTTTCAGTGAAATGAATTTACTCTTTTCTTCACCACCTTTCAAGGGACATGGTTGAGAGCATCAAGTTTGCTGGTGTCTTCTCTCCCCATTCTTATCGTCTTCCAGCGACATGTATCCCGGACCACGGACGATGCCGGAACGTCTTTTGACCAGATTGTCATGAGCTTCTGAAGAGCATCGCAGCCACTGGCATACTTGGTCAAATCTATGCATGTATATGCCGTGCAGCAATCCCCCTCACCTGGAGACTTGTGTTCACTTTGTTGTGGCATACAATGTGTTTATCGTTTACTACCACTTAATCCTAATTTTCGTCATGCTGAGAAGACATCTTTCTTTGCAATCTTAACAGGTGTCGACTTCCAAAATGTCGTTTATTAAACAGACGAGGAGGAAGGAAGAGTGAGTGTCTCAGTTTGATCCTATTTTTAGGGGAATCCTGCATGAGCAGGCGAAGGGTCCGTTGCACTTTTAGATAGAGCATTTTCTCTATGGCGTTCGGTCAGTCTATCATTATTGTCCCAGTAGTTTATATCTGAACTGTTTTTTCTGCAATTCCCGTTCGATTGCCCGATACAGGTGCCGCCGCTTTTTATGAGGGCTGCACGTGAGAGCGCCCTGAGCGCTCCAGGCACTCATCAAACACTCACTGAGCACGCACCAACCATTCTGGCAGCTCCTGGATTCCTCACTGATCCTGTTGACATGCCGCCTGAGTAATCCAGATGTAATGCGGAGCAGCTCACCCATGTAGGAAATAATGCTTTTATGCTCTCTAAACTACATACATCCTAAAGCTAGGGAGATCTACGAGATCTAGCCTCACTTCCAGGAGGGCATCATAAAGGCCATAGGGCATAGTATCTTAGCCTGGACTTTATTCATCATAGTCTCATGACAGAATATAGGGGTAGGCTTAGATGGATCATAAGTAATTAAACCTAATTAAGGATTACGGAGTGTTTCCCTAGCCCCCCATGTTATGAACATATAAAATAATATTTTCCTAAGCTTGCCAATGGGGAAACTTCAACTTTCTAGATCCTCTGTTAATCATACTTCTACTTGCCCTGCCCCTATACTCTGTTGCCACTTTTATCTCTGTTTTAGTCTTCCAGTATGGCTGGCCTTTCCGATGCTAGAAAGGCTGACCGCAAAGAAGAGATAAGAGGACCGCTATTAACTTTGTAAGTAGTAAGGTTATAATCCTAATGCCTATCTAGAGAAGGATGCTTAGAGCTGTAGTAGAGCATCTCTAGGATGAAAGAGGTATACAGGAAATAGGTGCGCATATATAAGGAGTAAGTATCCATGTCTCTGATATTAGAACCACACAAGCTTAAATAATCTTGATAGGTTCCTAGTCAGGTAGAAGGGAATGCCTAAGGACTACATAGTTAGAAAGGAACATCCAGTCTCAACACTTAAGGAGCTCAAGCAACTATTTTAATAGTACATTATGTCTATGAAGGGAAGACTCAACCCCTAAGACAGCCAACCATGAAGACAGCCCTTATCCGAGCCCAGAAGCCCAGGGCCACGCAACAGAGGCATACATCATCAACAGCTTCTGCCGTAGACCAGAAAATGCATAATCCCTTACCAGGAATTGATCCACGGTGCTTAGTGGTTTGACTTGGTCAAGCTGCACTAACAAGGCGTAAGGCGAGGTCTTGCGCCGCGTATATGGGATCCGCTATGCTAAAACATCCGCAAAGGTAAGGAAGGAAAGGAGAGAAATGATTAATAAGGACAATAAATCATGAAACAGGTATTATTTCATGTTAAGTATATCTCTTAGAGTCCTGCCATTGGCTTGCCCTCTTCTGGCCTGGTTATAGACATATACAGATCATGAACAGAACTCCAGACAGCTGCCAGCAATAGAGTACAGACAATCCTTAGTTAGAAAACAGAATAAGCATGCACAAATGATAGACCATATAGGGCAGCCGCCCCTTGCCCTGTTTCACGTAAAGTGAAACCTAAAGTGAGATGTATTAGTTGACTATATATAGTCTTAAGGTAGCGTAAGCTTAATATAATAACTTTCTTCATATATATTTCTTATAGAGATACCTCCTTTCTCAAATACCACGGTTGTGCACTTTGTCATCTGTAGAATTCTTGGACGAGGAGTAAGCAGCAGTAGTCGTCTGGCTGGGTTGGGCAATAAGTCTGCGGATCATATTAGGAGAAAACAATCACTGCCTGCTACGGCGACAGTCAAAAATATAAAGTATCAACAGATCAAGCACGCCATATCCAGGTGAGCGTCATCGATTCTAAACGCCCACACACACAGCGTACCCAAGCCAGAGTGTCGAGCAATCAGATCCAACGCCCGGATTCCACAAGTAAAAGTTCGCCAGAGAGATGCCGTACTGGGCCGCGATGGCTTGGCACCCATCTCCAGAAACGACTGTGTGCCATTTTGTACAGTTAGCGGCAGCGCCGGGTTGGGTCGGCGCAGGAGGCGTAGCAACGGTTGACGAGGTTGTAGTAGGGTGCAGACCTCATTCTTTCATCTTATAAATATCACCATTCTTCCATCCAAAAAGCAAACAGGAAAGGAACCCCAGGAATTATGAATAGGCTTTGCTCTGTAACCAACAGAGCCACCTTAAGAACACCCAGATTGCGGTCTAGCACACTTTCAACTGTACATTGCTGCTCCTGCTACTTCGCAAAGCTCAGGTTCTCTACCCAGAGTATGGACTCTAAGTCCCGGCTAAGTGACATAGCATTACTGGATGACTATCTCTCGGATCCCGACCTGAAGCCGAATATTCCCTGGGGCTTTAATATCTACCGCAGTGACTACAGCAATGACAAGGCATGGCAGCGCATGCTGCACTTTATTGATGAAACTGTCCGCAACGGGCTGGAGGTCAACGACGCGATGGACCTGTATCCGCGGTACAAGCCAGTTCTAGTAGACAACAAGGAGACCTTAGAAGGAGCAACCTCACATGACATCCGCGATCATTTTATTGCTTGGGTAGCTGAGGAATTGCCCCAGGTAGTATCACAACCAAATGAGTTCTTCGCACGCGAAGAATTCAACTCGATCGGCCTTCGTCGAGAATGGACTTTGGGTACGCGATATAACTTTTGTCTTTTTGTGGATGATATTTGCATTGAGTCATTGGATGAGATGAGGTATCCTATGGTGAAGTTGCTCTGGGGACAATGGGGACCCCTGAAGCCCCATGAACGAAACTATGCTATACATCCAGAATATGAGGATGGTGAGACGGATGAGGATGATGAGGATGTTGGCTGGACGTACATGAGTGTGGATGACTATATGCGGTATTACAACCATCTGAATGAGTACGACTGGTGGTATAACTTCTACGCGCGGCCGCCCTACATGGTCGAGCAGTATGGGAAAATTCCAGGATCATGGAGGAAGGGCTAAACTATCAGTTCAAGCAATTGTCTTGTTCAGTTTAATATAAGCTATAGCTTCCTGGCAGTGCGGCCTGATGAATGTGACATGTCCTGTATTCCCCCTTGCTATCCATGCGATGCGGGCTGCCTGTTCTTCGACTTCCTGAACCAAGATATCAGCGCTCGTCTGAACCTCTCTTCAAGCTGCTGGGGCAATCTTTCCATGGTTTCTCCGTCTAGATATAGCGTCAAGTTCGTGCTGTTAAGTTCACCCCAGAGTCCATGGTCTGCACTTCTCTGTGCAGCCTGGTCAACAATTCATCGCAATCGCCCGCTCTAAGATCACTCTTAAATTAAAGTCTGGGGGTATGACTCTATCTGCCAGATAATTAAAAGAAAGGATGCATTATGGTGACCTTTATTACTTGGGAGTGTAGGCAGGATGAATACTTTTTTGTTAGTGAAAGTTGAAGTCTCCCCATGACATGGTGTAGTGTTTATCTTTTTCTGCTATACAACATTATAGCATAATGAAATTATGCATTTATTGATCATTTGCGCTATTCATTAGAATTATAGGCAAATAAGAATTATAGACCATTGTACATCATTAGGACAAAGTGAAAACTATGCTCTCAGAAAAAAGGGAAAGTACATGGATATAGCTAGGCTTGGCTTGACAACTTTTATTTAGCAGTCATGTGAAATCAATTTTGCTCCATATGTGATCAGGGGGTTATCCGGAGGACTTGGGGAGTGCTCAGGGAACAATCAGGGCACGCACTCTCCCACTCCGGTCACAATCCACCTCGCTCAGTGAGCAAAAAGCAGCAGCACTTCGGACTGAATCCAGAAATGGGAAGTTCACACATTTCCGCAGAAAAACAGTTCAGTAGCATATAATTATTCTTTCTTTTCCGGCTTGACCTGAAGAAAATCTACTGTAGCCTCCCAAGGTTCTGCTTGACTTGAGAGCGAACAGCAGATAATCTCAAACACAGGCATATAATCTATATGAGATCCGTCTGCTTATCACAAATTTGGGATCTACGAACTCCGTACATCTAACTCGTTCCTTTCTCGTACCTGTCGCTTGCCACCTAGCATTTCCACTCGCAGCAACGAAAAGTGGTAGAGGTACGCCACTTCCTTGATTCTTTCCCTTGCAGCCAAACTGATGTTTTCTGAATAGAAGGCTGCTGGGAGAGCTTTGCACCGTTTAGCATGATATAATGCGCTTGTCAAACATTATTCAGTCGCGAAAAAAAAAAAATTTCCCAAGTCAGGGGCTGTATTCTGTAGTTATATATAGCCATGGATGCGATACAGCGAACCCGACGTTAGGCTATTGCAATTTCTATGCCAATCAAACTTTCTAGCTGCAGGGGATTCTGATACTGGTATCCTGTTAGAATTAGAGGTTAGAGGTAACTTGCTTGCTGCAATTGGAATATACCCAGGAATTGGTCGTTATGCAGTGGAAATGCTTGCGAACCTGAGAGGATGTACCTAGATGCATCTGACCTCCAATACTATCAACGAAGCCAATTCGAGTAGATGCATCATGACGGAGATGAATATTTAGTCATATCTACTTCTAATCATTAACAATTTTGCACTACTACTATATCTAGCTATTGCTGCATACATTTTCCTAATCTGCTTGACCGTCGATGATGTCAGATCTGGCCCTTACATGTACCCCTCTGGATGCTCCACCTTCACAGCTAACAAACCTTGGAAACCCCCAGCAATCCAGAAAGATGCACCGAGCGACGAGTCCAGACTACTCTCGCTATCAATTTCCGATAAGCCGCTGCGGTCATCGGACAAATCAGGTTCTCTCGGTCCCTCAGTTATTGTCAATCTGTCTTGCTGAGCTGTACATGCAGTGCAGCTCAGAAAAAAGAGCTAACGTCTTTCCGCATCCTATGTGAACTACACCCAAGGTCAAGGAACAGAGCTTGCCCTGTCGGCTAGTTCTTGGTAGTAGTAGTATTATTATTATTATCTGGCGTGCCCGCACACTTTCTTCACCCTTCTTTCTCTTCTGCTCTTCTATCTCCATTCCTTACGTTGTCCCTTCTCCCTCCTAGATTCTCCGGAGTATCCGATCTCCGGTTTATCTAACCATGGTTGTGATTGACAAGCAAGAGTACCTCACTCAAGAGGAACAGCGTCTCAAGGAGGACCGTGAAAGGACCAGATACTGGAAGAAATGGGGTCCTTATGTCGCAGAGAGACAATGGGCAACAGGTGAGTTCTCATTCTATTCATGAGTCGCTTTTGGCGGCATCACTGGTAATTCGGAGCTTGTCCGCTGATAATCTCATCCCCGGCCGTCTGCAGTCCGAGAGGATTATTCGTAAGTGCTTCTCCTCCTTCAAAGTCTTGGACATTATGATTATTGTGTCCAATGCAATGCTTTAACAATTGCTGACGAATTATCAGTGAAAATGGAGACGCGTGGAGTTGTAAGTCCAGCTTATCCACATGTGAATTGCGCGGGGCTGATCGACGTATCTGTTACGGTTAGATTTCTCCCACGATCACTCCCGGTCAAGAACATATCGGTGGGGCGAGGATGGAATTGCTGGTGTCTCGGATACCCATGGCTTAGAAAATATCGCTTTTGCCTTTTGGAATGAGAAAGAGTATGGTCACGCTCTCTGGATATGCGATCTGATCGGAGTTCTGACATTGACTGTTGAACAGCGACTTCTTGAAAGAGCGCCTGTTTGGATTGTCGAATCCACAGGGAAATCATGGTGAGAGCATCAAGGAAGCTCACTTTCACCTGGATAATACCCCAACCGTAAGGGACTCCTGTCGACTGCTTAACTATGCGTTGCATTGACATGCGTGTTCTAGCACTCGTACATGAAATACCTCTACAAGTACCCTCAGAAGAAATTCCCCTACCAGGATTTGATCGATGAAAATGCGCGGCGTTCAAGACAGGACCGTGAATACCAGCTTCTCGACACCGGCGCATTCGAGAATAACCGCTACTGGGATATCTTCATTGAGACCGCCAAGGAGGGAGACGATGAGGAGGAGCTCATGTTCCGTGTCATTGCCTACAACAGAGGCCCGGAACCCGCTCCATTGCACATAGTCCCACATGTGTGGTTCCGAAACACCTGGTCTTGGGGGTATGAGAATGAGAAGGAGAAACCCTCAATTGAGAAAGTGTCGCCTCTTACAGCAAAATCTTCTCACAAGAAGCTGGGAGAGCGATACGTACGATTCTCGCCCTCTCCAGCTGTCGGCGATAGTCAGGAGGACGTCATGCCTCGTATGCTCTTCACTGAGAACGAGACGAACAACGAGCTTCTGTGGGGCACTAAGAACGACCAGCCCTACATTAAGGATGCCTTCCATCGCCATATCGTCAACGAAGAGAAGGATGCTGTTAACCCCGCCAACAAGGGAACGAAGTTCGCCGCTTGGTATGCCTTTGACGAGGGAGACGGTATCCCTCCAGGCGAGTGCGCAGTCGTCCGCTTTAGGTTCTCTCGCAAGAACGAGCAATTCATCGACGAGGAAGTGCTGGATGATGCAATCGAGCAGCGAAGGGCAGAAGCTGACGACTTCTACTACCGAATCAGCCCTCTCCCGATGAGCGACGATCTGCGTAATATCCAAAGACAGGCATTTGCCGGCATGATGTGGACGAAACAATTCTACCACTTCATTTGGGACCAGTGGGCGAATGGAGATCCTGGAATGATACCACCGCCCCCGGGAAGGAAGCATGTGCGCAATCAGCAATGGAAGCATCTATACATTGATGACATTTTGTCTATGCCGGACTCTTGGGAATATCCGTTCTTCGCTGCTTGGGATACAGCTTTCCACTGCATTCCGCTGGCCATGATCGATCCAGATTTCGCGAAGAAGCAGCTGGACCTTCTTACTCGCGAATGGTACATGCACCCGAATGGCCAGCTTGCGGCTTATGAATGGAACTTTGGGGACGTGAACCCTCCTGTCCATGCATGGGCCGTCTTCAGAACGTTCAAGATTGAACGGAAGATGTACGGCCGGCAGGACCTGGACTTCCTGGAGCGCGTCTTTCAGAAGCTGTTGCTGAACTTTACCTGGTGGGTCAACCGCAAGGACTCAGAAGGTAAAAATGTTTTCGAGGGCGGTTTCCTTGGTCTGGATAACATTGGACTGTTCAACCGTTCTGAGCCTCTTCCGACTGGAGGTGTCTTGGAACAGGCGGACAGTACCGGCTGGATGGCATTCTATTGTCTATGCATGCTCAATATAGCTCTTGAATTGGCTAAGCATCGCCGAACCTACGAAGACAGTGAGTCAACGTCCTACTAGATCGCGGACTTCACTAACTGAAGCTAGTTGCGTCCAAATTCTTTGAGCACTTCCTTCTCATTAGTGACGCTATGACTTTCAAGTCAGGAGGCAAGGAATCCTCTCTGTGGAACGAAGAAGACGGGTATGTGTAATGCAATAGCCACGAGTGGTGGGATAGCAGCTGATCCTTCACAGCTTTTACTACGACGCGATTTCTTACGGCGAGCCATGGACACAACAGCTTCCCGTGAGGTCGCTGGTTGGCTTGATTCCTCTGTATGCGGTTCTGACGCTCGAACCTGAATTGATTAACCAGTTCCCTTCATTCAAGAGGAGAATGGAGTGGTTCATTGAAAACAGGCAGGATGTTGCGGAAAGAAACATCGCCAGCATGAAACGGCGCGGAAAGGACGACCGACTCCTTCTGTCGCTCGTGAGTAAGGATCGTCTGGAGAAGATTCTCAAGAGGATGTTGGACGAAACCGAGTTCTTGTCCGAGCACGGTGTCCGGTCTATGTCCAAGTACCATGAGAAGCACCCGTATTCCATGGACGTCAATGGCCAGACTTTCAGAGTCGGTTACGTACCTGGTGATTCCGACAGTGGATTATTCGGAGGAAACAGCAACTGGCGCGGACCCGTCTGGCTGTGTGTCAACTTCTTGCTTGTTGAGTCCCTTCTCCGGTTCTACATGTTTTATGGGGATTCTTTCCAGGTGGAATGTCCCACTGGCTCCGGAGACTACATGCATCTAGGCCACGTTGCTGAGGAGATTCAGCATCGTCTGCAGCACCTCTTCGCTCGCAATGACCAAGGCCGCCGAGCTGTCAACGATGGCTCAGACCTCCTCGATTACGATAAGCACTGGAAGGACTACATGTGGTTCCACGAGTTCTTCGACGGTGACACCGGACGTGGACTGGGGGCGTCCCACCAATGCGGATGGACAGGTCTCATCGCCAAGGTCATCCATGATACCGGGTAAGTTTATCTTCGGGAGCCTGACATGACACTCCATCACCAGATCTCTAACTTCTCTGCAGAATCAACTGCCGCCTCCCACACACACCTCGCTCCCCCTTCGCCGCCGCATCGCACTACTTCGACGACATCTTCACCCGCTCAGGCCGGCCCCGTTCCAGCCGCAAGCCCAGCTTCCGGCGCTCCTCGACCACCCGCTCCATCGGCAACCGCAGCGACTTCGAATCAACCTTCGCTGGCACCGAGACCCCGCCGCGGACATCCTGTCCGAAGACGAGCACGAAGGCGGAGTCCGCAACGGAGTGGACGAGCACGTCTCCAATTACGTCGCGAGCCAGTTGCAGCGCGTGAGGAGCTCCGCGTCGATCGGGGCTTATGAGGATGAGTTCGAGGCGCAGGCTGACCGCACGCCGAACGGTCATTAGATTTCCTAACTGTGATACATCTTTGTAAGAAGTGAATTCGGGTGAAATCGAAGTGCTTGCGCATGTTGACGCTGCATCATGTCATTATACTAGTTGGTTTAACGAGGTAGACTTGCATTGCATATTGTTTTTGATTGAGCTGACATACTTGTAAGCCTAAGCCAAGCAGGGTATATTTCGGTGCGCCTAGACAGAGACTGTTCAACTCTGTTATCATCATATCTATATCCTTAATCCTGTATTTGTTTCTCGTTAGTGAATTGCTGCTTTTCGGCAATCAAACTGCCCGCTTATATACTAGGATATGGATACCGGGCTGGTTTGATCCGTGCCATGTTCCTTTGACTGCCAGAAATCTCGCGACTACATATCAACCATGTGAGATTAGACATCTACCAAGACACGAGGCATAGCATAGATATCTACATAAGTCTCACTTCCTCATCCACATCACCCCTTCCCCTCATGCTCTCACTAGAAAAATATATTAAAGAAGAAATGCAGATATCAAGTGAAAACGAACTCTCATCCTGTCCATTCATTGCTTTCCAGAACTCGAGAATTGTCTCTTGGAAGCGGCGCGGATGACGCACGACTATGGGACTGTACGATACATGTCAAAGGGAAAATCAGATTCTAGCCTATTTTATAATCTACAGAACATCGGTAAGGGCCTTGTTGAGCTTGGCGATCTTGGACGAGACGCTGAGGTCGATGGTGCGGTCGCCGATCTCCAGGACGAGGCCGCCGACGATGTCGGGGTTGACCTGTTACACAGTCATTAGCTGCATGTTAACAAGTGACGGGGGAGGACTATAGGCGTACCTTAGTAACGATCTTGAGCTTCTTGCCCTGGCTGAGCTCGTGCTTGGAAACGGCCTTCTCAAGGCGGTTGATGGTCTTGTTGTCGAGTTCCTGGGAAGACTAGTGTGAGCGAAAAGTCCGATGGGTCATAGCAATAGCCAAAACGCACCTGGGCACTGGTGATGGTAACCTCCATCTCACCACGGTGAGCACCCATCAGGGTCTCGAACTTCTCGCAGATGTGCTCAAGGAGACCGAGGCGGTTGTTCACAGCCAGAGTCTGCAGGAAGTTCTTGATGATGTCGCCCTTGTCGTTACCGGCGATCTTCTGGAGCTCCTGGATGATCTGCTGCTTGTCGCTGGCGGTGAGGGTGGGGGCAGCGATGAGGTTGGTCAGCTTGCGGTCGGCCTTGAAGGTCTGAGCGAGGCTGGAGAGAGCCTTGGAGGTCTGGTCGAGAGCGGAGGTCTTGGCAGAGGCAGTGTACTATTCATTGTAGCTGTTAGTCCATAATTCAATGCCCTTTTAGTGATTCCTGGATGAATGATATGGATTTTGACGGGATTTGCAGGCGGAGAGGGGGGTGTCGGGTCAACGGAGCGGAAAAAAACGCAGACTGCGACCCAATCCGCAGAGCATCGAAGGAGAATCCAGAGAGAAATGCGAGTCGTACCAAAGCAGTGGCATAGGTTCCATCAACGCCGAAGAGAGCCACGGGGGGCTTGACGTTCTGAGCCGGGGTAGCATAAGTCCTCAAACCGTTGAGAGCGGCAGTGCGAGGGACGGAGAACTGCTGGGTGGCACGCAGGCCAAGACGGGCGACACGAGCGGTGTTCATCGTGGCGGTGATATGAGAAGACCTCGGGGGGAGGGAGAATGGAAGGATATAGGACGTGGGAACGTCGTTTAGAGGGGTGCAATGGCCGTTGGTCTGCTGCCGGAGAGTCTCTCGCGAAGTTGAAGCGACGTCCAACTTCTCCCGGTTCCGGTCACGTGAGATTCCGCACACGCCGAGAATTTCGGGTTCTCTTAGTGAAGGCCATCTCTCCTACAGCAGACAAGTGCAAAGAACATGCTTACAGAATTGGTTTACTTGAATACTAATGCATACTCTTACATTGAAGGATCTCTCTTACTAAAAAGATGTATCAAGGACAGAATTGTCTCTGCCACTCTGGGAATGGATCTGAAAATGCAAACACCCTAACGCCATTATTTCCTCGACTTGCCTCCGACCGAGGAGTATCCCGACCCAGTCATCAATCATGAATCGCATGCAGAGCAGAAATCAGTCACTCCGCAACATGCTGTCGACAAGATCTCCAAGAGGACCCCAGTAATCCTTGCCGGTCGCCAGCCGATGTTCATCAACGAATAGAACATAGTGTTTGAAACTGGTATTGAGATGGGGCTCGAGTCCCAAGTGCACAACCACAGGGTAGTGGTGGCAGTAGATGTGTGCATACACTCGATAAAGTCGCTTGAAGATCTGGCGAATCAAGCTTGAGAATGCTTTGGGGAAGGGGACTCCTGTCATACTCGTCAGCCTGCGCCATCCTTGTCATTGAAAGAGACAAAAGTGGTGTCATACCAAGCCTGCTTGGGAACATCTGTTCGTTGTCGATATTACTCTGCACCCAGCTCATCAGATGTTCGATGTACTCTGGTGCGGACATCTTAGTGGGTCGTTTGAAATTCTCCGAGTCTTGCCAGAGATACTCGAACCTGTCGCATCAACCTTGGTCAGCCGCATGTCTTCGGTTTATTGCCGAAGTAAGAGGACCTACTCATCGGTGGCCTTCATCTCCGGACATGACTGCGGGGAGCAGAACTCTGTGATAGCGCCGTAGAGAAGATTGATCTGGTTGTAAAAGTCGACCACTAATGCAAATTCCACCTAATTAGCTATCCCCAAGTCACTCGGGGATTGCAATCCCTCCAGTAGACTCACCGTTGACTGCAAGCCACTCATTCAGATCCTCGCCCTCAGGCAGCTTTACAGCCTTCCTCAAACTCCCGCTCCCCAAAGTCGCCTCTGCAAACTGCCTCAACTGATAACTGCTCGTACCCTTGGCAGCCGACCGGGGCTTAAACGGCGCCCTGGTTCGCGCATTGCTGGGAGGCGTCAGTCCACACAGATTCTGTTTGAGCGCGCGAACAGCAGGAGACAGGTAAGAAGGTGGCTCCGAAAGCGGGCCACGGAAAGTATGGATGGTGCTGCATGAGATTGACGGGGTGAGGGCGGAGAGTTGGTGTGAAGGCGGGGCAGACGGAGAAGTAGATGAGGAAGAAGTAGAAGCAGAGGGAGTAAAGGGTCTAAAGGGCACGAACATGGTGGTGATAAGTGAAGCCATCCTGCCTCTGCTCTGAGACCTCAAAACACCTCCTTGGAGGTATTCACTATAAGAGAATAACGGCGTTTCTTTTGATTTTTCCCGTTTCGGAGGTATGGGCTGTAAGTCTGAAAATGTGACTGATCTGCGTATGCGTTGCTAAGTGCGAAAATGCGCCTACATTCCAATGCCAGAGGGGTTAGCTATCGAGCCGTATCGGGTATTTCTGATCTCTGGAACCTCGATCTCACTAACCGGAAGAACGACGAAAGCCAATGCTTGGGGAGATTCTGGACGGTCGGCTGAAGAGGGAGGGGCAAAACGCGAGGAAATAAATGTCGCGTTTTAGAACGCACCCAGGCACCAAGGGGGGGAGGCTAATATCTCCGATGCGGACGATGAAGAAAATAAAAAAAAGCAAACAACCAGATTAGCTGCAGGAAACGCGATGATCAACAAGCAAGCTTAAACTTGACGATATGACGAGTAGACTACCTTAGACCTGGACCTGGCCTTCAGCTGGCCACAAGCAGGAAATCCGATCGGATCCCACAAGCGGAGCAGTCTGACAGTCGGGATCCATGGATGCCTCAAGGGAGCAAGACGGAAGGCCCCATAGGTTGCCCCAGTGACCACCCTCACCCAAAGACTTCACTTCCCTACCTTAACGGTGATGTCAGACTCGATTATCTACTAGGTGCAGTTTATCAGATACTAATTTTGATATATTTTGAGCATTAAGGAGTTATGGGAATTTATCATGTTGGTGACCGCTACAATACGAGTATCCAAGAAGACCATGGGGGGAATTAATCCGATTCATTTGAAGCGCAATGGGGTATGATCAACGCTCATGCAAGAAGTACATATGCCTCTAGATAGAATAACCCTCGTTCTCTTCCGGGAGCCTTTCCCGAACAGTTTCCCCGTATACCGTGAAGGGGATTGCGATCTCAAAGGACTCACAGCCGAGGTTCTCCAGGCCTGACATAACCTGCCCACGGTCGTCCTCGGAAACCACTTCAAGCAGCCTAGCACCAGAGAGGCCTGTCCTCAGCTCATGGTGCAAGCTGGTAGTCACAAACTCGAACCGTAGCTCCCATTCATGGTTGACTCCGGTGGTGATGATAGTCGGTGTTGCGGAGACGGGAACCGCAGGACTGAAAACAACTCGAGTGGAATACAGCGTATTCTCGAAGAAGGACGCATGCACACGCCGTGTGGCTCGGTGGATGCTAGCGTTTGACCGAACTGCCAGTGAGGATGCGACCTTCTCGAACGACTCCAGTGTGGCCCGCAGGGCGTAGCATGGAAGTGCGACATCCGTGAAATCAACTGTGGCGGTGATGGTTTCGCCCAGTCGATGTGCTGGCCGATTGAGCACCACCACAGCGATCCGACGCCCATTGCGGGCAATTTCAAACCGGTTGGGCTGCGCGCTGTGCTGATTGCTTGATTGCTTCGCAGGATGGCCAAGTCAATTGCGTCTTTGCAGGAAAGCGGGCCGGCCAACGGTTCATAGCTTGAGGAACGTCTTGCGTTGACAAGGTCTGGTGGCTGCAGTAGATTTTTGCGAGATTGTTGCTCGAGGAGTTCATCTACGTAGGAAAGAAATTCTGGTGCTGACGTCCATACGTGCCCGCTAATGCTCTTATTCTTAGACACTGGCGGCGGCGGTGTAGTGCCTATTTTCTGGACCCTGGCTTCGTCTCGAAGAAGTACATAAGGGCTCATCAGGTTATGTCCGAGGATCTCTCCTTGACCTAAGAGAAATTAGTCACAGGTGTCAAGTAAGGACAGGACGACCGATAGAACTTACTGTTCACTCCGCTGAAGACACGGAAGGGGATGGTGATGCGATTCACGCGCTGGGGTTCGTTAGACCCACTCGGCCTTTGAGTACCTATGACTAGATTATATGATATCTTGATAGCTTTGCCCTTGTGACTCGCAGGGAGTCCCTTGGGAAGAGTGAAGGAGAAAGAATAGGACTGTTCTTCTCCTGGTGCTAGTCGCAGATCCACAAAAAGAAGGGACTGCGGGGTGGACAACAAAGGTATCGATCGTGACGAAGTAACGCCACGCATATCACGAAGACCATCGAGTTCATTGTTGGATAGAAGACCGCTTATGGACTCCTCTATCGCATTCCACTTGAAAGCACCCCAGAACCCTCCACCTTTACGGCTTTTGTCGCTGATGGAGGCGGATCCACCACTTAGCGTACCAGCTGCATTACCTTGACTGCCAACGACCCCTTTTCGTTTGACTTCTTCAAACGCTGCTTGATTGATTAACGAGCCATCGACGGTAAAGGATGCGCTGACTTGGGCATAGCCCATGAGGAGAGTTTGGCCGTTGGATAGTCTCGGCCCCGTATCCACACTCGAGAAATGACGCGCGTGACGAGGGCCGCTCGGGCGTTGTGTATTTGCAGAGTAATTCGTGTATTCGGATTGAAGTGTCTCTGAGGAGTTGTCGCTGGCGGAGTAGAACTCGCCGCTACTCCGATGACTTCCGCTCAGGCTGGATGTCGAGATTATTCGTGTAAGCTGGGGTAGGTGACCAGGTGCAGGCATTGCTGGACTTTCCTTCCCATTTGATCGTCCAGTCGACACGGAGCCAGGATTCTCATCAATGGATGTTGCCGCAGGAGAAAGAGCCGGGCGATTGCTAGGATCGGATGTGGGAGCAGGCGGGAATTTGAAATCCATAGGCGGCAGTTGAGGCCTGCGTCCAGGTGTACGCGGTGACCCTAAAGGCTGAATGGGTCTCTGCCCGTTGGATCCGGAGCGACTGACCCTGCTTGGCCCATCCACGTCTGGCCTCAGATTACCCGGGAGTTGGTTGGTGCCAGCCTCTGAGGCAATGCCACGGACGGTATTTCGCCCAGCTAAGTAGCAGAATGCATGAGTATCATTGAACGTCAAGTCAGGTAGGGCGAGCCTCACCTTTTGCGAAGCCATCTTCATACCCCTCATACCTTCTAGGTACGACTTGCAAGCTCGCAGAACGACCATGACCCTTCCCCGGCCGGGAACGATTGAACTGGAACGATGACCTCGGGGTTTTATCCCCAGTTCCTTCGCTTTCAATTGACAGTATAGACACGGAGCGCTTGTGCTGGTGCCCGGGGTTTTGGTTATTTCGCGGGGTGGGAGGAGGAAAGCTGTGCGAGCCGATCAACGGAGAGCTCAACGACGAGGATACTCGATGCGAAGAACTCTTCCTGGGCGCAACGGGAAAGGAGCGGCGGTGAGGACTAAACAATGAATTTTGAGGAGCTTTCAATGAGAAGTAGGAGTCGGAGTTAGAGGCCTGCGCATTGCCAGCGCGGGACTGCTTTCGCTGATGGGAAACCTGCCCTCCATTGTTTGTCTCCACGTCTGTCTCTGCCACGTTCTTGAATGTGATTATACATTCCACATCTTCCCCTGCAAATATAGTCTGGTCTTTCCACTTCACAAAGACCTGTATGTCCGATTGCATGGCGAGGGTCGCAGCGTCACCATGTGGGCGGTGGAGGAAGAGGTGGAGGGATATAGGAGTCGGGGAAGTGACAGCGGGTATCAGCTACCACTCACTGTTTTAGAATTAGCGGAAGTAGTCTCATGCATACGCCAGCATCGACATGCTGTCATATGCTAAACGAAGCAGGCCATTTTTCTAGTGTTGTATGGTTAGAGGGCAGAGGAAGAGCTGGATGAGCTCTGATCGGGGAGCAGTCGGTTGGTTCCATTGACGGAGAAGACGCCTCGGACTGCTGCGTGGCGCTACCGCTCAGCTACCATGGGGTTTGCATCTACTTCTACAGAACATTATTGGAGAACTGCGCGTAGCAATGTATTGTCTCGCGTCTCTCAATCACTACTGAAGAATCCTCAATTAATTCTACTACTCATCTTCGAAATTCCTGAAGCGGAAGAATCTTTGAGCTCATGCAACTAATAATAATCACGGGAGCCAGGAGAATTTAATGCAGGGTGCTTCTATTATTAGGATATATGATACACTATAATACATAGAGATCGACCAAACGGAGTCTCAAGCAGAACGCTGGGTGAACATGTTGGACCAAGCTCCTCAAACAGGCTTATCATACAACACCTTTACGTCCGAGAACTTATCTGCGCTGCGCTTTGGACGCCTGAGACCCAGCTCAGACATCTGACTCCAAATGCGATCGTGTCTTCTTTCCCATCGCTCTCGTCTTTTCTCCGTTTCTTCTGGTGAAGGCCGCCATTTGCTCTTCAAGATCCGTCTGATTGCTTCCGGAGAGACCTGAAACTGCTCAGCTAGCACAGGAGTCGTGAAGCGATCCGGTGCAACAGCGTGTAGATGTCGGATCCCTTCCAGCGCGTCGGGTGATAGCTTCTTCGGCGGATTCCAGCCCTCCTTGAATTTCTTCTTCAGGGCTTCCTTGTGGATTTGCCACGGCTCTTTCTTTTTCTTCGACTTGGAGAGGACGGAAAGACTGGATGTTCGAGGGGCTTCTGAGCGTTTCTTATCCGAGGACTCGTTTGCAGCTGGTTTTGGTCCGACCGTTGCTCCTGAGGCAGATGCTTTCTTATTGTTCGTAGAATCGGCTCGAAGCGAAGAGCCGACGGCGCCAGAGGGATCGCTAGATGCTCTTATTTCGCCAGCGCCAGTCTTGGCTGGTTCGTCCGGTTGTGGCACACTGCTAACGTTTGCAGCGCTCGAAGGTGGTAGTTTGGATGTAGTAGGTATATCGTCGGCCAGAGTCAGCGAGCTGAACTGTCGAGGCCCTCTGATCCTACGATAGGCCAAGGGTGCTCGTTGCACGGCGAAGAGACTTTTGTACTCAGAACGAGGTCCAAGATCGGCGGCGAACTCAGAGCGAAAGACATTTCGCAGTAGGGTGGGAAGACTGAGCCTTGAGGACGCGACACATATACTGTTTGCCATAACAAGGACTTGTCCGCAAATTATACGAGGAAAATAGGCAGAGATCAAAGAATCGTGGCAAGAGGAGATTGTTGTTGATACGGGGTCACAAGGAATAATTCCCTGATCGATTGAAATTCGTTTCCGCCCTAGAACAAATGTCATTTTGGCCTGAGGCAACTATCCTATCATGTGACTGTTCAGTTCATGTATGCCTACACAGAATAGACAGTGGAGTCTCATGCAGGCCAGCACTAGGGCATTTGAAAAGTAGAAGTAAACATGGTAATGATTACTAGAGCAATCCTTGTATATACGCTATGATTGTTAACTATTCTTGTGTGAAGCTCAATGCTTTGATTGCTGTCAAATGCATGGGGGCAGGGTCAAGGCGGTAGATACCTAAGGCACCTCTGGCTTTGGACTGTTCTGAGCTTGGAACCCTGGAAGCCTTAGGCTAACCTTGTCTTGAAAGCAGCATTATCCGGGGCCGCTGGAAAATTGACTTTTATGCCAGTGGGTAATGTATGTGATTGAGGATCTCTAGATGTACATGGATTCCGAGCATTCTGTAATCCTCCTGACTCCTAGACTAAAGTCTCCATCAACTCTCATTGACAATGAAAGTTAAGTAAGGAGACCTCAGTTCCACAGCTCAGATTAGTTTAGTGTAGATCACCGCAGCTATCTTGATGGTTCCCGCGCCAATCTACGCATCTATAGAGCTTTAGAACCAACCTAGTCTACTTTCAGTACTAGACGACAAACTAAGATGCCCGAAAGAATCGGCTTCAGGACTGAAAGTTCAATGATCATATGAGATGTCATTCTTCGAAGGTCAGGGCTTGGGGAACTGCTTGTCACTGTGTCATACCCACATTCCCATTCGCCCATCCATTCTCTGCTGGAGGGATCACTGGAATGAGCTGCTAATGAACTCGACCTGGAGCTCCCCTCCTTGACAGTGTGTGGGCGCACTGTGTGGACGGGTGTATTTACTCCTGCTTTATCCCTATCAGTAAACCTTTTCTTTTTCCTTCTCATACTTCTCTCTTTGTCTGTGTCACTCCTTTCAATACGCATTGTGATTTGTTTTCCTCTCTCTAGGCCTACGCTCTTTCTCGACCTTACCGATCACTCTCGTTCATTCTTTTCCACCACTCTTCATTCAGCTGAACTCAAAGCTGTGGTGATCGCAAGACAACTCTTTTGCTATATCCCATTCTAACACAATTTGGCCCTCAGCAAACTATCGCTTTACTCAATCGTTATCGGAATTCGCTTACAAGCACGACTGATAAGGGTATATCTACTGGATGGTTCCGTTGACAGTACGGATTAGCTTTGACAGGTGATCCCAGCGTCACGACAAATGCAAACCGGGCTTTTTAGCACCCTCGGGGGAACGTGAATATTCGCAATCTGAATTCCGCTTTTGAATGGGATGGCGAGTGGTTCATTGACAGCCAAAAGCAAGAATGCTGGCCCGGGTTCTTCCCTACGCATCACCCCTTCCAATTCGCCCGGTCTGAGAGCTCCCCGGTCACCTAACAAGACCTCCTTGCACCAATCCACCCTTTCCCTCCGGACTGTTATCGGCACGACTACGACGGACCCGAACGGCTTCTCAAGCCACGACCAAAGCAGATCGTTTGCGCTATGCGCCGGTTCGGCGGCCATCCTGGCAGAGCTGGACGATGAAAACAATGTAAACCAGCGCTTTTTCAAAGCACGACCCTCTGCGAGCAGCATCAATCCCGTTACGTCTTTCTACAACCAATCCACGCCTCCATCGACGCCCGATACTAGAGCAAAATCGATATCCAACATCAGAGCAAATGCGCACAGTAACACACACAATGGATCTCCGTCCAGTGACCTGGCCGAGACTAGCAGCCCGCGATCCTGGTCATCGAGGGAAAGGATAAAGGCGGTTACCAGTGTGTCACTCAGCCCAAATGGAAGATTCCTTGCTGTAGGAGAGGTGGGTGGCATTTTCTGTACACAAGTGAAGAGCGTGGGTAGTCAGCTAATCTGAAAACAGACTGGATATAACCCTCGAGTCTTGATCTTCTCTACGGCGAAAGACGCGTCTCCGGAAGTTCCCCTGTCAATTCTCACCGAGCACACCGTCGGCGTTCGCAGCGTCTCCTTCAGTCCTAACTCCCAGTACCTCGCCACCCTCGGAGAGGTGAATGACGGTTTTCTCTTCGTGTGGGCTGTAAGTCTGAAGACCGGATCGGCCAGGCTACATTCGACAAATAAGTGCATCAACATTGTTCGCCACATGGGCTGGACGGGACAGAGTCTCGTCACGTATGTTATTAGACTCAATCCCTGCTCGTTACCGGTAGCAAGACTAACTAACTCGGCAGCGTCGGAGTTCGACATGTGAAGGTATGGCGCCTCCCGGAAACAAGACCTGTATCGCCATCGAAGTCCCGCCTGAATGCGGATCCGGCCATTAGCTCCCTCAGCCTGGCCCCGAAAGCCCTTTCGGGACGAAACTGTCTCCTCGGGTCTTTCGGAACTTGCGTATTCACCTGTGTCGCAGGCATATCAGACAGTGAAGCTGTAGTAGGCACCGAGGACGGTGCTCTCTGCCTCCTGGACGATAGCGAGGTATCTCCAAGACTATCCCTGATCAGGTACGTGGGGTTCGGCATCTCCTCGTTGACCATTGATCCGGATCATGGTTACCTCTGGGTCGGTGGTCGGGAAAAGAGGATGCAGAGGTTCTCATTGGAGTCACTTCGGCCGTCGAGCCCAATTTCGCCAGAGCCTTCTGGTCGAACCTCAGCGAGTAAAAAGACCAAGGGACCTGCGATCACTTGTATGGGATCCCTCGGATCACATCTAGTGTCTGTCAATTCCAGCAAAGAAATCCAGATCCATCGGGTAGAGTCGATAAGTAATGATTGCGAGAGACCACTTGCGATTGCCGCTCATAGAGATGCGGTCCTCGGCATTTCTCCGTTACCAGACCTCAACGAACTCCAAGCCAACTTTTTCACGTGGTCGTCCAACGGGACCGTGAAATTTTGGGATACAAAGGGCAGGTGTAAGGACTCTAGAACAGTCACGGTAGAGCAGCCTTTGGGCAGTGACGAAAGTCAAACAAATGAGTTGAAAATCTTGAGGGCGACTCAAGATTTGAAGTTGTTCGTGTCGGGAGATAAAATGGGTGTTTTGAGGTATTTAACCAACTCCTTCCACTGAAACAGAAAGCATAGGGAAGTGGAACATTGACCTGAGCTTAGGGTCCTTTCGGGACAGTCATGGAAATGTGTCAATCAGATTCGGGCTCACGAAGCAGAGGTCACTGATGTGGCTCTTCACGTGGACTCCGACTCCTGTCTCATTGCCAGTTCTGGTCGAGATCGCATGGTTCAGCTTTTCCGTAGCACTGAAGAAAGCCTGGAACTTGTGCAGACCATGGACGATCACGTCGGGTCAGTAAATCAGTTACTCTTTATCAAGAACGGCGAGAAGCTTCTCTCGTGCTCCTCAGATCGCACCGTGTTCATTCGAGAACGCATGACTCGAGAAACTAGCGGAGAAACAGCTGTTGCGTATCTGGCATCCAGGGCTGTCACGCTTAAGGCATCTCCGGTTTCCATGACTCTATCTACAGAAGACCCAAATATCCTCATCATATCCACTGTTGATCGTTGTATACAACAGTACGATCTCGATTCAGGGAAGCACATTCGCTCTTTCCGAGCCACCGATTCGGATCCAAGCGACACAGTGGTCATGACTGCCTTGAGCATGGCTTCCCACATTCCAGGAAAATGTCCCACGTTGCTTATAGGAGTCGCAAGCACGGACAAATCAATTCGCGTGTACGATATGGAACGCGAAGCGCTTCTCACTGCCGAGTTCGGCCATGCCGAAGGCGTGAGCGATGTATGCTTGCTGACCAGAGATTCTGACTGCAGCGGGAATCCTCCTAGTCGGACTCTGGTTAGCGCTGGTATTGACGGTGTCGTCATGATATGGGGTTTACAGGTGCAACCACAGCAATCTCAGGATTACACCCAAACCAATCTATCAGAGGAAGAAGTCGACAGTGCGTCGAAAAACTCGACGGTCTCCAAGCCGCCTCTGCGCAAGATTCTATCCAAACACGAGCTCGCTGGATTCCAGCGGCAAGACAACATCACAGGAACCCCAACTCCTGTGCGGGACTCCTCACAGTCACTGGCTCGCAAAATTTCTAGAATCTCCCTCACACCCTCTTCCTTGAAGAATGAAAAATCAGCACCGACTACACCTTCTCCTTTCTCAAGGTCTGACCGTCGCTCTCCCCCTTCGCACTCTCGCCTTCAGAAGTTGCGCAAGTCTCCATCCCCAACTAGAAGATCCACACCTGGTAAAAAGCTCAGCAACACAAACAATCATGCTCGTCGCATATCACTGGACTTCCGCTCCCGTGCCAGAAACTTGTCCAAGAGCGAATCTGGAAGTCTAAATTCATCTACGGAGCAGGTTTGCCGCACATTGAAGGCTTACCGGAAAAAATTGAATACGTCCACAGAGCACCTCCACTCCCAGAAGGACCTGGAGCGCGAACTGGACCTAACACTTCGAGTCCTGGCTGCTCGACCTAAAGCTTGTGGAAATGCTGAGACCGAGACCGACAGCAGCGGAAAGGAAAATGACAGGAAACAAAATTCCTTACAAAGTCCACATCGAATGCACTCGGCTCCAAGCTTGCGCCAAAATGGCACTTATAACCGCTCGAGAATTGTATGTTCTAATGATAATGGTGAAAATTCGAGCGAATAGCGGATCCGTTGCTTCAAGTCTCTTGCATTTCTCATGCACCCATCTGTTCTCTTTATTTCTTTCGCCTTCGCCAGCACTCCTATTCTGGGTCAGTCGCATAGGTTTTGTCCGACATGGCATATCACCCTTTCTGCCCATGGCATAATGCTGTGTTTCATTTTCGGTCTTGCCGTTAGCTACGGCAAAAGATTGATGGAGTTGGAGGTTGGATTTATCACAATCTTTTGCATCTTATTTATGGATAGTGGCGATTCAGACAGATACTGGAAGCAATTTACAACGAAGCATTTCCTAACTGGCCCCATGGTCTGGGCTTTCTTTGAACCTCTTCAACCCTAAGTATATAATCGAATGTGACTACTCCCGATGTGAGATATATAAGCGAGGAAACATCAACCGTACCTCACATAAGTTTGGCATAATTTTGCCTCAGCATTCTTAACAGCGCGCCACCGTCATCCTTTATTAAATCAGCCAGTGTAAAAGCAATCTCTCCCCATTTTCGACAGTCCTCATCCGCCGAGGCAAGATATAAATCGACCGCTCTATTAAAAGCCATGGTTGCCAGCCATTTGAGCTCGTCGCTCGGATATACAAACGGCAAGTCCGTGTCTGCTGAGTTATCACGAGCTAGCACAACAGCTTGGTGGAGGACTGACTCTGTCAGCGAGTAGTCTTTCGCCTCTAGGGCTGTTTGAAACAGGCACCGTAGATACCGGGGGAGTTTCTGGTGGAAGGCCCCAGCGTCGAAGGATGGAGACGGAGAGGAGTGGAAGATGCAGATTATATCCTGTGCATTTGTTAGATTTAGTCCTGACATGCGAAAGGTTGCTCTGATGGACTGAGGGAAAGTACCTTGACGACCTGTGCGATGTTGGGAGCTGGCGTCCCAGAGCGGAGGATGCAGTCTAGGAATACTGAGCAGAGCTGGTCATCGAGGATCGTGCTGGTTCTCTCGATTATGCTCGGGATGTCGTTCCACTGTTTAAGATCGATGGCCGCTTCGAAGTCCAAGGCGAGCAGGGGACGGTACTTATGCGTCCATACCTCACGTTCGGGTGCGGTTTTGCATGTATCAAGTTGGGCTTGTATGTGGGTTTCGAAGTGCTGTACGGATTGACGGATTTGCTTGTAGGCCTGTTGTTGTCAGTCCGCTGTATCTCGAACAGATGGGTTAAATAACGACCTTCGCAGATGAGGGGGTATGACCACGGGCATCGGCTATCAATTTGCTGCATTTGATGTACTCGGCGAGGAGATAGATGAAGATTCGGTCTTTGGTTCCAGTCTTTTTATGGTATAGGTCTGTGAACTATGCCGATGTTAGAGGATATAGTATCATTCTCCATGTTGAGGTTACCTCGAGGGATATCTCTAAGAGGTGTAGGACAGTCTCTGAAGGGGAGGTTCTATGTATGTCAAGGGCTATGTTGTAGCTCTTCCTCGCAAACCATTCTAGTTCACTGGCTGAGTAGAGTGGCAATCTCCCTTCGTTGTTGGCACGTTTCAAAGCTATTTCGGCTTAGTATTCGACATCCTATGGATTGCGCTGAAGCTTACCTTCCTCAAATGTGGATATGAGATGGGCTATCGAAGCCGCATTGCCGCGGTCCTCTGGCGCCAGGAGTTGAGAAAGCAAGATTATGCAGTGAATTAGCTCAGTGACCATTGCCATATAGACGGGCAACACATACTGGAACAGTGTTGAGACGGGTACTTCTCCAAGGGAATTGTCATCCATGCCTGTTATAAGCTGCTGAAGACATTCGATCGTAAATCGAGTATTTCCTGACCGACGAGCCTCTGCAGCACATGAAAAGAGATATATCTTTCCCTCTTGCCCTAGCTCACTCAACGACGTAAGACATGTTTGCCCTGTAGTTCGGTTAGATATTGACAGAAGAGCACTTCGCAGACATACCAAGAGTATAGTCATCATTTCGTAAAGCTACCCCATACAGCATGTACAGCGTAGATGCTGAGGCTTTGCATTCTTCAAGGTGTCTCACAATGACTTTATGCCCCTCAAGTGTGCTTGGATCATCCCGAGAGCAGGAGATCAGCTTCCTGTAAGATCTCGTTGAGTAATCTCCTTGCATAGAAGGCTCCCCGGCCACAAGAATGCCTACCTTAGAATTTTGCCTTTACTGTCCGAGGATATTTGGAATAAGGGCTGTTCGAGGAGAAATTCACAGCATCGCTCAGCGTGTGATATGTCTCCGTTAGACATTGCTGTATCAATGTGTTTCCAGACTAGCTGCGTCAACAGTCAGCAATTACAATCGTATACTGGTTGTACATGGATTCACAATCAAGCAAGCATTGGTTGTCCCTTCACTCAGAGATTGGAGTCCAAACTCAAGGAGACTTTGAGCCACATCTTTCATGACGGCGATGCAGTCGAGAGCACAAGGATAAGATTCGGTCAATGCCCGAACGAGGCTGATGAAGACACGCTCTGTCCATGCTCTTTTGTCTGAGACAGCAAGCTTGTCATGCAACAGCTGCTTGATCCTTTCCAGGAACAGCTGGGCCTTTCTTGTCAATACCACTATGCCAGACGATAATGGATTGAAGCCTACCTGAATTCCTTGAGCTTATGGATGAAGTATAGGATACTATTTCTGCTTAGCCGATGAGTATGCCTGAGTATGGAAAGTAAGGTACTTCTTAAGATCAGCATCGTTGAGCTCCAGAACGGCAATGGCGCGCCGAAGGACTGAAAGACTGAGTGAGTGGTGGCACACATTCAGGAAAGGGTCGTCTTCTTACTTTCAGCATATTCATCGTAGTCGGAGATGTTCTCCTTGCTGTAAATCTCGAGTTGAAGGACTTGAGCTTCAAAAGCATCATCATATTCCTGCAAATTGTCAGCCGAGGTATGATACCTTTTTCTTCGTCTTACACTTTTCAAACACGCTACTGCCCTGTCGCAATCAAACTTTGCGTCTGCAGAGTCGAGATGAAGACTGACCCAAACTGCAAGGCATCAGTTCACCCAAAAAAAAAAACCATATACTCATGATAACTTACCGAAAGCAACTAAAACCCGGAGCCTTTTATCCTTCAGATCCGGATTGACTTGTTGGGTTTCATGCTGAAGGAGCTCGCATGAGCTCAAAGCTCGTTCAAGCCATCGAGCTGCCACATCAAGCTGCCGACGTGAGATTTCCTGTGCCCCAACTTGATAGCAGATATCCATAACAGTCTCCAAATGTCCGCCTCGGCTCGCTTGCGGGACCTTGGAGAATAAATGCTCTGCAATATCGGATCTACCTTGCAGCCAGGACTATGTCATCAAAGTCAGCTATGCGAATATTATGCGTGAAATGCTCATTACCAAGTAGACACGCAGCATGTAGTATTCTGTCATGTAGGTTTCTACTTTTGCTCTGTTCTGGCTGCTCTGGTTTCTACACATATCATTCAAGCGAGTAGCCGCTATGCCGATGATCTTCTGGCTCAGATCCAACTGTTCCTGATCTGGATTGAATGTCATCACCAGTGTTAGAGCAGCCCTGTAAGGGATAGATGAGACTCACCCATGCAAGTGCGTGCTGCTCTCAAAGCGAGCTCGAAGCTTCGGCTGTTGCCTAGAGAAAGACTTCAGAAACTGTCACGCATTCACGCAGGTGGACTCATACCTTGATTGTGGGCAGACGCGGCACAATCTAGCATTGCAAAAGCGAGAGCTTTCACTGCGATGGTTAGAATTGCTGCCGAATAAGCAACTCGTGAAGATGTCAAACCTTTACTCAGTAGCCTCAGCTTGGAATTGTCAGCAGAGATTGCCATGAGTTGTGTGCATGTATTCCATAGCTTCGTTCCTTCAGTATCCAATTGACGACGGATGGTTGACGAGGGAGCTGCTGTGAACGAGGGTATATCGCCGAGATAGTTGTCGAGAAGTTCGATAGATGTATCTGCTATCTGGGATTGTTCAGAGGTGCTTGCATTGGAGAGCCAAGATTGTATTTGCTTAGCGAGGGCTGAAGGACGATAAATGATTAGAGATCATAGATGGAGAGAGGATGGGGGGTAGATTATACTGCGGCCTTACCTAGGACATTGAGTGAACGTTCTTCAAGATCCTTGGATGTCATTGTCCCGAAATCACAACGGTTGCTACTGTAGTCGGACGGTTGGGACATTGACTGTCTGCCACTTGGGTGATGAGAAGCAGCGCTTCTACTGAGAACCTGGCGGTATATATGGAGCAGAAATCTAGATGCAAGAACGCAGTTGCTGGATGGTATTATCAATTTCATAGGAAACTGGCGTTCACCTGACTGGACTAGTCCAGAATCAAAGTTCAAGGCACATGGACATGACAGCATAACCACTCCGACACTCAATCAATACAGTTCAGTTCCTCGAAAAAAATCAGAGGGATATGTAACATCATTTTCCTTGATACCCGTGCAAGCGTCACAGGAAGGATATCGAACAACGTTCTCTAGTAGCACTGATATGGACGGGTCCTAGATCATAAGAGAAGCAATAAGAAAAAGGACGAGCGCGAGAACTATGTACCGGAATAGTTCGAACAACAAAGCCTGGTTCCCCTTAGTACGCCCGTAGATAGACCAATTTTCAATTCCAGATAACAATCATTTGCTTCTGCGTTGTGACGGTAAGAAGTTGCCAATGATGAGTGAGGGACTAGGAGTACTGTCAGCAAATCCTCACGCTTGCAACGAATGTTCTTGAGCACTCACATATTATGATTGTCCCTCCGAATTGTGAAAGAGAAGCAACATGGAATCCCATTCCCTGGATTACTCGAATTCGGATTCTTTAGTGTGCAGCTTGTGAGCATTGCCTTCTGAGTGTTGTCGAATGCAATAGCGCCGAATTTCTCCCAGTAGCTCACCAGCTGATCCTCTACAATGATCTCGTGGATTGCCAGCTTGCCATCTCGCAGACTCTCTATTGGCACGCCAATAAGTTCTGCCATCTCCTTGTTGCCGCGGAAGATCTCCCCTGTCCGCCTCCAGCAGCAGGCGGGAATGGCCATGCTGGCAAAGACACGGTCATATTCCATCAGACTCCGTTCGAACCACATCTCCACGAGAATGAGCTCGATATCGGTCAGACTTTGCATTCTCTCTCTAAATTTAGGTCGGAATTTGTCCAGCTGCCGTAGAATCTTCTGCCGAGACGACTGCTTCATGTTCTTCTCCATATATTGGTTCAAGCGAGCGTAGCCTTTCACATAGTTGAAAGGTTTCAGAAGACCAGCATCGTATTTCGCCTTGAGAAGCTTATTCATCCGCTCTTCTGGTGGATCTGAACCTGAGGGATCCGCCGCAGTCATATAATAAGTCTCTCTTGCCTTATCGTTCACCACTGTGGAGCTTGGAACTTGAACCGAATCGTTCTGAGGTGGTTGACTCTGCGTTGGCTGAGGAGGCTGAGCTTGCTGCAGTAAAGCCGTATTATCCAGATTGGCCATTGAATTGATCAACGTCGGATCGGAGTATATCCCTTGCAGATTATCGCTCGGGAACATCCCCCCGTCATCTAGCAGGCTGCTGCTGAGAAAGTCTCCCAGGAGGTTGTATTCGTTCGTGACTTCCGGGGCATTGAACATGTAAGACGGGTGGAAGGTGTGCATATCCTGGAATTGGCTTTGGCCTCCCAGCCAGTCGTTGTAGCCCAGCACTGTTCTATCATTAGCACCAGTCAGAAAATAGAGGCAGCCGCCTTAGGACTTACGTTGTTGGGAGTTGGGGCCTATGCTGTTTTGCGCAGAGGAGGAGGGGATGTTGTTATGCTGCACAGCACTGACAGACGAAGGGGGAAGAGCGATAGTCCCATCGGGAAGGATTTGCTGTCCGGCAGCATCTTGAACATCAACGTTTCGAGGCATGCTTTGAACATTTGAAAACTCATTGCTCGAATGACCCTCCTCTTCAGCAGTCGAATGCTCGTGTTCGCTCCGCGCCCGCTTTGAAGGCTCCCTGGGTTCGTCATGACACAAGTGGCCTATGTTGCGCTTTATACACCGCGTGCACGGCCGCTCCTATATTTCATCCACGTAGAAAAGTCAGCTAAGAACCTTTCACCCAAATAGAAGCCTGCGACACATTTCACGGAGGCAAGCTGAAGAAAATGGATCAGGAAGGTCGTACCGAATCGCAAGTCATATGCTGTGACACATAAGGAAGCACCCTGCCGTTAGCAAATGAATTCCCGCCAAGTAGGCCTTATAGTGACGATTGAGAGTCGCGATGCAGGATAACGTGGTGGGTCAAAGATATACGGGGCCAGTAGGTAAGATGTGGGCTTACCGATCGTCGACAGTAGACGCATGCTGCAAAAGCGTTGGCACGGTGGTCAGCAACGTGGTCTAAGATGCGAACGCGGAGAGCGGCCGCTGCCAAAATCCCTGCAAAATGCATAACAAGGACAGTATCTTACCATGATTAACTTTGCGACGCTTCTTGGGGCTGGAGTGAGTCCCCGCGGCGTTATTGTCAGCTTTCATCGGTGGTGAAGCAGTATTCTTTGAGCCGGACTCCATTCTCGATGAGTCGCCTTCCGCCATATTCAGTTTGACATTCTCCATTGTACCATTACGCGGCTGCTCATCCGGGACTGTGCCCGTCTGCGCGGCGCCGTTCTCCGTCATCGATCGCTTTGGTCTGGCCGGGCGCAAAGCGGTTGCGCAAAGTTCGGCTCGCTGATGTCGCTGTTGGTGGTAGGAACACGAAGGAGCAAGTCCGATGGCGACCTGCAGACATCGAAGATCACTTTAGAGGAAGATAAATCAGACGCATTTGCAGGAGCAAACAGCAGGTGCCTAGCTGCGAGCTGAGGGGTGCGACGACGGCGAGCGATTGTGATCGCCTCATGCTCAGATTTCCCCGCCGAGATGACTACTGACGGCTGGGCGGGCTGCCCGTCTTTTTTCCCGGGCTCCTCCGCACTGGGGAACCACCGCGGCGGAACTGTTCCTGCTTTCGGGATGTGGTGCCTCGGGCATGAGCTATTATTGCAGTCCATCTACCTATTATATTATCGGCCATCAGCAGACGAAAGCTGCATGGCCATGTGCTACAGGCTACCTCGGTCTGAATCACGCTGTGTTACACAAACTTGGTACATACTAATATTTATCGCTTCTGCATATTTGAAAATTGAAAAAACTTTGAATTATAGTAGAACCAAGTTCTACGCTCCGTTCGGGTATGCGAAGCATGGGGTATCATAGGAATCCACAGAGGCAAACCAATTCTAATCAACACCATCTATCCCCTAGTCCGTAAGGGGTATGCTCCCATCTGCTCGGCAGACTAAGGCTGTGGGTGGTCATTCCCATGCAACCACAGAAGATCGTCACAATTTGACGTGGTCGGGCCGAGGTGGCTACACCCCATTTGGCGCTGTGTTAGGCAAAGAAAATATCTAGGTACATAGTACCTTCAACTGTACTTCATCGGATCCGAATCCTGCTATGGGCAGCTACTCGCACTTGCGACCTTTTCTGACAAAGTGAGGCCCTGATTCCCCCGTTTCAGCTCAAAGCTGCTGTTACACAATTGCAGATTGGATGCGAAGATCGCGCATGATTCTTGTAACGTGGACAAGTGGGCGGGATGTTCTAGGCCGTCTTGAAGCATCAGTAACACCAGTTCGGGTGGGTTTGCCACGAATTCGGCGTTGAGGTTGGTCTGTGGAAGAGCTTCATTTAGGAGCTCAAAGCCAGTTTGACGGTAATAGACTGAGTCAATTTGGTTGCGGTAATATAAGGCACTTCAGTCAGGGTGCTTCAGGTGCTGAGAATAGACTGAAGGCTGCTTCCGATCGGGTGAGTGCGTCCTTTAAGCCAGTGAGAGGGGCGACATTGTTCTGCATCGATTTCAGATGGCCGTTCAACTGTTTCAACAAGCCTGAGATTTCCGGATCGTTCTCCAGCTAGAGTCGGACGTTAGCAAAATGTCAGGCAATTGTAAAACCTATTTGGTCCATACCTCATCAAAACCTGATTGTGAGTCTTTTGCTTCTAGAATTGTAAAATGAGCCGCTTGGCCCTGAGTCTTGGGAATATCATCGAGCTGTCGTAGTGCCGGATGCTCCTTCAAAAGCATGAGCGACATGTTCTATGCCAGAACCGTTCAAGAGGACTCACATTCTTCATCTGCCGTTTCCTTTCCGCTTCAGCTCGATTCGCGTTTTTCTCCATCTCCTGCAGTTGCTTCGTTTCTTTGGCGAGCAAGGCCTCTTCCTTCTCAATTTCTGACTTCAAGAGATCAATACTATCGGTCATAGTCGCTAAGCTAGATTCAAGAGACACCTGGACTCAACATCAGTATGGTACAGAACTATTCACGAGAAATCACATACATGCTCAGTCAGCGCCGCTTCATAGTCAAACACCGACTCCTTCGTGACAGGAGGAAACGGCATTCGAGGAAGTCGCTTCCCCAGACTTGAAAATAGAACAAGTCAGTCAATAGCCACCATACGTCTTGCAGTCATGATCACGCGACAGATTGCAATGCTCAATAATCAACATACTTCCTAACAACTGCCTGCACAGCCGCCTGCGCTTCGATGCGTTTTCGCTCATTCGGCTGCCGCACGATAACCGGTCGTTCAAGCGCTCGAAACATATCACGGATCTTGTCTTGAACGGGCTCTGGGAGCGTTGTCCATTTCGACTTGATAGTCCGCTCGGAAACCTGCCGGACTTGGGGCTTCAGGTACGCGAAACGCTTGTTGCGCGCTGCATCGTCATGCGCGTCGCTTTCTGTGGAACGCTTTCTCTTTGGGGGCATTGCGCTGTTTCTTGACTCCTCAATATGGAAATCAAGAATAAGTTGTGGATGATGGGATACAAAAGGAGTTTGTTATTCAAGTCTGCCAAGGCGGGCTCTTGGCTTGCTTTGATGTGCCACCAACAACGCGCTACGGGTACTATCACATGCTTGATCAGCTCCGGACTAACCATTGTTGAGTGGGGCACAATCAACATCTGGAAACGATATCGCCAGATCTATCTATGGAGTACCTCTCCTACATATTTAGTATCTATTGCATAGCACGAGAACATCCTCTGCAAGAGAATGGCTCAAGGTCTATCACCCATGGCTACTTTCCACATTATGACAACAGGTATGAAGCTATATCGCACCCGAGCACTCTCACTGCCGACGTCGTCTGTTCTATAT